GCTTCTGATTCTTCGGTTTCGGATTCAGGAGTGTTGGGGTCGCGTTCCCAAGGGTACTTCCTGATCCAGGTAGTCGTGGTGTCTGTTGATCAAATGGGGCCGCGCGGATGGCGGGGCTTCGAGGAGTAACTTGAATCTTTTGTTACACACTCAAATAGATCTGTTAGGCGGAGCCCTAAGAGGGGCGTCGTCCGCTAATGTTCGTGACGTAACCGGAAGGGTCCGGTATAGCAAGTGAGACTGGCGACGACGAGTCGGCAGCGATCACAGTACGTGCGTGTCACGTGACTTCGTAGACGGATGTCTGTGAAGTCGCTCAAGGTAAGGACTGTCTTGTCCTGTACAATGAGGTCGATCGAAGTAGACTTAGTCGTGATGAGCAACTAAGAAAAGATACTAGAGACTGAAGCTGAGGGGGCTTCAGAGAGAAGTATGTTCCAGGGAAGATTGAGTAGATTCAAGTTAGAGAATCTAGTACAGAGTGACCGACTACTTATACTAAGTGGAGAGGGTTAAGGGCAAGGCTACCGCACAGTAGGTAAGGGTAAAGGGGAAACGAGAATGGTATAGGTGCGCTGGCAACATAGCTGGATTAGTGATGGGTGGTCGAATGTGGAATGAGACCGAGAAACGTTGGAACGGACCAACGGTAAGAATACAACGTGCGGGAATCCGCAGTCAGGGGAAACAGAAAGAGGAAAGCCACATTGGTGGCACGAGTCAGACCGAGTCATAGGTGCGGGACCACATTGGTGGTCGAATCAAGGGAGGAACGTGCATGCATGTGCATAGAGGCGGGCGATGCGAGGGACGGGAACGGTCCCGAGGATCTGGTCAATGGAAAGTCGGTAAAGGAGGACGAGCCGGTAGATGGTGAGGGCGAGGATGAAGGGAAAATGATAGGGGGGCCACGTGACCGATGTTACTTGTAACAAAAACCGCCAGCCGCTGGATCGCCTGACATAAAGTTGGCCCATCCTGTTTAAGAGTCGCTGATACTTCAGGATGAAACTTTGGAGCCTAGTGACATGAGCCAGTACTTCAAGCCATAAATTGCCGACATACCGGATAACCTTGCAGAAACCATCCCAGAGATAAATTGATGCAACCTGGAGTAAGGCCGTGTTCACTGGTTTAAAAATTGCTCTGGTGCGTGCGCCATTTCCCTTTCATGGTGGAAAGTTCGGCTGACACTTTTACCCAAATGGTCTGACATCATCATGGTCACCGCCAACATATCATTCTACTGAAGTCAATAAACACCATCGGCGGGTGTCGAACGCCCACCTTTATTGCCTCATCAATCGCCCCAGGAAGATACCATAAAACAATAACGCCAAATCGGTCCAGCACAACAGTAGGCCACTCAAGGATAAGCTGACCACCCAGCGGATATCGCTCTAGGAGAGATTCTTTACGCCGAGGATTCATGCCGGTTTCTTGCATATGCAACGCTTCCGAATAGTGGACCATATCAAAGTTGATTGTCACTGATGATGAGTCAGAACCAGTGGCAGACAGGTGGCGAGGTCAAACCTGGATTAAGATATGCATCGGCGAGGCGCCGCGCAAGATTGCAGCAGGCCACAAGCAAAACCATGTCGAGCTCTGGGGGAGGGAGGACTTTCAGCATCGCTCCGACAATGGAACAAAACTGCTGGGAGACATAGTCGCTAGCAAGATGAGTGGTGGCCAATGCCCAATCAGCAGGAATGGGATTCATGTGTGGGGGATGGAAACTGGATCATTGCTGACTTTTTATGATACTGGCTTATCAAATTTCATTCATAGGATGTAAGGAACATGTGCAGGGCGACCAGTGATGAGGGACGCATGCCCGAGCCTCGCCGGTGCAAGGCATGTCGCACGTAATTACATATGCTGGTCTGCAGACACCGGATATATTTGGGTAAAAATGACATCCTTGAATTGAGCACTTGATTGATCACAGATCACACTTAGTGGCGCCTAATTCAACATATCTACAAATAGAAAGACCATGTGTATCAAAAGCTATCTAATTGTGGCAAGATCCGGAGGCAGATGCACTGATGGTATCTATGCTTTGAGAACTCCTTGACACACGACCACCTGAAGGACCTGAAGGTGCATGCATCCCAGAGCTAATAGATGCGCCAGCTGCAGCTGACGGACCTGGAGTTGCATCCATGGCTCCCAGAAGGTGAGCGCCCACCGAGGCAGTGGCGACTGATGGTCCGGTGGCCGTGGACGGCCCTGGGGTAAAGTTAAAGTATAACCTTTCCATTGCCTGTGCCTGGCTCACACTATGGCTGTGACTATAGGGAGTCTGGTGACTGGAACCAGGAAAGAACACGGCATTATTGCAATGGGGAGGTATGGGCGGAGTAGGGATCAAACATTGTCGGAGGGACTCATAGGTGTCCTGCAAAACAGCAGTCATACTCCCCTGTGATGCCAATTTAACATCAGCTGCACGGAGTTGGTTCTCATGTGTCCGAGATTCCGCATGCAAGGTGTGAACTTGCTCCTGAAGCACGGCGACATTGGCGTGCAATGTCTCCATTGTTTTCATCTCGGCATCCTGAGCAGCGACACGGACATTCAATGCATCAAGGGAGTTGGCGGCGGCAGCATTACAAACACGGAGTTCGGCTACCTGATTGTGTAGGTCATCGATGGTATTGTAAACGTCTTCATGAGTCTTTGAGAGTGATGCCAAGTCATTTTTGACCTGGAGCATCATTGCTTGCAAGTCCTTCACTACTGCATCTGCGGGCACATCAACGTCCATGACCTTGGTGCATGATGGCGGCGGATGCGCATGCCATGGCGGTGAAGGTGAGGAATCTTGACTATAGGTGATATGCTAAAGCTAACGGGGGTTCTACAGTAAGACCAGGATACGAGAATACGACTCGACCCAAAGGACAGCTACTGAGAGAAGTTCCTCTTTAATGTAATGGAGGGAGTCTTCGCCGACTAGACGGGTGGTAACAGGCGCGCGAAGGCGCGAGAAGATAACGCGCGCGTAGGCGCGAGTAAGCAATGCGAAGGCGCGCGTAGGGCGCACGCGAGCGAAAGATGCGAGGGACGCGCGCGTATGCGGAAGCGTGCTTTTGAGCGATGGGGGAGAGTGTTCAAGTATAGCAGATGCGCGAGCGATGGTAGGATAGTGAAGTATAATCGGATTTCAAGTACTAAGGTGCACTTATACAATTTGCAGTATACTCGGATAAGGGAGGAGGGAAGGAAGTAAGTTAAAAGGAACTTTCCCTCTATTTAAGAAGGGAGATTACGCTATGCGGCGCGCTTGCGAGCGTGGTACCGAACCGAGTAACCATATCAACTCTAAATATATTCTAAAGCCTATGATAGACTTTCTATATGTAAGCGCGGAGATCGGACCGAAGGTACGTCAATTCAGTGAAAGGGATAAGAATAACGCACCAGTAAATCAGCGAGGACATAGGACGGACGGACGGACAAGGGTACGAAGGCCTAAGGGGAGGCGCACGAGCGCGCGCGAAAGGCGCGAGTGCGTGTAAGGCGCGCGAACGAGGCGCGTACGTAGGGCGCGCGTGTGAGAGCGCGTATGACTGATCCTTCGGATAAGAGCTGGAACGTGTAGGGAATTATGTGGGTAATAGGGCCGTATATTCCGCATTGAGAGGCGCGAGTCTCTACAGCAGCATCACTGCGTGCATGGTCACTGGGGATGATCCTGGTGACGAACATGTGGACACAGTGGTGATGGGTGGTAAAGAGTGCCTCATTGAAGCGGCATCTCTTATGCTGGTCACATTGTCTTCCAACACAATATACTCAGTATTCTACAACATGTCAACAAAAATTCACACAACAAGGACTTGCATACTTACCGGCTGAATATCCTCCATACCTTTCCCAATGTCGCCAGTGGCTGCTGGTGAGAGGTCTTCCTCATCTTCCTTTGATGGAGTGCACCGGTGGCTACTTTTGTGCCGCTTGCCTTTAGTGACCTTGTGGGTGGCCATGGTCTATGGGAACATCATGGTAAAAAAAACATGCAAAAATAAGATGATCCATACTGGTAGAGGAAGAGTTCAAACCATGGTTTCTGTTGATTGCTGGTGTCGGCGGACACTGGCAGACGGGTGGCTGATGGCATGCTCTTTGTTACCTGCTCATTCTGACTGGAGTCCCTGGATCTTTTCCTGTGTAACTGTGTGCTACCATGGCCGTCCGCACTATCCACCTGTGGTGGGACCTCTTTGCCCTTACCCTTTTGATCCCTCACAGCTGGCTTGAATTCACGTCCGCTGGTGGGCTGCATCTGCTTTCTCTTCAGCATGGGCCTCTCCCTAACGATAATGGTATTTCCTTTCACAATTTCCACCAGCATGGTTTCATTGCTCTGATCCTGAGCGGCAGTTTGCTTGCTACTGCCTTTCCGAATGTCCGGCGGAATGGCATTAGTGGCGACTACATGGTCAATGATTTTGATTCCATCACTGTCAGAACTATCCATGACTTTCAGTGTTTTCTTACGCATACACTTTGGCCTTGGCTTGGGTTTTGATGCAACCGGCAGTTCCGCCATTGCATTTGCAACCACCTCCTCGGCCGGTTGTACTGGAGGGTGGGACAATGGTGATGGGCTTGAGGAAGCAATGAACTTGAGAGCCTTCCCATACAAAGGATGTTTCTGAATGCGGTGATCATCCATGACAATGTTACCCCATACAGGGATACTTATAAAGGATTGGCAAGTCACCGGGTCCAAATGCGCCTGCAACTCCATTGCCGCTGATAGCAACACTGGCGGAATCATGCTCGCCGATCGTCCATGTTGCTCAAACACCGGCGACTGTTGTGGATTCAGCCACAGTCCATTGTTCATCGTGGCATACTCACCAAAATTTTTGCAATTTCCAAGGCCATCATGAAATGGCCAGCAGGGCCATTCTTCCACTGCATAGCTTGAGCCACCAGTTGTTGCACTCGAGCAGTAGCATCTTCAAGTGCTTTGTTGGACACCGTTGTGGATGGCATGATATGTGGGTGGAAAAAAAGGCAAAAGTCCACAAGATTAATTCTGACAATATATGTGAAATAGGACCAATTGAAATTTGAAGTCCACATAGATCCGGCTCAGGACCCAGTGCCATGAGGCCGTAGAAGCACTGTGATGGGTAACGTGCCTGATTTCTCATGGGAAACGTTGATTGTTGTGTGGCCCACATTTAAACCCCACCGTGGGCCAAACCACAGTTGAGTGATATTTAATGCTAGCATCCAGAGGTCGCCATCTCCCTTCCATTTAACACTGATTGGCACCATCGACCACCATGGGTCACTTAAATGACCGCTGCATCCATTTCAATATCCCAATGGACGACAAGTCTGAATCTCAAGAGCCGTCATCCAACACCGGTGACACTTCAAGCAGTAAGTCTTATTTCATGCCAAGATCAAAGCTTATTTCATGATTTCTTTCAGTGATGTATTTTGGGTTTGGGGCTCCGCCTGTGCATTCAGAGGTTGACATGGCAGGTGCACCGTCGGCACCGCCATATCAGCTCAACTTTGGGTATGAACCTCAACCCACACTGCCAGACCAACTGGCCTTTAACTTCGGGTTTGACACTAACCCCAATGTTTCACTCTCATCTCGCCCAGCAGCTGCGAAGGCTGACATGGCGGCTGTGCTGCCAAGACCGCCATACCAGCTCAACTTTGGGTTCGAACCTCGGGAACACACCCCACCAATCCTCCAACCAGCTTTCAACTTTGGGTTTGACGCCGGCATAGAGCTTTCATCCACACCTCCTCCAGTAGCTCGGCCAATATTGGACTTCGGCTGGAACACACCAGTTGCCACAAATGATCCGGTCACACTGGTTATGACACCATTCAATTTTGGAATGGACTTAGATGCCACTCCACAATGGTCAGCAACACCACCTGTCATCCCCACTCCTCCGCCCCCAATGCCAAAGCCAGCCTTCGACTTTGGTTGGAATCTATCGCCAACACCTGTGCCAGGTCCACCACTTCATGTGGGATATGATCTCTCCAATACATGTAAGTCAATCCTGAACAACATCTTGTGTTCATTCATATTGACATGTATTCACAGCATTCCCGTTCAATTATCAAATCCCTCTGGCTGAAGTGGGAGATTGGCAACCTCTTCTGGTGAGGGCGGCCAGCCCAGCAACCTCGCCGCCCGTTCCCACTCTGATGGACGTGGCATACACACCAAAGGGCCTGCCAAATGTGGAGCTCATGTTCCCGAAGAAATGCACGCCAATTAGTTCCGCTGATTCATCTGAACCTCGGCCTTCCCTTTTGAGCATTTTCGGTGATGCTGAGAAGGCGGCGATCAACATAGTCGAACACCTTGGAGGAGATGAATGTAAGAATTACTTCTTGGTCCGGTACCACTCAACTGACTATTCCTAGTTGATAAGCTTGCGCAGTTAATGCTTGGCAGCATAGTCAACCCTGGCGATAATGTCCGGTTTCCCAAGCCCAATGAAGTCCTGGACAGCAACCGGGTCATATTGTCGGCATTCTGTGAGAGCAGAGATAAATTGACCCAGATTTTCAAAGATTTAATCCACTTGCATCACATGGCAGCGGTGCAGGCCAGAGTTGTTCCATTGGTGGACTCTCTCTCAAAAGAGGTGCAGAAGGCAGAGGGAAAGTCTGGCAGTGACTAGTTTACACAATATGTATACCAATCACTTGTACATAGGTTTGCTGCTCAAATTGTTGTATATGCATGAGACCGGTGTTGCACCAGTCATAAAGTGAATTGATTGTTGGTATTCTACTGATATGTGATTGTATGATTACTTCTTGCCACGTTTACCCAAAGATGACTCTGGTGCAAATGTCTTGCTTCTGGTTCTCTTCGCTGGTGTATCACTGACGGCCTCAGGAGCATGGCACTTTGACCCTCTGGGCTCTTCATCAGCGGCATATGTCACCTCCTTGCTTCTTGTCATAGCACCCAAGGATGTAGATGGCTGCTTCACGGCCTTCTTCTGAGTCCTCGCAGGCTCCTTGGTATTGCTGAACATGGCAATAGAAGGTTTTGCCACATCGCTGACAGCTGCCGACATCTGCCGTGCACTTCACTGTTGCAGAGCACGGTTAGACTTCATCTTGTGAGGCTTGTTCACTGGGAGAGTCGCCTGCTGCAGTGGCGTGACATCTTTCCTGCAGGCAGTGAAAAGTGGTCCATCATCTTCACTTGATGAGCCATCATTATCGCTATACAACTCATCCTCCAAACTGCTATCCTTGATGGCCCGGCGAGATGGTACGGCATTTTCTTTATACTTGCCCTTTTGTTGTCTCCAATGAGCATGGTTTTCATTGCTGCCGGTGTGCAGGGGTGCTGGGGACACAACTGCCTCACAGATGTTGCCATCAGAATCTTGCCACACCATGAATGAAAAGGTGGGTTGAATGTTCTGTTCTTGCTGGGTGAACAAGAATTGTAGCAAAGTACTTGCATCTGATATGTCCATCTTGGAGGGTTCCTTGAACTGCACACTGGCGGGCCATTGTGTGCCGTTGAAGAATGCCAATGGGTCCTGGCTTACATCTCCCCACGGCACCGCTGACTTGAGGGTGTCTTCCCCACCACACATCCCTATGCTTTGTGAGAATAATTTCTAATGTCAAATAGAAAGTACTTACTGTATAGCTTCGTGAGGAAAGATCGAATCATGTGTTGTTGCTCGGCATGATTCCATCCCGTTGTGTCTGGGAGCATCGGCCAACCATCAGCATCTTCCTCGAGTTCAATAAGCTTCCGGGGTTGCTGCTTCTTCGACTTCACCACCAGGGGCTCTTCCCCATCTTCTACATCTAAACCTACATTAGTATGTTTGGTCCAGCACAAATGATTTGCATCTCACTGAATTGCTCCCCAGCATATTCCTCCCATTCTGGCATAAAAATGCTGTCCCAATCCCTTGTCTTAATGAAGCTCTCACCGTTCCCAAACTGTTCATTGAAGTCATGACTTCCACACAGTTAATGTTGAAAGTAGCATAAGTATGAGACGACACACCCTCCTAACATGAGCTTCCATTTGCTGTTGTTCCATGCAGACAGCACACAAACCCTCATTTCGGCTTGCTTGAACATTTTGGTGGCGAAATGCTCGATTATCTCGGCGCCCTTGCTCTCGGCGACCTTGGCTTGAACTTCCGGCGGCGCCGCTTGATTGTTCCATTTCTCCGCCGTGGCTTCCACCTGTTCCCTCTCCTCCGCCAACAAACTATCGATCACTGACTTCACCACCTTTGGCCACTTGCTGATCATCTCCTCACTTCCAGCCATCTCCCCGGTCTCCTCTTGGATGAGGTCTTTATGAGTCTGGATCAGGACTTGCCTCGCCGTCCAACGTCTGCCATACTTGATGAGGGGCTTGGGATCTTTTTTCCATCGAGATTGGTTTTGCAACCATTGCTTGTAAATTTTCCATGAACATTCTATCAATACTCTCATCATTCCAATAAGTATAAGTTGTCACAAACTTTTTTTTGAGCTTTCAATATGGCTCGGTCCTTGGTAGGAGCTTGCAGTGATGCTTCCTTGTAGATGGCTATGAGCACCCTTGATCTTTCTTTCCCTTTCACCGACCTCCAGTCCTCCAGATGGTCCCTGAGGACCACAACCTCTGCCTTGTCTAAGTGAACCTTCTTCTGCTGTGAGAGGACAATAGAAGATTGAGTTCTTGGCATGTTGGGTTATGGATGATAGTGATTCTGAATGGTTCAAGAATCGCAAATACTGTAGTTGGTTGATATGGGGCAGTAAGGTTTGGTTCCTCAGCTGAGATCCCACAGGGTTTCTCTGTTCTGCTCAGTTCACCATATATTACAGTTCATATTGGGCACTTGTCATATATATCATTGCTGTGTTCAGTCGAGATGAAGTGGTATTCCTTGTATCACAGCTAATATTATGTACTTTTGATGGATATGGTTGCTTTGTTCTATTCAGATCATCTTATATTACACTCTAGGTTGGAGTATTATGTACTCCTATCTGATATGATCCGAGTATGATTAAATTAACCCAAGTATCATGTTCCATCGGCCAATTGAAACCTCTTGCCCTTCTTACAGATTCTCATTGCAGTGAACAAATGAAAGGTTCCAGACTCCAAGAGTGGACACTCAAATAAAAGTATGCAGTGGTAGAATGGCAGAAATCATATCAGACCAGGAAGGTGGTGGGCAAATGGGTAGAGAGACTCATGATTAGTCAATCAGTTCCAGCAACCCCTACCAAGTCTGCCTCTAAGCAGCTGTCTCATGACATGCTTCACCATGGTGGAGATAACTTTCTTGGGGGACTTGATGATCACAGGGTGATTCCACTGCACCTGCCAAAATCCCTGGTGAGCCTTTCCTCACCCTTACCTTTTACACTCTGCTTATCTGAACTCAAGAGTCAAAACGACTATATAAGACAATGGGTCCCGAAGACAAAAGCATATCTTGACATACTCCTGGAAAGGGAGGTTCCATCAGATCAGTCATGTATCATCTGTGGGACAGATGGTGTCTATAAATGTCATGGGTGCTTCAGTGAGCCTCTCTATTGCACAAGTTGTTGCAGAACCCAGCACCAGAGACTTTCCTTCCATCGAGTCAGCCAATGGACAGGCTCCTTCTTTGAGGAAAGTTGCTTGGTCAAGATGGGATAGTGATCTGGCTTGGCCATAACGGAAAGCCATGTCCATGGGATGATGATGTAAGGGATTCTAGTGTATTTACTACAGGGGAAGAGGAAGCCAACACTACAGACATGGAGAGTTCAGAAGAAGAAGACGGTGGCGCCCCGAGTTCAAAGCATGCCGATGACCTTCTGACCGGCGTGCCATTTGTCAAGGGTAACAGCGCAATGACAACAATAGTTGACAAGTCCGGTGTGCATACACACCTGGTGAACATGCCCCAACGCCGATATACAAATGTTTGAGATGAGCTTATTCCTGGCGTCTTTCTTGGAACTGAAGACAGCATTTACTTTCGACATCCTAAATGACTTCTTGCTGGACAACCTGGAGTGCGGGACCTCGGCAATGAATTACTACAGTAAATTGAGAAGGATGACAATGGCCGTCTTTCCACATTTAGTGCCGGTGAGTGTGTTCATCCCTCGCCAGGCCTATCATTTATTGGGTGAAAGGACCGGTGTAGCACTCAGATCGGCATTGGGCTCGTATCCTGCCAAACTCATAGGTATTCCACATACACATTCCTCAACACTCCATCTACCTTCCAAGAGTTCCGTGCGTTTGTCCAAGTTGTCCGAAGGTCGTCTGTCCAATTCCGAGGCCTGTATACAGTTCCGATCCTCCATACCATGTCCCGTCCGTGTCCATTTGACTTCGCTGGTGCGTTTTTCACTTGGTTATCTGTTATTGATTATGTCTAGGGGCACATGTTGTTGGCCCGCCAGTTACACGTATAACAACATGCCTTGTGCCTTATTACATGCATATCTCTGTAGCGGCTCGCCTCGAGTCTTATTACATTTCGGATGTCTTATCTCGCTACTGATTTTGCCTATGCAGTTTCCAGACTTTCACGCTGTAGGATATAATCTGCCTTGCTAGCTACTCACACTGCACTTCACTTTCTCTGCTACAAGTCATAGTCAGTAGAGTCACTTTCGGATAGTCATACTTCACGCAATTGATCTTTCTTGTTCATTCGGAACGATTGTTTGGCCTGACTGCTGCCATTTCGCATCTCGCTATCTCTTAGTTTTCCCGACAGACTTTGCTTAGTTTTACTTTGCAAGTCTTACACTTTGACATACACGCCATACTTCTACCTCGGAACCATCGCTGTTCATCGGAAGCTCTTTGGACGCTTCGCGCAACTCCGGACCTTCGTTTCTTGACGTCGGACCACCTTCGGACCACTTCGGATGAGTACTTCGGTACTTCGGACACATTCTCGGAACACCAAGTGCACCCTTGGTAACTTTCCTTCTCTCACTTTGATCTTAACAAGATATCCCTTGCTTTACATCAAGGAGCATTTCTATAGGCAATCTCTTTGGGACAAACATCTCACTCGCACTCTGAGTCTTAAGGTAACACTTTTGTAGCGCCCACATAGAATCTACTCTTTACACCGGTACCGGGAGCTCATGAGGGTGGCAAGACAATGGAGAAAACTCAAGCTTCTCAAAAGAAATGGATTCGGCCATGAGGAAAAGGATGTCAGACCCAGCGATCTAGCTCTCTTTTGTCCGGCATGTCCCCAGCCAGGAATTAATGTCACTTTGCCTGTCGGAGAACACACAGAAGATTCTAATGTGAACAAAGGATCAGATTTACAGACTCCTAGTTGGCTATACACGAGGTTGCTTGTCATGGATGGAAACTTCAAAGCCGAGCATCTCCATCCGGTACATCCCGGCGATGAAGTCTCTCTTATGGACGGCCATGGGTTTATGGTAGGAGACACCTTGTACAAGGAGCATTTAGCCATTGCACAGGACACCATTCAACAATCTGAATGCAACAACCACTGTGCGGTGAATCAGGCAAATGCATCGCGTCATAGATTGGAAGCAACAGGCATCGGTGGTTGCGCCTGTGCACGGCATGGCTGTTTTGTGCCTCACGCCATGGTCGATTTTCAGAAAGGAGAAAGGTGTGTCTCAATATCTCAGCAAATAAATGCCGTTGCCGAAGTCATGCAGACAGATAAACATGGATTATGCATTATGCAAGGCGTTAAAAATAAACACCGATGGAATCCGCCATGCCCTGACTTTTTATGATGTTAACTGTCAGTACCACAAGCGTTTGAAGGACCGCATTGCCGAGAGTCCAATCTTAGAGATACCTAAGGAACTGGATATTATCCCTGGGATTGGACTGTGGCATGTGCATGGGCATCAAGACAGTTGCTATGTCAGATATGCATCAAATTTCATTGAGGGTGCTGCTCGGATTGATGGTGAAATCATGGAGACTCTATGGGTGCCGTTAAATATAATTTTGCCAGCCACTCGCGGCATGGGAACTCCGCACCAGAAGGAATGCTTGGACTATCAAATGAATGATTGCAACTTCATGAAAATGATCAGAATGAGTGAGTCCTCTGTCCAATGATGTTCAACAATTTCTTATTTGCCATACAGGCAAGTCCCTTTGCAAGAACTACAATCAGGCGGTCAGGGGGGCCACCGACAGCCGACTGGTGTTTGAAAAGCTTGCTAAAACCGCCGATCCTGGGAAAGTTCAAGAATGGGAAGTCCAAGAAAGGTTGGCGCACCAATGCCGTCGCCGTGATCCAACAGCCATGGATATTTATGAAGTACAATTACAGAAAGGTCAGTCCGAAGAATGTACAGGAGGTCTAGTCTGATTTAACTACAGCGCTGACAAGAAAACAGCAGGAAATACAATTATTAGCAGAACAAGGACGGGGCCCGGGGCCTATCCAGCGATGAGGTGCAGCGACATGGCTCGCAGAGGGTTTGACAATTGAGGAGGCCCAGGTCACACTACAATTGGATATCAAGAAAGTCGGTGGTCAGCTAACCGACACACAGCGGTTACATATCGCCCGCTGCCAGGACGTCTTACAAAGTGTTACAAGTAACATCGGTCACGTGGCCCCCTATCATTTTCCCTTCATCCTCACCCTCACCATCTACCGGCTCGTCCTCCTTTACCGACTTTCCGTTGACCAGATCCTCGGGACCCTTCCCATCCCTCGCATCGCCCGCCTCTATGCACGTGCATGCATGTTCCTCCCCTGATTCGACCACCAATGTGGTCCCGCACCTATGACTCGGTCTGACTCGTGCCACCAATGTGGCTTTCCTCTTTCTGTTCCTTCTGACTGCGGATTCCCGCACGTTGTATTCTTACCGTTGGTCCGTTCCAACGTTTCTCGGTCTCATTCCACATTCGACCACCCATCACTAATCCGGCTCTGTTGCCAACACACCTATACCATTCTCGTTTCCCCTTTACCCTTACCTACTGTGCGGTAGCCTTGCCATTAACCCTCTCCACTTAGTATAAGTAGTCGGTCACCCTGTACTAGATTCTCTAACTTGAATCTACTCAATCTTCCCTGGAACATACTTCCCTCTGAACGCCCCTTTGGCTTCAGTCTCTAGTATGTTTTCTTAGTTGCTCATCGCAACTAAGTCTACCTCGATCGACCTCATTGTTCGGACAAGACTGTCCTTACCTTGAGTGACTTCTCAGACATCCGTCTACGAAGTCACGTGACACGCGCGTACTGTGATCGCTGCCAACTCGATGTCGCCAGTCTCACTTGCTACACCGGACCCTTCCGGTTACGTCACGAACATTAGCGGACGACGCCCCTCTTAGGGCTCCGCCTAACAGATCTATTTGAGTGCGTAACACAAAGGGATATTGATTGATGGAGAGAGGTCGGGGTTGTGTTCCTCGGCAACAGGCCCAGCGATGATGAGGATAATGCCATGGAACTAGATCTCCTCATCCTTGAAGAAGAATCGGATGCTGAAATAGAAGATCAGCAAAAGGTCTTTAAGCCAGAGAAGGCAGTCATTCCCCTGCCATCCAATTTGGGGCAGGATACATGTACTGCTATCGGTGTCAATGATTTAGCGAAACAAGAACTTATCCTCTGGCAAGGCCAGGCCAATGATGCCTTGCACAACATCAGAGTTCATTTGGCGGACAAAGCGGTCATTTTTCGGAAGATGGTAAGGGTTGCCAAATCTCAAGCGACAGCCACCCAAGCTTGGGCTCAGGTGCACTTGGTTGATAGGGCGGTCAGCATCCAAGCCAGTATCTATTTGAAGTGCCGCAAACAACTTTGCAGCCTCGGCGCCGATGATGCTTTACTACAGTGATATCAGGCCCTAGCCAAGGAGCATCTCAAGGTTAGTACCGCCGTCACTGATCCAAACTCACATGGACAGTGAAATAATACGCTGCCATGGTTTTGGTCTTTGGATGTTGCAGGAGATTCTGAGAGAAATGATTGGTTGGATGAATGTGAGCAATTCCCATCAGCACCATGTCGGTCATCCTGATCTCGCCGATGTGCCAGTTTACTGGGTACATTGGCTCCAGGCAAAGGCTCTGAAAGATCGTTGGGAGGAGGAGATTTTGCTTGTTCAGCATGAAATGGATTGGACTTGCAATTTTTTTCGTCACAAGGCGGAGGAATGGAAACATCTCAGTGTCGTTGCGAAGAAAGCCAAAAAAGAAGCTCACATGGCTTACATGGGCAGGCAGGGGAAAATCTATGAATGTCTCTTGGAAGAGGCTAAACGGGCATTTCACCGGACAAAAGCTTAGACAAGAACATCGGTGAGGAGTCATAAAGCTGATCACATTGTAGTCAAATGAGATTCATGCCGATGTGCTGTGTTCAATTACCTCGGTGTGATGATGAATTATCTGGCGCCGGAACATGTAATTTCAATCGGTGGCTGTTGGTTGGAACTCAATGCAGTAAATTGGACATGAGGATATCTATGTACAGCTATATTACACAGTAACACTAATGGCGGTCACCCCTGACCCACCGTTCATTGCGCCGCCTCCCTTTTCAAATACTTCGTTAATCTTTTGGTGGCAGCAATAGCCTTAACTACGTCCTGCCCCAGTGCGATGTCCATGCAAAGCATTGTGGCGGCCACCATTTTGGCCTTGACTACCTTATCTTCCAGCATCTTCACGATCAGTTGGCCTTCGTGAAGTACCTCGACGTGGATATTGGACAGTTGTTGGGCAACCGGCGTGCACATTGGGATGGTCAATGTGGCTGGGGTAATTAGAACTTTCCCCTCAGGCTAAGGCCGGTGTTAGTAAACTTCTCAAATTGTGTGGATAGAACCTCACTAATTGCTGGAAATGTTCGGCAATGATTCGCTGAACCTCTACACAGTTTGGGTATTTGTGGAGAAAGTCATCGTCAGCTATCATGTTGGCTGTGTTTATCCACCAGGGTGTCCAATAAGTCCTGGTGAGGCGCCCCTTTTGCCATGGTCCAGCCAGCGCCGCTGGCAAGGTCATGAAGGCATTGTAGACCTCCTCAAAATTGGTGACCAGGCCGACCTGCTTCATAGATAGCACGCCGATGAAGAACTGGAGGTTCCGAGACAGCGGCAGGCTAATTGAGAGCCCGGCACAGAAGGACATCCAAGGCAAAGTAAAGGACTTGAAGATTCATTAGCTCGGCGGGCGGCTGACAAGGTAAATACTTACCTCTCCTTCCCAGTTCAGGTACTGGCCTATGATCCAGCGCGTCTTCATTGGCAAGGTGAGCCGGGTACTCTCTAGCTTGGTCCGAATTGCTGATAAGCGGGAGGTAGCATACTCAAATATGCCAGCGATATCGGCCAAGTCCAAGTGCATGTCATCGGACATTGATTCCGCCGCGATAGTGGCAGAGATGGTAGAATTGGACATGATGCAATTGTAGTCCAAACTTGTCATGGCAGAGCCTTTAAATGGATTTACATGATCAGAACTTTAATTACATGATGATGTGGTTTTGGGGATTGAATTCTATTGTGTCATTCAGCGGATGTCGCCGATGTCCAAGCTTGTCCCCTGTGGACCACTGGATTGACCTTCAATCGGCCAGATCTGTCAACATCCGGCCAAAACAATGTGTGCCATTATATCACAGCTGTGGATGTGTGAATTGTGGAGTGTCTTGGATGAAGTGGTCATGTTCGGTAAATGCCGTCGCACAATGAAGGTATCACATAATCCACTGCCACTGTGGTCACAGCAGAGTTAGATATATATATAGTTGACACTTGTCGCCATTCCTCATTCCAAACTTAAACCAACACTATGTCCTCCTTGGCTACGAACATTGCCGCTGCTAACAAGGCCTTCAGCGATGCCGCTAACAAGATTGAGCACCTTCTGGGCCAAGCTTGGCAATTAGATGCTGGCGATCCTGAACATCTCACTATTGCGATGGAGATGGGCAGGGCTTTGGTAAGTCCTTCTCCAACATTTTAACATTACCTAATCGTTTGCAGACACAAGCTATGATGTCTCATGGCGGGAGTGTTACCGTCCTCTCGCCACTGATTTTGTTGGCTGCTGCAGAACTGCAGCAGCACATGAATGCATCCAGGACTGGTCTTACCGGCATGCCCGTTTGGGCAAACATTTGAGGTGATGATATCCACATTCAAACTCACCCTCTTTTCCCTTCCACCAGGAATTACCGGCGGAGCCCTTCAGCTTCAGCTTCTCCACCACACCCGGGCCCATCTCAGCTCAGGAAGCTGCCTGCGGTGGAGGAGCCCGAGGAATGTGGGCGAGGCATTGAGTGCGGGAAACGTCCCCGTGCCACAAGTGCTCGGAGCCGCAGCCGCCCAGCCATGTCCAAGTGGCAGCGGCAGAAGTAGAAAGCCATCATTCCCAGTGACGATGAACTTGAAGAAGAGGAACCGGCGAGTCTGGTTATTACAGTAAGTTCATCACTCCTTTTAGTACTTGTTATTTGATGCCCTGCCCAGACCAATAAAAGGGCACGCCGTGCCTATGTCAAAGTGGACACCGAAGATGAAATGGAAGATGATGGCGATGAGGAAGATGCTGTGGAGCTGCCAAGGAAGATTGCCGCCACGCATGTTGCCAAGCCAGTAAGTATGCATACTTTTGCATTGCTTCTTTGAAACTGACATCCCCAAGATGACTTCAGGTCTAGATCTCATGAAAGATGAGTTCACCAATTCCACGGCGGAAGTTTGGGCTCCTCACTGCGGCCAATGCATTGCGAGGGATCTGATTTGCCGACAGGGGTATCACAAGGACCATGGCGGAAAGTTGCGCATCTGCGCACTTTGCAGCCGCCTGAAGATTCGATGCGAAGGCAAGGGCTCCAAGGCACCGAAAATGAAAACCAAGTCTGTGATGGCATGGCGCACACGCTCCCAATCTCGGTGCTGTCGCTCACCACCACCTGGTACATCTCTTTTTTTTAAAGTCACTTATAACTAAATGGAATATCAGCCGCAGGTGCTTTTGCGGATGCTCCGGCAGCCAGCCAGGAGCAGCTACCGCTCCTGCAATTCGAGATCCGGGCTGAGCCAGCCCCTCCCAGCATCCCTAATCAGGAGATGCAGGATCTCCGCGACGAGGTTGCCAGCCTTTGGGCGACCGTTGAAGCCTTGCAGCAGCAAGTTGTTAATGGCGACTGGCAATTCCAGGAGATGTTGGCAGCACAGGACCAATGTGCTGATCTGCTGGCAGCTGAGTTACAAGTCCTCCGCTGACTTGTCTTGTTGGCAACTGCTCAGCCTACTGCTGGCACTGACCCCGTCGATGTGCTGCCAGGTGCGCAATCACCTTTGGTGCAAACCGCTCAGCCTACCCCTGACACTCCAGCCAGTGATTCGCAGCCAGGCGCTGAACCTTTGTTGGTGCCCACTGAGGACACGTCAATCCCGTTGGGCACCACACCTGCCGGTACCTCCACTGAGGCCAATTTTGAGCTGGCTGCCAGTCCAGCCACGCCTCAAGCTGAGGTTGCTTGTTTGCCGGTAGTCATTCAAATTTATATTTCATGACAAAAAAGAATCAAATTTTATTGTATTCCTGATTTTGTTTACAGAGAAAAGTATAAATTGTCTCCACATTCAGTCAAACTCTTTTCTTTCAACTGACACTGTCTTTTTCATGATGTCCAAGAGGAAGAAAAATGTATATACAAACAGAATACAGCATGATATAAATTAAAATCTACTCAGAATGTGATCAGAATGGAAGCTGTATGTTACTTGCAGTCAGAAATACAATTGTCTCAGTTTGATTCTAATGAAAGGAGGTTGCACATAGTGTAATTGCAGTTAAAATTGACTTACAATGAAAGCTTGAGAGTTATTGCAAATATCATCAGCATGCAACTACAAGGAAAGATGACAACACAAACATGCAACATAACATTTTTTTTATCTGGTCATAATGTGCCAATGCACTGAGCATAATCTCTATGTGGAAACGCAACTCATATTAATATAAAATAGGCCAAATTCTGAGAAAATTTTAATTGTTACTATAATTTTATACAAGAATTAATGGTGACCCAAGTCTGTCTGAGATCATGCTGTATTTAACATTTGGTATGTGGGAAAATAGGCCCCTGCCCCCAGTGTCAGTGATACAATTCATTTTCTATGAAAACACACCTTGAAATTTGCTTATAGTCAGTTTGCTTGCAAGCTGATCATAGTTGTGTTTAGCCAAGTGGCTATAATCACAGAATCAAAATCTGTTTCCATTGGAGTACAACAAGTTTGAAACTTGTGGGATGTCTATAAGAACATGTCTTAAATGTTTGCTCATAGACAGTATCTCAGACATTGATCCTCATTTGTCTTGGTCAAGTTGTCACCAGATTCAAAATCTGTTTCTCTTGAACTGTGCAGATTTCAAACCTGCCAATAACAACATTTTTGTTCTATGAAATCACACCTTGACAATTCCTTATCAAGATCAATGTCTGAGATGCTGTTTATGAGCAGATATTTAAGACATGTTCTAATAGCAAAAATGCACCATTCAACAGATTTCAAACTCCATGAGGAAATGTCAAGGCATATTTTTATAGAAAATAAAATTTATCATTGATAGGTTTCAAACCTGTTATGATTCAAGAGAAACAGATTTTGAATCTGGTGATTACTTAAAATTTTATCTTTAGCAAGTTTTGAACCTCCACAGACAGATTTAGATCCTGTTCTATTAACTGCTTAGCTAAAACTGGTCAAATGCACTTCCAATGAAATTCAAAAGTGAATTCTCATGGCACATTTATTTGCATTTTTTCAGTTCTTTCAATACATGTTGACACGCACCAAACTTGTTTTGTGCATGGTCATGGCTACTTTTGAGCTTTGATGTTCTCTGTTTTACTCTACAAAATTACTAAGAATTTTCTATAAACACATTATGATTGATTTGAGTAATTTTCAGACATAACAAACCCATAATGCTACATAATAATTCAATTAACACTTATCCAGTTCAAAGATAAGTTCCAAACATACCACAACACATTACTTAGCATTCTCTCACAATCTTATGATTGTTTTTTATAATTCTTCACATTTTTTTGTATGTTCTGAAACATATTTACAGTAACATCCTAACATTTCGACAGTTCATGTGTGATCAATGGCTTAGTCAGATGAAATGGATTAGTAAGATGAGATGGATTAGTCAGGAAACTGAAGGAAGAAAGTTAATAGATGGGAATATTTGAGAAGTGAACAAGTCATCATGGGACATTTCAACTATGACTCAGTTTGAGTCATTATGAGTCATTTTTCTGTCTGAGTCACTATGAGTCATATTTCCTTAATTAGATAGTTACACAGCCACATTTAGAGTAGTATATAAGCCAGTTTCCCCTCTGAATAATGACAATCTCCCTTTAGAAATAAGCTTCCTTTGAGAGGACAGACATCTTCCTTTTAGAGAGAGGGAGGAGGATTTGAGTATCTTCCTGAATTTCTCACCCTATATTTGTGTAAACATCTGGGTGAATATTAGTTTATTCCCTCCATTCTTTAGTTATCATTTCCCACAACATACTGATCTTCTGAGGCCTACCTTGAGCCAATCCTTAAATTACACTAGCTGGTACACGGTTATCAGTCATCTAGTTATAGTTTCATCACATTCTTTTTACAACACAGGATACCTTTTCTGTGGGGAGAATTTATGTATTTTTAATGATTAGGAGGACAACAAATAAGACTAGCACTTTATTCAGCAATATTAAGAGCTTGGCTGCTTTAAGACTACATCAAGAGGGTGTACTCTGTTCTGATTCTGCATCATACTCATTGTGAGTGCCTAAGCAGCAGAGAAGTTAGTTTCGAAACCACGTATTTCGGTTGATTCGATTGTGTTAGAGGCTTAGTTTGATCTCCTCTAATTTTTGAGAATAGGGAGTGTTTACAAAATATTACTCTGATTCATTGTAGACTGTTGTGATCCATATCTTCATCTTCATATTGCACACCTTTGCAATCCTCTTCTAGTAGCATCGTAGTACTGCATTAAGCCAGTTATCGATTTGACTACACCATTTACGATCTTTATCTTTAGTGTCCTAAGCACTGCATCAAGCCAGTTAACGGTCACTGTCTCAACCCACCTAAAGTCATTAGAAATTTGTTTAGAAAGACCCAGCTATTTAAGCCTCCTCCCATGAACAACCACATTATCAACTATTGGTATTTATCTGAACTGTTGACCATGGAGGATAGTGAGAACTGGTGATCTTATTGCCAATCACATCCTAGTAAGACAATGTTATTATACAGATTACAAACCTGCTTAGTTTAATGCAGCAGAGGGTACCTGCCCTTGCACTTGCTAACCGGTTCTATTGTGGTATCCTTCAACCTGATAGATTTCATGGCCTGACCTAGATAGAAGAGAAGGTGTGCACAATTTATTCCATCACCACACATGTTATGTGTCTGTTTCACTCCTCTGATACTTCCTAGCCAAAGATATTTCATGGTAACACCAGCCACTGATGAGTTCAAATCAAAGTTGAAGGATACGACTGGCAGAGGATGATGAACCATGCAGTTGTGGTGAAGTGTTACATCATCTTCAAGTTGCAACTTTGAATTCCTAGTAGCAGACTCAATAAGTTGGATGTCAATACAAGTTGGTCCTGATGTCCCGGGGATGCAAACATCATTAGCCCTTGAAAGAGACTGGTGTCGGAAAACCTTATATTGTGTTCCAGTATGATAGCAATATTATGCAAATTACATAGCTATACCTTGTCAGGTAAAACCAAACACAGATAATGGAAAACGCAGATGCTTAACAAACCAGATACAATTACCCACCATTCACTTCTAGCCAGTGATTGTACAATTTCATAACATTGTTGCAAACTGCAAGGTTAACATATATTTGATGTCCATCGCCAGTGCTACTTTTCATGATAAAGTCATGAATAGTTTTGTTATTGAAAAATTAAATTACAACAAATGAGCACATTTAACAACTTCGACACAATTATGCTATGACCCCTTGCTTGTGGTGATGTCACAATGTTGCAATGTTATCACCAATTCCTCATTGTAGTGTAGATTTGTGTTCATCCATGTATATGTATCAGGAAGTCAAATATATTGGCATATAAATAGCTATATTTAACAGAAGCAGAATTATATACTTCTATAGTTATCATAGCTACAATATCATGAACTCATGAGTTTTCTGATGCTTATATTGATTTGTGTACTACTACACAGTTCAGACCAGAAAATTGGTGGTCCTGAGGTGAAAAATTTGCAGTCCTTCCAAATCCCGCTTGGCGATTCTCAGACTCCACACAGTGGTAAGATGTCGTTCAAGCTCTCTGAAGCATGCTCATACCACTCAAAAAGCTTTCTTTCAGTCCAATAACAAAGAACACTATCCAGAATCAAGACTTATCCTCAAGTGCTACAATGAAGTTTGTCTCACTCAAGAGGTGTGCATTCGCAAAATCCCGAACACAGAGCTCAACATTAGATAAGTAAAAAAACCTTAATACATAGCCACATGAAGTTACGAGCGACACATTTTGAGTTCCTCGCCAGCAGCCTCAAATCATCGTAAAATCATTAGGTGAGTACTGTAAAGGGGGTGTTTTTACTACTGTAGAGTAGGTTTAGATAGTTATTTTAATGAAACACGAGCATGTAAAGACGGTACCTGCTAAATGTCAGATCTTGGATGTGATTTTTGAGAACACGTGAGTGATTAATATCAATATGATGTGTCAATATCGATTTGATGCGTCTCGTCAACGACTCGCATCTCTCTCTCTTAAACCTCATTCATTATGTATTCTACGACTCATCAATTTACACGTTACAACTCATGGTTTGCTTCAGGCAAGGGAACAAGAAAGACGGCAGTCGTCCCAGTGGGCACCGTTTAGCGCTACAATATGCATGAGCATATCTTCCGGGAGCATGAGGAGTATATGGTACCAGGACAGAGAGATGTTGGTTTACCACTGCCCGTAAGTGTTTGGAAGGAGATGAGGCTCATGGACCTGGAGCAGACTGCTTCGTGCATCCCGAAGACTCGTTGGCAGCCTTCCTACACTCCTCCAGACAAGATCGGCAAGGAGAATGTGCCTCTGTTAGTTTCTCATGGTTCCAAACGTGCTGGAGCACAAGCAGGCTCATCCCGTTTATCAAAGAAGGCTCGAACGACCATTCCGACTGCTCCGATTGCTCTTGCTGTACTTAGTGCTTGATTACTTACTTTATGCACCTATTCCAGTCGCATACGTACTCGTTTTCACGCTGCAGCTGTCTGTTTTGCTTTGCGATAGTTGAATTGATTTATTTTGACTTAACATTGTATGACGAACGACTACCTAATATGGCTAAATTACATGATTGGTAATGCTGTCATCACGCTGTCACGGTAGGCGTAGAGGGTACCCAAGTTACGACAGGTTAGTGTCTTGAACTACTCAATCGCACACCTCTTGGTCTCACTCACCACTATGATTATGTCTGCCAGTGTTGGTGGACCATGTGTCCAGACTGGTGACCATACCCATATTTTGATCTCAGACTGCATACTTAGGGATGCTTGCAGAAAAGTATGAGTGCGGATGACTTGCAGATTATAATAGGAACATACTGTTTTTGTTTTTTTTTGTTTGATAGACAACCTTGTTCAGGTTGTTGACACTTGCAATTGTATTGAATGCTGTTCTGTTGTCAATGGAGGTGTAGGTCCCAATGGGTGGTTCACTCGCAAAGAGGAAAGAAAGGGTAAAACTGCTTCTTGCTTGCTGTGTTAATAATATCATAGTGATACACTACTGTGACAGTTGACTCTGTAACTGGAACTGGCTGGTGCTGGGGTAATAGCCTAGGTTGGAAGTTTGGGATACTATCATACAGAAATACCTTGTTAAGGCTCAAGAACGCATTCAAATAAATGTGTGACTTCACGTCTAGCTGTGATACATCAATCCCACATGAGACTGCAGTTATGGGCAACCTGAAAATCTCACCAAATGTCATTGTCATTGCCATCTTCATCAACCGTTTTGGCTTTTCCATATATATACCTTCGACCATCTATCACTGCCAGTAACTGCTAGTACAATAGTGATGACACACCAGGTTTACTGATCCTCTGAGGTTGTGAAGGTGCTCGGTACCTTGTAAGACTGGTCAACCGTCGGCCAGATCGTTAATGACCTCTGTCAACAAAACTGCTTTTCCAATACAAGCACAGAAAATTTACAGTTTTGAAGGCCTGTCCCTTGGTAGCATGATCCGGCAAAACATCTTTGCATGAGATGAAATGATGAACAGACTGGAGACCAACATGAACTTACCTTATGAAACACCTCAAAATGTTCTCCAAAAATGCATTTTTGCACAAGGTGAGACGACAAAGTGGCGTAAGATCAACAGCAACTGATATCTTCGATGTTTGTTCTTCAGGTGACTTTCAACAAAACTTGCTTAGGTAATGTGCAGTCCAACATCCCCTCGTCATCAATTTGATATATTTGCTATTGCTGAAGGTGGGGATAACATGTTCTATTGATGGAAGAGCCATGAAGGTACAGTTTCAGGGATGAGCACACAACTATCCCAGGCCTGCAACAATAGCCACAGCATATGAGTACTGTCAAGGATGAATAAAAATATGTCAGAAACCTCCGTTCTTGAAAATGAATGCAACTTCAATGTAGTGTTCTGATGTCTGTAAGGTCACGAACAGAAGCCATAACTTCAGCAGCGATGGTCTCGTGATCAGATGTGATCAATTTATACTCGCCCTACTTCTGCGCTAGAAAAAGTGCTGTCCTGGCCAATCAACTCCAACACTCGTGAGTCAGACTTGAATTTGTTTGAATAGTCTGGTTTCTCCAGGAGACTCATCGAGCAAATTGTACTTCGGATCCATCATGCTCTGCTCTGCGCAGACAAACAAGGCCTGTAGATCTGTTGAACTGGTGATTCCAGTAAAAATGTATCAGCTAGTCTTTTACAGTGAGTAACACATCTTGAACCCCATTTGCCTCAATCTCATGCCTAATCTTCAACATGCCTCTGTTCAACTTCTAAGACAAATCTATGCAGGCTGGAATTGGAGTCCACAAAACAAGTGGCACTCTTAACTTAGAGTCTGTTCGGACAGTAAAATTTCGCAATTTCCACTTGAAATTTCAGTACAGTACAAACAATTCCAAATAGTTAGAGATATCATGCTGATAACGGGTATCACTGGCAGTATCAATCTCGTATTATGCTACCATTCATCATTGCATCCAGCATCCAGCAGAAATTAGACTGCACCCTGACCCTAATCAAGACCCTCCGGACATGGATGATGCTGAAAGGTCTGATTCTGCCAATGATGGGATGTTAGTACCTATGAATGTGGAGGAAGATGGTGACAATGAATTGGACATTCTTGAGGGGATGTTTTATCACGCTACTCATGCAGTCTCTATGATTGCCATTGATGCGGCTAATCAGGCATATGAAGTTTATTCAAAGGCCTACCTTGAGAAGACACCATATCACACTTCAGCGCTATCAGGAATAGCATGGGTCAAGGAACTTCTCGCCGGTCATCCAGACCGCATATGTTGTGAACTTGGTGTATGCCGACACATTTTCTATGTCCTCCTAAATTTACTTCACACTGTGGGATGTTGGGACTCAAAACATGTCACCCTCGAGGAGCAATTAGCTATCTTTCTTTATGGATGCGATACTGGTCTTTCTGTCCATCACCTCGGTGAGTGCTTTCAACACTCTAACAATACAATATCAAAGTATGTGGTTTCTATCATACCATGCTTATTTAGTGATACATTTCAAAGGTACTTTAAATGCATTCTCATTTCATTCTCGTGCCCCCCCATCTACATAACATATGTCTAGCTACCTGATGCAACAAGTCCAATACCTCCTGAAGTCTCCCAAAATCCGAAGTTTTACCCCTACTTTGCTGATGCCATTGGCGCTATTGATGGCACCCACATCACCTGTCACCCATCAGCTGAACAGTGTCATGGCGCTTGCAATTGCAAAGGCACCTTGACACAAAATTGTCTTGTGGCCTGCTCGTTCAATATGTTCTTCCTCTACATGCTGAGTGGTTGGGAGGGGTCAGCAGCAGATGCATGCATCTATCATGCTGCTCGCATCACAGATCTCAGAATCCCTGCCAGCAAATACTACCTTGCCGATGTTGGATTTGTGTCGTATAATGAGCTTCTTGTCCCATATCGTGGAGTGCGCTACCATTTGGCTGAATGGGGTCGGGCAAATCTAGTGTATGTCATGCTAACAATTATCTGATGTCTACTGTGTGCTACCTTTGTTTTATAGGCCCTGTAACCATAAGGAACTCTTCAACTTACGACACGCCATGCTTCGCAATGTCATCAAGTGTATTTTCAGCGTAATTAAAAACCGCTTCAAGATTCTCCTTCTTCCACCCAACTACATGATGGATGTGCAGGCCCAGATCCCTCCAGCATTGTGCTTTGTGGACAATGTTATTCGCATCCACGATTCAAATGACCTGGAAGACCATCGGGATCTCAACCTCAATCCAGGAGCCTATGATGCCAGTGTACTTGCTGAAGGTCCTCCCAGTGAAGAAGCATGTGTTCATGCACAAACACGTCGTGATATAATTGTGCATCAAATGTGGGTGGATTATAATGTAGAAAGAGAGTGCAGAGGGTTGCCGGTCATAGAAGAAGTGTTTGAGTAGTCCAGTACTTAGTATTTTCAAGTTACTTAATTTTTGTTCTGGTACTGCATGGTCTGCAAAATACTAGTACATTGGCATGTTTGAAAGAGACATTGTGCAAAAATTTCATGCTACTGACTAATTGAAGTATTGTGATAAGTACAACCTGTGGAGCTCATCCTTCTGGATGGAAAGGTACGTATCAGCTATCGCAACATCAGCTTGAATGTGCATCATAACTGCTACCATCTGCATGTCAGTCAAACCCTCCTCCTGCTGCACATGCACAACTGCCCTTTGTTTGTGTACTGGGACAGGATCTACTGAGTGTGCAACATCATGTGACATATGTTCATGCATATGCGACATGCATTCTTGTATTGCACTCATTGCATTATTGAAGGACAACCTAAGACCATGAATCTCATCACTCATGTGGTCAAAGGCATCTGAGATGCCGCAGCACTGCGATTTCGCTGATTTTGATGTTGATGTGCTGCTGACAACTGTCTTGGTGGAGTTAGGAGGGCGGCCCATGGCCTGTGAGTCATCATCATCAGCTATGGCCCTGCGTTTTCCCAGTGTCTTCGACAAACTTGGTGTGGAGGAGGCAGTCGAAGCCTCTGGAAGCCTACTATTTCTGGTAAATAGCATTGGTTGTTCTGAAGGAATGAATCTGATTGGAGAGGGCAGTTCATCTGGCACTGGTGGGACATGAGGGTTTGGATGCTCAATAGCATCAAGCATTGTTACACACTCAAATAGATCTGTTAGGCGGAGCCCTAAGAGGGGCGTCGTCCGCTAACGTTCGTGACGTAACCAGAAGAGTCCGGTATAGCAAGTGAGACTGGCGACGATGAGTCGGCAGTGATCACAGTACGCGCGTGTCACGTGACTTCTAAGACGGATGTCTTTGAAGTCGCTCAAGGTTAGGACAGTCTTGTCCGAACGATGAGGTCGATCGGGGTAGACTTAGTCGTGATGAGCAACTAAGAAAAGATACTAGAGACTGAAGCCAAAGGGGCGTTCAGAGGGAAGTATGTTCCAGGGAAGATTGAGTAGATTCAAGTTAGGGAATCTAGTACAGGGTGACCGACTACTTATACTAAGTGGAGAGGTTTAATGGCAAGGCTACCGCACAGTAGGTAAGGGTAAAGGGGAAACGAGAATGGTATAGGTGCGTTGGCAACAGAGCCGGATTAGTGATGGATGGTCGAATGTGGAATGAGACCGAGAAACGTTGGAACGGACCAACAGTAAGAATACAACGTGCGGGGATCCGCAATCAGAAGGAATCAGAAAAGGAAAGCCACATTGGTGGCACGAGTCAGACCGAGTCATAGGTGCGGGACCACATTGGTGGTTGAATCAAGGGAGGAACGTGTGTGCATGTGCATAGTGTTACGCTGACCGTCGGTCGGCGTGTGCGAACTAGGATAGGTCTTCTCAGCGACGACTCGAGTGAGTCTACTGAAGCTGAGCGTGGTCTGGCCTTGACGGAACGTCAAGGATTCCTCCGGCGATCTCGGTAAGACGGCACTCGTCGAGATGCAGGGCTAGCGGATACGTGCTAAGTCGTATGGGGGCGACTTAGAAGTGCGGTCTCACACAAGGAAGCTGGTAGGCTTAGATGAGCAAGTTCTGGGGATGAACCTAGTAGATTAAAGTAAAGTCTAAGTACAATAATCTGTGTCTACTTATAGGGAAGTACTACAAGTATTCTAGCTCAGTCTGTAATCAATAGTATATCGTAAATCTATGATAGCAAGACATGAGGTTCAGATAAGATACATGAGGCTTAACCTCTGATCAAGCATGCTGTGCCAAGGGCAGCTGCGCATAGGTACAGGAAGCGCCAAGCGCGCTCCGGATCTTCATGAAGCGACATGTGGTATACATGCGCTGATCTAGGGTGTCCATGAGGCGTACAGCCTCCATGGATCAGGTACAAGGCCGTCTAAGCCAGGGGCGGGGTCATAGCGCCAGGGGGCGGGGTCATAGCGGTCCAGACCGCTGTCTTTCTAGGCGCAGGCGGCGTACCGCCGCGCGGGGAGTCTAGCAGAGCAGGGGCAGGCGTAGGGAGAGCTGGGGCTCTAGTAGGTGTTACAGATCCCTGTAACACATAGAGGCAGACGATGCAAGGGACGGGAACGGTCCCAAGGATCCGGTCAATGGAAAGTTGGTAAAGGAGGACAAGCCGGTGTAGAGACTCATGCCTCTCATTGTGCAATATGGCAGTTTTCACTGGGGAGTACATGGCACGAACTTGTAGCATCACTCTGTGTGCTACCCACAGCTATCTCTATATGAGGCGCAGCTTTCCCGCGCAACGCGCGCCATGCGCGCGTACCTTTCCCGCGCTTCACGATGTATATGCGCGCGCGCTTTCCCGCGCTTGAGCGCCCTATAGCGCCAGCCATCCGGAAGCATCCATCCACTGTCCACCAAGTTCCCTAGTGCGTATATTTCCATTTCTCACATTTGCTTATCGTTCCATCTTTATTTGTATCATGGACCCTTACTTACATATATCTTTACATACCTTACTCGGTAGCGCTTCGGCTCCGCATGACAGCGCTTAGGCGCCATACTTAAGCGCCAGCAGTACATACTATGACTTACTCACTTACTCTCCCACCAGAACGACAGAGGACTTACTGGTTACTACCCACTATTTACCTAGCAGAACATAGTAGAAATCTATTTGTTTACACCTCGCATCTCCCTTCTCTTGTCTTACATCATATCATCACCTAAGCAAACTCACTCTTACCCTCTCTTGTTTCCGCATACACGCGCGCGCATTCCTGCGCTTCGCGCATTCTCGCGCCTCGCGCGCACCTGCGCTTTCCCGCGCTTCGCATTGGCCAACCAGTAGCGCTTACAGCGCATACCTCTAGATCCTTGCTGCACTCGCTTCCCCTTTAGGGTCGAACGCACTTGTCGTCTCAAGTATAGCAGACTAGGCAACGCACGACCTTACAACAATTATAGATACAGTCAGGAGCACTGTTCGTGCCTAGCTGTATCGTTGAACCTTCACCGGTAGATGGTGAGGGTGAGGATGAAGGGAAAATGATAGGGGGGCCACGTGACCGATGTTACTTGTAACAAGCATTTTCTCTGATTCCTGACAGGCTCCAAGTCAGTTCAAGCATGAAGGTAACAAGAACCAGCACTCACAAAGTTTGGCGTGACAGTAGTACCAGTCATGGTGGTACTGCAGCTGTGGTCTTTGGCTGGCACTGTGGGCCAAGCAGTAGCATGGTGAGCAACATCCTCCCTTCCCTTTGACGGCAAAGTTCCTTCACCGCATCATAGTGCAGCCATCCCTTATTCTTGTATTGTTTTGCTTGAGGCATACTCTAGACTCGGTAATTAGTTATTGTAGTTGGCACGATGACATTGACATACATTCACAAGTTCTGTCCAGACAGACAGACTCAGATGCATCGGTGATGTTGGCCCCAAGCTCTGGACTGAACTCCAAGCCAGAATAATTGGCCAATCTATCAATGATGTTGAAGGTTAAATGGATCTGAAGGCACATCAGTAAGTACAGGCTGATCATCAGATGTAACCTAAGAACTTACTCGAGACCATTTTGACTGGCATGCTTCAGAAGTCTTCAGGGAGCCTTGGGCAGTCATCATGGCGGCAACAGTAGCCCAAATCGTCTTGTCAAAATTGAGCCCATCTCCACCCTTGGCATGGTGTGTGGCAATGTGTTGAATTAGCCATGTCTCATTCTCCAAAGTCCAGAAACATTGTTCTCTCGTGTCAGGCATGGTTTCCTGATCCTTCTTGCAGCTTGCCACACATCGTATAGCAGAAAGGTACATTATGAGAGCAGGAAGAACGAGTCCGTCGAGTGACTGGCATAATGGTATACTGATAAAGTTCGTCACATCTGTCACACTGTTCCAGGATATTCAGGACGATTATAAATCAAATTCCATCTTCGAAATTTCTCGAAATTTTGCTGTCTGAACAGACTGCTTACTATTTGCTCTGAGCTAGAGACCAGGAAGTGCGTTCTCAAGACACTAAGTCACGTGCAAGTATGACCAATCATGTCTTGAGAATGCTGTGTGCGAGGAATGATAGCTAGATGAGAAGGGGTGAAATGGGAAGAAAGGGAGAAGTGGGGTAAAAACTCAAATAGACCTCTGGATGTGAGTATAGATTCGGCCCGAGGGGATTGCTACTGAGAATGATTCCTCTAAGTAAAAGTGTGAGGGGAAACGTAGAAACTAATAAGGGTAACTGAGACTAAAGGAATACGCGAAAGCCGAGAGCTGAAGCTGATGCGATGCGAGCATGAGTGAGCTGCCGAAAATGCGAGGCGATATGCGCTTAGGCAAAGCGCCAATAAGACATGAGCCAATGCGAGTGCGAGCAGCCACGATGTGATAAAAACGCAGAAACGCGCAGTTTAGTCAAAGGTGAATTGTGAGGAGGTACTGAAGGCGCGAGGGCGGAGCCGAGCGATGATGAGTGCTGAGAGTATTCAACATTATAGATACGTGAGCGCAAGGCAATTGCTGCCGATAGGAGTGCGCGCGCAAGAGAGTGCCGAAGATTTTAAACTTTTAGTCAAGGCTTATAACTTTTGCGTGTAAACGGGTGATAAATTCTGATGGGAGAGAGAAGGTACATGAAAATCCTAAGTATCCGATATATGTATGTGCGCGTAAGCGATATTCAGAGCCAAGTAGGTAGCGAGATGTATGTAAGTAGGGTCCATGACACATTTAATGAGAATATAAATGGAATAGCTTGGGAAATGTTATTAGCTTAGTGGGAATCAAGTAATATACACACCAATGAACCAGCGGAGGATATGGATAGGATGGACGGAGGACGTGCAACGGATCCGAAGAGAAGCCGACGCTAGCCGAAGTGCGTCCGTGAGCCGTGGCCGTCGGCTGACGATATAAGATATGTGTGCTATACCAATGGTAGCGCGTACTGCAATTAGAACCAGAGGGATAACACAAAAAGGCCTTTACGAGGCCGCAAAGACCATAGGTCTTACAACACGCTGTCCTGATATGGCTAACCTAATGTAGGACTAAGACACATTTTGTTCTCAATAGCAATGATGAGAATAACAAGGTTTTTTGGGGGGTTTTGGTTTCTGTTCGCCAAAGGATTTGGCTGTGTCTCTGAATCCTGATGTAATGCATCTCATTGTGAGGTGCCGGAATCTTCACGCGCAGTCAAAGTTCATGTCATGTGACCTACGTATGTCTCGCTGACAAGTGAAGAGAAGATGCGACTGTGCGGGATGAAGATCAACGTACAGAGACGAGAGCAAGCCAATTCTGACAAAACTGAGAACCCTCAAGTGTGAGGTAGATGAGGGAGTTTTTGCCGAGAACACAACACAACCCATAACGAGCAAGGCTCACAATGGTCGTGTTAAAGGGAAAAGCACTTATCCTCATGAAACAGCAACCCCCCGAAATGAGATTGTGAGTAATGAATTCGATTGCAACTACAGTGTGCGGATAACAAAATAACAAAATCTGAAGTCGGCTACTGGTAATGACGGGAAAAGGCATTCATGGAAGAGTTAATCATTGCGATACATGAGTCTGAAAACAAGGAAGTGATGAAGATAGGCAGAATTGAATCGATCTTTCTCCAGTATTTGAGGAAGGCTCTGGACTTCCACCTGCCCTGCATAGTGACAACGTCTGGAGGAGTCCCTCTCAGGAGCAGTTCTGTGGCCCCTCCAGTCCTGAAGCAGTGACCTGTCAATTCGGGAAGTCCGGCACTCTTCCAAATCTCATTGCAGCGATTGAGGAACCATGGACAGATCATGGGAGCCCAGCTCCCATGATCTGTCTTGAACGCGAAGAATGGTGCAGCTTCTGGTACCAAGGCATTAGCCAAAAGATGATGAATGATTGCAGAGATGGGGTTTGATGGATCATCTACACCGGATGCGACTATACTTGCTCCTTCCCCATGTGAGGTTTTGGTCCAAGGGATTTTAAGGATGAGGAGGGGTATGCCAGTTGGGGTGCAACCATGTTGCAAAGGTGCGCTCCTTGAGGCGTGGCGCGAAGGGTTAAACGAATTGGTGGAGTCGATCAACAATTCTCCGAGTCTGGCGTAACAGTATGAGAATTCAATTGATCCAGAAAAACGAATGAATACCTGCAACAGGACCACAATGCCATGGAGGCGACAGCAAGAACGGATGCATCGAATGTGTTGGTAAGGTCAAGAAGGCGAACAAGGGCATGCATGTGCTCCAAGGTGACTGGAGGACGGCGTGGTCTCTTCAATGTCTGTGGGACCACCTTAGCAAGGCCAGAAGTGGCCGTGCGCAGTAGGACCCATCCGTGCCAGGGTGCCCCGTGAATGTTGTGCCAGAAGTGAATACCGGCGAGCCAGTTTTGAACCATGGAACTTGCAACCTTCCTAGCCCATGAGGCGATGAACAAGGCTAGAAGGTGGTTGGGCGCGGGCATGTGTAAGCTCTCCGGAATGTTCCTTGAATCACAATACTGATGAAACCTCAGAAGACCAGCTCCGTAGTTTTCACAAGTCTTAACCTTGATGGAGACTAACATGACGTCAAGAAGCTTCAGAATGTTGTCGAATGGAAGATGTGAAAGGACAGATGTGTGGAAGGATGACGAGTGAGGTGCGGACCAAATACGAACGCGATCGCATGCAAGAACATGAGGACGAAAAATGGAATGTGTCAAGACATTGTTGTTTTTGGGTTTACAAGGCTTAGGTGGTTTGCGAACAGAAGTGGGCGGTTCCCCCACCATGGGTGGTCTTGCCAGAGACTCCATGAGTAAGGCCAAATCATTCGCGATGCCTGCACGAGCTGGCGTCGGAAGGTCTGATTCGCTAAACATAATCCGAAATGTATGCATGGAGCTCCCCTGAAAGCTCGATAGGTGGGAGACGTAGAACAGACAGTCCAACCTCACCGTGAGAGGTTTTATCCGCCTTGTTCCGTTCAGATTCGATGTAGACGAGTGCATGTGAAACATTTGAGGCCATGGCAATAGACTCCACCCTGCGAATGCACAAATTAACTTGAAAGTTTCGACTTCTTCTGTGCCGGAAAGCACCAATGACACCCTGGTTGTCAGAGTGAATAAGTATGGTGGTGTTGCACCATCCGGAGTCGAAAAGTGTCCTCACTGCAAGCTCAACAGCGATGGCTTCAAGCCACCCGATGTCTCTTCCTTGACCCCTCCACCCAGTGCATAATGTCCACGTGTTCCACCTGGTTCCCATGATGAGTCCTATACCCCAGTCTGTCGATGTGTCGACCCACAGGTCCAGGTCGTGTGGTTCTCCCCTTGGGACGAGGTGAAGGGGGGTGATTAAGAACGTCCATCCACCACTTCAAGTCTGAAATGACTGACGAGGGTGGGAAACGAGAAGCGTATTTAGAGGGAAACTCAGCTATGAACGACGACAGGTTTGCCAGGTATGCTTGGCCCTGTGGTATGACGAAGGCAATGTGCGACAAGGTGCCATTAATACTCATGGCGTCTTTACAAGACATGCACCTTCCACTTGCTAAAACATCAAGCAGGATGAAGAGCTTGTCACGATACTTCGTGCGTTTCACATCTGGGAGAGTGACAGAGTGGAGGACCAGGTCCCATAAGAAACCAAGGTATATGAAGATGTAAGCGAAATCGGTGAAGGTACAACTATATAGATGGTGAGTCTGAACAATGTTGGGTCTTGCAGAACCTAGCTGCTATTCAACCCTAAAGGGTTTCTGGACCAGGCTCAAGGCTCAGAGAAGAGGAAATATGATAGGAACTTGCTGAATACTCAGACTCATACTGGTAACTGGTGAAAAGATAACTTGATTATGTAAGCTACAAAGTGCCAACATAAGGTAAGGTAAAGACAGTCTCTCCAAGCCTAGCCAGAAATGAATCCCTACATCGGTCCATTTTTTTGGGGTGCCAAGGCACCCCGAGTGGGCGAGACTTGATGTAGATCTGGTCGAGGCCATGTGTGTAGAAGAACAGGGAGGAAGAACCATCCTCCTGCAGCTTCCCTCCTCCTGTTGAATACCTGAAGAACAAGTGGTCATCTACCCACTTTTTGATAGGATCAAGGTCCATCCTGTGTAAGATGTCAACTGTCGTGTCTGCGACATTTCCTTGAATGCCTCCAGCCATGGAAAGGCCGAAAGGGAACACATGGTCGATGAAGAAACGGCCATCAACCTCGACGACCAGGAAACACTTGTGCAGTGGCCAGACAGGAACAGTTCAGTAAGCAGCCTCTATATTGAGAGTCACTGCTTGTGTCCCTGGGGGAGCTGAAGCCACCTATGAATAAGATGAATGAGCGATGAAGCACAGGATGAAGTGATGAGAAGGGATACGATGAGGATACAACTGCATCCTCATGAATGAATGTGTATGTGAAGGTGTTTGACTAGCACAGGGCCTGAATAATGAATAGGACACCTGACAGAAAATGCTTGAAAGCGACAAGGGAAAGGCCAAGCACGTCTGAGATGAGCACCCAAAGGGGGGTGTAAAAGAGGACTGTAGTGTCCAGCCAGATACGACGAAGAGTCGATAACACCCGAAGGTGAGTAAAAAAGGGAGGACAAAGTGTCCAGTGAATGAAGCTAACAAGGTGTGAACACCCCACCACCCCCATGGAACGATCGGGGTGTGAGCAACAGCCGAAGCTGACCACGTTCATGAAACCGTCCCGTAAAAATGTGGGAGGGTTTGAACGAATAATGAATGAAGCAATGTACAATTTCTGCCACTTGGGCTACTATTCCCCATTCGGTTAGGAAGTCGTCTGAATTAAGGAACCCGTTAACCAAGAATCTGTCTGCATTGTGATATGACAAGTCGCGAACGACCCTAAACTTCCCAGGCTCTCCAGATTTTTCAACCACCCCAAGCAGTGATGAGGCGAAGTGCCCTCCCAAGATAGTGTGAACCTCGTCCTCCGAAAACGGGCCTGACATGCGGCCGAGGGAAACCTCATTGCTGCAATAAGAATGTATAACGTCAAGATGATCAAGAGCTGATTTATGATTCTGAGGCATGTAAGTTTGAGTGAGCGGCGGAATGTCCCCAATGGGAAATCCGTGGCGCATATTGAAAGTCAAGTTTGGGTAAACGTGCAGCAAATTGAAATGGTGCAAGATTTTGTCGTATGCATCAGCGTTGTACGGCGTGATGATGCGGTCGCGAATATCAAAGACAGGACTTCGAAGTGGCTCCGTGGTTCTTGTCTCCACATATGGAACAGATGTGGATGACGTCTGCGGGGTGTTTTGGGGCGAAGCAACGGCCGAGATTGAAGGAGATGCAGATGGGGTTGGAAGAGGACTTGTGAATGAGTTTTCCTTGCCACATGCTAATGACAAGGGTGTCCTTAGCCATGTTGGTGTGGGTGCACCCACTGGCTCTATGCCTGTACCGACCACAGATGATGCAAAGGGTCATGTCGGATACTTGCGACCCTTTGCCCTTCCGAAAGGGCTTGTTATCATTTGAAGTATTCATGGATGACTGGCCTTCTGACTTCCTGGGAGGGTATGGGTTGAAACAATAACTCCCCTTGGCCATGTGTGCTGCCTGTCGCGAGTGACATATTGATTTTGATCTCATTCCAGCGCTGCATGTATGCGCTTGGGTCGCGGAAGGACTGGGCATTGAAGAACTTCCAACGAATTTCGATATCGAAATTCAAGACAGCATTCCAGTCGTCACTGAATTTGTCCCGGTGAAGGTACAACAATTCAGATGGTGAGTCTGAACAATGTTGGGTCTTGCAGAACCTAGCTGCTATTCGACCCTAAAGGGTTTCTGGACCAGGCTCAAGGCTCAGAGAAGAGGAAATATGATAGAAACTTGCTGAATACTCAGACTCATAGTAGAACTGGTGAAAAGGTAACTTCATTATGTAAGCTACAAAGTGCCAACATAAGGTAAGGTAAAGACAGTCTCTCCAAGCCTAGCCAGAAATGAATCCCTACACCGGGAAAGACAAAAGTCACGATGTTCAACAAAATGCCTGATGGTAGCCTCATCAGCGACAATGGCCATCATCTTAAGAAAGTTACTGTAAGCTTCGTAGAAGCAGTCTGCTGGAAGGGTCGACTCCGCTGGGAACGTTGATGTATCCATTACGCTCATTTTGGGATTGTCTAGAACGAGGCCCTTCTTCATCTTGACACAGGATGGGTCAAGATGGATCTTCCTAAGTGACGCGAGGGTAAGAAGTGTGAGAGGAACATGAATCTTCGCCTTAGTGAGGTTAATAATAGGCCTCGGGATTTCAGTTCCTGTGTCTGCTGTCTTCATAATGACAGTATCTGAATCTTTGAACACTAAGGTATTGGTAGTGGAAGTGGAAGTGGAAATAGAAGGTGTCATAACGCTAGAAGACATATTGGTACTAGAAAGCACACCAACGACTCTCTTCGCAGTGTTTGGAGTAAGGGAGTTAAGGAAGCTGAAGGCTCTCGTAATTTTGTTACCCGGGAAAGGTAAAGGTAAAGGTGTGAAGGGTTGTGGGGTAGGCTCATCAAAGAAGGACTCGTCGTCAGAAATCTCTTCAATAAAATCAGGGTCACATTGTTTGGCCTCCCTAGCTGCATTCCTTTTGGAACGTGCTGAGTTCTCCGCCGTGATGGCTTCTTGATCCTCAGGATCGATAGTAACAACTGTACGTCTCCCTACAGAATCCATGACTCAATTAATCTCACCGTCTGACAGAACGCAGTTATTCGCAGAGCTAAACGTGTCAGTACTTTTTCCTCCGGCACCTTTCAGCGGTCCAGGGTTTGAGGTGTCAGTCATGGGAGTATAAGGTATATACGAAAGATTGAGTGAATGTATGCGCTAAACCCTCAACTGAGAAAGACAAGACGGTGAAGATAATGGTAGAAGAAAAGAGATGCGCGTACCACGCGCCACATGTCTTATATTCGCAATTCGCTTAGTAAGCCTATGTTCGAGCTTCTAACTCGCAGGCTCCTTCGAAGCTCGAACTGCACCTTAGCTAAGTTAGTAAAGTTAAGACCAACTTATGTGACGCGCTTGATACAAACCAATGCAAACAAAACATAAGTGCCAAAACATAAAAACTGGCTTCTCTCCAATTTGCTAGACCAGCAGCAACGGTGAGGATGACGTTCTCACCTGTTCGTATCACGAACGTCCCTTCTATCAAAAATGCACCGTTACTTGGTCTAGCGGAAGGCAACGGTTATTTCTCAAATGTTCAACTCGCCGCTCTCGTCCTCGTCATACCATGGGTCATCAAACGCATCCTTCCCTTTGTAAACCGTGGCGGTCTCAAGACATATATCTTCATTCTCGTCATCACAGGTATCCCAATCACAGTCGGTTATTGGACCGTCGCGAGCATTTACGGCCGTCGTAAAAATGTCAAAGTTCTCATGCCTGGTAAAGACCTCGAAGACTACATCACTATCAACGACCCGGAACTCAAGGAAAAATACCACGGCAACACAAAAATCCCAATGCAGGTCTTCCACGACGCGTACTTTGAGGGCAAGATTGACTTTAACGGTAACATTTATTTTTTACGTGTCTGCTATAATGCTCACAAATGCGCACAGGTGACGTGCTGGATATCATGGAAGACCGTCACGATTGGGCAAAAATGGTCATGACGCCTGAACTTTTCAAATACGTCTTCATGAATCTCCTTCCAGAGGTCATCGTTCACTCTCAATCTCAAGACGAAGAACAGGTTCGCGACCACTACGACAGTAAGTTTTCCTCTACTTTTTCAATCACTCTGCTCACTCCAACCATGCAGGAGGCGATGACTTTTACTCGTGGTACATACCCTCCTCAACTCAACGATATTCTTTCTAATACCCTACAGGTTCCTCGGTCCACGCATGATCTACACCTCCGGCGTCATCACGGATGCCAACAAAGACGCATCTCTCGAAGAACTTCAAGACAACAAGCTTCGCCTCGTCTGTTCCAAACTGAACCTGAAACCTGAAGACCGTCTCCTCGACGTCGGTTGCGGCTGGGGTACACTCGCAGCCTACGCGGCAAAAAACTACAAATGCGACGTTACAGGCATCACCCTCGGCAAAAACCAGACCAAGTTCGGTAATGAGCGCATCAAGACCAACGGTGTTACCCCTGACAAGGCTCGTATCCTATGCATGGACTATAGGGATATCCCAGGCGGCCCAGGGCACTTTACTAAGATCGTCTCTCTTGAGATGGCGGAGGTAAGCACTACGTACTCTTAATATCTCCATGTCTAACGTTCAATAGCACGTCGGAATTAGGCGGTACGGTTCATTTATGCGTCAAATGTACGACCTCCTCGAAGACGACGGCATCTTCGTCCTCCAAGTCGCCGGTCTCCGTCCTTCGTGGCAATACGAGGACCTCATCTGGTAGGTGTAGTTGTTGTCTGGCATGTCATACGCTAACACCACGCAGGGGTCTCTTCATGAATAAATACATATTCCCTGGCGCGGACGCTTCTTGCTCTCTCGGCTGGGTCATCAACCAAGTCGAAGCCGCCGGGTTTGAAGTGAAGAATATTGATGTTTTGGGCGTACATTATAGCGCTACTATCTGGAGGTGGTATTTGAACTGGGTTAGCAACCGCAAGGAGGTGTGTCCGTTTCCCCCCCCCCCCTCCCTCTTGTCCTGCCCATCTTCCCTATACCCAGGCGATGCTGACGTGACGTGTTCTAGGTCGTAGACAAATACGGCGAACGCTGGTACCGAATCTGGGTCTTCTTCCTGGCCTACAGCATCATCATTTCCCGCCAAGGTAGTTTCAGTGTCTTCCAACTCACCTTACACAAGAACCTCAATGCCTACCACCGGGTTCTGGGCGTTGAGAATCACTGGAGTTTGCAGGTGCGCGATGGGAGAGATGCTGAGATTAGGTGAGTTTTTTCTAGGTTGGATATGCTTTGTTGAACTAGACTGACGTGCGCATCGGAAGCTTGGTGGAGTGATTAGACTTGAAAAATTACATGCATATACGCACGGACGATGCGCGAGGCGCTATATACCACTTGCTTGAATTAATGTCTTGGTCGTAGAATATACCGACTTATTTGGAGCCTAGGCGTGCCCTCCTTTGTGGATATTTGAATGCTACCCTACACAGTACTGTTCAGAATATAGGCGCATACATGAAATGAATGACGCCGCGATTAATTATAAGGCGCTAGCATTTATTTGCCTACGGTCACAAGGTTGACTCCGCGTAAGCAATTTGCATGACTCCCATGTAGCTGAGCTCCACCGCCAGTGGCAGAAGTCTCCATCAATGGCAATTGCCGACAGTAGGATGCACCATATACCGTATAAGCTTTATCTTTGCCATCATCCAAGTACTTTCCTGCTGTTCGCTTGTTATCAACTGCGGAGGATTAGCGCTCCGTTTCTCTTGGCACCATATGTCGCTCTCACCGGTAGTACTGATGTCACCGGCAGCTCCTTTCGTCTCGGACTTCCTACTAATATGTTCTCTTCAACATAGTTTCACCTCAGCGTCGTTGTCACGTCTCGCTAAGATCTTGTCCTAGCTTCTACACGTTCCATTAGCAGGGCTGCCCCTACACTAGCGGTTCCCGCACCTGTGGCGAAAAAGGAAATCCCCTTCGGACGTTATTTGACAGCAATATCGAAAACAGAACGTCGTTGATATATGGTGCGCACAGGTGAGTCCAGTCATCACTCCAACTGCAGAATTGAGCCAGGGTCTGACCGGGATTGTCGGCTTTTTCAAATTGGTTTTGCCGTAGAAAGGTGTATGACACGTAGTGGAAGCATAGTACGAAGGGCCGATAGTGTTTGAAAAACTCGTACGAGTTACAGGAAGTCTCCCTAGTGTTCTGTTGGTTTACTTTTTCATTACACTGCGCGGTACTGAAATTTCGTGAATCTCATTAGAATCGCGTACAGCTGTGAGATTGATTATTACAAGCTTCGCTCCTACTGAAGAAAAGTTGAGTTGGTCGGCACCAAGTCGGCACAAGTCAAAACCTGAGGCTCTGATCAAAGTTGCTCCAAACACCGTAATCTTTCTGGCTAGCAAATATTATGAGTCTTTTGCTATTGCGAACAGTACCAGTCGAATTGAGCTACACCAAATGTGGCTTGTTCAGAACAGGTTTTGACTTTTCATCATACTGCGCAGTACCGAAATTTCATGAATCTCAATATTAGAATCGCATACAGCTATGAGATTTATTATTACGAACTGGTTACATAATTCAAGTTAATGAAAGGAATATCTTGTAACGGATGGAATCTACTCACTGATATGCCCCGCAAGATTGCTACTCCCGTCGGCCTGCTTCCACTCTACATCCTGCTCAGCATGAATACGTACCCACCTTACTCGGACACAATTCATCCCCATCCTGGTATGCGCCGTCGCTCTGATAACCGCAAGCGTGTCAAATGAAAGTAATGAGGTGCACAGCATCTAACAAGCACGTACCGAATACTCGCAGGTCACCTTAATGCCCAGCTTAGTATTAGTGTAACTGCCGGCTCATCGGTCAGTTTGGTTGACGAAGATTGTCAGGGTACGACGTACGAGCAAAGCGTGTACCCGCTGGTCTCAACGGTGCTGTTGGCTAGCGTGTAGACCGCCACACCTTCAATGTCCACGGTATCTTGGCACATTGCACATGTCCCGTTGGCGTTGGCACCAGCGAGGAAGGCGAACAGCGCAAGGACGGCGAAGCGGGAAGTGAACATAATGGGACTTGTTGCAGTGAAGGACGTCAAGCCATAAGATGCAAGTATCTTATAGGCTGAAATTACTGGGGCCGTCGCAATTTGTGAGACTTCCGCTTCGCCTTAGCTTCAGGCGCACACGTAACCTTGAAGCAGAAGGCCTAAGGTTCAAGTTCTGTACTTGAGCGAAAATAATCAGAACCCTCCAAACTAAAGAACTGTGAAGTCACTCTCACGAAATAGAGGTCGCAAGAGCAACATCGAGGGCTAGATGCCGTCCTATGCCATATGCTATGTAGCATGAAAAATGTTAAACAGTGCGGGCAAGGGATGCCCGTGGGGCTCGGGCTTCCTGTCGTGTCCCAGTGCTATGTAGACTCTTGAATAGAAGGAAGACAGTCGTTCCTTCCATGAACTTGAGCACTTGAGCTTGAGCTTTGTGGGGTACGTCAGTCAATCAAACTCATTTCATCGATGACAAAGTATTGATGTAAGAAGCAGTCTAAACGTTAACGTTACATATGCATCAATACTTACATAAAATATGGGCGAAGTATGAAAACATACCTAGTCATTATAACGACATTCTCCTCAGAAATATCAGCACGTACTTATGGCAGCTCTCGCAAGACAATTGGATTCTGGAACCAATCACAATTTGACAGCTATCCAACAACCGTGTTTCTCGAACATGAGTCCGCACGACGACACTTATTAGCAGATCTACATAACTTAGAACAGCTAGTAAAGTTTGCAAGCTTGGATTCTAGTCCACTGAGTCGCTACTGAGTGCTAACCAATTGTAGCGTGAGTTCGTCATTTGAATGTTATTATCTTTTTGCTGTTGAAGTTCCTCGTAGGCTATTAGCTACACCTCTATTATATGGGGTACTATGTCCGAGTCCTTTCCCCCAATCTCGCAGTATCGTTTGACTCTTTTCTGCTCAGTCTGCACAGTCCATGTTGTGGCGAATGATGTCCCCACAAGCCTATGATGGGCCCTCGGCTCGAGGTATGCATGCAATCATATATTCTATCGGTTCCTATTTGGATCCATGGCCAAACAATTTGTGACAGTGTGGGGTGTTGCAAGTGTTCACGTGCCAGGAAACCGGATACACGGACTCGGCGAGTTGGGACTTTCACCTCGAGCGAGACCTGCACTCAGATAATGACATTAATGTAGCCTGGTAGAGAGCGATCTCTCACAGTTTTCTGTCCACAATGCCTCAATTATTGCACAAACAACAGCGAATGAATACAGGAGGAGAACCAAGTGTCACATCCAACAACTTCATCCATTCATCCGTCCACCGACGTCAAGGAGTATCATGCAAGTCCCTGTGCTACACGTGTTCGACATTATGCATCATGTCAGACAAAAACTCAGAAACGCCTACTGGGGGACGTGAAGGATTACCTCCAGTCGGATTCACCGACCCCGAGGCGGGGACACATATCTGCGTAGATTATAAGTGTAATAGCTATATATAACGCCTTCGAGGCGACCTACATAATCAACACAACAACCAGAGCAACAGTCCTGGTCCTCCGCGCAGACCTCTGAGTTCCCGCCGCTAGTGCATCTGGTCGTGGTAAATGCTGGGGAAGCTGAGGCGTTGACACCCATAAAGGTGGAACAGGCAAGGATGATCAGATAAGAAGGCTGCATGACAATAGAGGTTTTCTGGGTAGGAGTGAAAAGACAAGTTGAGCGAGAATATGTAGTGGCTTTATACCTTGAAAGACAGACTTTTATTGGATTGTCGGACGTACAGGAATTCCATGTGCGCCACTGCGCCGGGCAGGGAGGGGCGGTCGACCATGTAGGCAAATGTCGATGGTTCTAGTAAACTATCCGAATGACGGTTGACGTTGACTTGGTTGACTGGTGATCGATACCGTGATAGTCCAACCATGTGCAGATCAGTAATAAGTGAGTGACCCTGCCATTCAAGTTGTACATGTAAGGATTGGAGTGCCAGGTTGTTGTAAATGGCAATACAATACATACTAATTAAGCTTACCATAGCGAGTTTGGGCTACTCAAATGTCGTTTCCTTGTATCCTTGAAACATATTTTGTCCGTGACATTCCTGGAAAAGAAAACAGCTCAGACTGCATGACGATCCTGGATTCGCCTTTGGTTTGACGTCTCAGGATGGATATATATCAAAGATGAGATAAGTCTATGGCGTTCCATGGACTTGTGGTGGGCGCTCTTGGGCGCTCCGGAGTCTCAGGCTAGGCATCAAAACTGTCCCGACGCGTTTAGTGTGTCTATTTCTACAGTCTCCAATGACAAACGTTAATCATCGGGGACGATGATGGGGGGTCTCCGCTCGCACTAGCTTCCCAAGAATTGCAAGGTGTTGCATAACAGAGTGCGATTCTGCCAACTTCTTCCTCCCATCCGCATGTACTCACGAGTCACCATCACCAAGTAGCCATGAATCGAATCCACCGCATCTCAGATCTGCTCGTACTGGTAAATCTAATACTCCTCAAAGTGCTATAGAAGAAACAGTCAGCTTCTCCCGTCGATCCGCCTCCGTCCCATGCTACACTGAGAACTGTTTGCAACTGATTCACCCACACGAATCACTCCGCTATGGGGTGCCACATAAACCCGAGCTCGACCTACATTTCCAAATATTCTTTCGATCCAGGCTACCCATTCATTTTGCAATATGACACTGCCTCAAAGAGTTAGCCCGCCTCACCGTCCACAGCGCTCATTCTATCCCACACTGGCAAGCTCGACCACCTTTGGTACAGTGCCTAGCGGATATGCTATCGGGTGTGACGATAGTTGTGAAAAACGACAGCTATACCTCACCCAATAGGCATACATTTAGACTGGCGAAGTCATACTTTTCGCACAGCCCCATTTATTATCCTTTGGGGATGCTGGTCAAGTGGCGGTGATGTGTAACTTGGGGGCAGTTTCGCAGGTATTGTTCGTGGGTGTTTTGGTGAGGGTATGGTGGCGCACGACGTAGTACCGCCATGAGGTGAAAGAAGGGTGGAATAAGTGAGATGGATATATTCGAAATGTTACGCTACCTGATGCCAGAAGCTACTATACCCTACGCATGTGCTTCAACTCCCCCTGGACCTCGTGCAAGTGAGCTCAGAAATATGCACGTGTGTATCATTTTAGTTTCTATTCTGTCACTATTCATTCTTCCAAATAGTGAATGGACGGGCTCGCCCAAGTTTGAATTTGAGATGCTGACTGACAGGCCTGGACGAGCACTCATTGTCTCGATATGCTCGATGCGATTGATTGGTCCAGGCGAAACACGTAGTATGAAGAGAATTCTTGACGCAGACGAAATCTACTGATATACCCAACTTTCTGCAGACCAATGTTGCACCCCTCGTCGAGCTCATTCCACATCACATCCTGCTTAGCATCCATACCCATCCATCCTTGACCATTTGGGACACAGTGAATCTCCATCCACCAACGTACCGACATTCTGATGACCACCAGCGTGTCAAGCGAGAACAACGAGCTGTACAACATCCAGAAATCACGTACCGCATACTCGCAGGTCACCTCGTCGTCCTGGTCATTCATGTAGCTGCCGGACCGTTAGTCACCCTTCTCGATGAAGATGTGAGCGTGACTTACCTGCACTCCGTGAACCCGTTTTCAGACTTCACGTAGGTGTCGACCAGCACGTAGGCCGCTACACCATCGTCATACAACGTTTCTTCGCACGTTGCGCATCCCGCGTTGGCACCAGCGAGGAGGGTGAGCAGGGCAAGTATGGTGAAGCGGGAAGTAAACATCATGAAGCTTGTTGCAGTGAGCAATGCAAGGCCGTAGTGTGCATGCAGGTATTTTATAGGCAGATGGCCTCACGATTTGCGAGATTTTCGCTTCGCTTCGGGTTGTTATATGTTACTCGCTCCGCTTCTACCAAAAAAAAAGTTGAGTTGGTCGGCACAAGTCAAACCTGTTCTGAACAAGCTAAAAGGCATTTAGTGTACATCGCGGTTGATTTTTGAAGATAGTGAAGTCACAACAGTACTGAGTGGTAAGTACTAGCACGTTGGTTTGGCAAATAATATGGTTACAGTGCAGATATACTTACATGATGTAGCTCAATTGGACTAGTACTGTCACGGTTCGCAGGAGCAAAAGACTTGTAAGTTTCGCTGGCCAGAAAGAAGTTTAATGCTTACGATGAGCTTACGGCGTTGAAGCAATGCGATTGGTGGAACAGACGTGGTATTATAATACATAGTAGTAATATATGCATAATGGCCGCCGCCTTTGCTCAGGGGGATCCGATGAGGCTAGCTCGCTAAAGCGTCCGGTAAAAAAAATCAGCTAAACGTTCTCCTACTACTACTATATCACTCGGACCCTACTCGGTTCTTTCGAGTTTCCCCAAACCTTGTAGGGCCTGCACAGACAAATTCTTGGAGCTCGTACGAATGAACTCAGATGTGTACGTGTGTCACTTTCAGTTTTTTCTGGTTATTGTTCTCTCACAAAGTGTTCCCAAGAATGATCAACTTGCCCAAGTTTGAATTTGAGAGACTGACAGGTCGAGATGAACACCCACTGTCTCGCGATGCTCAAGACAATCGATTGTCACAAACTGGTCAATGCAACACAAGCATGAAGAGAATTTTGTCGCAGACGAAATCTACTGATATACCCAACTTTCTGCAGACCAATATTCCTCCTCTCGTCGGGCTCATTCCGCATCACATCCTGCTTTTAGCAATCAGGGTCATTCTTCTTTGAAAATTTCGGACACTTTGAATCCCCATCCGCTACTAGCCAACCGTCATCCTGATGGCCATCCAACGTGTCAAACGAGAACGATGAGTTGCTCAGTGTCCAGGAATCACGTACCTTATACTCGCAGGTCACCGAGTCACCTTTCTTATCCATATAACTGCCAGACCATCAATCACTTTTCTCGATGAAGATGTGAGTATGGCTTACCCGCACTCTGTGTACCCGTTTTCGGACTTCTCATAGTTGCTGACTAGCTCGTAGGTCGTTGCACCATCGACTCCGTACAACGTTTTTTCACACGCTGTGCATCCTGCGTTGACGCCAACGAGGAAGGTGAGCAGGGCAAAAATAGTGAGACGGGAAGTGAATATCATGGAGCTTGTTGCAGTGAGCAATGCAAAGCCATAGCGTGCAGGTGTTTTATAGGCAGATACTCGCGATTTTCGCTTCTCCTCGGGCTATTAGCTGTTGCTTCGCTTCTAGCCTTTTACTAAGACATTCGATTCTAAAGAAGAGTCAAAACCTGTTTTGAACAAGCCACCTTTCAAAGATGCACTGCTACTGTGTAGCTCACTGGGATGGTTTAGTAAACGCTCGCCTTAATTTACATTTCACCTACGGCGGTTGTGCCATACTGTTATGAGGAGACACATCGGCAAAACTTTCGCTTGTCCGAAAGAGGTTTGATGTTCATGTGAGCTTACGGTGTTGGTGATCTCAGAACAACGCGATTGGTGGAACAGACTTATTCGTCGAAGTAGGAACCATGACATATATCGCTTGAGCGGAAGCAAATTATCTCGAGAAGAGACGTCATAAATTCGAGATGAGAGGCAAGCGACACGAGGAACGGAGCTAGTAGAAAACAACATATATCTTAGTCTCAGGAAAGAACACAAATTATGTACCTAGTAGAAAACAATATATCTACTGCTTGTTAACAAATAAGAATGACATGATAACGAGGGCTCACATCTCAGTACTCAGTCTCGGGGAAGAACTGAGATGTTCGTACGGCTCTATTCGTAGTATGCTTGTTAGCTTAGGCACGAAAAATATACGTATCAAAGGAAAGAAAAATATCAATATGCAAGAGCTCGAGCCAACGTCAAAACGTCGCCCGTTTGTCCTACATTTGGTTTGCGCTCGCATAGCCTCACTCTTCAGATCTCGGATCGTTTGGACTCTGACATAAATTTGGCTGTTATAAGTTATATTCTGACTCATTCGTGTCTTCATATGACGTACCATCTGTTACGGTCTATTCGTGATCGACCTACATTTCGTGAGTCACAGAGTCAGACGGAGTAGTGGGATGTCTGTGGTGATCCTGCATCTAGGATAACGAAGTTCAGGCTTGAAGCTGAAGCTTGAATTCCCTGTGAGACAATTAATCCCCATACGAGCAGATACCCATTGTTTCGCGTACTCCGAATTGCAGCGACTGCCTTGCATCACATTCCCTGTCAGCATCGGAAGTCAGACAGTGGTCATTCATGGACGAATATTAGAAAAGTCTCGTGACTCGGTGCGTTTCTCGTAACGTGATCAATGACTCCGGTCATTGGTCAACCAGTCACATCATGATATACTGTTGCTCAGAAGATCTGCTGCAAAACATTATACGACAGCAATGCGATAACCAAAATTTACAAGCTGGTAAACGGAGAAAAGCAGATAGATATTATCGTGACCCACTGGGATTGCGCAATAGCTCTCATTCTCCAATTTCATTCCACCGTCGTCATGAGCTACATCAAAGCAGACAGCATCGTCATCATGTATCCTGAATGGATTTACGACAGAAAGCCTGAGAGTTTCGTACATTTGCGCCTTTACATGGGAGGCAAAACAAACCCACGCACCATCGAGGCACTGATAAAGTACACAGAGCGTGGATTCAAATTGTATGCGGAGCCCTTCAAGTTGTGAGAGCATGACTGCACCAAAATCATATATTGCTACATGAACCACACGCGGCAAACACATGTTTCACTGGAACATGGACAGTGGACATTATGACCATGGGAGTGGCGAGGATAGTTTGCACGGACATGTCAATCGTGGTATTGGGTCACGGATGCATCGGGGGAACCTGGAAGTAACAGAAAGTCGAACTACACTTCGGTCGCAGTATGACGCGAAACAAAATATGGACATAACAGTTAAAAGAGACAAGAAGGTCGGAAGTGGTACATATGACGAATCTGCCCAAATTGGGTGATGATTAATATTTGTAAGAATGGCAAGTACCGAGAAGCCTTACGATTCGGTAGGGTATGCGTAGGTCTGGGTGTAATTAAGCTGTGAGTTCATGAAGCCATAAATTTACAAGAGCTATCATCAAAACAAGACTGAGTTTCGGAATTGATCGGAAGGTTTTGCCACCAAGAAAGGCCGTCCGCTTGTTTTTCAACTTGTCAACTCGTTCCAGGAGCCTGAAATTGTCGTTGATCATGAGGGGGTATGCACCATCTTGCTTTAGGGAGACTGATGATTTTCATGTTCTGTCGAGTTCAAACTAAGTTACATCTCCACGTGATGTCTGGAGTTCTGCCAATAACTCTGGAGTCTGGACTCGTCACTCTATGAAATTTCGATGCGAGCCTGACAACAGCGAGTTCTCATAGAGCCACGTCTGCAGATATCGCGTTGCCACGGTGTTGTTCCGAGCTATCGGACGTACAGCAGATGCATGTTTTTAGGCTAACCGCCCTTTACTACCTATGTATAAAAGCGAAGCGATAACTTCCAGTTCAATACTACCTGATAACATTATCCAGATCCATCCTCAAGTGCAACATTGAATGAAGTTCATCTCACTCACCACTATGATTAGTATGTCTGCCGCAGTACTGGCGGACATCCTGACAGACCCCAGCGGGGGGCCATGCGCCCAGCCAGGTGAATATCTTTAGCATACCCGTGTTATGATCTCAAGCCACATACTTATGGGTGCTTGCAGGAAAGCTTGAGTGCGGAACACTCACGGGTTATAACGATGGCCTGCCGTTTATATTTTGGTGCTTGCCAACTACCCAGACTATCGTAGTCTTGGGCGATTGCTCCTGTCCTTCATGCTGTACTGTCATCAAAGGAGGTATGGGTCCCGGATCGTACTCCTCTTGCACATAAGAGGCATGCTTCTTGCTTGCCGTGTCAAATAGTGTCATAGTGATACGTTAACACCGGAGTAGGACAACCAAGACATGTGAGGAGGACAATGAAACGATGATACATACCTTTCTCCGACACAGTTTGCGGTGTCCAACCTTTACTAAATAACGTCAGTCGAATCGTAACATGGTTTTTGAAAGATGGAGAGCCGATCTATTTCACTACACACTCCTTTTGACACAATCAATCAACAGCGAATAAACACATGTGACACCACAAAGAACCTATGTATACTAGGGCCGGGAAGCACTTTGCTTGCCTCGAGGACGCAGAGATAGATTGTAAGTGGCAGCATATTTCTGCAGCACATCCTGGAAAGTTCAAAGAGAGGAATAATAAAGGTGATGTGAGTAAGAAACTCGGCCGGAATGCCGAGAATATTAGCAGTACTTGCTTCGAACAATTCCATCATGGTTAAACTTGAAGTTGGTTTGGCTGTTAAATCGTCTTTCCGGTATAAGATATTAAATAGGGATATAATAGCAAGGAGATTCGAACGGCTTTAGTTGCGACCGCAGAAGACTCCGTCTGTGATGTAGTAGCATTCAATTTCAGAACTGCGAACCCAAACCATTTGTTTCGAGGAGATAGCCGACATCATTTTTCTTTATTCAGTGCTGTATTTGATTGACAGACGAAGTAACTTCCATGACCTTGCGAGCAAGGTGATGACCCAACGAAGGAGAACCAAGTGTCACATCCAACAACTTCATCCATTCATATGTCCTATCGACGTCAAGGACTCGAAGTATCATGCAAGACCCTGTGTTACATGTTCAACATCATGTATCATGTCAGACAAAAACTCAGAAACACTTACCGCAAGACGGGAAGGACACCCGCCACAATTCACCAACCCTCAGCAAGGCACACATACCTGTGCAAGTCATCAGTACCAATGGCTACACATAAGCCGCCTTCGAGGCCACCTACATAACCAACACAACAACCAGAGCAACAGTCCCAATCCTCCGTGCAGACTTCCAAGTTTCCGCTGCTAGTGCATTTGGTAGTAAATGCCGGGGGAGCTGAGGCGTTGACGCCCATCAAGACGGAACAAGCAAGGATAATCAAATAAGAAAACTGCATGTCAATAGAGGTTTGCTGGGTAGGAGTGAAAAGACAGCAACTTGAGCGAGAGGGTGTAGGGATTTTATACACGGGCAGAAGGATTTTACAAGTCTTATGTCGGATTGATATATAGAAATTCCGCGTACGCCTGACATGACGGGCCGATCCTACAGGCGAACGTGTCAATAGTGCTAGTGAAGAGGATCAGCGCATTCTGGGGCATCTTGACCTGAATTGCGACGAAGAAATCGATTGCTGCCTTCAATCAGTGCATCAGTGCACGAATAATTGTGTGATCCGAGAGTGCAATGATAGAACTGGAAATCCTTCATCGAGTGAATTGTGTGAGCCCCTAGGTAACGGTTTGCCTCTGATCATGTTCGAGAAAGGCCCGAACCAAAACGCTCATATCATTGGGTTCACATGAGGCTCTGCAGGGTACAATATTGCATCCAGCTTTTGCTACTGTACGCAAAAAATGTCAGAAGATTCCTGCTTATTCAAAACATTGCGACGTGCCTTGATGCTTTCGGAAACACAACCATCCGAATAACAGTTAACCAGTGACCGGTACCCTGGTCCAACCATGTGCTGATCAGCAAGAAGACTGACCTTATTGCGAGGATTGGGGTGCCGGGTTGCCGTAAATGGGGATACAACAGACATACGATGCGAATGTGAGCGTCTTCACTCGAATGTCGTTTCCTTCTTGGGGGTTACATTCTTGAAATATACATATAAATTCCGAGATTTCACAAGAGCATGTAAGGTAGGAGCACAATATGACATATCGGAAATAAATCTAGGATGAGGTAAATATGATTGTGTTCATGTCGGCAAGGGAAAAGACCCAGGAATTGTACGACGACGCTCTGGGTGATGGTAATATGTACCATGCCGTCGCTTGCTGGGCGAAGCAAGGGGTGTGGACAGTGATTGACCGTTTGTAGGTAACAAATTTTCTTGAGATGCGTTGCTCGGGGTGTGGACTGCCTCAGGCGTCGGACTCATAGTCCCGTAATCATCGTCGGAGTCGTCGTCCATCAACCAATCACCATCTTCCGGCAACATGATAACACCGGAAGCAGGATCGAAGCTCAGGCGGTGATTGAGGTTGCTATGCGGTTGGGATCCTCGTGCCGTGCGTGTGTCCACCCATGGGTTCGAAGGTCCAGCCCGATCTGGAGAGCGAACACCATCCTGGTTCTCAGAGGCACTCATGTCGGTAAGAGTGCCATCAGTAGCGGGACGAGATTGCCGCGATGCTCGAATCTTTCCTCGTAGCATGGTGTAGCGGTTACGTAGGTTGAGAACGATGCCTTGGTTGACATATGGAGACGCTCTTGATCCTCCCGCACGGTGCCCATTGACAAGGGTTTGCCCTTTCTTCAACGGAAGCCAAGGCTCAGGAAGCACACCAGTTAGAGCAGGATGCCCGTATCTTCGTTTGCCGGTGCTACATAAGGGATGAATACATGGCAATTAATCGAAACAAAACAACTCACTTCAACACGCCTTTATACCAATTAGCCATAGGTGGTTGTGACTGAAAGAGAAGTAGGTCAGACGTTCCTTCCGCATATCATATTTCCTACATAGTCTGTCCGCTCATCTTCTGGAGCAACATAGAGCATGTCGTCATTTTGTGCGTATCTCCGGCGCATCAAATTGCTGAAAGTAACTCTGCATTAGGGTCCAACAGAAAAATTATAGACCTTACCTCTGCGACCACGTCACTGGATGTCCCTCCCGCAACCTCACTACATCTGCTGAATCTTCGCCACGCTCTACCTCGCACACAGAACTGAGACACACTGCGCTGCTGAGAGGCTTGAAGGTTTCATAGATGTACCAGGACCAGATTGCGGTACCTGCAAGCAGCGGAAGAAGAAGAGAAGACATGATATAACATTGCCGCAAGGTCAAGATACCGATCATAAACGTCTGGAAGATGATTATGCCCCAAATGAGCCTGACAAACGTGAGGGGCCATGCTTGGCCCTGAGATTCGTAGGGCTTATAAAACACTGAACCAGCGAGCTCAGAAACGTTTCAGCAAAAGAGAGCTTGAATCTACTCACCAAACAACAACTTGTACTTGTACACGACGTAGGCCATTCCAAAATAGATTGCGCCGAAGATAACGATCAAGGGCTGGACGACGCTGTACAGAATGGTGACAACAAAAACAAGAATCGCTTGAGGGTATACGACACCATAGTTGATCATGGGAGGGGCATTCAACTCAGCGAAATCTGCTCAGACCAAGGATTAGATTTACCATCAACATGCGGTAGTGCTTACCTCGAGGTGTACGAGTCCTGAACATGCGTGAGACCATCCGGGGTATTATCACCCCCAGATTGAGCAACTGGAGCGGCATGATACCAAAGCCTGTCGTTCTAATTCAGCACTCTCAAGTACAACTAAGATGGTGTACCCACCTTGAAGTATAACATACGAAAGGAAAAAGTGCCTAAAAGACGTGCCTAGATAAAAAGCTGCGGATTACAAAGATGCTGCCACTTACTTTGCCCTTCCTTGTTGGAGCGCTGTAGCTAGCTTTTCTGGGATCTTCGCAGGCGAGTGGGCGAGATCGCGCACCAACTGCCAGTACGTGCTTGCCATAAGGAAGATGAACACCACATTGATGAGAAGGAACAAGAAGTATCTTTCGAAGTCTTAGAAGTGGATTTTCTGCAATGGAAATGAACTGACTTTCGCATCAGAGAGTATTCAATCAAGCTTCGTGCTCTATACCCCTGAGTATATGTCAAAGCTAGTAATGCTAATCGTAAGCTGAGCCAGATGTCTGGTAAGACAACACACCTTCAAGGATAAAAGGTAGAAGTGCGTTCAGCGTAATGATGGCGACGGACGGCAATGAATTCTGTACGATGGCACGTATTCTGTCGTTGCCGTCGATGAGTCTGCCAAGCCAAGGCATCACCTTCTTGATCTCCTTGTAACTCAGCAGACTCGCAAGCGCGGTGATCGGGAATATCCAGAAGAATAGCAGTAGTAATACACAACCGATTACAAACATCTCACGAGCCAAAAGGTTTCCTGGAGTGTGAGTAATATTCGACCAAACGATATCTCGCGGTTCAGGGGCTGGGCTGGTTTTTACTTCCCCTGGGTCACATGAATGTGCCACTTGCACAGCAATTTGCTATAGAGCAATTAGCGAAGGGCTATCGGCATCAATAGACTCGACGCTTACTGCACTAGACATCTTCTCGAACGTGACGAAGGCGACTTGCGTTGCCTTTGTTTTCCCGATACGACGCCACCTCTTGACTTTCTCGTCGGCCTCCGTAAACTTTGTCTCGAGGTACTCAAGTGCATCAACTTTTCTGGAGAACCACCCTGGTCTTATGACAGGACGCTGGCGATGGGGTACGACGAAACGTCCCTGCTGATTTTCTAGTAGCGATGGCTCTCTATCCGAGAAGGGGGGGATTACGTTCTCGGACGGGTCGTAGGATTCCACCACGCTTGGATTTCCTACGTAATTCGTCCATGCACTCTCCAACTTCAGTAATGCTTTTGTCCTAAGGTCAAGAAGGGCTTTCAGGGTACCGACTTCCCTGCAGACCGTCACGCTTTCAACGCTGAGCCCCATGTTTTCAAAGTACTCAGCGAGAGCCCGCTCGGACCGAAGATGGTTGGGCAGATTAGTCACGATAACAGTCCTTCCGGGAATAGAATGAGCCAGTTCGAGGGAGAACAACTGACGTGAGCGAATGAAGCGACGATAGTTCCTATAAAGGAACCGCAACGCCAGGAAGGTGAAAAGGTACGTGAAGAGAAAATGAATCGTCAGATATGAGTTAGCATCGCTGATGAGGTCGAGCCACTCCCGTCCAGGTGCCATTGGGTCATCATCAGAACTGGTGGTGACCCATCCCGGCCAATCGTTGTCGTCTTCATCAGTGCCTCCTCCGAGGCCGATATTGTGCTGCGAGCAATATGAGCCGGTGTTTCTTAGACATGCGGAAATACGTACATTCAAATTAATGGGCATAAGGATCGTAACAGCGAATAAAGAACAAACGGAAAAAAGGTAAAAGGAAGTCTTGAAAAAGCTGAGGAGCTGTTTTTACACGTGAGTGATATCTTTGCATATGCAATGTGCAGCAAACTTGCCACTGCAGCATCCAATCCAACAATTTGCAGTACAGTATACTCAGACACTTTCATAGTTGGAACAATCCATCCAAAAAACGCCTGGTGAGCATGTGCCTCGTGCGGGGAGAAGTCTGAAGGAGATCAATTCTACTACTACCCAGCAAGAACGTAACAACATACCTTTCAGCATCGTTCTTGGTGCAAATAGCAATGGCCATCGCTTGCGACAGTACGAGAAAATCAGGAAAGATGAGAGTCCTATGGCGGAAGAGAGTAAGATTTGTGTCGTAAACCATGGACCCTCGAACTTGACTACAGGTAGTAATAGTGTAAGATTGATGAATTTGCTTCTGGTCTAAACCTACATGTCGGAGGTGATCCTGGCGGTAGTTCTGGCTCTTCGTCGCCAACCGCACGGACCAGAATGGACTGCATGACATCCATGAAGTTGAGTGAAAGGTGGTGCAATGTGTGGCATGTGCTGGACCATCAACGAGGCAAAGCTTGATTCCCATAAATGGATGTTTGGCAAAGGCCCCGGAACCAAATAACCGCTCCGAGTTACGTCATGACATGAATCCCCTCAGACGGACAGCAAGCGAGATATATAAATATATATATAGCAAGTCTACAAACACCAAATCTCATCTAGTAAAAGGTAAACTCCTCTGGCGTCGTGGGCGTCGTAAACGAACACCATCATGATCACATAATTCGGAGATTTTTTCGCAAACGTCGATTTTTGACTGGTAGCGGCGATCACGGTAGGAGTCTCCGGGAAGCGTACATACACAAGCATGGGAATCAAACCGGATCCCGATGCTCTCTACAGTCTTCCCATTCCTCCGCCACCAATCACCAGCTTCCGATAGGTCATCGACGCATGTCACAGCAAGAACGACTGGGATTTTCATCCCTGAAATCGCCGCAGCGAAGGTTTCGTAACTGTGACGTACTGCCCTGGTGGCCCTTGACCCACGCACACAGTAGACTAGAAGATGGAGACCATCTTCTTGAGACATCTTCGTCAAGAAATATTTCAGCTTTTTGGCGGGAGCCACATCCGTTGGTATTGACCCATAACTTCCTCCACCGAGACCCACTGTATCGTGCAGAGTGTACCTCTGGCCACGTATTTCGACCTCGTAGGCATGCTCTTCAGTGGTGCAGGGAAGGGCGTCTGGGGATATTGGGGCGATATCCTCGCCTGCAATCAGGTTGATCAAGGAGCTTTTACCGACTCCAGTCTCTCCCGAAAATTACGATGTTCTTTCTGGTTACTGGATGACCCTGCTCGAATATATTCACTTTAGAACGATCTATCGCAAGTCGCAGACTCACCTCAGATTTTGGTTCGAGATCGTCAGCGAACTGATAGAGGTCCACACTACGAGAGCGAGCTCGATTGGTCCACCAGGTTTCATTAGACCGGTCAAGAAATCGTTCAGACATGACTTGAAAAATGGCCTATCATTTTTGATATCCAGCATCTCGGAGCGAAATCGGGCATGACCTTACCTGATTGTCAGTACTGAATGGTTCAGGGACAGACGGAGCGGGGATGTGGGTTAGATCCTGAAGGGTTTTATAGATAATCAGGGAATCTCCGTGCAGATCTTGCATGCGGCAGCTGCACGCTATAAACTCCTAACATGAGATAGACATATCAGGTGACGGCTTCTTCGTTCAGATATGGATCGAAGCAGTGCCACTCATGAACGTTTTTGAAGTGCGGGCCGTGATACAAAGTTCAACGGTAGTTTCCCATAGGCAGACCAAATAGAAGGAGATGATCACCCCAGAGGGTACATCGATATGACGATTCTCGCCTACAGAATCACTGCGTTGAAGGATCAGTAAAGCCCCAAGATTAAGAAGCTAAGGATAAAAAGCTGCTTGTATTTATAAAATTCATAGCATACCAGTACAACAGTATTACTATGTTCCAAACAACAAGCCTAAGACTGTTTGAATGAGTATGATGGAGGTGCGCTGTGAAAAGTTTGGATTCATCCGTTTTTGGAAGAAGGTTGTTTGCCAAAACCTTTTTGAGAACATGCTCAGTGAACTTTCATGAGTCTTCATGTTCCGCCTTCTGTACCGCTGCCATAGTCCATTAAAACCTTACCGACGTTTCTTTTCTAGCACGCGTACATACCTCGCAGAGGCCCATCCTACTTCCTCCAATGTCATCCACGAAATCGAACAAGATGGTGCTCGCATCCTTCAGGCTGTAAGGAAGCGCATCAAAGTCAGGGATGAATTGCTAGCAAACGTGAGACTACTACTATTGACAGCAGTCTGAAATATTAACTCAGTATTTGTCAGATGTCTGAGGATATGTCCTCTCCAGAGGACATAGCACGCGCACGTCAAATCAAAGAATTAGAACCCTTGCATGAAGCATGGTCAAGCTGGACGCACGCTCGTCAGGTTTGTGATATCACACCCCATCGCTGTTGGCCCTAGCTCAATGCTACCACAGTAGTCCTTGGAAGAAACACTACCCCTCATGCAAGATCCTGACCCAACCATGCGTACCCTAGCATCGGAAGAATTCAGTTCCCTGGCCCATACCCTATCTACCCACATATCCGCAACGTTTCCCTCTCTTCTCGTTCCTCCATCGTCTACACGCGACTTACATGCTCTGCTGGAGTTGAAAGCCGGCGTTGGTGGGTCTGAAGCAGCTCTATTTTTGTTGGACCTCCTGCGGGTTTACGTTCGATATGCTGGTTCAGTCGGGTGGCGAACAAGTATCATACAGAGCAGCGAAACCGAAAGCGGAGGGATGCGCGATGCTATCCTCGAGATTAAAGGGGAAGGGGCTTATGATGCACTGAGATGGGAGAGCGGTGTACATCGTGTGCAGCGCGTTCCCGCAACGGAGTCAAGTGGGCGGACTCATACGAGTACTGTTGCGGTTATAGTAAGTATCTAGTAAAATTGATTGGGTTATGGGTAACATAACCCCTACTAGGTTCTGCCGCTGAGCGAAGAAGCTGAGAGCATCGGCGGGAATGATGAACTCTTCAAAATGGAGGATGTGAAGGTCGAGGTAATGCGTGCACGCGGTGCAGGTGGACAGGTGGGTTTTTTGTTTTCATGCAGAGTAATTGACTTTGACCATCGTCATCAGCACGTCAACAAAACAGAGTCTGCAGTCCGTCTCACCCATACACCCACCGGTATCACTGTCTCCATGCAAGACGAACGCAGTCAGCATCAGGTAACCTATACTTATTTTGTCATTAAGGGTCATCTAACATATAATTTGAATAGAACAAGCGTCGTGCTTTCCAAGTCCTTCGCGCTCGCCTAATGGATGTAAAGCTTTCACGAGATATCGCCAACCGCCGAGCCACTCGCCGGAATCTGGTCCGCACCGCGGACCGCAGCGAGAAAATTCGAACGTATAATTATGCGCAGGATCGCGTGACAGACCATCGAATCGGTCTTTCCCTCATGAACCTCACCAGCTTCCTGGAAGGCGATGGCGTGCAGGATTTTCTGGATGCCTTGCGCCGAAACTGGCAAGAAGAAATCATGGAGGATGTTGTTGGAGAGTCTGAATGAAACACGACACCTGCCTCTTGTCATCGCAAGCACCCCTTCATTATCATTCTGTTTAAATAGAAAACATAATATAACCACGTCTAAAATCCGCAAGCCATCGCATTCCAATATAAATACTGTACCATAACGCACCTCTCGAGCCCATGTCCAAACTGTCCAGACAGAACTGTCGTCCCGCTCGTGATTTACATCACTCGACATCCTCCACTAAGACCAAGCTCTTCAAGCTCCTCCTTTGCTGCCTCGCGCTCGTTAGTACTCAGCTTCACACGCGACTCCAGGGGAAACCAGTCAGCCATAAAGTTCAAGAGAGCATAATCAACGTTGGCTGTGAGACATAAGCTAACCAAAAGCACAACGAGGGGCGAGCGGGGGACTCACTGCGGTCAGCCTTTAGCACCGTAGGGGCCCTGCAAATAGGGCAGTTCGCTTTCCCGAGCTTTTGAAGCTTCACGAGACATCTATGACAAACCAAGTTAGTCCATTTGGTCGTAAAATCGGTTTAAAATAGTCATGCAATCACCTTACACAAAATAAATGGCCACAAGCAAGTCTGATTGGCTTGAACGCGAGACTGGTACAGATAAGACACGAATAATCGTCGACGTGAGGCACAATTGGAAGTAGAATTTCGCCGATAGCTTGCACGAGGAGTCGAGGCAAAGATACTGGGGACCGCCAAGGCAACAAGGCCAACTCCGTTGAGGGTGGAGACGCTGGCAATGGTCCATTCCAGAGTGGAAGAAGGTAGGAAGGAAGGGGTAATGCGGTCCGCTTCGTATGCTTCTTCAGAATCTTGCGGGTCGCCTCGGCATTCGCAAATTGGAACTACATAGTAGAAAATAAATATCTGAACAAATTGACAACAAAAATCACACTCACCCTCTTTAAATCCAAGATAAAAAAGTTCATCCGCATGAAAACATCCAGCGCATCCTTGCTTCCAGCAAGCTTGAGCTTATTTCTCTTCTCCTGCATGCCTTTTTCAAACTGCTTCATGCGGGTCTCTGTTTCCTCGACACTGCGTTCCCCACGAGTTTTCTCCCCGACACTCTCGAAGATTTCACTTTCAACGTACATCTGAAATATCTCTCTCCATGAATATAGATCTGTATTTTGGCTGCCAGCGCTGGGTCGCAATGTGGCAGCGTTACTGATGGCCATTGAATAAGTCGAGAAGGAACGTGCCGACGAGGAGGTGGGACGTGCTGTCGCACTAATAGCATGAGCCAGACTTTGTAGCGTAGATGTGAAACCGCCATGCACGGTATTAAGGTGTTCAGCGAGCGATGCAAGGGCGGTATTTAATAGGTGAAAGAATGCGGTATCGGACCGTAATGGTATGATAAGATCGTGGGTGCTGGGTTCTAAGCTATCAACAAAAGCGCACTAAAAACACATCGGACGTACTTCGTTGATGAATAACAGATGTCCACCAAGGCCTTGTTGCTCTCTAGCGCTTGGGAATGAAGCTGTAGAGCCTCTAGGATGCTGTCCGGTGTGGTCGTGTGACCAGATGCAATATCCGTAGCGTCTGTTGGATGCTTGATTGACAGCCGGAGACGAGGTTCGATATGAGAAGACGTCCCAATAAACTCGTAGACTACGGTGACGTGTCGTTGGTGATCACCATCGCAGTCAGAAACTCGATCACACTGCTGTCGTATTTCCTCGATCTGGGCGGTCAAACTCGTAGGATTCTGTTGTTCTAGCAATTGTTGGAGCACAGTGGGACTGAGACCAAGAGAAGAGAGCTCTTGGACCAGTTGGTTGATGAGTCTCTTGAGCTGTCAGATGGTCGGTCAATGCTACCAGCGTCAAGCAATTGACTAGTACTATCATACTTACTTGGCGGTACTGTATGGCATTTTCGCGTAGCTCTGGGGGTAGTGTTTGCAGCAATTGCGAGTATGTCTTTGAGAAGTGCATTTCGTGTTAACATGCTATGATAGTAGACGACAGTAGTCTTGAATCTTTTGAGGCATGATATATTGATCCGTGCCTGTAGATCCGAATATGCCAGTGGCCCGCCAATATTAATTGTGTCAGCTGAGCTAATACAGGCACCTGGGCCTGGACCTGCTTGGGAATATGTAGTAACCTCAGCCTGAGAGGCAGACAATACAAGGTGGACCTTCCCATATACTGGAGGGCAAGAATGAAAAGCTGAGACTATAGTAATATATACGGAATTACATATGTATCATACTTTCTCATAGGCGTAATAAGCACCTTGTGGTGTTGCAACGTGACGTCGGGAGTAGTACTAGTATTGCAACTCGAAGGCCTCACACACACGTGCATGAACGATCTATGACATGGGTGTACCTGGGTGGTATCCATACTCAATCCGCGGGTACTAAGTAGTACTCTGAAGGCCTACGGGTCAGACTATTACAGGTATGGGTGTTAGACAGCGGCTCCGCTTGAGCACGGCGCCGCTTCTTTTTTGAGACTCTGAAACAAGAATCAAAGACACCATTCTTTTGCAAGTGGGTGTATTTATGCTGGCGACTCGCGCGCCGAAGACGGGCCCGAAGGTGAGTTGAAACTGCTCCTCGGCATGGAGGACCAACTCGTCAAGAGAGACTGACAACTAGCCGTGCAGTGCGCTGCACACGTCGAATCTAAATATCTGGAATTGATGCGTCAGTTGGTAGCATGTTGATGGGCTCTGATAAGATGAGGACCCGGGTAGCCCTCCCCATCTCACACCCTACATGATGAATCGTCAAAAGTATCAAAGGAAGGCTGCTGTGTTTGAAGGCGGATGCACTGCAAGACCGGTAAGCGGTTATTGCTTTGTTCCAGCTTCCCGCTGAACAGCCTTATCATCATCTTCCCATCTTTTTTTTCATATCGCTTTCAGGATGGATTTAGGGGGCACTGCCAGTGGGCGCTTGATCGCCCATTCGCGAAATGAGTGCCCTTCTCAGGATCATAAAATCCACGAGGTGCACCGGTGAAGACTTTCTCCTGTGCTGAATCTGGCCCCTTGTCATCGAGTGAGAAAAGCCTCCCACACTTACCTATGAACGGACGAGTATGGGGAATAGCGTTTTCCTGAATATCCTCATCACACCGACGGCAACGGCGTATGTAAATGGCCATCACAAGGGCAAGCCCTATAAGACCGCGATCTATTCCCTCGAATGTAAGGGGGAATTACCAGAATTACCACATGTGAAGGATTCAATGTAATAAAGTGCAAAGATGGAGTTACTATTGCTGGGTATACCACCACCGGGGGTAACTCTGGTTGTGAAAAACAATGTGATAAAGTTCAGAATGAAAAAAAGGGAATAAGGTGACCAAAACGACGACACGACCAGCCTGTCATCACCCGTGCGACATACACTCGAAAGTGTAGCAGGATGGTGGAGGTCAAGGAATTTACTCGTCACACCAAGGGAGGTCGCCGTCGGGGTTGGCAGGAGTAGCAGTTGCAGGGATTGTCGTAGCGGGGGTAGTGCCGGAGGGGGCAGGAGGGACTTGGACAGTGTTCGCTGTGCACAATACCTAAAGAGACTGCCTTAGAAACTGAGATAAAGCTGGGAAATACTGAGCTACCTCTCCAATGTAAATATTGCTGCAATCCTCGTTGATCTGCGGGTTGTTTTCGTACAGGATAGTGGTGTTGATGCCCGCGTTGGAGGAGACAATGTAACAATCGTCGTATTGCTGGACTACATAAGTGGTCGTGCAGTCCTGACCTTGCCATCCAAGGCAGTAATTCTGGCCAACGACAAGGTTGTCGCATCCTTCGTCGATGATTCCGACGTTGACGACAGCAAGCTGGTACCTGCAGGAAGAAAAGTTTTAGCAGAGAATTTTCAACAAGGACTCGAACTTGGCTTGGCGTACGTGGAAACATTGTTGGCTGCCGAAATACTGTCACAGATATCGCCAGCCTGAGCGGTGTATGTGCGAGTGCAGGTGTCTGCAGAAACAACTACAAAACAATAAAACAGAAAAAATCGCGTGATAAACCAACCGTAAAGGCACATCAAAAAAATAAAATACTGACATTGTGCCACCAAGGGCAAGGCTAGGATAGCAGCAATTGCTTTGGTGAACATTGCGTTTGAAAGAATGCGTGAACGATTGAAAAAAATGAGTGTACAATCAAGGAAAGACGAGGTCGGCGGTGGGCTCGAGGTAAAGAGACGTGAGATGAAAGAGGCGGAGCAGATTGAGAAACGGGCTTATACTTGATTGAATACATATGCCTTCTATACTTGGGTGAGCGGGACCAATGCATGGCAACCGTTCCCTGTACATTTCCCGGATTCCGACACCGGTTTCATCATGATCTTGAAGTTAATTATCATGATTCATCAGGAAGAGATATCCGTATGCCCTAAATTGTCATAACGTACTGCTCCGTGTCCGAGTCTGAGCAAAGTCTTTCATGTCTTTGAAGACTCATCCACAGTGTGCAGACTTAATCTGCAGCCAAGAATTCAAACAATACCCCCATATGCACATTGACAAGTCCCAGGAGTCAAGACTCAAGAGAGGTCTCAGGCCAGCTCATGGCTGTGCCCTGTTACCGTCAACACGTTCGCCAAAATTAGTGCTGTCAGGGACTCAGGCCTCAGGGTCGACCGGACTTCACCGGTCACCGACACTCGCGTCCTGCGTTATAATTCATACATCTCGGGCGCAAGCAGACCGACTGACATCTCTCCTTCGTCTTCTACAAGTTAGACATCAGCTTAATGATGGAAACAAGTGGCGGGGATGTGGATATACGCTATCTGCCGACTCTCACGCCAGCCGACGACAGGACGACAGCATGTGGATTATAAAGCTCATCTCCTGGTTAACGACGTAATGGATAAATAAAGGCGAAGAGATGAACGCAGGAAATATTTGGGAAATATAAAATAACAAGTCTAGGTCACCCTTTATCGCTATTAACCGTCCGAACCTCTCCTGGTCGAATATCCCCCGGACCAGGGCCGCCGAAGCCGAACACACTACTGAGCGACGCTCTTAGCGCATCATAAGCAGCCTGATGCGGCGCTGGATGTATGGAGTCAATGGTATGAGTCTGTATCAGCCCAGAAATAGGCGAAAAGCTGTACGTCGAGTCTCTACTCGATCATGGTCAGCAAGAATCAGTACTGATGGTAAAAATCCTGACATCTGCCATCGCCCAACCCCACCGCTGACGCGTGTCATGCCATATACATCCAGGCCAATGAAGAGACTCTTGTCTCGCTGGTGATTCGAGTGGGTTCCGGCTGCCGCGCCTTCTAAATGCGGCGATCCTTGCACCGCCACCTTGCGTAACTCTACGCGAAGGTCTGAGTACAATGTTCTCATTGTGTGCCGGATAAAGACAGAGGAAGCCAGGTACAGTGGTAGCCCTAATAAAACTTATTGTTAATGACAGGAACGTAATCTAAGTACATTACTAACCTTCCAGCCCAAGCGTTCTTGGAAATGGCGAAGGAAGGGCAACAGGGGGCGTGTACATCAACCTCACTTTTGGACTGTAGATGTTTTGTACCTCCAGCGAATCCGATTCTTTGGAATCTATGAGAGCTGGTGTCTTTGTGGGGTCTATGCTTGAGACAAGGCCGACATCGAAGAAATCAGGAAGCGTTTGCTGTAGGATATAGATGGCGCGGCCTATATGGTAACGCACGATCAAAAAGAATGATGGTTATAGGGAGATCTGGTGATAGCATCAGTGTGTCTCCCAAGGGTAGCAAGTCAGACTGACCTGTCCGGATTTGCCATTCGCGGTCAGATATGTCTTCAGAACCACCGGAACCCCCTTTATTTGGCGTAAACATAGGAGGACTAGGGCCCTCAGAAAAAAAGAGATCATAACGTTCGTTCGTTGGCTGGACGGTAAGGGATGGAGAAGCCTTAGGAGTTGCGGTTGACAACCATCGTAAATGTGTGGACAGGTATTTAGGAGATGAAGGAGATGAAGGAAAGCGATTTTGTGAGATCAATGCACTTGATGACAATCTCGAGCAATTGTGGAGACCACGTCGCATCATGGTGGTGGAGTACTTGATGTAACGCGTAGACAGCGTTGGACAAAGTGCCGAGTTGTTTGGCAGCACCAGAAATAAACACCGCCACGTGTTTCCTTTCTGATCATGGTCAAAACCTTTTTGTTGATGAAAAATTTGCAGCGCACTATCAAACTTCCTCGAGATAACCTTGCACAATGAGGTGTTCGATATCAGCCCTCCTAACCATGAATCTCTGCCCCTTCTGAAAATCGATGGTCCCGAGCTCTGTCTGTATGATCCCACAATCCCTGATAACGTGAACCAGAACATGCAAGTCTTTGGGCGGATGTGTGATACTAGCTGTGATATCGAGCTCGTTGGAAAAACCAGCACGATAATCCATCACAGACGTGCTGTATTGGCGGAGGAAGTCGACTTCATGAGGAGAGAGCTTGCTGCGAATATCCTGATTGCTGAGGATATGCGGTAAAGCGCCTCCTGCGGTCCAGTACATATCGCGCAGTCTATCCATACGGTGCTTGTGATATGCTAGAAGACATCTTTTGTTTCGTACAATGGTTGTTTGATAGATGAGCATCGCTGGAGTGACGTTCTGATTGTTTTCGGTCATTTTTTCGAGATCGCGTTGTTCCCGGATGATGGATCGGACAAGATTGTCGTTGTATTTGAGAAGAGTGTCTGTTAGGGTCGATCTACGAGATTCGGCAATGAGCTGAGTTGCAAGATCACCGAACTGACGCGTGTCTGTCATGGTGAAGGTCAAAGAGACACTGTCACATTAGCAGTGTGACAAATATGTGACTGTACGCGTCAATTTGTCACCTTTATTACTTATCAGTTGCCAGCCACAGGCTCACAGTCTCTACTTTCGATCATCATGTCTAGTCAGGACTCTCAGGACATCGAGACTGCAACAACTGCAATAGAGTATGATCTCTTTAGCAAAACAAGACTTGTCGGCTGACCAGAAATAGGTCTGCGCCAGACACCAAAACCCGAAGATATGACCGTCAGCTCCGGTAAGATTGCTTTAGGAGAACTACACAAATGAGGTCCAATTGACATTTACAAATAAGCCTGTGGGCAGCGACTGGACAGAGTGCATTAGAGTCTTCTCGGGTACTGTTGGTATCTGGATCCGCCACTTCAACTTCAATCTTGAAGAACCTTGTTCTTCCTGGCATCGGACACTTCACTATCCTTGATCACGCCAAGGTGTCACACTCTGATGCCGGTAACAACTTCTTCTTAGAAGGATACAATAGTATTGGAAAGTCTAGAGCAGAGGAGGCTGTCCAACTTCTGAGCGAGCTAAATGACGGCGTTGAAGGTCGTGCAGACACTAGAACTCTCGAGAGCATCCTCGAGTTGCACCCTGAGTGGATCACTTCGTTCACTATCGTCATTTCCCATAACCTAGATCATGCACTCTTGAACAAGCTCTCCGCACTCGTTTGGAAAGATGCGAAATACCCGCCTCTTGTGGTTGTCCGATCAGCTGGATTCCTGGCAGACTTTTATATTCAATTCCATGAGCACACAAGTACGTACGAATCTGTGTTCTCGAATATGCTTATGACGTTTTCAAGTCATCGAGAGTCACTCGGAAACATCTCCTTCTCTCCGCATCGACAAACCATTTCAAGCTTTGAGAGAACACGCGCTGTCGCTAGAGTTCGACAATATGGATTCTACAGAGCACGGACACATACCATACGTGGTGATTTTAGTTCGTGCGCTTGAGGATTGGAAGAAATCTGTAAGCTAGTCTTTGTTCAGGTGGAATGCATGCTCATGAGGGATCATACAGCATGGTGGTGGTCTACCGAAATCGTACGAAGAGAGACAACAGTTCAAGAAAAGCGTCCTTGCGCTGAAGGTGAAAGGGGATGAAGAAAACTTCGACGAAGCCGAGGCACAAGCATACAGATGTTGGACGGAAACCAAGGTTGTTGTTGTTTCATCTATCTTGAGTTTTTGCCTAATTGTTCCGTTAGGTTCCTTCGGAAATCACGGCCCTTTTTAGTGACCCCGCGCTATCTACTAAAGCCATGGACCATAACCAGTCGCCTTTCTTTCATCTTCTCGCCGCCCTGAAGGAGTACACGGAACAGTCTGACACACACGCACTCCCTCTCACATCAACCCTGCCAGATATGAAGTCTGACACCCATAACTACATACATCTGCAGCGACTGTACAAAACGAGGGCGGAGGAAGAAAAACAGGCTTTCAAGAGTTATCTCCGAGTACCAGTCGACGACGGCATAGTTGATTCATTTGTCAAGAATGCCCATGCTCTGGTCGTTCTGAGAGGTAAACCTTGGGGTACATTCGATGAAGACAAAGCTGCTCTAGGTAACACCTTAGGACTTTGCATTCGCTCAGACCGCTAACTTTTGTCTGTTGGGTTAGTGGAGTCGTTATCAACGATGCCGAAGGAGACGTGTATACATCTAGCCCTTTCTGCGCTTTCGTTACTTCAAGCGAGCGACACCTCGGTGTCACCATCAGCCGAGTCTATTCGTGCAAAGATTCAGTCCATTGTCGGACAGTCTACTGAGCTTCCTGATGAGGCTGACGATGCAATTGGCGAGATGTGAGTAGAGCTATATCTTGGTTTAGATTTATGGCTTATGTCATTACGTAGTGCTCGAGCACCTTTTTCCGAGCTGCCCAACACTGCAGCTTTCCTTGGTGGCATGGTCGCTCAAGAGGTGATCAAGATGATCACTAAGCAATACGTGCCTGTGAAAGGTTACTGTGTAATCGACTTGATTGAGACATGGACAGGAACTATCGGTGCTTGAGATATCTATGGAATTGTTGCCGCGGAGAAAAGCTGATACATAAACTTGCATAAATGGTCGTCTACGGACAATACTTTCCATCGAAGATATCAAAGTTCAGCTTTTTCGCTGGTTTGAATGATTTCTGCGGCTTTGTGAGCTAACCTGGAAAGATCTTCTCAGAGGAAGTTGCATGATCATTGTTGATGGCTTACCCATAAAGCGTGGCTTGAGGATGAGTTCCCACATGCTAAGATCACCTGTATTAGTATCTCCAAGGCAACAACCAACTTTCAGCCTTACGATTGGGAAAATGCTGGCGTCCGCCTGTGAAGTACATGTTAAGGAAGCTGAGCTCAGTTTGTCAAGAAAGATATACACACCACTCTCAGATTGGTTGTCCCATACACCTGTAAAGAATCTGTGAGTTCGTCTAACAGATAATTATACTCTATGTTAAATTTGACCTTCAGTTCATTATCGACGACGCCATTAGCGGATCGAGGGAGCATCGAAGCTGTCCCTTTTGAAGAGTAACTTGCATAAGAAATGTTTGTAGCTGTCAAGTTACACGACCCACCGATAGGATGGTCTCCGCTGGCGATATCTGAGCGGATGTAATCCATCAGTTGTTCATCTGACCAAGAAGGTTTAGGTTCAATGATTTCCGCAGTCAAGTCGCCCAGAGTCCCTGTCTCCATGACCTTGAAAGCATATTTCACAGCTTCCACAAGCATCATCATATCTCGAAGAAGATTCAATGGTCTGCCTGCGAGGAATGACGATTCACTTACCAATGTTTCCCAGAGAATCGAGCATTGCCAGGTCAATCTCTGGCGAATCCAACACAGATGAAGAAGTTGCATGCACCTGCGGTGGAAGCATCAGTTCAAGTGGCAATTTTAAGAAGAAAAAACAGACATGTCCTCGACTCCAAGCATGCTCCAGGAAGACCACTAACGTGTAATGCTTAGCTTTGTCGTTAGTGCACCCGACGTGGGTGTAAGCTGTGGGTGGTCAACACTACATCTATACGTGACAGATAAAAGACGCACAAGGTTCTAAAACCACCTCTAATTGAGCAATACCATTGTTCTCAAGCCAGGCGCGTTGGACTTCGTAGCATTTTTTCCAGGGCGAGTTTTGGATTTGCGGTAATTGTAGAGCCTCGTCCAGGGCTGACAATATACTCTGCATCTTGTCGAGTGGGATGAAAGATGATGATGGAACGAATACCACGGTAGATAGTGTGCTACTGAGCATCCCTGTTCTGGAAAGACGATATTGTTCTAGTTTTTGTTGAGCAAAGCTTTCTGAATTGAGATCATCCACGGTCTCGTGCGAGCCTTTCAGCTCTGCGCCCATGGATACCTTAGGGTGGTCCTAAGGCAGGTATCAGGCCCTATTCGCTTCTCATCTGGAGGTGGCACGGACCTGAAGGTTTTCGCCAACGCCAGGTAAATCAATTATTACGGGAATATTCAATCTACGCAAGAGGTCTGGATTACCAATCCCTGGTAATGTAGAAATTGAAAACTGAGCAGACCATCTGATACTATAGCTAGAGCGCCGCACCTGAAAGTTCTAGAATCTGGGGGGTTTGCAGAGCACCTGATATCATCATTTGGGTTAGCATTTCGACCACCACAATAGACACATACCAGTTGATATGATAACTTCCCGGCGCACAGGGACTTCGTAAGTCCGTCCCCCTTTATGATATTCAACTGCCGTAGCTTGCAGATCACTACTGGAGGTTTGTCTGAAAATCACTTTAGAGGCTTGTGCGCCAGTGAGTACAGTAATGTTTGGTTGGTTAGAAACCCGATCATAATACGCCTGGAAAAATAATTCAGTGTCAATTATTTCAAGATAACATTTACTGTCGCCTTACATTTGTACTGTAACAGCGTGTATTTGTTTGAGGATCGATGGACGCTGTGTACGTCCAAATGCCTATGTTGTGTCCGGAGGCCTGATAACAACTTCAATTGTGTTCACTTTGTCAATATTCAAACGCACTTCAGATTGGTTAGTGACCACACCCATCTTGTTCATGGTCTCAAACAATGGCAAAACGAGATCATAATAGTAGCTGTATGCACTCGTCTTGACATAGCCGTGCCTGGCTCATTATATCCACGATGCTAAGTCCTACCTGCCATGATTTTTCGCAACATTATCTGCGTGGTGCGCCTTGGCGTGACGAGTTGGAGGGCTCCAAGCCTCAGCAGATCGAATTGCATTACTGATGGTATTCCAATTCCACCCTAAACGAGTGAAATAGGTGATGTGTTCCGTTCTATATTAAATGATGTACTACTGACCTTTGATGCCGAGTTTCTCCCAGTCTTTCGGCATATAAGTTATTAATTGAGTTGCATAGCCATTGGTACTAACCGTTATGCTCGAGCTTGGAACCACTGTGATGGTGAAAGTTAGCATGTGATCGCACGAGCACGTGGTAACTATGCACCTACCGACAGTAAGCCATATAATTCAATGCTGATGTGCCACCAAGAACTTTGCCTCTAGGGAGTGATATCTCCCGATTCTGAGCAAATGGTTGAGGTTTTGTGACCAAATTCCAGTCATATTCGGGGTCTGAGCTTGAAATGTGATGCGCTATCTTTGAAGCACAACTCCAGACTCACTTCCAACAGCCTTGCCGACCATGCCTTTACAAAGGGAAATTGAAAAAAAAAGTTCATGAACGCAAGATCAATCAGTCGCTGTTGGATCCCTTACCAGGCACAAGAATCATCTCATCATCCTTCCTCAGACCTGCTTCAATGACTCCTACACGAATGCTAGCATTAGTTGAAAGGCTATAACATCCCAAAGTTAGATTTGAAGGGAAAGAAGAACATGGATCTCATGATAAGTATGTACATTGAGGCTAATGCAAGGCCAGTTGTTCCGCCCCCTGTAAAATGTCATATCAAGACATCGCACACAGGCATAACTTAACATACCAATGATAATATAATCGAAATTCTGTTGAAAGAAATCGGCAGCAGACGCCATTGTGTGTACTCAGGCGCTAGGAGGAGTAAGAAATATCGTATATAGGGCTCATAATTCCTATATACCTTGAAGGGACTTAAAAATCCCCCACAGAATTGTAAAATAACTTAACGTCAAGTTACCCTGAACCTTTCCTGATCTGTCGAGAATTCAGTATCATTATCAAGTCATATCAGGCTTTATCAGAGACCGCGGAACCTGTTGGTGGTCTTGGCATATCATTTGGAAATGCTGTAAACACCCTGCGGGTTTAAGATAGTCGTTTGGAGAGCCTGACATCGTGACCATGAGTGCATTCCCAAATAATCCATCGTATCACGCCCATGTGATCAAGAGGGACGAAATTTCACAAGGTGTAACCAAATTGAATTACCCCTCAATAGCCACTGATAAGTAATTCGAAGCAGTACTGAAGATGCATGCACTTGGGTAGTACAGTAGATAAGCACTGCAATGCAAAAGACGCGATAAAGAGAAACAAACTGAATATGAAAAATTCATAGTCAGCAAACTCAAATGACAAAAGCTTATCGATGCTAATCTCACCTAGTCTAAACTTGATTGTGGTCAACGTCACAAACCGTCTGACCGCCTTCAGACATCGCATCAAACTCGGGTGGACACGATAACATTTCCGTTGAAGGCGTCGATTGGTATGTGGGGAAGACCGGCGCCTTGTTCACTGGAAGATTGAACAGTATGCGAGAAGCAAGAACGCTATGCATAACAATCTGGGGTCTAAAATGAAGGGATGAACTTCAACGATATAAATATACATGGATGATCGACCAGACTAACGCGTTTAGCATCTCGCTGTAAGAGAGCTAGGAGTCTACTCAATTCTTCAAAATCAACTTAACAAAGAAAGAACTTACAGGTAGGACGCTGATTACGATCACATTGGCTGATGATATCACTATAGAGATGTCAGTACAAAATCAACAACTTAATGGTGTTCATACTTGTGATGCAGAACATGTAGAGCAGTCCATCACGATAGATACTCCTCATCAGTGTACTATGAGAACCAAGATAATGTCGATATCTCAGATATGCGGTGGTGGACATAAGAACTATAAGTGAATTGTCAAGTAAGGAACTTTTGAATGAATGATTGCCTCACCGATCTCAAGGCACGCTAAGAGTCCATACGGAAGAGCACTATGACGACTCCCCTCGAACGCGCAAGGTGGGGAGCCTGAAAATGAATGAATAAATACTACATATGACTAGGACATGAACCTTGAGACCTCACCTGCCATGTTCCAATTGATAGGGGCAGCGCTTATAATCACAGCCATCACCAAGATGGTCTGCGCCACACAAGTCAGTGGTGCTTGAGGGAAATAGAGATATCATTGTACCGAAGCAAAACAGAGGAGAACGATCAGGTAAGTGTTGTTATTGCCAGAAAAGCCGTATATTCTGGCAATCAACAATCCTGTGTTTGAATGTAGTTTCATACCGTGACGTCGTATAAAAAAGCTAACCTTCCGAGGCAATGATTCCTAGGAAATGCATACCTGCAAAATGTTATTGCAAATCCGTGTGATGAAAATCGTCTGAACCAACCATTTGTAGCATTATTAAATGGCACACACTACATTGACGTGAGTTGTAGTGGGGGTAATTGTCACTGCACAGATCGAAGATATACTCACATTTTGCGTGCCCCATGTCTTAATAGCGGCTAGTCAAGAATAAGCTTTTGTGTAGTAGTGCGCACTGGAGTAAGTATCTCACTGTACGAGGTCATGATTGCACCAGCAAAAGGCACATATCGCGAAACCATGAAGGTAGTGCGAACGATCCCCCACTTCCGTCCCAAAGACCACTGGACCTACAAGAAAGATCAGCACCAAGGTATGGTAGGTCTATTTTTGCTGACTTCAGAGTGTAACGTGACAAAGTAGTCATAAGCCTGGTGATAATCAATTATCATCGATGAGATTGAAACAGCACAACTTACTAGGACTGCTAACGCGGCGACTAAAGTTGAGTCGTGAATAACGATGAACGTTGTCATCAACCTGACCTTACCGTTAGTGTACTTCGTTAACGAGAGACATTAGAGAAGGGTTGCAGACAAAGCACGACTGAATTACCTTTACTAGCTGCAAACTGAAGGTGTCTGGGACTGACATATTTCTTGTGACCCAACGTGTGAATAAATGCAGCGAGCAGTTGAAGATAAGTACTAGTACATACTGTAGTATGCGCAGCAATACGGCCGTGATTGCAGTGTGTGACTTGGATCTAGCAGATTCGGCGGAGGGTGCCTTGCTCGTGATGTATGGATCATGATGGTTGCAGTGTGTAATTGGAGCACAGGATGCATGATGGAAGGAGGTTGTGGCTCAAGCGCTCATATTCTGGTACACATGGTTGACATCATATGGTAAGTCTGCCTGTCGAGACTTTGATCGTGATGTGTACTAACGTACTAGGGCTAGCGGCAAGCAAAAGTTAATTCTAACTCCGACAGGCGAGCCTCATCATGATGATCATTCGGTCTAAAATTGACTTGATTCTGTCGAACACCAAATTTCAAACCTCCAATGCGGCTTCATTCTCTTCAGTAACTAGTTACTACAGTTCTAACCCAAAAACCAATCTGCATTTGAGTTACAATAGGCTTTCAGGCACTTGGGAGTTACTTCAGAGACCCTATGTCTCCTCATGTGCCCATTCTCCAGATCTAAAGCTATGCGGGAAGTCGGCTTCGATTAATGGAACTTAGTTCTGGGAGGTGTGCATGATTATTTATAAGTTGGTGCGTTGATCCTCCGTGGTACAATTGTTCTCACGTACTTCCATTTCTTTCTTTTTGTCATCTTTGCTATCATCAATTGATGGCCTAGTTGCTATTTCTCTCACTTAAGATCTGTCGTTGCATGATATCAGATATCAGATATATGCATCCTCTCTGTTGGATGTTTTACTTACTGCTGTACCCGCTGCAGTTTCATCGCATCCCTAGCAATGCGTGCCAGAATTGTATGAAAATGAGCGCATACAGGTAAATTGTGAGTCACTCATTGACAATCTGCCTGCCTCGCTCTCCCTCGAATAGCATCATTCAACTTATCTCTGACCATACCCTGGTTAATGATTCAGATCTCGGAGTCTTTACACAGAGACACTGCCCCGCTCTTGTCGGTTGGAATGTTCATGTGGAAGCGCTCCTTGACGAGCATCGCCATATCCAATTACTTATGTGGAACCACCCATGACCCAGGGTCTTAACATGGATAATACACAGGTGTTAAAGGCAGTTCTTCTGTGGTAATGAATTGATGGACACGGATTCGGCCATTTCGGAGTCGCGCAATTCGCCGAATTCGCCGAATTCGCCGAGCGGTCGTCTCTCAAGCAAAGAGATGCTCATCAAATCGCTGGTTCGTTTAACTGTCATGTGTTGCTGGTGTCGAGCTAAACAATCACTGCAGCACTGGTAGTCACGGCGTTCGTGCTATGAAATACACTTGAGAGTTGGACTATATGATCATTGTTAATGTTCGCTACCACGAGCAAGGCAGTGTGATTCATCGCAAGATCTGATGCTGTTTGTCTGATGCTCTATACCTCAGCACGTTGTATCACTTGGCCATATCAATGCCAGCCGCCATCTCATGTAAGACCGGTATCCATTTGCATTGATTGTCGCGATGCCAAACATTCCTCGATGGTGTACTCATCATGAGTTGGGAGAAAGGTGTTTAAAGAATTGAGGTGCGCATCATGCTGGTACAACTGGCTGAACAAATTGTGTGGGAAATTGATTGTTTCACTATTAGCCTGCTAAACATCTCGAATTTGCTGGTCCTGCTGGGCTTCTTGCTCATTCCACCGGAAGCCTTTGTCCTCTCTGCCACTAGACTTACTCGTGGGTTTCCTGGGAAACCGAGAAGACCACTCCTTGACTATCATTTCTTCCACTGATAGTCGGTATTGTGACAAGTCGCATCCCGCAGCAAGTGAAGCTATACTCGTTACGTATGGCTTCATTCATTCTACTCTAGCTATTTCTTGATTTGCAGATCTTCCTATCTTCTTCCGGTCACTCCAGATACAAAAGTGGGTGAATTGAATAACAACGACAGTCTGATATGGGATGGGTGTCGAACTGCCAAGTGAGACACAAACCAAAGAAAAATATTATCAGCGAGCCAGTTGGTGATCGGGGCATCTGGGCTGCGCTGGAATGAGCGAATAGCTTCAGACGACTTGATCGCGACCTATATATATTATGGTTTCTCTTAGGGAGTTTGGGCACCTCGGAATGGAACACTTGACTTATTGAGGCACTTGCGGAGGATGACAACTTTATATTTACAATCGTTTAAAAAAGTGGGCCAGTCACGTTCACTTCCGTAATGAAATGCAGAAATGTGAAATGAAGCATGAAGGCGCAAGCGAATATGGGTGTCATAACAATGGTGCCTCTAGTCATAGAAAACCAACGCCCTAAGCTCGATGGACTCCCTGAGCGGCGCTCCCTGAGGTGCCGAGGGATCCTTGAACCCAGTATGTGGGGTGAACCTAGCAATGTTATCGCCCTTAGCCGAATCGTAGCTGTGGACAAGGTAAGCGCATCATTACAGACCAAAACATAATGGATAATGAGCGAACCATTTGATCAAGACTACTTCATCCGGTTTCATACCTCTTTGGTACTTCCACCTATGTGTCGGGTTAAATTTGACCCCAAAAGTCTCGCCCTCACGATCCGGATAGACTAATGCGAGAGGAACGAGATCTTTCTTTGCGTCGACAGTCCTGTAATCACACAACGCCAATGGATGGTCGACTGCCGGGTGAGAAATGGGTCGCCAAAGGTTGATGATCTGGAAACGCTTTTTGACCAGCTTCTCCGCTTCGCCGACAGGCAAATGACGATGCACACGAGCGGTAGCCGACTCAGGAGTTTGGTCTACATGAACTTGATTAACAGGCTGTCGCTTTGTTTCGTCCGATTCCACGTCTCCAGGGCGGTGGCGTCTAACCGCTAAGATGCAACAAAAGTCAGATAATCGAGTATGATGCGCCCGTTTCACACGTACTGTGGTCAAAAAGGACGACTTTGCTTGCCCCCGTGATGTCCTTGAGAAGTTCAATGCTCTCTGGATAGTATTCTCCTCTGATCTCTTCGTCATTGATAAAGGCACTGTGTTTGGAGGGCTTCGTGACGTATTGAAAGCCTGCAGTATCCAAGGTGTAGTCACTTTCTTTGCCCCTGACGTTCTCAATCTCGACGGTATGCACCTCTTGCTCCCAATTACGCGCACGCTGGCCTGTCGCCGGATCAGCATTTATAGTGGTGAATGGGCGGGACCCGTCAGGGGGCGGAGTAAAGTACACGAGTTCTGCAGAGACTGTAGGCATTGTTAGCCAGAAAAATGGGTTTTCAATTGATTAATTTTTCCTCTTTTATGTTTCTATTCCACGATGACGTGCCAGGCTGACAAACGCAAGGATTGCAATTGCAATGGATAGGGGAAGAACGGTCGACCATTTGGCCATGATAACTCGTCACGAAGACTCTGGAACGTAACTAGACCTAGGTGTCTGTGCTTGCTCTTACTTTCGTGACGGGCAATTCGATTCCACAGGGAAGATGGGGGTAGGTACTCTTGCCGCAGCTCTCCCAGACTCCAGAGTGGTATTTGCTCGTAGTCTTTACCGACTCAGATAACTGGCGGCGATGCCCGAGTCGTCCGGCCACTATCGACTGTCGCTCACTTCGTTTTCCCGTTTGAAGTCGACCACCGACCACTCTATCTGGATCATAAGCACCAATATGAGGATGATGATTTAGAAAGCGTAGACCTTGGACAAACTTTGAAATAGGTCACGTGCCTCCAGCGTTGTTGGCCGGGGAAGCTTCATAATTGTAATTGGGCAGCCTCGTCATTATACACAGCCAGCTTCATCAAATATTGAGGACAACTTCGTCAAATATCGGCCTGTTTTTTGAACTCCGCTGGCCTCCATACACGTGACGTGGAAGGTGACAACCACTACTGCGCAATAACAATTGCCAATGAGACATCTTCTGGAATTTGATACTCATTCTTGTCTGATAGTACGTGGTACCTACAACCTTGATGCACTTGGTTAAAATATCGTGGTCACCTGCCAGCACAGCACCTCTTAAATTCTAGTCTTCATCTGACAATCACCACGACATCAAGTTAATCCATGGCATACCCATGCGACCTAGACCACCTGGCACCTGGTACTCCCTTGGAGACAAGGAACAGTGTTGACAAAACTACTATCAAGGTGCCACCGCTCTTCCAAGTTCCTCTTCCTCGTCAACCGTGTCCGTGTCCCTTGCACCTCATCCAACACTCGCTCGATGAAGAGAATCACTGTCGACCTCCAACGCTACTCCTTGATGGAACGTCTCGCGCATGAAGTATATCAATCCTCTTTATCTTCGTCGCCCCTTTTTTCCTTCAGTGTGACCTTGAGCTTTGGCTAGAAAATAACATGTCTGTCATGCATCACGATTGGCAACGAAGTGGCATCTCGTTGACTCCATCACACACAGCTGGTCTTCGAGGTCAACATTAAACGACAGATTCAAGATCGTAAGGAAATATCAGCGCAGCACATTCCATCTTCGTATGGCCTTCCAATACTGATCATCGACAGCAATGATAGCTTGGTTTGACAGCCTCTCGAACTCAAGCTTAGTGGACCATGACGAGGTTAGACACGGTCGATCATTTTCAGATATATTCAAACATGCCCATTGCCCGAGCAGTACCAAAATTTGTCTAAAAACAACTGTACTGATCGACTCCCAACTAGGTATTGCACCATCAACGTTCAACCATGATGCCAAAGCGAAACCGGAAACATAACTCACTGTTGCGATATGCCGCTTGGGCTGCTGGGTCAATTTTCAGGGCGCGCAGAGCAGGATTCCTGAATCCTAGCAAGGGCGTGCAGGTGAGTCATGTGGTTGAATCTTGGTAGCACAGCGACCTGCTCATACTCACGTCAGGTCGACATTGAACGCCCGGACAGCAATCCGCATTTGTCTTGCAGATTATTGGAAGGTTGGTACACGTACTGGCACTGACAGACATAGATGTTGTCAAAGCAACAACAACGGCGAGGAAGCAGAAATGCATTGTGCAAGGCAATATATAAATTTCTGAGGAGGATGTTGAATGATATCTCTGAGGATGGAGGGCACTATAGGGCGACGACTGGCTTTTATATCTGCATATACTTAAGGGCACGATTCTGATCGATTTGGCAGAATTGTTATTGCTGTTAGGTGGCAGAACCTTCGGTAGAACCTGCAGGAGCGTGTTCAATTGATTTGGACCATTGTATCACACACAACCTGCCGGCAGGCATCGACAATTGTCTTCTTTGTCGCCTTAGAACGCTCGTTCGAACCTCCGGTCTCTCATCCGCCTCACTCATCGGAACCTCGCAACGACAAGGATGCTCATTGTCGATACTTCCGATATGTACTCGATCGATATCTCATGTTATCTTTCTCACTGACTGGTTGCTCCCTCATATGTAGTACCTGCAATTCGCCTATGTCATTAGGAGACCGGCGACCTTGCAATTACTGCACAGAGATAATGAGGCAATAAACCCTCGTTTCGATAGCTTCTCGAACTTAAGCTTAGTGGACCATGAGCAAGACTAGACACGATCAATCATTCTCAGATGTTCAAACATCCACATTGCTCGAGCAGTACAAACATTTGTCCAAAAATGACTGATTGACTCCAAGCTAGGTTTTGCACCATCAACCATGATACCAAAGCGAAAGCAGAAACATAACCCACTATTGCGATGTGCCTCTTGGGCTGTTGGCTCAATTGCTAGCTCACTTGCACAACGAGATTCCTTGACCCTAAGGCGCGCAGGTGAGTCATATGGTTGAATTCTGGTAGCACAGCGACCTGCTCATACTCACAGTAGGCTGACAAGTAGTGCCCGGACAGCAATCCGCCTCTGTACTATAGCAAGGGAACGGAAGGTTGGTACAAGTTATGGCACTGACAGACATGGATGCTGTCAAAGCAACAACAATGGCGAGGAAGGAGAAATGCATTTTTTGAGCGGGGTAATGTTCTGAGAGGAATTTCGAATGATGTGTGTGAGGATGGGGGACACTATAGTCTATAGGACGACGACCAACTTTTATATCCTGCACAGTGCATATACTTATGGGCATGATTTTGATCGATCCGGAAGAATTGTTATTGCCGTCAGGTGGCAGATTTTCTAGTAGAACCTGCAGGAGCGGGTTCAATTGATTATTAGGATCATTGCGTCACAACCTGCCAGCAGACATCGTCAATTCCCTTCGTCACCATTGAACACTCGTTCGAACCCCCGGTCTCTCATCTGGATCTCTCACTTACCGCACGATTACTGAAGTTCGCAGCAACGAAGTTGATGCTCATTCTCTTCGATACTTCTGATATGTACTCGGTCGATATCTAGTCACTGATGTCATTTTTCTCACTTACTCGTTACTCCCTTACCTGCACAATGCAAATTATGCAATATGCACCATCAGCCGCACTCAATTCCATTTTATTTCGCCCATCTTATTTTCTACAAGTAATACATATACGGGTGACAGACAGTGAGAAATAAAACGAGTCCCAATCGAGGACGACCATTTCACTACCCCCTTCCTGACTACTTGTTAGTTCGTGATTTTCGTCTACAGCGCTCAATTTTATTCTACTTGCTTAGCTACTTCACTGAGCACATTCTACATATTATACCATCATGTTTCAAGGGAATTGAAGCAAATCCGTTCAGAAATGGTGGAGGTCATGTTTTCTGCGTGACAGCAGGCGCCATTGCCGACGTCGGACATATGAGACCCATATGCCCGTCGCCACATTAAGTAATCTATGCATCCGCCTCAACATTCCCACAATCCTCCCACTCATCACGGACTTCACAATTCAAATATTCACCCGTGTATTGAAATATTGATCAATAGTCCCACTCAATTCCATTCTATTTTTCTCATTTTATTTTTTAGCGAGTGAGTATACATTTCCGCGGGGAACAAAAAATAAAATGATATATTGGACTCCAGGTATGTTGTTCAGTGCTCGTCATTGCGGAGTTTCAACAATGCCGCGGCCAGCGCGGGGAATCGGGATGCTACTGGTCTCCAGATCTTGAGATCTCACACTCCAGTACCTACAATTATCAATGTCATGGAACGTCTACCATATCGATCAGTATAGAAATGAGATTGGCGAACTGGTGTGATGGGGCAGGGCATCTGGTGAGTGTTATGCTGGATGAGGGTACCGTTATACTGATTGAAGGAAGGGGTGTGTAGCGCATCATAATCTGTGTTTGGAGGAGGCCGCGCATGTTCATGAAGCATGGGCACTTGCTCGAACACATCCGACACTCCTGGGTATGTGTTCTCGGTGGGCCTACTAACTCTTAATATTAATGTTGAATCTGACGTGTGCCGAGCGCACTGTAAATCCGGCAAGTGTGACCATCTGTGGCATTTGCGAACTAACAATTATTATCAGGCATGAGTGTCAGAGTGGGGCTATGTCGTAAAATTCTATGCAGTAAGAATACAAGTACTAGTGTTGTCCAACGCGAACCGCTCATGCTTACTGAACATCCAGGCCATTTGCGAGCATCGAGCGATTTTTTGAGGTGTTGTGGACCGTGGTGACTGTGTGCGTTTTCTTGCTGGTCCATGTTGGCCCATCAGTGTTTGCGATGTCGAGCACTCGTACTTGTTGTGTTGATCTCATTAAGTCGTTTTGGCAGCTCTCTCTCATGTCAAATTCCGTCAGACTCATGGTACTCAATACAGCATGCCGAGTGCGACATAAAATGGCAAATAAAACGGTCAAATAAAATCGTTATTGGGTAGGGCTCCCTCTCGAACTAAAGCTTAGTGGACGATGAGCAAGACTAGGCACGGTCGATCATTTTCAGATATTTTCAAACAGTACAAAAATTTGTCCAAAAACAACTGTACTAATTGATTTCAAACTAGGTATTGCATATGCATCATCAACCATAATACCAATGCGAGAGCAGAAACATAACTCACTGTCGCGATGTAGCTTCCGGCTCAATTGCCAACCGCAGTGCAGAGCTTGACTCCTTTTTTCTAAAGCGCGCAGGTGAGTCATGCGATTGAATCCTGGTTGCGCAGTGACCTGCTCATACTCACGTTAGGATTGCAAAGATAGCCTGGACAACAATCTGGGTTGTTGTTGCAAGGAGCTGACCATCTGCCACATGCACTGACAGACATAAATGTTGTCAAAGCAATAACAACGGCGAGGAAGGAGAAATGCATTTCTGTTTGAGGTAATATGTAATCTTCTGAGAGAAATCTCGAATGATATGTCTGAGGATGGGGAATACTATAGGACGACGACCAGCTTTTATAGCCTGCATGTACCTATGGGCACGATTCTAATCAATTCGGCAGGATTGTTACTGCTGTCAAATGGCAGAAATCCTGGTACACCCTGCAGGGGCGTGTTCAATTGATTACGCCTTGGATCATTGTATCGCAACCTGCCGGCGAGCATCGACAATTCTCTTCTTCGTCACCACAGTGACAGAATGCTCGCAGGCTCAAACCCCAAGTCTCTCAGCTTGATCTCTCACTCATCGATCAATCACTTGAACCTGCAGTGAACCTGCGCAGCGACAAAGTTGAGAAGTTGATGCTCATTCTCGTCGATATTTCCAATATGTACTTGGTCGATATATCATATTTCATGTCATTTTCTTCACTTACTCGATGCTCCTACATGTAGTACCTGCAGTAATTCCCCTATATAGTAATCTGCCGGTGACTTTGCAATTGATGAACATTCTCTTTCGGAAATTGATCCCCGTCCTTACCTGTGACGTTGGTTTGACAAAGACCCCTGCGGGGAAGTATCCCCTTCAGCTGGGAGGTTGAAACGTTGACCCCTTGGAAAGTTTTGCCGAGCTTGTAGTCATTGCTTGCAGCTTTCTTTCCCGGCTTCACCGGTTGTTTCTATAGAGGTAACTTATGTTGCCTGTTTTCAGCGCTAATGGTCGACATCATCAATAACAATTTGTGCTATACATGCCATATGTATCCTGGAGCAACTTCAACCTGGCCAACAGTGTTTTGGGCTACGGAATCAAGAATTCTCGCGCCAGCAGAGATTGCTGGCAAGGTAACGTGGCACTCTACGACTTTGGACTATCGCAGTTCCATGGCGTCATGCTTGTAAGATATCTTCATCCACATTAACAATTAGCGGACCAGCATATCTAGAATTGATAAATTGGTATGTAAGCCAAACGGCTTTCCCGGTCCTTGGAAACATATAAGTACGATATAACTTACTCGTGATACCAAGAACGCTTTCATTCCGCCTTTCATCCAGCACCAACGGACTAGCCATGGCCTGTGACACTACCGGCACTCTCAACTACATGCTTGCTCCGCCTGACGGCTCTCGGCCTTGCCATTACGTCAACGTAGATAGCACCACCGGAAAGCCAGTCCGCAACTGGGGAGAGGACCCGCATGATATGCAAATTGAGGACGTGCGCGAGAAGGAAGAGCTTTACAAGCTTGACAATGCTGGATTTCAGTATGGGCGAGAAGCGGCGAAGCACACCAGCTTCTTAAATGATGATGAGATTGAGCGCGAATACTACCCCGAGAGCATCGACCTCATCAAGAGGGTCACAGGAGCATCCAGCATTGTCATCTTTGATCACAGTACGTCGACCAGCATCGATTTGAAACGTGTTCATGCCCAATTCGTGTCACAGCTATTCGTCGCCGTCGCCCAGGTGAGGTAGATGATAGCCCACAGAAACGTCAACCAGTTCCGCTGGTTCACGGGGACCAAACAACTGCATCGATTGCTCGTGTTCACAGGCATCTCCCCCCAACAGAAGCTCCTTCCCTCCTTCGAAGACGTTTCCAAATTATTAACATTTGGCGTCCTATATCACATGTGGCTATAGATTGGCCACTTGCACTATGTGACTTCCGGAGTCTCGATTTCGAGAAAGACTTGGAGCCTGTCACTCTCATATACCCTGACCGCGAGGGTGAGACAGTTGGAGTCAAATACAACCCAAACCACCAGTGAAAATACATGAAGGCGATGACCCAAGAAGAGTTTGTTCTTATTAAATGGTGAGCGAAGTCACTCGGGGAAGACTGTTGTCGTGCCAAAAGGGTTTCAGCTTTGACTCGGACTCGCTACAAGATGGCAGTGTTGCGACGGTCACGCCTCATAGTGGCTTCCAAGACCCAAACACTCCAGAGGGAGCGCCGCTTCGGGAATCCATCGAGCTGAGGGCTCTGGTATTCTATGATTAGAAGGCGTTTTTTTGAGTGGCGTTAAGAATTAACGAAGAACTCGTCCCTTGTTTTATCTACAAACCATATTTCTTCCGCCATGGTACGATAGATCATGCATCTCAGGCTAATGCACCGTGACAGAGTAAAGCGGGAGCTAATATCTATATAAGGAAAATATCGGACGTCTTGAATTATGTTTTACAAGTTTTCGAGATTCTCAAAGACATCTATGATCAATTCCTAATATTTGCCTGAATACTTTTATCCCGAGCCCTCGATGGAGCCCAGCTGATTTCACTCACTGCAAATATCCTGGGTATGGATGCACGTTTCCTCGTTATGGTGAGCGGCATTTCAAGTTGATATGCAAGTTTGACGCTACTTGCGTTATTCCTTGACTGCAAACACCAGACGAATTTCCCTCGAGACCTGACACACCTATAATGAGGCATTAGACTGGCATGGCAGCACATGTCTATTCAAGCTATGTATGGTCTTTACCTGATACTACCTATGAGCGTTGTCACCCATGACCTCCCACTAGTGTGTGAGCTAAAAGTGGGACGGATTACAGCTCCATCCTGCTGGGCCTTTCGTGATAAATTACCATCGCTTTGGCAAGACACTGTCTTCTTCGACCCTTGAAAGACTTAGTTCCCTGCTTCACCGGCAGTTTCTACAGAGGTAACTTATGTTGCCCATTTTCAACGCTGATATGGTGGCCAAAATCACCAACAATAATTAGTGCTATACACGTCATGCGTATCCCAGAGCAGTTTCAACACAGTGGTCAACAATGTTTTGGACTACAAAGCTGATAATTCTCGCCCCAATGGAGAATGCTGGTGTTGAGACTTCGGTGGGAGACATAGTCATCGTACGGGGCTCTACGACTTTGGATTATCGCTCATACCGCAGTTCGGTGGCGTCATACTTTTCCATCTACATTAACGATCAGCGGACCAGGAGAATTGATAATATGATATGTCAGCCAAACGGCTTCCCCGGCCCTTGGGTACATGAACAAGATACAACTTACTGGTGATACCAAGGACACTTCCATTCAGTACTAACGGACTAACCATGACTTCTGACGCCATCACCACCCTTAACTATTTCGTCGCTCCATCCGACGGTTCTCGTCCTTACACTGATATCAGCGGAAATAACCTTACAGGAAAGCTGATCCACAACTGGGGCGAAGAATCGCATGATATGCAAGTTGAGGACGTGCGCGGGAAGGAGGAACTTTACAAGCTTGACAATGCCGGATTTCAGTATGGGATAGAAGCGCCGAAGCATACCAGCTTCTTGAATGATGATGAGATTGAGCGCGAATACTACCCTGAGAGCATCGACCTCATCAAGAGGGTAACAGGAGCGACCAAGGTTGTCATCTTCGACCACAGTACATTGACCACCAATTTGGAACGACGTCTTGATTCCTAATTCATGTCACAGCTATTCGTCGCCGTCGCCCAGGCGAGTCAGATGATAACCCACAGAAACGTCAGCCAGTCCCCCGGGCTCATGTGGACCAAACGCCTGCGGCGTCCATTGCTCGTGTTCACAGGCATCTCCCGCCAACAGAAGCTCCTTCCCTCCTTCGCAGACGCTTCCAAATCATAAACCTTTGGCGTCCTATATCACATGCGGCTGTAGATTGGCCACTTGCGCTATGCGACTTCCGGAGTGTCGATTTCGAGAAAGATTTGATGCCTGTCGCTCTCATATACCCTGACCGCGAGGGTGAGACATTTGGAGTCAGATACAACCCCAATCACCAGTGGAAATACTTGAAGGCAATGACCCCAGAAGAGTTTGTTCTTATCAAATGGTGAGCGAAGTCACTCGGGGGTGATTATTGTCGTGCTAAAAGTGTCTCAGCTCTAACTCGATACAAGATGGGAGTGTCGCGAAGCTAACTCCTCATACTGCCTTCCAAGACCCAAACACTCCAGAGAGAGCGCCGCCTCGAGAATCCATCGAGGTGAGAACTCTGGTATTCTATGATTAAAACACGTTTTTTGGAGTGGCGTTAATAATTACCAAGGAAATCGTACCGCATTTTGTTGCTGTATGTATATGTATAGTTGTACTTCACCGATTTTGCTGTTGGAAATTTTGTGTGATCCTCGTGGACGTATCATGACTACCATGTCACTATCCATGCATTCATGACAATCGTCGTCACCGTGTACTCGATGAGCGAGGGCATCTCAGCATACAAAACAAACACACGTAGGTCTTTATCATCGTGATGAACAGGTATTGGGCCATCAGGGCTTCAGTAGTTTCAATTTCAGGCAAGTTGAGGGGTGACTAGCGACAAGCGCGCAAATCAATTATTTAGGCGCTATAAGTAGTCACGTGAGCAAGATCAGCAAAAACTTTGAAGTCTAAGACAAGTTGATAGAACTTCACTGCTCAGCGCACAGTCCCTACCTCTCCAATGCCTGGCCTGCAAAGTGCATCAAAGAAAAGACCAGCGGTCTCACAGGGTGGCCCCAGATCCAAGAAACACCAATCCGATAATCCTTCCTTGACGAAATTCGAGGAAGGAAAAGTTCAGAAACGGAGTAGACCTGTCACACAACCAATCATACCAGCAAGTGGGTTGTCTGATGAGGACGAAGATGAGGACGAAGATAATTTTGAGGAAGAAGAACCTGAAGACCAGGCGATAGTCCCAGATGAGATGATTGTGGATGGTGCTTCCAGCAAAGACCCCAACGGTATGTCGAGGGTTACAGGGACTGAACTGCAAACGATTCATAACGTTCTGAATAGCTGCAAGAGAGTCACATAAAGTCCAACGTGTACTACAGGAACAGCGTCGAGCGGCTAAACCACATTCCCAGTTACTGGCGGATGCAAAGCGCGTCTGGTCATTAGCTCGGCAAAAAAGCATACCCTCCGCGGAACGACAGAAGCATGTGAAAGAACTGATGAAAGTTACTCAAGGAAAAGTCAAGGATATCGTTCTGAAGCACGACGCAAGCAGGATTATCCAGACTGTTGTGAAATATGGTGGGCAAAAGGAGAGGGACCAGGTCGCGATGGAGCTTAAAGGTCATTACAAGTCGTTAGCTCAAAGCAAGTACTCGAAGGTTTGTCCGGTCTATCTTTGCCACTGAACCTTTTTTTGACGACTGTAGTAGTTTTTAGTGACCAAGTTGATCAGACTGTGTCCAGCACATCGTGCATCTATCTTGCTCGAATTCCAGTCCAACGTACTCCGTCTACTGTTGCACCGGGAGGCATCTGCGGTCCTTGCCGATTCTTTCGAGCTTTATGCAAATGCATATGAGCGTTCAATTCTTCTTCGCGACTTCTACGGCAAGGAAGTCGCGTTGTTCTCGCAAACACAAGGTTCTGAACCCGAGAAAGCGAACGCTAGAAAAGGCTTTCCTGGGGTTCTTGAAGGTCTTGAGGGCGAACGAAGAAAACGCGTACTGGCAGCACTGAAAGAAAATCTAACCACGATGTAAGCATCTGAAATTGAACGTTGTGTAATCCCCCAATCGATGATGCTATTGACAGTTTTAACAATTCCGATAAAGGCGCCATAACCCATGCAATCGTTCACAGGGCGCTTTTGGAATACCTGGCTGCTGTCAACGACACCGAAGATGAGTCAGAACGAGAAAAACTTCGCAAGGAGATATTCGAAAGGTAAGTACAGCCCTCGATGATGTATCATTCATTAATATTATATTTGCAGTTGCCAGGATGTCCTTGCCGAGATGGTCCACACAAAAGACGGCAGCAGGGTCGTGAGAGACTTCATTGCCTATGGAACAGCCAAGGTACATTCACATGTTTGCTCAAGTGACGAATATTGATGTTTGTCGTACAGGACCGAAAACAAATTATCAAAGTCATTAAACCTCATGTTGAGCGTATGTGTACAGATGACGAGGCTCAGCTCGTCCTCTTCACTGCCCTAGATGTGATCGAGTTTGTTTTTTAAGTTTATTGACTCGGTATTGAAGAATCCTGACACACTTGCCTACAGTGATACAAAGTTGACGGCCAAATCCCTTGTTTTAGATATCACCGCCCACGCTCCCACACTCATCAACACCCCACAAGGTCGACGTGCTCTTTTCTACTTGCTTGTCCCTCGATCACGGCGGCATTTCACACCTGCCCAAATAGCGATAATTGCTGATACAGACCTTGTACGCAGCAAAACCAGCAAGAAAAGTGCAGTTGTTCGCGAAGGTGAAATACGGGCAGCAGCAAGTGAGGGATTGCTTAAGTTTGTCGAGGACAACGGCGCGGAAGCCGCGCGAGATACCGGTGGAAGTTTGGTGGTACTGGAAATTATGCTTTACGCTGACGGCGGTGGGTGCATTTCACTTGATGTTTATCAATTTTAACGTTTTTTTCTTAGACAAATCTTCGGCTATGCAATCCCTCCTTCAACCATTAGCATCGATATACCCTTCAGAGGATGCCTCAAAGCCTCATCCAATTGACCTCCCGCACACATCACGAATGTATAAATCCCTTTTCCAAGGCGGGCACTTCTCGCATGCTAGCAAATCCGTCGTTCGGTCATCGTCGTTCTCCCCGTCTGCATTCACGTCTGCATTCATGTCCATTGTTGGTAAGGATTTGACAGTAAGCATGGCTGGCGGAGAAGGTGCCTTTATTATTGCAGAATTTTTGCAGCGGGTAAAGGAAGAGGGAAACGCTGATGAAAAACAGACCGTCAAGGGCTGGTTTGGTGGGGATGTTGTCGAGAGACTAAAAAAGAGCGAGACCAAAGGGAGAAATGTCCTACTGGATAAGATCAATGCATTGTTATTATAATGCTCATTCTACAGACCTAGTCACAGTGAACCTTGGGCCAGATTGACGGATGCATTTATATTATCAAGGTTGACTTGCTCTGATTCGCATTAAAAGTGATACCTCTCAGCCTCTCTTCGTATGTCGATTGGTCGCGCAATGCAGAAGGCTTTATCAATGTGAGCGATTTCGCAATTGACGAGGGGAAAGCTACGTCCGACTTGAGCTGAGAACTTTGTTTAGAGTCTCGTGCCAACGATGCTCGTCAGTTGTGTCAGTAAAAAAGAGGAGACTTTTTTTGATTTCAACATATGCGAAGATAAGTTGCCCACGAAAGCTCCACCTTGCATGACTGCAGTTGGCACTACTGTGCTAAGAGAATGTGCTGTCGTTGGCGTAACCGTGTGTGTGTCTACTTGGATTCTCAGTTCTGCCGATTAGCATCACATCATCGGCCACCAAGAGTTCTCTGGTCAGACCTAAATTTTTAAAGCTTTAGGGCCCACAGGATGCGGCGTGTATGTACCATCGAGTCTGATCAAGATAATCATTGTATGGTTCGTGGCAGTGTTACATTTGCATGCATTCATTCCTACAGGCTGGTTAAGAATTTTCACAGGGTCAGAGCACAACAGACCTTGTAAGCCATACAAGACAGTAAACGTATTAAACGTTAAACCCGTGCCTTGCTGACCAGCATCCGGCGACCTAGAAGGAACAATGAACGCTGCCATGGACAGGTCAGACCATCTGGTCCCAGCGCTCGGTTCCACATACGGTGGGTCTACCGTACACTGCTGCCGGAGAGGCTGTACATGATGTATGATACAAGCATTAAAAGCAGGGGTCCTTCAAACCAGCTTCGCATCCTACTCGCCTGCCATGGAACCTATTATCCGTTTTCCATTTACCGACCTTCCAGTTGAGCTGGCCTTCATGCTCCTCGAATATGCCGCACGACCGACTTTTGACCAGGCTGACCTATACGATGCTAGAAGTCCATATTCATCTGCGCTTGCACTCTGTCGTGTCTCTAAAATTGTCAGGCGCGTCGTACTTCCCGAACTCCTGCACACCATATTACTGCCGGACTTTCGGCACGTAGAAAAGTTTGTTCATGCTCTACGTATGCAGAAAGTGTACGGGGAGAAAGGAAACGACCTCCATTTTGAGTACGCACCTCGTGTACAAAAAATGTGGATTGTATCTCATGGTGGGAATCTCGCACCAGCTCACCTGCCCCATGCATCCCGGGCCCATACACCAAAACCGTCTAGATCGCCGCTTGACATCAGCCTCCTAGCTCCGATACTACTTGCTGTACCGTCCCTTGCCCTTGGCTGGACAAGTCTGGACATTCTCGTAGAATGCCTGGAACATGTATGGAAGTTCCGTGCAGCCACACATGTCGACGACGAACATCCCCCGCTTCCCTGGAAAACACAAACTCTAACGCTATCGTGTACGCCCCCCATCACTGGGCCACAGTGGGAGCGTCTCACAGACACTCCCCAGGGATCTGCTTTCCTTGGTTCAATTTCTCATCTCTCGGCCAACCCACACGTATGCGACTACAAGTCTCACACAACAGACTTATATCGGGACTACCAGCTGCCCCTATGGATGGAAATCACTCCATGGGCTTTTTTCAAGAGCCTTCAAACCGTCTTCCTGTCGTATCCGCGTATCGCATCCTCCGTCGATCCATTTGCGTTGATCTTCACGGGAATCGACTCGTACGTGGAACTGCTGACGTTGTCTGCATCCCTGCTGAGGGACCACTGCGACTGCATTCCAAAGGAAATCAAGGGGTTTGCAGATATTGGTCCTGGAGAGGAGTGTATTCAATCGGATGATGTTCGTTTAAAAGTGTCTGATTCTCGGATATGCTGGTATACTCGTGATGGGTGGGAAAAAGTTTGGGCGTGCATGTTGTGAAGCTGGCTAGAGGTATTATAACTTATGACTGATATTCACATAGAATAATATAGTATAATAGTATGTTACTGTACATGCTGGCACGTACACTTTCGAGTTTCGACACCTAATCCTAATTGATTCTTCATGTACATAATGATTCGTGGATGGATCCTGTCCCGCTACTTTGTAGCAACTCTCAGATCCCATGCATCATGGTCCATGCATGATACATAATGTTAGGGTTTCAGAAGAACCGGTTCAATTGTTTGCTTTGTTTGTCGTCTATAAGTGTCATACCCAGCTGATGACGATCATGGGTCTGAGCTTCCATTGTTTTAAATTTTGACGACAGCAGCAACTTGAAGTACTAGCACACACGCTTCATCTCTTTCGAAGCTGTGATGGATAATAAATTTACCAGCATGACTATCAATCACACCAAGAGGCAAGTCGCATACATTGCAACGACGCGGTAACTTACAATATTAATCTCGTCGGTACCGTAGTATACGCCAGGCTGGCCGCCCCTGGTCACGAACCTATTTTCCTCCAACACCGTAGGTAATGCAGAACTCAACGTGTTGGCCATTAAAGACGATTTACATACCACGTCCGACACGCGTTTCTCTCGCGAGTCGCTTGGCGATACACGTGTGTATGGCAAGTCAGACCACCATGCTCTACCACTTCCAAGGCTTCTACTTCTTAGAACCTCCCTAGTAAGGTAAGTGCTTCCATTGGCCTCCGAACACTCTGTGCGAGTAGCGATTGTTCGAAACCTTGATTGACCTTCAGTCATAACGCGTGCGCAGAAGTTTCGGCTGCGAGAAATAGAAGAGACGAGAACAGATGATGCGTACACATAGTGCAAAGTATCCTGACAACTAAAGTCAGCTGACTGAACTTCTACGAACCAGTCCATTCACAGTAATCGTTGCAGACATGCTGCACCTCGAATATGGTGACTGCGACAACTTCTATGTCTCCTTCATCCAAAATATCCTGTCCGTCGCCGATTGAGCTGATTTACATGATAGGATGTCAACGAGCGCCGGAGTTGGAGATCAAGAATATACATACGGGTCCCTCAGTACTTGAAGGTCAGTCAGTAGTGAAGTGCTTGCTGAGGTCGATGAATTTCATGAGCACAGGAATGTCATCAGGTAGAAAGGTGCGTACTTTGATAGTCAGATATAGATGCTAAACCACCGATCCTTCACGTATTGAACATGTTGAGGCACAGGAGGTGTGCACACTTCGGCCTGAGTGCGGTCTGGCCATGCCTGTTTATAATGGTGAGAACGCTCGAACACCACGAGGGGACGTACATTTAGCCTGTTACGATGCCGCCATAATGATTATGCGAAACGCGATAGCTGATATGCTTTGAAGAGTCGCACATGTTAAGCGACCCGTTATCTGACTGCCATGAGGTGAAGTTGTCGAGATAGCTAGCTGTGCAGACGCCAACGAAGCTCAGGCATGCTTCAGCGTTATTGACGCTGTTACGGTATCGCTGCCGGCTGGTAGAAAACAATCATGACGAGAACATATTAGTATTCATAAACTTTAGTTCTATTCGTGACTCCGCGGTGGTATCGCGCGGCAAGTTGCGGCCTATAGAAAAAATTTACTCGAAGCCCTTACTGCTATTTATTATCATGCCTCGAGACAAGCTGCCCCCAGTCAGGAATTATTCTTTGCCGCCTGCGATGATATGCAGTAGCAATGCCTCCCAAGAGCGTCCTTACTAGTATCAATATAGACCCGGAATCAGCGGATCACATCAAGATGCAGTTCCTTATCGCCCGGTCAGTCATAATCTCCCGTATACTAGCGGCGGCAGACCCTGGTTTATCATGAGGTAAGTCATGGTAACCGAGCTTGAGAAAATTTCCATTCCGTTCGGCTCGACGGCGTTCTCAACATCCTATTTAATATCCAAGCTGGAGCCTGGATGGAGCTAGGCTCCACTTCTATTGAAGCTCTGCAGAATTTTGCACTTTCCAAATTTTGTGGTTTACCATGCATCAGTCTCTGCTCATTGACGAGATTCTTTCACTCATCATTCGGTTCGTCGCTGCCGACGGTCAAGGGGACCCGAGGCGCTTGGAAAATACGAGCGGCCTTGCTAAGCTAGCTCGTACATGCCGCTGTTTTATGGAATGTGCTCTTGACACCCTCTGGCGAACTCAACATTCGCTAAGTCCTCTCATCATGTGTTTGCCAAGAGGCATTTGGCAGATTCACTCCAGCAATGTACTTGTGAGTCTCATATCACTGCGTGTATACAATTTCATAGTTACAGTACCTATAGTATCTCACAAGACCACCTACTGAATCTGAGTGGGCACGATTCGACGTGTATTCACGCCGCGTGAAGAGTTTCTCATACCCAAAGCAAACGAAAATGATCAGACTACACGAGGACGCTCTTCCACTTCTTTTTTCTGAACGCTCTCCACAGTCTCTATTCCCGTCACTTTCCTCGCTCGACTTCTCCATCCTGTCGTGCAATTCCTCCAGCTTCACCTTAATCCGAGACTTTCTTTCCCCGAAACTGACAAACCTCGCCTTCGTTCTCCCTCGAAAGATATGCCCTCAGGACATTTGCAGGATATTAGAAGACCTTCCTCGGAAGGCTACCAGACTCGAAAACCTCGCAATTTCTTCGTTCTTTCCAGTGGCGTCATTTGAATTGAACATTCCGACCCATGGACTACCAGACTTACGTCGGTTGGTCGTCTCCAACTCTATTCGTATATCTGCACAGAGCGTGTTGAATATTGCATCACTTCGTTATGTTCAAGAGCTTGCCTTGAATCTCCACCCTGATTTCGACGCCAACGTGCTACGCGATAGCGCAAATCATAGTACCTTCCCCGCTCTCCGGCGTGTCAACCTTGTGGCATATGACCTTCCCCAGTGTACATCTATCGTTTCGCTTATATCCTCACCACAACTAGAAGACGTTTCCGTCACCTACGACGTCCAAGCACGATCTTCCGTCATCACTTCATTCTTGAGTGCCATCGGCACGTCCGTTCGATCAATTTCTCTTCGACATAATATGCAAACTCACACAATTGCCGACCCTCCTTTTGTTTTCTATCCGTCCACATTTACTCCGCTGTTCGCTTGCCGCAATCTCCGCACCATCCAAGTATACAATCTTGGCACGCTTAATTTAGATGATGAATTCATCATTTTGGGAGCTAAAGCCTGGAGCAAACTCGAGGACATCCGACTCTGCAGCTTACCTTGGTCCTCCATAGTCCCCAACATCAGTTTGAACGCCTTGACAGCGTTGACTCAATACTGTCCAAAGCTCACCCGTGTGCACCTATCCTTGGATGCAAGAGAAATACCTGAGCTACCCGTCGACGGTCTCAGTACGGCTGATGCTCAGTCCCTGGGGGTGCTCAATGTCCGGGATTCAGCTATTGGCCACACCGAATCTGTCGCGCAATTTTTGCGGGCGATCATACCGAATATGAGGACTCTGTATGTTGAAGCACACCCAGAACTGAGGGATAAATGGATGGAAGTCAAGGCCTACTATGACCGACTGTCAGTGGTGCCTGTATAGAATGGGTCGTAGATTATTTTGGTATAGAGTTCGTTATTAGTAAGGTATCACTTAGACCTATGTAGATGTTCTTTGTAACTTATATATATGGAGTTAAAGCATTACAGATTTGTCGATCGCCCCGAAGTTTGTCGCTTCGTACTGAATGCGCACTGGCTTTGTTGAATTATTAGCTCTTAAAGTTCTATGTGAAAGGAAAACTAAAAACAGTACCACGTCTTTGGAAGCTCTAAAAAACCCACAATGTTGTTGGTTTAGTACAGAAACCACACCCAAGGTAATGACAGCCCGTTTATAATGCCATCCTGCAGTTCTTGCAATGCTCATAGGTTGAACAAAATGCGCGAGGCAAGGACACTGCACAGCCAACCGAGCGCTTCTTTGACTCAGCTTGTATTATGGAGTTGTATCAAAGTTAGATAACAGGCTTTACCCGATAAGAAGTCCAAGAAACCCGATTAGAAGCTCGCTGCTCACCTTTCCAATCGATAAAATTCGGAGCGCTTGTATAGCGTAAGGGACATCGAAATTAAATCACTGAGAAAACTCATTGAACACTACGTACCTTCATAGAACGCCAATGAACCATAAATGATGCCACTTCCTCGAGTATACCGCGCGTCAATTCTCGAAAATGAACTCAACATTCAGACCGCATCATCGAAAAAGCTGATGATAAGAGCAAATCATACACCATCGACACCAAAATTGGCTGTGCAAAATTTGGCAGCGTATGGTGGATCACTGTTGAGTCAAGTTGCATATAGCTTGGAATCTGCGACATTGGCTCGCGTGCCGGTGGATTGCAGAAATTCAACTGCCTTGCAATTCGAGCCAACCGGGATTCCTGAACGCATGAGCGAGCATCTTTTGAGGTCGAGTTCATAAAATTCTTGCTCAATGGCGTCCAGCTATTCCAGGAAGTGGGCAACAAAAAGGTGCCAGGTTGAATTCGCAAGGAGAGCTTCTAGACACGACCGAGCGTTAATGGTAATTATGGGGACGCTGCGGGGATGGGCATTGCGGAGGAGGATTAATGCTGGGCATCTCTCTCTTGTTTCATGGAACTTCTGATAATCACTTTTGGTTATGATTCAACCGCGACGAGCTTGACGATTTGAATTTGTGTCATCTGCGTAGCTTTAACGGCGTAGACTGGTCACCAGTTAAATATTGGCAGTATTTACTATTATCAGTCTTTTTGTGTTCTTTATCGTCTTCCAAACACTCTGGTAGTATGTCGTAGCGCGAAGTCCACATGATCTTATGCTGTCCAAACCTTCGCAATCAACTCCGTCAAGCCTTTAGGAAATAAGTTAGGTAAGGAAATATGACAAGGAGTATGAATCGCACCAATGTCATTCGTGTTGAACTGATAGACGCCAACGAGCACACCGACCGTGGCCGATCTCAGTGTCCAGGTCAGGATAGGGCCAAGGACAGGGAATTTGCGTTTGTGCACATAGTCCACAACCATCGAGTCAAACTAGCATGAAAAATTGACGTTTATATTCTCAGGCATACCACCTCTAGCGGTCACGTACCCCAATATGAGAGTGCATCACCAAGCTAAGACCGAGCAATCCGTCGAAGACGGGGTAGGATGACCCAGAGGTCACAAAGGCGGCTGCGGTCATGGGAACAAGGGAGGCAGCAAGAAGGCGCTCGAATGCCCAGTGATACGAGCCATGCGTTCTTGATGGAGGGGGGAACTCCGTAGGGTCGTTGACCGTGCCCTTCAAGATAGCTGTGAAGCATATGAGTGAGTTTTGTCACATAGAATTTCCAAAACGTACGTCCGCCTGGTACATACTGCGTAGTCGAGCTTGCCGCTCTCACTTTCAAACCCAGGTAAGCTTGATCCACGCATGATGAATGAGAAGGTTCTACCTTGCAATGCTAATCGCAGGGAATTGCGTCCAGTGGCAGAAGTAAAGGTTCTGGGCAACGTTGAACGAAGGATCACGGACGAAGCCATCGTCGCTGAAGAGAGTAGTGCGAGAAAAGTCGTGTACACCGTGCGTAATGCGGGGCGCGGATGAGCGTTGGAATAAAGCCGCTAAGTTCTAACCAATCACATGCTTCCGGTTACATCCGGGTTTGTTTGATAGCGAGTCGCGACTCTGTTCCCTAGTAGTAGTACTCATACTTCGGAACTTTTGCGATTGCTCAAGCCAGATGTTGATATGCGGTCAAGCTTCTTGATTCCCATTCCTCACTGTTTCAACATCGAAGAGCTACCATCTGCAGAGTCTCAGCGCTCTCGAATCCAGGAGTTGATTCGATGTAGCAATCAGCCGCTAGCTGAACTCAAACAAACACTTGACCCGCTATCGAGACACCTATTGAATGGCCTTGCGTATACGGTTGGTTCTGCACTAGGGTCCGAACCGCCAACACGAGAGGAATGCCTTACAGCATTCAGCATACCCAACAAAGTGGGTCTTACAGCTGGTGCTCGTGCATGGTCAAAGCATTCGCACCGCTCGCAAGGGAAGACATCAGGAGTAGAGGATTCACCAGTCAAGAGAAACAACAAAGGGCAGATAAAAACAGACACGGGGTGGTGGGGTACCCCTTCCGGCTCAGTTTCCTCCATCAATGAACGTGCGCTGATGTTATTTGAACGAGTGGTGGACAATTCGACTTGGAGGAATCTCCATTGGCTACCGCATCAGGTCCTAGTATATGAAGCACGAGTAGCAGAAGGATATGGAATGCGCTGGTCCCAGGATCGTAGTGTCTTAGAGAGTGGCGGAGAAGTTGTTGCTGAACTCCCTTCATGGACATTCCGAGGATTTGTGGAGCCAATGATTGAAAATGGTCACGAAGTAGGATGGAAACACCAGATTTTAGATACCCGACAGTAATTTTTCCACTACTTGAGCTTGTGCACTTGAATAATTGCTTAATACACGATAGCTGGCCCTGAAAGCCTAAAAAAACTTTTGTAAGTTGAGGGGTTAAAACGTTAACTTAAAGGACAGGACAAGTGGCGTGACACTCTTGAACGCGTGACCACCGACGCGTGACCAATAAATATCGTTGTCACGCACGAGGGCCGCCTTTTCGGCGCTGCCTTGCCTTTGATTTCTTGCAGTCGTCAGCAGAGCACGGGTCAACTTTTTCGGAGCCATTCGCGAGGAAACCTTACTTTGCTGCCTCCCGTAGAATGTCAAGCTCTTCTATAAACGGCGCTTGCAAGACGTCATCTCGATCTACTCATGCACAAGCCATCTTGGGTCCCGAGTTTTGTGAGAGGTTGTCTGAGACGAAAGTTCTACTGGTTGGAGCAGGAGGAATAGGATGCGAACTTTGTAAGTCTTTGAAGGATATATTTTTATATTGCATTCCGTGATTATGATATAATATGTGACAGTGAAGAATATCGTCTTGACTGGCTTCGGCCACATAACCCTCCTTGACCTAGACACTATAGACCTTTCGAACCTGAATAGGCAATTTCTTTTCAAAAAGAAAGATATCAAACATAGCAAAGCCATGGTAAGCCACTCAGTTGACAGATCTCGTTCCGGGGTAACATCATAGCATCGTCCCGCAAGGTAGCAGCCCAAACTGCTGGCGCTTTCAACCCCAACGTCAACATTCAGCCCATTCATGCAAACATAAAAGAAGCACAGTTTGACATTGAATGGTTCAAACGTTTCGACATCGTTCTGAACGCACTAGACAATCTCGGTAATGATAACCGACGATTCAAATTCAACATAGTTTGACGGAATCCATTTTCCAGATGCACGAAGACATGTTAATAAGATGTGCATGGCTGCTGGTGTTCCTCTAGTTGAATCCGGCACTGCCGGATACCTTGGCCAAGTACAGCCTTTACTCAAGGTATTGGTTATCTTGGTTGATACAGCTGTGTTATTGAAGGATTTCTTGTTTAGGATCGCACAGAATGTTTTGACTGTGTGCCGAAGCCTACACCGACGACTTTCCCGGTGTGCACGATCCGGTCTACACCGTCTCAACCTATTCACTGTATTGTCTGGGCGAAGAGCTACCTACTACCGTGAGTTTGTTAATGCGTTTTATGAGAAGATACTGTACTGTGATATCAGGCAACTATTTGGCGAGGATGAAGATGGGACAGACGAACTCGATGAAGCGGAGAAACAAGGAGAAAACGGTAGATTTGATTATCCTGAAGGTCTGTATGTATTACTAAGGGAGTGTTTCACACAGCCGAAGAAATTGCCGCTCTGCGCAGAGAGGCGCTCGCGTATAAAGCAGTTCGAAGTGCGCTCCGCTCCGCACAGACGACGGAGGATGTGGCTCAACGTGTCTTCAAGAAGGTCTTATTTTACACCATATCCAAATTCTACTTTGAGGTATTGATTCTCTGCAGGTTTTCCACTCAGATATCCTCAATCTGTTATCAATGTCTGACATGTGGCGCGCACGTGCAGCACCAACGCCTCTTGATTTCAACGCTATCCAGGAAGGGACATTTTCCATACAACGACCTTCGAATCCGAGTACTACTAGCGGGAGTGCACAGACCACCCACTTCCAGCCAGCGAACGGTCACGTGAACGGAAAGACCCCTTCGACGTCTAGTTCGTCGAACGGAGTTTCGGGACTAAGGGATCAACGGGCACTCAGTTTACACGACACCTTGGAGCTTTTCATGTCAAGGTAGGTATAGGTGTCATGCAACCAATTAGATTTCTCAATGAGAATTGCAGTACAAATCGACTTGCCGAGCGACTTCGCAAAGGTGAAGATACAATTTCCTTCGACAAAGATGACGACGACACACTCGATTTCGTTACCGCTGCTGCAAATCTTCGTTCTGCGGCATATTACATCGATCGCAAGACACGTTGGGAAATCAAAGGTCTGTCTGTTTCCATATCGCTAATACTCTCTTACCACTCATCTCTCCCTAGAAATGGCAGGAAATATCATTCCCGCAATTGCGACCACCAATGCCATCATTTCCGGCCTCATAGTTTTACAAGCAATCCATCTCCTTCGCAAATCATACGCGCAACTGCGCAATGTCCACGTGCAATTCAAGCCAACCAATCCTCTTAGCACAAGTACTATGTGCCCGCCAAATCCTAAATGCGGCGTCTGCCGAGACACCTACACCACAGTTTTGTGCGACCCTGCTCGGGTAACATTAAGTGAACTTGTACATGGCGTACTCGGCGATAATGAAAGGGAGGTTAGTGTCTACGAAGACAAGCGTATCCTCAGTGACCCCGACTGGGATGATAATCTTGAACGAACCCTGGAGAGTTTGAATGTTGGAAGAGGCAAGTTCTTGACAATCGTGGATGAGGATGAGGAGTGGGGCACGATTGTAGTTGCGTTGAGCATACTACCGTAAGTGACATAGATTTTCTGTTGAGTCCTTGGTTAATGTGCACCACAGACCTAATCATCCTTCTGATGGCCCAGCGTTCATACTTCCATCACCACTACCATCGCCTCCTCGTCTAGAGAGGCAGCAGTCAACACCCCCTCCCGCGCCATCTCGCAAACGGTCCGCCCCTGATGACGAAATTGTGGAAGTCGGGCCAATTGCCAAACGCGCGAAGACAGATACAAATGGCACAGCATCAATACCGAATATTGCGAGTCCCAACAAGAGGAGGAGGTTAGAGGAGGACGGGCTACTGATGTTGAGCAGCAAGGATGACAAAATAGAGGACGACGTGATCGAAATTGATTGAGACCCTTTCTTTTTCCGTCTCGTTTATGTTATTGAATGTTCTAAGTGCTTCCGTTGCAGACATCGAGTGAGCATAGTATTACTCAGGTGCGACGTTGCTAACGGGCGGTATGGCAGCTCGAATGATCACTGTCAGCTACGGTGGGACATGAAGATCTCCAGCTGCTTTTGACTTTTCTCCTTTGCTGAGGTCCACGCCGACTTAGCTACATGATTAATTATGAAGATGCTGTAGATATATATATGACGCTTTCAAATGCCACTTTACATAATAAACTGTGCAATACAGCATCAAGTACGCGATACATGCAAGGCGGGATATGAGTTCGAAGGGGGAAGTGAACGAGATACGAGACGAGTGCAAAGGTGATCGAGACGAGTAGGAAAACGTTTGAGACGGAAATTTTCTGCGAGGCTTTTTTTTTGTCGTGTGGTAGCATGTGAAACATTCCGGTGAAGACAAGGGGATCGTGAAGACGGAGCACAAGGTAAGATAAAAGAATGAAGTACGTATCCACGTAACTCGGATGCGAATAGCGTCGGCTGAATCACGTGGTCGACGGTCGTGCTAACCATCTGAAGCCCGCGTAGAGGATACAGAATCCTTGAATACACGACATAACGCATTTGGCATCTGTTACGCGGACGGTATCATATATTCCTTTCGGCTTGAAGTTCTGCTCACATTTTAATCTATTCTTGACCAGTATCCTTATTGTTGGCAATTGTCATCAACTGGCGAGCTCTAGAGTTATGCATCTTGCAGGCAGCAGGAATGAATCATTTCCTTCGAATGTGATGTGATCTCTACTGCTTTTTTTAGTCGGAACAATTGCGAATCCTGAAGTTTGGATGTATCGTGGAAGAACTTTGGGGTGGTGTTCATGCCTTCGACAAAGTGTATCGTGCGCTCGATGTTGTGTATTGTGCACTGGATACTACGCCATTCATCAAAGTGGCATTTGGAGGGTCATACAGATACGTTATTACGCCACGAAGGATCTGAAGTTATTTCTGTCTTGCAGTCACATGGACGAGGGCCCCGTGTTGGCTTTCTAAGTCGAACCCGGTGAGATTGGTAAGTACGCTCCTCATTGCCCCCGAAAGTGACTGATGCTTAGAGCAAGACTGTTATTCATCAAGAACCCCCTCGGCAGAATCAAGGCGATGAAAGAAATGCGACAACACGTGCCAACAGAATGCAGACAAGTACATAGTGCAATCACTGATTCGCGCGTACTCTCCCGCGACTTAGATTGAATTGTTCATCACACCATTCCTATCCCCTGATGTTGCAGTCACTACAACCACCATCGGATCCGTTACCTGCTTTACGGGGCTGGCATCCAGGAGAACAAGCCGTTCAGGCAATCATCCACCTCCCCGAGCGCGTTGCAATCACTGCGGTCGTGGATAGGTTGCCCGAGCAGCATCGCCTCTTCCACACAAGCCGACTACATTTCTTACCCGTCACTACTCTAGACCAGCAAGGGAGACCGTGGGCATCTATTCTCTGCTCACATGATGGGATGCCAAGCTTTATCTCATCTCCTACCAACGCTTTGCTCACGATCAAGGCACACCTATGGCCTGGAGATCCAATCATTCAGAACCTCTCCCAGATTCATGATGGAAAACGACTTTTTTCCGGGATCGGGCTTGAGGTTTCGACTAGGAGGAGGAACAAGTTCTCTGGCCATATATCCAATGTTTCATTGAGAGGTCTGGATGTGGATCTTACTTCCGTAGTCACTCAAGCCCTGGGGTGAGCTGCCGCGGCTTCTTTGTGTTGCAGCTCTGTCTCAAAAACTGTAGGTTGTGTCCGAAATACATCAATATCAGGTCGATCATGCCATTTCACCGGACATCGCCACGCCTCATCTATGAGCGGTTTAGCCTAAGGGACGGGGAACGCCTGCCTGATGATGTCATTGCATACATCCATGCAGCTGATACCGCTTTCTTGTCCACATCCTACGTAGCCACCCAGGAGGATGAAAACACTTATCCCTCTCGAGTTGGTGTCAATCATAGAGGGGGTCGCCCCGGATTCGTTCGAGTCAGACCTTCCGATGGGAAGACTCTCGTGCTTCCCAATTATGCTGGTGAGAAGAACGATAAATCGCAGAGCGAGTCTTTAATATTTATATATAATACACAGGGAATCGCGTGATGAACTCGCTTGGTGATATACACATCACGCCAGTTGCCGGACTCGTTTTCCCTTCATTTTCCACCGGATCCATCCTGTATCTTACCGGGAAAGCTGAAAACCTGTATGGCGCCTCTGCGCGAGCAATAATGCCAAATATGAATATCGTCTCCACCATCTGCGTCACTGGATTCTCCTTTGTCGAAAACGCCATCCCGTTGAGGGAGACAGGGTCATCGGAACGTAGCCCCTACAGCCCACCCGTCTGCTACTTAGCAGAAGAAAAGCCGCCATCTGTATCATTTGCAGACATCACCCTTAACATGATAAAGACGCGAGTGCTAGATGACACTCTCATGACCCTCACTTTTGAGTCCTCACGACCTGTGGAGATCAACCCAAGCCAAAACTGCGTGCTGGAGTTGTCGGAGTTCCTACGCAAACGCTCACACGCGTTGTTGGACTGGGAGGAGGATGAGAGCACAGTGAACGATGACTGTGTACGTACCTGGACGGTATCCACGCCTCCAGCGCCAGATACACCATGCACTCTTTCTCTCACAATGAGAGCGATCAAAGGCGGCCTTATTACTCCAATTTTATATCAGCTTGCTCGGAGTGTTGATCCGCAGCTGACTGGAGAAGAAATTGACGTCACAGGCTTGAAAGTCTGCGCTCGACTACGAGGTGTCGGGGGCGATCTTCCTGTCCCAGAACCTCTAGCAGCATGCGACGGTGGGCGACGGCTGCTGTGGATGGCTGGTGGAATTGGCATCACGCCTTTCCTAAGCTTGACTCGTCATGTCACAAACCTCGCTGCTCGGGGATTCGGCATGTGGGATGTGACGCTCGTCCTTGCAACGCGGGAGCCGGAGGTTATGCTCGGGTTAATTCAGGAAGCGTTCGTGAACAGACCATCCTGCAAAATCGACGGCTGCCAGTCGGCCCCCAGCCTTACATTTTCCATTCATATCTACTCCCCAAGGCAATTCCAGCTGCTTGAGCCTTTTCCGCCATTCGTCTCCCTGATCCCACACGAAGGACGCCTTGACGACAGTGGAGCTCTTTTTGGCAGTGTAGACGCAAAGGGTCGGGAGTCGCATATATGCGGCCCGTTGCCTTTCGTTCTCAATGCTATGAAGTCGCTCCGAGCTGCTGGAGTAGATCTAGAGCGCGTAAAGCGAGAGAGATTCACATATTGAGAAAGAGGAAGACATGTACTGGGATGGTAGTTACTTCATAGTCCAAGAGATCTAGGGGATCTTCTTATGAATTCGCAATTTCGGAGCCTAGAGTATCACGGTTGCCTGATATCGGTGTTCTAAGTAATAGCAGTTATCGCACTTTGTTGGCGCCACCATGGCTCTAGATATAGTATACAGCAGTCGGTCGGCAACTTAGTTAAATGTCCAGATGTGACAATCGGTCGAATATGCGGAACGCCACGAAGGCAATGGCGGAATGCGGCCAGGATTCTACGGGTGATGGGAGATTTGTGATACTAGTACTGGGTACCGATGATCCATAGCTAGATTACTTGAGGCTTGTGACTCACGGTGTAGAGCTTCATACACGTTCATACAGAGAGATAACATGTAGCACACCCATCCACTATCGCACCGTTTCACAATGATCCGTGTCGTGTTTATCATGACCCACCTGGCAAGGCGACCCAGCCACTGATATACAGAGTGTATTGGTATACGTGACATGCCAGCAGATCGTTCATCCTTTTGCTCGTCCTACAGGAAATGTGGAGGCACATCAATACAAGTGCTCCGGGGTCGTTTTGTCTACAGTAGGGATCGGTTCGAGACGGTCTCTCATCCCCATATATATGTTACCTCGCGATGATAATGGCCGCGTGAATAAACTCGAAGAAAAGACTGTTTTCCGTTATGAGGATTGGACTTGAAAACTAGGAGCTTCAAGGTCACGGTGCACTAGAACCAACTCAACGGGCCGGGACTTCGGCGACGGCCCGAGACGCGCAGAAATAGTTGCTTACAAGATCATGACTGCGGCTTCTTTCAAACAAAGTTCAGTCGAGATGTACAGCCTCCGAGTCGAGATCTAACTGTCCAGATGATGCCATCATTACCCTGAGCATATCACTACCAGGCTCCAGCCTCGGAGTACCACCCCCAGTTCACCAGGACATCTCACGGCTCAGTTCGGCTGCAGTCACTGCTGCCAATGCATCGGCCAATGATCAACGTTGATCACTTCTAGCGACGCACGTTCCGCTTCCTAGACTGTAGCACCCAAGGATCGAGGCCATATTTCTCCCACTTGCTGCATGAAACACCCGATGCGGCGTCTACCCCTTTGCCAAGTCAATGACTATCAATAATCCTGCTACCGGAAAAGTGGCCAAGTGAATGATCATCTGTACCGTAAGTGTCGTGGTCCATTTACAACCCACTCGATATCTAGAGGATTTTACTGCATCGAAAACGGCACGAAGGTGCCACATCTCGGTTTGAGGCATACTAGAAGGTTTGTCTGTTGTTGTCATATTCGCTTCATAATGTTCATAGTCGAGAATACGCCGTTTTCGATATCCACGGTCTTACCGTGACACGCCTGGACGACACGGTGTTCTCAATATAGTACACGACTTTAGATCATTGTACATACACATGCACTAGACGAGCTGATTCCTACACGCGCATGCAGTCACTGTATGATTGTGTACTATGTGCGTGTACATTCCACAAGTATCCAAGGTCTTTTATGCAAATCATTGCTACCAATATACAATATATAGTCATGTGCATGTAACCCATGTGATAGAGCAAAAAGTTACACGAGATAGTACCAGATTCGAGTGTGATGCAAGGCAAACGCAAATGACGGTAAAAACACAATTGATGGCGAATGCAATTGCAAAGTTTCGAATATAGGGAATTACTACTCCCAGCTGTCTATCACGGGACAAATAATATGGCTACAGCGCAGCGTTGCGATGCAGAAGCGCTTTTAGCAGTCGATAGTGAAATTATTCCTCATACGCGAAGCAGTAGTGGGAAGGGAGCGGCAACATTCTCAAGGCTTACAACATGTCGACTGAAGATTCCTTGGATACTAGTTCTACAAATCATGTCTAGATTGAAAGCTAACTTCTCTATTTAATACAGACTCGTGCACCATTCACAATAAATTCCTGTACACTGTCTCCGAGTCAGCAGGACGAAAAATTACAAACAAAAGTTAAACCATACCTGTTCGAGTTGGGCGATTAGGGGGGTCTTGCACCAACACTCAAAGTACCTGGAGTGGTGGCCTTGACTGCCTCCAACTTATTCATTTCCGCCATCCAGTTCACCAATCTTGGAGAAAGCAATTCGCCCTCCGGGACTGCTTTGAGATCTGCAAGCAGCGGGAACAAAAAGAAGTCCGCCCAGCTCAGCTGGCTCCCGAACACGTAGCCCTCATCGGCCATCAGTTCTTCCACTTTACTAAGCAATCTGGTAAGATGCTCTACAGCTGGTTTGATTTGTTCGCGAACGGCAGAATCTGTAAGTTTGCCTCCGTCGATCGCAGCTACACGGGGTTTCACGACCCCTTTCTCAACAGCAGGGAAACCTAAAGCATGAGATCAGTATCGTAGGAATGTATCTGACGGAAATTTCAAGCTGACCATGTGCTCCAACAAGACTCACAAACTCCCACAACTGTTCCTCGATGATTGCTTTCCCGTGGCCCGGTGAGATAAGCAAGCTGGGTTGTGGTGCAATCCTGTCAATGTAGCGCGCGATGGCAGCGGTCTCGCGCAATTTCAGGTTGACTGTCTTGCCATCAATTTTGTGGATGACCAGGGTGGGCAGAAACCCGAATAAATGGTTATCATATGCTGTGTCCGAGTGTGGGACGCATCTAACTTGGGTGAAGGGTATCCCCTTATGAACTAATGCGAGAGTGATAGATCGGGTGAAGGTGCTGAATGGCGTCCCGATGATGGTGTAGAGAGGTGTGGACATGGTTGGTGTTAGAGTGCTTGATCGCACTACTCAGCTGGTTTTAATCACCTCGGCTAGTTACTTAATGTCCACGCAAGCACTGGCAGAAGCTCCACTCATTCAATGATGGTGAGAACCTGCTACTTGGAAGACAAGTATTTGATTTCGACCAACGTGTGTGTGCGAAAGCAGTGACGGCTTGATGACAATCGCGGAAACATGTCATCCATCCTGTCGCATGACCGAGCCAGACAGTAGAAGGATGGTGTGTTACGTACTAGGCGCACCGGTGGCCTCTCGGAGTCAGTCCTGATTTCAATATTCAATATTCAATATTCAATCTCCGATCAACTCTTGCTTATCCCTAAAGGCATCACATAAGCAGCACATTTCTCATTAACACAAGGATAAACGATAAACGATCTTTTATTGGCTGAGGAACACCAAATTCTAGCTATTGAGTAAGAAGTACAAGAAGGCCCAGCCCACCACCTAGTATGCTAGTTAAACAATTTCAAACTCGACGTGTGACTTCGCATTAGGAAGCTGTTATAATTTGCTGTGGAGATGATTAATCGGATGTAACTTGATCGGGGGCCATCAGCTTACCTCTATGGAGCAATGACTTCGGAGTCGCTGAGTCTCTCATATGGACACGGCGCCGGAACATTCTCATCCAGCAAGTAATACTGCTTGGACTCCCGCGATCCTTCGTCGCCGTAGTTCTTCATCTCGGGGCTGAGAGGGATGGGATCGTACTTGGCGAGGAGAGCACGAACTTTTGCAAGCGCACCCGCCCGCTTTGCATCCGTGCTAAAGAGAATGTCGAAAATCCACTTTGGCTGCATAACCATGGTCACGCCCGGTGCATAACGCGTGCGCCTCACTTGGTGGGCCGGGGTTTGGATGACAGTGAAGAATTGTTCTCCGCCAAAGCAGAAACACCATCTGTCCGTGTCAATGTCGCGGGGTGTATCTGAAGGCCAGGGCTTTTCATCAAGCTTGGCGAGACCGTTAAGGAGTTCCCAGAACAAGGTATTGTATTCTTCTACTGTTCGTGAGTTGACTTCATTTTGCTTGGCAAGAAGAACGAGGGAGGTGTTGGGGCCAAGCTGGCGTGCTTGAGGGAGATATATGGAAAGTCCCTTGGCAATCGTACGGATATGGCGTGTGTCTGACAGGTCATCCGAGTCGATGAACAAATAGAGCTGGTCGTCTGATTTAAAACCCTTTGTAGCGTAGACGCAGGGGAATACTAGTTCTTCATCGAGGAGGACTGCCTTATAATCTTCGTAGGCATTGCGCTGCCACGTTCCTTCAGGAAATGCAGCAGTGACTTGCGCTCTGAAATGAATAAAATATCAGACTACGACGGCCTCAAATTAGCGCACACATCCGTACCTTGTCAAAGGAATACCCTGTTGGTCGTTCTGTTTACTGCCAAATACAGCTTGAATAAAATCCTAGAAGTCGTCGATCATCAGTTCAATCATAACCGATGATCAAATATATCTGATACGGACAATGAGGGAGGATAATAGCCCCTGGAACGTCTTCGGTACACCTCGAGATTTGATCGAGGCAGCATTGGCAAGAAGTATAAGTATAACACCGCCAACGAGCTGTGCAGCTAAAGTGTAGATGTCAAACATGATTGAAAGTGTAGTGTTGAAGATTGGAGTACAGGAAGCTGGAGTGCTGAAAGCTGAAGAACTGAGGATTGTAGTGAGGAATGTCTGGCAATGTTGGTAGAGTTTTTATAGGCCTCAAAATCCAACTCTGAGGATGCTGATTTGTTGTCCAACTGAGAAGCATCATCACAACCCAAGGTCAAATGATTGCCTTGTGAACCAGACTGTGGGCGCGGCGTGACTAGGCTTCGGATGACGACACGTGGATGATTCAATAGGTGTACTTTCCATACTTACGATGTTAGAGCATCATCGATGACGCCGGAACAGTGAGAATATTGACGCAGTGATAGTCACGGGAGATCTCACTGTGTACCAGTTCTGTAACTTGGGTAAAGTTTTGTCTGATTAGCTATGCTTAAAACCTGTGAGAAAGATCATCATGTACATGTATGTTCAAGTTGAGCACGTACGCAGTTCAATAACAGCTGGCGTCCGAGATTGTGACTTTTCGGTAACTTACTTCGTCCCAGTAGTTCGTACATGGTTTCGCCATTTGGAGATCGAGAAAGCCAAGAAGAGTTGCTGACCACATGCGCCACGATGTTAATCACCCGAAACGAGACGGACTGCATCCGGGGCCGAACCCCCGTTCACGACATATCATCGAAATCCTCCGAAACAAGCCAATACTGGTCAACTACAAACCAGAAATATGCTTAATTATTAATTCCCTGAGAACACAGCTCCTTTTGAAGCGGATTCAACTATGCAAGTTGACTCACCGGATGCAGTGATTAGACATTGGTCCGCTCATGAGTCAATCCGAGGAGAACAACTTGAAAATATGGAACGGTGCCTTAGCGGAGGTAATATCAGTGAGTGCAGGCCTGGGTTCATTCCGGACTTTGGTATCTTTACCATCACAACTATTTTTTCAAGACGCATTGTCAAATGGTCAACAGTACCTGCAATATGAGTGTGCGGAAATATCAATGACAACCGCAGCAATTTTTTTTGAAACACCAGTTCACCTCGGATTGTCGACAAGATCATTCGAAATTCCAGGCCCCCACATTCGTGGCAGCACCCGCTACCTCGAGCCCGAATTCAATACAGTTTGCACATGTCGGCCGTCTTCCAAAAGAGCCCCATATGACAAAGTGCAAGCCTAATTTTCGGCATGATATGGAGGAAGCTTGAGCTTGAGAACCGGGTGTTGTCTCCATTGGGCGTGGTAAACCATTATAAAGCATCTAAGTACTTGGGTAACGCCAAAAGGTATGATAATACGACCATTGGCTGATTTTCACATACGCTTCCTTCTGATAATTACGACATACTGTCGTGCTCTGATTCTACAATCTCCGTATGCATTTCTTGAAAGTTTTCCTTAACTTATTGTATCGCTAGTTGCCACTTACGGATGATGCATCGACGATGTCAGTTGCGCCGCGCGGCTACCTAGAGTAATCCTGTCGCGTGGACGTGATCACAGGACCAGAAGAGGGCTCTGGCAAGACAGCAGTTCGCCTACGACGACGCTGCAAGGACAGGGCTGTTCGCTGTGGCCATATGGGAGTAATACGGCCACGTAATATGGCCGCCGTTTTAGAAAAGAAAAGTACGAATGTGCTAGCATAGGTATCGCCATTCCTCAAAAGCAATTGGCTGTGTACTTATGAGACCAAGAACAGATAAAATAGTTACCGTGACACATCACCGAAGAGATGATCCGTATTTACAACGCACATGAATATAAAACGTCGTCTGAACGTGCAGTGGAGCTCGAGGATGAAAAGAAGCGTGAGACACGGAAATAAAATCCGGAAACACCGATCACCAAAGTAAACCTCGGTCAGATTCAACAAATTGCGGTGGCCGCATCTGACTTTCCTTCCGTTGCTTTGAAACCAGGAAGTTCGAGACTGAGTCAGCCCATTGCACTCACGACGAGTCGCATGAGAGCTCGACGTGTCAAACAGGTAACATAGCAAGCCAAGCTCTAGATCACATCAGCGTTACGGCGCTCCTTTAACATTCCAGAAGGAGCAGCCTTGGAGCGGCCTCTATATTTGAAATCTGAAAACCCCATATCCGGCACCTCCCCCTCCTTTGCCTTTGCGCACTTTCTTGTACTTGCGTGATCCTCGGACCGTCTTGTCATGCAGAGGTGCCAGCGGTACACTGGGCCGTCTCTCCCGCATCCTCCTAACTCATCCATTGTACCCCTGAGGCCATGTGTTCATCAACACTGCATCTCCTGAGACCAGTGTGGAGTGTACCGCGGACAAGTTGAGTGTGGCCACCACTGTGCAAGCTCTTCTCTCGGTGATCAAAGTTGTTACGCGAGCTTACTATTTTCTCCCATCATTCAGACCTAGAGACTCCCACCCCACGCTTGTCATCATACTCGCACGGTCTTCCTATTTTTTTTTGTAATTACTCCAAAATGCATCCGATTGTATTTCTATTGATAGAGAATCGAAGGCAGTAGGCCTCATCAAACCATGGAGTCTATGCATGACCAATGTGTGACTCTGTCAAATGACACGAATTAGCTCTGAGACGCGAGATCTCATAACTTCCTGAGCATAAGAACAGAATCGCGTCTTAGAAGTTAGCAAGATGAATGTGGAGACAACTGGATAGTCCCTGGGTTTTTACGATGACAGTCAGATGGTTCTACAGCATACTGCCTACCATGTGACTAGCCCATAAGTAGAATTGATTCAGAAAGATATACCATAGTGTATTTACACGACCCAACTCCCAACGTATGCAGGGCATTAGGCAGTGTCAGATGCCGGATTATAACCAAGGAGACAGACAGCCTGTCCGTTGCTGTCAGACTCAGCGGTGCCGAGGACTTCTCTCCGCTTCTAGTAGTCCAGCGTCGAATTTACAGTGTATTCTTACATTTCCCCACATACGCAAAATATTTATGACTTCAGACATCCACGATTATATAATCTTATGATGACCTTGGAGCGGCGTCCACCCGCGTGTGTCTCGCGTGGTTCTTGTGTGCCAGTATAACATAGCCACATCGACATCGGACCGTATGGACCATACGATGCTAATACTTACATATGCTATTTTTACCAATAAAAACACCACGCTATACATACGCACTGCACTAAGTATCGCCCTAACTGCATAAAATCTCACGCCCCTTTCTTTCCTCTTGTTATCTAATCCCTACTGGAGATATGGCAGACACAAAGGTTTGGTTTAGTGGGTGAAAGCGAGTTCATTGGACCCGCCAAGAGTACTGAATACTGATATCTAGTTACTGGCGCATCGTCGGGGTTCGGGAGATCAATGACTGAACTATTGCTCAACAAGGGCGACAATGTCATAGCGACACTTCGCAATCCTGATGCTTTATCAGATTTATCAGCACAATTCTCATCGTCCCAGCTCTTAGTCATTCAGCTTGACGTGACGAACAGCGCGGGAGTATCAGCTGCGTTTGCAAAAGCAAAAGAAGCTTTTGGAAGGATCGATGTTGTGTTTAATAATGCAGGTCAAAGTGTAATGGGAGAGCTTGAGTCCGCAAGCGAGGAAGAGGCCCGTCTGATGTTCGAAGTGAATTTCTGGGGTGCTATGCATGTGAGCAAGGAAGCGGTGAAGTTCTTCCGAGAAGTGAACAAGCCAATTGGTGGGAGACTGCTACAAGTCTCGTCAAGGTTGGGATTGGTAGGCGGCGCTGCGGCTGCCTTCTACAGTGCATCGTGAGTATTCTGTATAATGCGATATACTGTATTCAAGTCATAGCATTGCGACAGAAAATTTGGCAGGTGTAATCAATTTTTGACATTGGAGATGCTTACCGCATTATCTAGCACTGGAAGGCCTAAGCGAGTCTTTGGCAAAAGAACTTGATCCCGCATGGAATATAAAGGTAACTTTAAAATACTTGATGTCTAAGGACTTAGTATCAACTTTCTGTTTCCCCAAGGTCACAATAATCGAGCCAGGTCCATTCCGTACCAAGATATTCAAGGATAACCTACGCCTAGCTCCCCAGCACCCTGCGTACGACAATCCCAGCTTGCCCGGTTCCCAGTATCGACAATTCGTCGCGTTGGGCAATATCGATGGAGATGCAGACAAGGCAGTGGTAGCCATTGAGAAGTTGACCCACCTCGATGATGTTCCTATGCGCCTGCCACTGCACAGAAGGGTCGTTGTTGGAGCAAGGGAAAAAATCAAGAGCCTGACTGAGGAAGTGGATAAGTTTGAAAGTTGGTCTGAAGATCTTTACCATTAAAATGCATGCATTGTAGTAAGCTACTTTTTCGAATGTGATCCGTACGCATTTATGCGACAATTTTCCTCTATGCAGAGTCCAGACTGTCGGAAAATCCTATTTTTGGTTGGAATGTCCCACAATGGCTTAAAAGGGCTCGATTTACCGGCGGCATTGCCACTCGCTTGGAAGCAGACCCGAAAATTGTGGAACATCAGTAAATTACCACGCTCTGTACAGGTCTGTCCAGATCTGTACAGCACGCCAAGTGGACAGCTTGGTCCTTACTAGCCAGTTCATCACAGTAGGATGTTCTCTGTCAATCTCTGTACAGATGCTCACAGACCCACCCAGTAGGTACCAAATAGGTCTTTTAAATAGTATTATTTTCTGTCACATCTGTACAACCCTCTGTCCATGTTTGTGCAGGTACTCACAGACTGCTTAGAGGTGTTCACAATTCAGCTTATTCATATTGGGTACAATACTAGTGCAAAAAATCACGATATAATTGAATCAGTGGAAACACAAAACTAGTAGTAGTAGTAAATGGTAAACGAGAACAAAAGAGAGTGAAAACATGATGCAACGGGTTAATTCTGCGAAAACGGTACCGGGAGCCTCAATCAAGCTGCACCCGTAGGTTATGGTGCTTTGATGTGTTGATGCTGTCGTGTTTGGATGCCTCCACCCTTGAGAAATTCGTCAGCACTAAACGATACACAAAAAAAGCCCTAACCATCCGACTTGAGCCCATTCATGAAGCTGATGCATCAGCTTCGGACCGTGATAAGGATTGTTCTTGATGTTTTTGAGTAGACCAAGCATTGCCATATAAACAGTCTTGTACTCCTTGGCGGTAAACTTCGGATAGAGCTTGCCATTGCCGTGTTTCGCGAGGCCTTGCAGGATGCAGTGGAACTAGAAAAATGTCAGAAAATTTGTGGCAGCACATCATCATAAAGAAAGTACTGCTGTACAAATGAGAGCCAAACACTTCAATGGTACCTGTTTCCGAAAAATATCTGGTTGCCTACGAGCAATGCAATAAGTTCTGGTATACATGAAGAGAATGATAGCTTCAAAAAATGCGGGGTGAGCGAAGTTCCTTGTTTTCCCTAAATTGTCCAGTCCATAGCGCAAAAACTTGCCATCGTCCAGCAAATCTGCAGCGGCAGCTTCAACCCAAGCTGCGTGTTCTTGAATGGGAATATCAGCTGGTGGGACAAGGCCATATGCAGAAGGTGCGATAGCAATGACGATTTTTTTGAGCTCAGAACGCCAAGTTGCCAGGTCATCATACAACTAGAAAATCAATAAGATATGAGGCATACAACAATATATATAGCACACCAGCCTCGCCATGTCTGGTTTGTGTTTGGGCCACACACCTGTTGGATGCCTCGAGTCAATCGACTATCTCGACGGAAACAGGGACTTACCAGCGTCAACTTGGTGGCTGGTTTTGAGCCATTGCACGAGGGATGCTGAAAGACATTCAGTGATTGAGACCGGCATGTCAACAACAAGGCTTGGAAATGGATTTTCTAATGCTTGCTGGGTGCGACACTCCCCCTTCACATCTTCAAGAAAACTCTTCCAGCGCGAACTATACCATCCCAGTTGAGAAGCTTTGGGCCCTTCATCATCGGATGTGTTTTCCGCATTCAATTTCAATTTCCGATTCTGTTTTGCCTTTGGTTTAGCCTTTGGTTAGGGACATCTACCTCAGCAGAGCGGAGAAGTTCTAGAAGGGCGGGGTCAGGAAGGCGGGGATAGCCGTTTCTCTCGTGGTGAGCTCTCAAGACATCGTCTGGCTTAAATGAGAAATTAGTATACTCCAGCAAAATATGAAGTTCATACCTGGGGAGCACTCTCTTGATCTGTCGCCGCACTACTCTCACTTAAATCACCATCAACCGCCAAAACTCTCTCAGCCACTTGGTCATCTTTGTCGTGTGAGTGCTGGAATTCGAAATTGGTTGGCAGCGCAGTCGCCACTTGAGATTGGGATGGTAGTTCTTCCCTTGAAAAACCTGTTGTTCATCAGCGCAACATAATTTAAAAGAGGGAAGGTCTTGCCAGGATGAGCGCTATGATGCCCACGAACTTCTCCCCAACTGATCTGCTCATCTTCACCACCTTCATCTGAACTAGATGAATCCCCATCCTTCGACATGCTTGACTCTTCAGAATCTGGATTTGGTGGTGCACTCAACCGGAGGGCAGGATCCAAATTATCATAGAAGTTGGTGTTTGATAGCATTGCAGTAGTTGAAGTTGTCTTGGAAGGTACTGGATCTTTGGTGCGAGGAGCAGTGATTGGATGGTGAGTTTCAGAAACACGAGCTTGAGATTGGGACAAGTTAGAGGTACCAATGGGAGTCTGACTTTGGGAGGTGTCGGGAGTAGACAGTGCATGGAGCCTCCTAGCATTGGCCATGATGGCATTATTTAATGCATTAATATTTGGTTCCGTGCCGGGGGGGACGATGGAAGCGATTGGGGGCAAAAATCCATATCGGCCGCCAGCTTCACATGGTGCAAAAGCTGGTTGACTGTTAAATGACTCAGAGCTCGGGGCAAGAGAGACAGGAGTCTGCACAAGGATTAGTAGATATATATTTGCGGAATAGAAATTCACCTTGTTCTTTGAGCATGATTTTGAGGTCACTACATCTAACGTCTCCGAGGGGCTATATGGTGGAGGAGGCTGCTTCTTCTGAATGCCTGGTTAGTATTGTACCCTACAAACAGGATAAAATTACCTTGGAACGGCTTCCGCGACCCTTTCGAGGCGGTTCTGGAGCAAGAGGATTTGCAGGAATGTTCGGATCAAGGGATGTATTACCCTTGGCTTGGTTGGTCTGTGTTGGGGCATGCAAGATGGCGCCAATTTTCTCCAGCTGAGTGTCTCTACCTCCCTTCCCAGCGCCTGGATGTCCTGACCGTCGAGGGTGTTGCGACTCATCCACTTGATTGGTGGTTGACCCAGCCTGAGCACGCGCTCTCTTCACCACACCTTCTTGCCCTTCAGGTGCTTTGAGGTCGGAATCCATAGCTTTCCACTTCGTTTTCCTTTTCTTGGGGCTACCTGGCATGAGTAAAGAAGGGGGAGAGATGAACCACGACGCCAACAATTTACAGATACTTACTTTTAAATCTAGCTCCCATCGCACCTTGAAAAGCGCTTAAAGATAAAACATCATACACAAGCGCACCAAATGTAATACAGTGCAGCACAGACCATGAATGGGGTTGATGAGATGTAGCCGAGTCCACGAGTCCGCTTCGAAGTCGAGTCAAAATGCAGTGGGCTGAGAGAAAACACATAAAAAACCTCCTTGCGTCGAACTCGTGAATATATAGCCGAGTATGTTTGAATGTGGGTGGGAATATCTCCAGAACAAAAGTTCAATTGTACATGTAAAAGGGGTATTGACTAGTACTAAGCAAGGCACTTAACTTGAAGAATGATTACTTATGTAGTTCTCTTCCGCTTGGGCTGGGGCGCAACTTCCATCGTCCAACCCATCTGACCTATTGTCGCATGACGTTCATTTATTTGTGAATCCGTATCATTACCCTCCAATTCATTCACGTTTCTCTTTTGCGGGAGCGCTGCAATGACTCTCCTTGCAAACAGAAGTTCAGGGGAAGGCTCGTTCTTTGGAAGCATGTCGAGGTGCGTTTCCAACAGATCAATGACCTCCTGGAAAGTTACTGTACTCGATGGTCCTTTGTTCCTGATCAACTCGTACCAATCTTTTGCAAGTGGGAGTAGACTGGTGAAGTAGGAGTGGAATTGTCATTTGAGCTTTTGCGCATTTGGGTGGAAAAAAAACAAAGTCTTCTCATTGGTGGTGTCTCGGAGCGTGTTGGTAGACCATTGGTGCGGTAGCCACTCTTGACTCCTATCAGCTGAAAGGTCACGTCTAACTCTGAGGGGACCCCTGAATTCGATGCAGATGCACATGAAGACATAGAAAAGGGATTCGAGATTGTCATGGTAGTGGTGTAGTATGAGAGGGGGGGGGCGTTGCAGAGGACTGCATTGCGAGCTTTGCCTTCCAGCTGCGAAGAGATGTCACCTGGTCACCAACAGCCTCTGAGAGCTGCCATAGAAGAGAACAAGACATGAACGGCAATGTACCCTGATGATTGCTGTGAGTATATTCATCCTTTCAGCAATAGAGTGGTACTGACCGTCCCACCGATAGCATATTTTTGACCTGCAACAATATGCATGGCGAATTCCCAATCGATCAAGGTTCCCTGACCCCCATTGCCATCATCCCAGATCATAGTGTTGTTGAGACTACAGTCATGGTGAAGAATTCCCCGCTCCTCAACCGCTGTCTGTTGAACTGAGAAATATGTCAGTGTAATGTAGAAGATGAACCAGATATAGTACACACTTTTGACAATGTCTCAAAGAGCACCTACTAACTCTAATTTGGTCCGGAACACATGTAAAGGTCGCACGTGGGGCTTCAGAACCCAACACAGATGTGTACAAGAGGTACCTTTGATACTTTCAAAAACCTTGTATCGATAGCTCATAGTTTCATCGACTTCCCCAGGTGCAACCTCGACAAGCCAATATTCGACCAGTTCTGGTATGCCATGGACCCCTTTCATCTCATGCAGCATGTTGACTTCGTTCAACACAGCATCTTTACCCCCAAGAACCCAATGGTCCTTGATAATGTATTCTTTGTCGTCTCTCCTGGCTAAGTAACAGACAGTGCCTCGACCGATGAGCCCCTGGCTAGAGAAGATAAGTTCGAGGATGTCGTATGCATGGTCATTAACTGTGATCCTGCCGATTGGTTCTGAAAAGGGTTGGCAAAGAGGGTCTTCAGGTATTTCTATCTGAGGAGGGTCCATAGGGAGGTTCAGCTTTGAGTGTGGGGTCTTCGCATCTGAGTCAGACTTGGACTCGGATGCATCAATATCCATATTTGGTACAGTGCCTTCAGTTGCACCGTCCATCTGGGGACCATGCACTTGATTTAGTGCGATTTGTTGTCTAGTAGAAGGGCGGAGAATTGGGTTTTCAAGCTGGGCAGGATGAAGAGTCTTGGTGAAGATACTAATGGAGGGATCATAACCAATACATTCAAGATGACCGAAGACGACACTCAATAGGATATGCAGGTAACGATTGGGAGCCTTGTCGATATGGACGGGACGCGTTACGATACCACCTGCGTGGTCGTAAATATGGACTCGCAGTTCACGGTATTCGTTCGTAAGGGAAAAGAGTAAGACAAACCGCCTCCAAGGCTGGCGCCTCAAGAGAAGGTAGGCCTTGCTGTCGAGTGATTTTCCAATCGTACTTGAAGGTGTGTATGGCTGTGATGTCAATTCGCAAATGGCTTTGATGGTATCCCAACGAGCCTCTACATCGTCCAACAATGCAAGGTCAGGCTTCTGCGATACTTCATCATCCTTGACAGGGCGCATGGAGTTCCGTGAACTCCATGTACGAATCACTGCTCCACTATTTGCTGCCATGATCTGTGCTCGCTTCTTCTGAGCAACAGCACCACACATAGCATTGAAGAACAACGAGAAGATATCCTCCAACATCTGTGGTTTTCGGCTGGTGTCACTACTGGTGGTGTCAACCAGAAGGTGCTGTTGAATTGATGGGCCCTCCGAGTCGCCACTACTACCCCCACTCTCAGACTCCTTGTTCACTCCGCTATCCTCTTCTCCATCTCCAATCTCTTCGAGTTTGGGTAACTGATCGATGCCAGTTTCATGATGTGATCTGGGAAGTGCCCAGTTCCACCTGCGGCTGGCTTCATCATATAACGGAACCATAGACTGTTCATCAAGGTGAGCAAATTTAATGTGAAGTCTGGTATCACGATAACGAATTTTATGTAACGGAACCTGGAGCTCTGTGGCATCTGGGACTTCAATAGTAAATGTCCTGAAAATCCGCGACAACAAATAACTAAGAGGCTGGGTAGAATCGCCTGGTTCTTCCTCCTCTACAATCAGATGATTGAGCTCGAGATTGGTGAGTTTGTCCATCATAGGCACATCACTGACACGGAGAGCTGACATTAGTGACGCTAACTTCATTCCGAAGTCTACAGTTTTGCTGTGATCTGCAGGTGCCATGACTGGGTGAAAGTGTAACAATGTCATTCAACAATGCAGAATCCTAGTGAGTACATGTATCTTTTAGCCTACAAAAATGGTACTGATGAAGTATGAACACAGTGCAAGTTCTCTACTTGGATAGAGCAAAAAAGGTATTTTTGGTCCAAAAATAATTTAACCAAAACTCCGTCACATGCGGTGAGACGCGTGTCCGCAGTGGCGCCAAAACGGGGAACAAGATGGATAGGCACTCCAAGCTGAGAGACCGGAATGACATCGCCCATCCACGTGCCATTCGAGCGTTTTGCCCTTTTCAGTGTATGGAGCTGAGTGGTCGGAACACATTCACTAGAGATATCGAAACATTGGACATAAGTTAAGAACTGATTGTCCCATGCCCATGGCGTCCCACTTCTGGCAATGGGCCGAATGACAAGCTTAATTTGGCCAATGGAATGCCCTTTGGGTTATTTTTTAGCTTGGTGAGTATCGCCCTCAAAGACAGAAAGAACGTACCTGAAAGACCACTGGTAGGCCAAGAGTGCCCTGAGTTGGTTTGAATAATGGCCGTATCATAACGACCTAAAGTCCATGGGCCACGAGGTGGTGCACAGTTGAGCGTTTGCACGGGTAGAACATTATCGGGATCATGAAAATCAGTCTCCTGCAGACGAATTTTGAACCACACTTGAAGGTGGTCAAATGGAAGCTGAGCGTCATGCGTGGATCTTCTAGGACCGCTTATTGAGTGTATGTGATTACCATAGGTTGCCTCATGGTGAAGGAAATCTGCGATAGCTGGTCATAAGTCCGGTAGGCAGAACATGATAGCAACTTCATTGACAGTGGCATTCCTGATGGATGGATCATAAGAAAGGTGAAGAGCGGTGCGCCCAATGGTAAAAGAACGTAGTGGGACAGGTACCGATACAATTTCCTTGTGTTGGAGTATTTTTGCGAGTAAAAAGTAATTCATGATAGGACATGGTTGTGTGGGTATTCAAATTGAGGACAGCAGCTCTGCAGGAAAGTCATTCACGTCATCGTCGATCTCGTCATCCTCCTCAACAAATTCATCTCCAACAACTCCTGGGTCTTCCCTCTGCGAATGATCCAAAAGGCTAGTGGCAAGCTCAAACCGATTGCATTTATCGGCACGGTCGAGATAACGACAGATTTGTGGGTCGTAGTTATTATTGTTGGTAGATCTTGCTGGGTCTTTGACCACGGTGATGTGCACATGCTCAGTAACATCCACAGACCACTGTGCTATAACTCCAGAGTTGCGAATGCTAGGAACGATATTCTGCATAAGCTCAAGTTTTGGGATTTGCCAATTGTCGGTGACTTTACCGCCTTTTCCCTGATGAAGACCAGCAGCAATGATCACATGTTTGTTCGCATGGAACTCACTCAGTGCAGCTGTAATGCGACCAAGATCCTTGTCGTCGATACACAGTGATTGCACGAGATAACGAAAGTGCATGAGCGCGCGTACAGCAACAATAACTCCAGCAGGTACTGCATCTGCACTGGCTGCGATGATGGATCATTGAACATCTCGGTGACAACAACCTGTAACCTGCTTAAGTTTGGAGATACCTCCGTGAAAATGTCGATAACCAGTGGTGGGCTGTATAACCAAAAACTGAAAATCTATCTCGGACCCTCCCACTGCAAGGATAATCCACTGCACGTCATGGTCCCAAAACTGCTTATGAATGTGGTGCAGTGATTCAGGTGTGAGAAACCGGGACAGATCTGCCAGCAACCAGTCCGACCAGAATGGTTTGTCTATGCCATTCAGGCGAAACTTCTGCGCCTTGCAGAAAAAGGCCTCAATATCATTTGGACGAGCGCGTGAACGCACCTTGTCCAGTTGCACAAGAGTTTTCGATCGTGTCCGGGGTTCATGTTGGAAGGGATCCCCAAAATATTTGTACATTGCCATAGTCACTGGGGATGTCTTTCCACCAACACATGCCAACATCATGGCTTCTGGCATGTCAGCAATATAACTAGTGAGCATCGTGAAACAGTAACGGCTGTGTCCGAGGAAATCGGACAACATGGTACCATTTCGAGCAGCCAACTTGAGAGGTTCTAATATGATGTCCAGGCAATGATGAACGAGCTGGTCTTGCAACACACCTCTCATTCATTTATTTTTGTGGATGAATTTTGGGACTGGAAGTAAGGCAGCAAGAAGGAAGGCATTTGAAGATGATTTTAGGTGTATGTCCATATGAATGTTGGTGAGGCTGATAAGGAGAGGATGCGCAACACGGTCGCCTGACAATGCAGTAATGCATGTCTTGTCCGAGGATAGAATAGTACCAAGGAGAGTTGTGCCATGGGGAAGCACAGACTACAAGAACGCATGAAGCAATGACTTCAGGAGAGACTGAATCACATACCTGCATCTCCCAGGCATGTTCGCCTGTCATCCATTCGGTATATGTCCGAGAGAGCTTCTCCGCTGTGTTATACACCTTGTGAGCCATGTAGTCTATGCGATTGTGAAATAAAGGATGGTTGAATAGAGAAGCGATGCATTCAAGTGGATCCTGCCAGTAGAGAACTGCTGGAGACTTTGTGGGGTGTGACATAGGAATAACTTGAGACTTCCAACATGGACCGCTAGGTAATGATTCAGCTCGACCTCGTAAATCTTTTGCCGAGTGAAAGGTTAGAGGAAGATTGTTGATCTAAGTGTTCTTTGAGCTAAGCTGTTGTGATGATATTCAAATTCAAGACTTACAATATCAAGCACTAGGAAATCATTGATTTGCCCCATGCTCAGACCCGAACGAAGAAGCCATAATGCAAGCTGCCATTCCCTTCAATCGCTGAATGGATAGTATAGATTTTTTTAATGATAGACACTGTTTTCATCTGCGTCGAATAGGCTTAGAAATGTGTAACCCTCCTCAAAAGCCAGCAGGGGCTGTGGAAAGTAGTCGGTAACTACCTCGTCCCGAGTTCCGCTGTGTCCAGATGCCTCAAAGTCCAAATGCCCTCCTTCAGTTCTCAAATCATAGAAACTTACATTTTCTCCTTGTTAGTAAGAGGGGCCTTCATCAATAGTATTGTCCACTCCCATGGGATCTTCAGTGAGTGGTAAGGTAGAGTTGAGTTGGATCAGATCTTCTAGCCAATTATTACATCCAGACCGTGGTTGGCTCATATGACGAGCGACAGATGTATGGTTCCAAAATTCTTTTCCGCATGACGGACAATGAGCTGGGGCCATGACGGCACACTGGTACTAATATCTAAGTCGCAGACTTAAGAAAAGCAAACTTGGTTTTCGATGTGCATTCGGCATTTCCCAGATGCCTGCCTTACATTGTCTGAGTCCCTCCATGTTATCCTCATCGCTAAAGTTTGACATTACTACTTTGCAATCACTATCAGCACTTGCTTCCTCCTCCGATAATCCTGCTCATCATTCTTACACTAAGCGTGACAATGATTCTAATGTGGAAATACCTGCCAGTGGTGGTATGTGCGACTTATATGGAGTCCTTGAAGCTGTCAATTCACTGGTGGGTCTTCATTTCTCGTGTCTATCATCCATATCACACCTTACTTTTCAATAGTCCAGTGCCCATGAACCAACTGACTCTGAAGCCAGCCTTGTACTTGATCTCGTAAGAGCAAAGCAAGATGTTTTCCGAGCACAGAAGACACTCGCAGACTGTGTGCTATGGAAGAACAAGGTTTCCGCGCGTCTGCTCAAGTTTCAAGCAGCAGCTGTCGAGAAGAAAATCGATGAGACGGACATAGGGCTGGGATGCATGAGGATTATCTTTAAAGATTGCGGTTGGTCTCACGTCACATCCAGCCATCCACCACAAGGACAAAGTCAGTCAAGTGCACAAGGTAAGTCTGTGCACTCTCTTGTAATATTGTTGGTCTTGATGCTCTGCTCAGGATTGAAAGTATCACAGGGCTGGCGCCCAACAATTGTTCTCGATTAATCAATATTTGGAGTCATGTTGTTATCCAGGCTCCTTCCCAGCCACTGCTTCGAGTGTGGAGGGCGGCATACTAGGCATGCGGTACTATCCGAAATCACATGAACAATTTAAACCCAGCACAACCTTATTCCCCTCACACTCTCAGCAGCGGCTGGAAGATAACACATGTAAACATGGTCAGCCACAGTGGGTGAACCATCAGAATACGAAATTTATTTGTGTAGAATGAACTTAGGGTTAGAAAGACCTAGGTATTTTTTGTATTAGACAATTGAACGAGTTTGGGATAGTAGCACATTGCGGTCATACAATGGAACATTCATTTGCCTCGATCACAGCTTTCAACTTCATCAAACACTTAGTACCTAGACGCTTACAAGTGTGCTCTCCAGAATCTATCTCGTTACCACCAACTTCTGTTTCAATTCTATCTGTGTACATCTGGTCTTCAAAGTTTCCTCACAAATTGACGCTTGATATCACACTTGCTAGTACTTGCCTTGGCTTGTCATTATTGTTGTGTGCTGCATTGCAAGATATAAATGATGGCTTCTTGGTGTGTTCCTCATCCCTTGCCCTCTAAATCATTGCATATCTGTGTATTCATGCAATCAGGATTGATATAATATCCTTTCTAACCGTAAGCATAAAGCCGCCATCCTCATTCTCCAATCGCCACTCCTAAACTTGACTGAGCCTGTAGACAACGATCCTTTTTGTGGGGACCATATTCGGCATCGTCCTCATTGTGAAACACCTCTCAGCGGCTGTTCAGAATACGAGGCAATTGTACATTGAAATGCGCGCTCACCAAGTTCAAACACTCAACTGGTTTCTGTAGTCTTCAGAACAAAGGCATTTCTATATTGCTGTTATTGTTGTTTCTTGCTCATGTGAACATCTTCACCGGTCGTTTTGCCTTCCGATTGCGTTCCTCATACTATTTCATCATCTCTACAGCGGTATAATCAAAGTCTTAGATGCGACCAACTTCCCCCCCAGCGGCAGGGATGACTCTCAGCACCACTTCAAATCTAAGTCGAGCAGCAACCTGTTATCGGCAGATAATGGCTCTCACAGCGCAAAGATATTTGGAATACAGCAAACACACAGTGGGGTGAGTAAGTGAGAACTTGTAAGAGCAGACCTCTGGCTGGAGGTATGGCCCTTGCATGGTTTTTTCAGCGTCTTCAAATGCAGTGACTCGGAATATAGATTCAAATGAATGTTCCATTGTATGACCCGCTGACCGCAATGTGCTACTATCCCAAACTCGTTCAATTGTCTAATACAAAAAATACCTAGGTCTTTCTAACCCTAAGTTCATTCTACACAAATAAATTTTGTATTCCGATGGTTCACTCACTGTGGCTGACCATGTTTACATGTGTTATCTTCCAGCTGCTGCTGAGAGTGTGAGGGGAATAAGGTTGTGCTGGGTTTAAATTGTTCATGTGATTTCGGATAGTACCGCATGCCTAGTATGCCGCCCTCCACACTCGAAGCAGTGGCTGGGAAGGAGCCTGGTTGTTATCATCATATTGCGTTATCCATATATTTGATATACTATGTAGTATGTGAGGCTTATGTTTACATTGTCTTCAATGAAAATTTTATATGTAACCAATTTTCATATATCAGTGTGTTTGTTTGATGAAGTCAGACTGCGGCAAGTGTCAAGGTTCTACTAGTATGAGTAACGAGTATATACTAGTAGGAGCCTCGTTACTTGAGTGCTTCATTGCTATCAATTGTGAGTCTGTCCAAACTGTGAGCGCTTTATTGCTGTCATTTGTAAGCCTGTGTGAGCTGTAGAGCCCTGTGGCTTCCTGTCGCTAGACCTCAAATTTGCAACCTCTGTGGGAAAGTTGTAGTTTACTGATGAAGCTGCTTGGAAGAGGTCCAGGGACCTTGCAATGAGTCTCCAAGACAACCCCTACAGTCCAACCACCATAGACTTGGAAGACATTTCAGCATAATGTCAATATTGAGGTTTCCTTGCAAAGCTTTGAGTAACATTTCAATTCCACTGCAAAAGTTTCAGGAATGTCCAAAATGATGATTGTATTGCGGTATTGGATATCAATACATTACAAAGTACTGTAACTCCTATGAAATGTAATATACTTGCGACAGAAAAAACCCAAATGTAAGAAATAGAGAATCATCCTCCTCTCCTCCTCTCCTCCTCTCCTCCTCTCCTCCTCTCCTCCTCTCCTCCTCTCCTCCTCTCCTCCTCTCCTCCTCTCCTCCTCTCCTCCTCTCCTCCTCTCCTCCTCTCCTCCTCTCCTCCTCTCCTCCTCTCCTCCTCTCCTCCTCTCCTCCTCTCCTCCTCTCCTCCTCTCCTCCTCTCCTCCTCTCCTCTCCTCCTCTCCTCCTCTCCTCCTTTCCTCTTCTCCTGTGTCCTAGTGTCATCCGCAAGTGTTTGTGCCACGTCAGCACTTGCTGGTGTGCGTGGGGCATTTGTGCATGGTGCCGGTTGCTGATTGGGTGGGATGAAGGTTGGAAATGGTGGTGGCAGCATAGTGCACATGGTCCTAGCTTGGCGAGGTGTGAGTGATGCAGATGGTGGTACATATGATGGGAATGGTCCTGGTGTGAGTGGTGGGAATGGTGGTGTGAGCATAGGTGCCAATGACGTGGTGTTCAGTGGATGATGTTTGCTGTTGGTTGGGATGTGTGTGGAGAGTTCTGCTGAGCTTGGTGTTGCTGGTAGGAGTGCTCTGGTGAGTGTCTGTGAGCTCACCTGAGCACAATAATTGAGCTTCGCCTAGCAAGCAGCGTGTGCACCATCACAATGAGCTACCATTGACCCTGTGAAAAGTTTGTGCCGATTATTGTCTATGGATCCTGACTTGTATTAGGTTGCCAGTGTCATTGGGGACAGCATGAGCATCAATGGGAGGGACACTTACCAAATTTAAATGATGTTGATGATGTCAAGTCTGGTTTAATGTCAAAAGAAAGTCTATCAAGAGCCAATGCAAAGGAACTGATTCAGACTCTTATAGGGAAATTTCAACTGAGTTTCAATGTGCTTAGTAATAAGATTCTCAATGGTGGAAGACAATTGCATTGCACTGCCCAAAGTGTAAATGCAATGGAATAAGTAATATGACATGATGTAGACAGAAAAAATGACAGTCGAAGTTAGAACCTATTTAAATTTCCTTGCCATGCCTGTTAGACCTCCGAACTCCAGTATTAGCTGATAAAGTTCCATCAGCGGTGGCTTGCTTCCCTTTCCATTTTGGTTTTGGTTTTGGTTTTGTTGTCACCGAAACACCAGGTTAATCAGCTACTGGCTCACAAACATCCTCTCGACCATGTACCAAAGCAAGAGCTTGCATCGCAGTAGAGTTTGAGTTTGATTCAGCAGGATTTGCAATAGGAGTTGGATTTGGATCTGGTTGCATACCAGGTCCTGCCATGAGATCAAGCATGACAGGTGATGATCTTGTGAGAGAAGGGGGAGCACTTGCAGGGAGAGCATTAGAAGTGATGACTAGCGGCTCGCCTCCCTCATCTATTGCACGCTCAAAGTCTAATTCCCACGACTGAGCTGGGTCCCCTTCATCGAGAACAGGAGCAGTAGTGAGTGAGGAAGTGGCTGGAAACAGGGCCTGGTTGAAGAATGTGAGAACCTGGCATGCCCAAGCACCTCCCATCATCAGGCATTCACGGTAGAAATCATGGTAGGCATGATATGGAATTTTAGTTGTCTGGCCAGTTTCAAGCAGTTCCTTGTCACCTGAAAGCACATAGATAGCCTGGCATAAGAGGATATTAATTAATGGATACTCCAACACAAAAGTGAGTGACTTACAACAATTGCAGCAGCAGCAATCATGCCTAGTGTTGTGGCTCACAAGTTCCAGATCTTGGCCTTCATCTTAGTGTTACGCTGACCGTCGGTCGGCGTGTGCGAACTAGGATAGGTCTTCTCAGCGACGGCTCGAGTGAGCCTACTGAAGCTGAGGGTGGTTCTCGGCTTGACGGAACATCAAGGGTTCCTCCGGCGATCTCGGTAAGACGGCGCTCGTCGAGATGCAGGGCTAGCGGATACGTGCTAAGTCGTATGGGAGCGGCTTAGAAGTGCGGTCTCACACAAGGAAGCTGGTAAGGCTTAGATGAGCAAGTTCTGGGATGAACCTAGTAGATTAAAGTAAAGTCTAAGTACAATAATCCTGTCTACTTATAGGGAAGTACTACAAGTATTCTAGCTCAGTCTGTAATCAATAGTATATCTAGGATCTATGATAACAAGACATGAGGTTCAGATAAGTACATGAGGCTTAACCTCTGATCAAGCATGCAGCGCCAAGTGCGACTGCGCATAGGTACATGAGGCGCCAAGGGCGCTCCGGATCTTCATGAAGCGACATGCTGTATACATGTGCTGATCTAGGGTGACCATGAGGCGTACAGCCTCCATGGATCAGGTACAAGGCCTTCTAGGCCAGGGGCGGGGTCATAGCGGTCCAGACCGCTGTCTTTCTAGGCGCGGGCGGCGCACCGCCGCGCAGGGAGTCTAGCAGAGCGGGGGCAGGCGTAGGCAGAGCTGGGGCTCCTGTAGGTGTTACGGATGCCTGTAACACTTAGAGCTTTGCACGTTGGAGGACAACAAAGCCTTGCCACAGATGGACACTTTGAGGATCTAATATGAGGCATGACTTATTGTTAGACCTTCATTATAAGTACTAGAGAATATAAAAGAATGCACCTTAGCCAGCACCACTGATTTCAGGAAGTTGTTAGGCGAAAGACTATCTGGACGAGGGAATAATACAGGAGCAAACTTAGTGTAGGAGCCGTGAGGAGAACATATAAGGATGCGATATTGTTCTTGTGAGCCTCAATCATAGCCTCAAAGGAAGAACTCAGGATTCAACCTGAAGATAGCTCCAGTGCATGCCTTGACGTCCGAAACCATTTCAGAGAGAACATTACTAACACCTTTCACAAACTGAAGAAGTTAGATAGCGTTGTAGAGACTCATGCCTCTCATTGTGCAATATGGCAGTTTTCACTGGGGAGTACATGGCACGAACTTGTAGCATCACTCTGTGTGCTACCCGCAGCTATCTCTATATGAGGCGCAGCTTTCCCGCGCAACGCGCGCCATGCGCGCGTACCTTTCCCGCGCTTCACGATGTATATGCACGCGCGCTTTCCCGCGCTTGAGCACCCTATAGCGCCAGCCATCCGGAAGCATCCATCCACTGTCCACCAAGTTCCCTAGTGCGTATATTTCCATTTCTCACATTTGCTTATCGTTCCATCTTTATTTTTATCATGGACCCTTACTTACATATATCTTTACATACCTTACTCGGTAGCGCTTCGGCTCCGCATGACAGCGCTTAGGCGCCATACTTAAGCGCCAGCAGTACATACTATGACTGACTCACTTACTCTCCCACCAGAACGACAGAGGACTTACTGGTTACTACCCACTATTTACCTAGCAGAACATAGTAGAAATCTATTTGTTTACACCTTGCATCTCCCTTCTCTTGTCTTACATCATATCATCACCTAAGCAAACTCACTCTTACTCTCTCTTGTTTCCGCATACACACGCGCGCATTCCCGCGCTTCGCGCATTCTCGCGCCTCGCGCGCACCTGCGCTTTCCCACGCTTCGCATTGGCCAACCAGTAGCGCTTTCAGCGCATACCTCTAGATCCTTGCTGCACTCGCTTCCCCTTTAGGGTCGAACGCACTTGTATAGCAGACTAGGCAACGCACGACCTTACAACAATTATAGATACAGTCAGGAGCATTGTTCGTGCCTCGCTGTATCGTTGAACCTTCAGCGTCTCAAAACTAAAAACATCAACCACACTCACATGACTACCAAAGTGCTTGTGATTCATCATTTCACGATCCACTTCAGGAACGAATGAAAACAACTTGGCTTTCACACCATCTTCAATTGAAAGTGGCAACAGCCAGCATTCCTTATTGTTGATGTCAATATCGGGACATGCACGTCAGGGGAAGATCTGAGGGTTGATCCACAAGCAATGTGTGATTGAGTACTTGTGTCCCAAAAGTCTTATAGCCTCCTCCTTGGCAGCTAGCTCGAGTTCGTCACAATGACATGCACAAAACCTGTTTTGTACATGAACATGGCAAATATCTGGCTTATAATACCTTTCATAATAGCCTATGGGTCTACCCAGAATTTTCTATGCATCATCCATATTTTATTTGAGTATTCTTGGGCTCAAATTTGCTCAGTACTACTTAATGGTTTAAAATAATACTTACCCTTCTGAAAGATTGCCTTCGAACTTGTAATTTGTCAATTAGTCAGCAGTTTCTCACACCTCCTAGAATTTTCTCACGCATTTTCACATATTCTAGGGTATGTTTTGTGTCATGTTCTGACATATTCACATATGTGGGGTTTTCATTTTTTACAGTACTGAGAGGAAAGTTTGAAAGACTTCAAACTTCATTACATAATCAGTCTCATGTGACTTGGTGGCACATTATGACACACATGCAATACTTCATTATGGCAAATATGCAAGACCAACACTATGGTATTTAACAAGTTAACATCAGACTGAGAATCTCAACAAAGTTTGAACACAGCTGAGAGTACAGCATTCAGGCAGTGCAGAGGCAGTGTACATAGCTTTGTAGCACAGGTTAGCATAGCCACAGAGCACAGCCACTAATGTTGATTTGAAAGATTCTGGAATATTCTATCAGACAACACTGGAGTTTGGTGGAACAGTCTGGAAAATTCTATGACATTCTTTGAAACTTTAATAGTAGATTAGTAATCAGTAGCATAGCCACTAGTAGAGTAGTATATAAGGGGCCCATTTTCCCCTCTAATAAAGAGAGCTCCAAGCCAAGTACAGAGAGCCCATTTCCATATTATCTAAGCTTGAGTGTGAATAAGTAAGTGGGGAATAAGAAGAGTGTTCATATAGCTCTTTTTAAAAAAACTCTCACCTCTAAGATACTAAGTGACATACTGAGTGAAATATTAAGTTATTTCATTCCACTTTTGACACTGTTTCCCACGACATACAGAAGCATATTTGAGGCCAACATTGAGCCATACTTTTGACACTAGCTGGTACACAGTTATCAGTCATCTAGTGCAGATATATTCCAGTTCTCTTTTAGACACAGGAAACCTATTCTGTGGGGAGAATATACATATTTTCATCAGCAAGGGAAGACAAATAAGACTAACAGTCAGTCACTAATATTAAGAACTTGGCCCACTTAAGTCTGTCCTGTGTCACACTCATTGTATAGTGCTTGAGCAGCAGAAAGTAGGTTTCGAAGCCACGTATTAGTTCGGGCTGATCCGTGTTAGAGGCTTAGTTTGATCTCCAATTGGTTTGTGAAGATAGGGAGTATTGTTATAGCTCTAAGAATCATTGCATAGTCATACATCTGTATTCGTTGAAGTCATAGCACTGCATCGTGCCAGTTATTGACTTTCTTTAGGATCATAGCACTGCATCAAGCCAGTTATTGATTCTGTTCCTCCTTTAGTCACTGTGTACTTCCTTTGAGAACTCAACACACTTTTCCCACGAACAACCACGTTATTGACCATTGGTATTTGTCTGAACCATTGACCGTGGTAGGATACTGAAAATCGGTGATTTTACTGTTTTCACATCCTAGTAAGACAACGAGTGAGTTTCTTCCGACCTTTGGCTGCTGAAGTCTCCAGAAGCCCATTCTGCTTCAAAAGCTCCTGCTGCTGGCCTCGCATGTTCAACAGAAGTTTTTGTGCAGTTTCAAGTGCCTGGATAACCAACTTAGAGCCTGCAACACACCTGGAAAAGATTAAGACAGCACTTGCCTTATGAAGGTCTGCAATCGAAGCACCATCCAGTGGAGATGCAACAGCAGCATGGACCTTCATGAGCTCCTTGTCCGAGTCTGATGACAGGTTGTCAGAGTCAGAATCAAAGCTTGTGGAGCCGCTCTCCATGACTTCAATATTCTCTGGTACATGTTGCCAAGACATGCTAAGAAAGTAAGAGCAAGGGAAGGTTTGAGCTGTGCGTACTGAGTTTAGTTTACACCGTCCCTTATATCAATTCTGAACACGTTGTAGGACTTGTAGTCCTTGTAGCCTCATAGAGGCTATTTTTGCAGTGTCCCTCAGGTCCTAGCGCAGCGCGCGCTATCACTACCATGGCGCGCATCCTTCCTATCATCGGCCGATGGTTGTGGCTCACATGTGCGCTTCGGTTTGCATCCGCTTTTTGTCGGTTCTGTCGCGCGTCCTTCCTCCGTCCTATCCATGTCCTCCGCTTGTCCATTGGTGCATATTTTATCTCATTCGCGTTAGACTGATTATATTTTCGGAGGTGATATTGCGTATGTTTTGTTACTTGTGTTATGGACCCTTAATACATGTTACTGCTATCTTCTCGGTTCCGAACAGCGCTACGCGCGCTATCATATATACTTTATACTTGGGAATTTTTCATGTATCTTCTTTTTCCCGCTATCGAAATTATCATCCGTTTGCACGCAACACTCAGACTCTAAGTCTAAAAGCCTTCGGCCGACTACATCACGTGCTGTATTAACGGTCGCGCTATTGTTCACACATCGCTCATCGCATCTATCTTTAAAACTCTCCTCCCTTTTTTATCGTTGCATCACATCTCCTTCGCATATCTGCTAGACGCGCGTCCATATAAACTGTCAGCTTTTCTCCGCATCTTCGCGCTCTGTCAAACTTTCGGCCGCTCGGTCGCATATTGTATTGCATCTTCGGTGGCTTGCTCACGCTCGCATCGCTTCAAGCGCAACGTCGCGCGCTCTTCCATTCTCAGTTACCTTTACTAGTTTCCAAGTTTCCCCTCCATATTTTACTTAGAGGAATCGTTCTCAGTAGCAATCCCCTTGAGCCGAATCTATACTCGCATCCAGAGGTCTATTTGAGTTTTACCCCACTTCACCCTTTCTCCCCCTTTCTACCCCTTCTCATCTAGCTATCATTCCTCACACACAACGTGTCACACACCATTTAATTATGTAGTATATTGTGGTGCATTTGGTAGGGAGAACACATGTTATTCTGTATGCGCAACAATGAGGTGACCAATGATGAAGTCACTGTTAATGTGAGGTAATAGCCCACCTTTAAGCAGGTCAAGATCACACAATGTCGTGTACATTAAATTGTTGATGTGAGAATGGTACCAGATCAAGGGCAAGCAAAGAACACATGTTAACGGCCTCAGTGAAGAATATGGCACAGCCTTGTTGAATAGTACATGATGACAGCCTCACCGCAGGAGTGGCATCTGTGCGAGAGAACACCAATAGAGGAATGCAAAGGTTTGTCTGCCGATCAATGTTCTGGTTTGTTTCCAAAAGGTACATGCTCCCTTCCTTAGGATGGAAGGGTATGAAGATGCAGCCACACCATATAAATTTGCTTGATATCAGGAATTCCTGACAGTGCCGAGCCAACTTTATTGTATGTAAGGTTATCTGGCACATGGACTTGGAGGATGCGCTGAGACCTCAAGAACTGAGCAAAGCGATGCCCAAGTTTTGGTTGTGCGGCCTCATTGAAGGGGTGGTCCGGTGATATCTCCACCAGACAATGGGAGTTCACAGGAAGAATACATGATGTCAGTCTTGTCAAAGATGCTGGAAGGGTACGAAGATGCGGCCACACAATACAAATTTACTTGATATCAGGAATTCCCGAAGTGCCGAGCCAACTTTATTGTAGGTAAGGTTATCTGGCACGTGGACTTGAAGGATGCGCCAAGACCTCAAGAACCGAGCAAAGCGATGCCTAAGTTTTGGTTGTGTGGCCTCATTGAAGGGGTGGTCCGGTGATATCTCCACCAGACAATGGGAGTTCATGGGAAGAATACATGATGATGGCCTCATCGTCGAAGGAGTGGTTTGACAATTTCCACCAGACAATGGAAGCTTGCACAAAGAATGCATGATGTCTGTCTTGTCAAAGATGCACACCTCTCCCAGTGCTGCAGACAGTGATTAGTAGGGGAATGGGCAGTAAGAGTGAACCAATTCAACTAACCTAAAAGAATTTTCTTCGAGAATGGAGGAACATATCTGTATCCACATAGTCAACAACAAAAAAGTCTGTATTGCTGTCATAGCTGGGGACAAGTAGAGCACCATGAATGATTGAATGAAGGGAAATAAACTCAGATGAAGCTGTGGGTCGTGCATGAAGACGAGTGAAGCGCAGATCCCGATCTGCAGTACATCGTGTACTGAGCAGGGAGTCCATGGGTTGAACCAAAGCGAGGTCCAAAGTCTGCTCGCTGACAACATACTTAAACATGAATAGCAATCAGACAAAAATGTTTCGGTCATTCCCATCCTTGTTGTGGCTACGTATCAGTGTGCAATCGCGCCATTCATGGCCATAGAAACTAGGGTTACATCTAAGATAGTCAGTGGCCAATTTCCAGTCAATGAAGGACTCATAATTTACTTTGAGGTAGCGATGTTCGTGAAGCTATCCAGAAATATAGTCAAAACTTGATGAATAAGAACAAAATAACTGACTGTATCCTCAGCTGCTGGTCTTAGCCAGGTCAAACCATTGGGCAATGGTATCTTGTTGGAAGGGAGGAAGTTGTTGAGGAATATGGTGAACTTCTTCCAGAAGTGTGCAAATGCGTGATTTCAAACTATATGTTTCTTCTACTAGGTCAAAACCTATAGGAGACTGCGGGGAACCAAGGTGAATGTGGCCTGCAAACATCTGATCATCCTTGGTTTCATTTTCATCATCTTTGAGCTCTCTCTCTGATAAAAGGTGTCTGAGGTGTTCTTTGTTGAGGTGGTTGATGCAACTGTGGATGAGCTCAGAGACAAGGGAAATATGATCCAATTTCAAAAGCTGAAAGATCAAATCGCATTGAGTAAAGACCTGATTGGAAAACTGGAAATGTCATAATACCTGGTTAGCAACATCTTTGTGATTGGTCTGGCGTAAATATGCACACTTGATAGGGCTATGTTGCTTCTCATTGGGCCAAGTACTGAAGTTCCAGGGAAGCACCTTTCTCTAGGACATCGCGAAATATATGCCTCCCACTGTGTACCTTTGGGAAGTTCCAATTCTTTGTTCTCTCATCACCTAGTAGATCAAGATACTCCTAAGTCATCCAGTAAAGATGATTAATAATAGTGCTAATCAAAGTGATGTTACCTCTAACAGCTTTTGATATACCAGTAGTTCTGCCTCCCTGGTGGCAATGGTATCAGTAGTGTGCACATCAAGCAAAATATACATATCGAGTTCAAGATAGCTTGTGATGCACTGCAAGAGTGCATAGCTAGCCCTGTCTTTGCTGTGTGTGAGTATGTTGTGAGATGCATACAGAATTTGCTATGGAAGAAATCATGTCAAATGAAACTGATCGTAATATAACTATCATTCACCTTGGAGATGTCTTAGAATTTGTTTCCATCACTAAAGGAAATGTTAGTGACACGATCAAAATGGTTCAGATTTCGCCATCACAGAAAGGCATCAAATCTTCGATTCACAATTAAATGAAATATCTCAGAAACACAAACAGGATAATGACCCACTGATCATCAACCTTTTTCAGTGCTTCACACCCCAGATTCTCTACACGTTTCTTAAGGTCTTCGAACTTGTGCCTACCAAATAATCCCATGTGCCACAAGTGGAGTGAATCCTGCGAAATGATTCCATGTGGGTCTGAATTCAGGACTCTCCAAAAGACATTCTGATGGTTCATATTAATGACATCACCCAAAAAACAGATATGAGAAACATGCACCTTGACAGGTCTCAAACCATGTTCTTTCAGTGCTTCTTCTCCTGCAACTCAGTCATCAAAGTACAGCTGAACATGAGCTTGCACTTCTTCAGCAGTCCAGAGAGGGTATGTCATGGTGTGGTCATATAGTTTTGTTGCAGGGATGAGGCAGACAGGGCATGGACAGTGGCAGTTTGTCCCCCATATTAGCACCATCACACACCTGCCATTAAACATGTAAAAACGATTGAACATTAGCCTACAAAGACTTACTGCTCCTCATAATCAGCTGAAAGTAGAAGGATCAAAGGGAATAACCACCAGTGCGATGCGATCATAGCACTCATGCATGAAGCCCATCTTCGCATACAAGATGATGGACTCGAGTAACTTGAAGAACGATTCATGCCAGACAACACATTTGAGATTTGTATAGCTTAGTTTTCCATCCTCTCCAGAATCTTCAGGGACCTGTCAAACAGCCGTTTATTAGTGATAGAAGGAGTCGAAAGCAAGTTTCCAAAGACTTACAATAGGTAGCCAGCCTACTACTCATCCACCACCAATTTCGTCTCAGGTTCCTGATGTTGACTGGTAGATTGGCACAGCGAGCAATAATAGGGTAGCCTTTGACTGCACCAGATGAGGACAAATGGGTCTTGTCCGCATATAGTATGATGGCGAATGGGGCTCCATTGCTAGGTAGTGACGACTATTGTAATAGAATAATAGAATAACATCAGTTTGGCATGGATAGTAACATAACAATAAGGATATACCTGGATATGCCACCAGTGGTCAGCTGTCCATGGTTCATGGATAAAGCACTTGTAATCAGTCCTGTCATGTTTATACAAGTGCTGCATGTCCCATACAAAGTGCGGGGCCAATAATGGCTCACTGAGCATATCCATGGCCCAGTCCCATAATGGCCACACGTGCATATCAAACTCTAAGACCTCCTTCTTATGCTGGACAGGAATAATGTACTTCTCGAACTGAAACAATATTTATGTCACAAGTGACACATGATTATATATGATTATATTAGACTCACTGGAGTCATCTGGCTCGCTGCAAGATCCCATGCTCTCAACAGCTCAGTGTGAGACCTTAAAGTGAAATTAGTGTTGCCGTTTACTATCCTCCAAACCAGCTTTAAAAGTCGGTCAGTCTGATCTTTGTTGAGAGTAGCTTGATGCGCAATTTCAGCAAACTCAAAGTCTGCGCGAGATTTGAATGGAGTCCACAGTGCTTCGTCATCAACATGTGGCCTCACATTGTTAGCTTCAACATGCCTGAATGCAGAAAAATGTTCGATTACAGGCTCATGACAAGCATTGGGATGATACTCTGTCTTGAAGGTATTGAGATCAAAATGGGTAGTGTCAGGAGGCACGATGAAGGGCATGGTGGGTGGAAGCAGATCTTCATGCACAATGCCTGGACCATTGCTTGACATGCTGCGATCTGAATCTGAACCTGAATTATAAACATGATTGGTTTGAATAGAACAAAACAAATATCATATGTGGCCGGAGTGAATTGCCATCGATGCTCATTGCATCCCCTGGACTATGATCAGTCTCGTGTGATCCTATTGAGGCAAGATTGGCGGGTGCAGCAAGCACGACATCACCAGATGGCACCTGATGAGATGTCAGCTGAATCTTGCGATGGCGCTTTCTATCATGGTGACACTCTGGTTCGGACAATTCAATTGTTACAGTACATGATTAGTAAATTGAAATTAGTGCTACACATTGTCAAATATACCTCATTTTTGGGCCTTACTGGTTGCCTGTGCTGCAAGTGAAGCAAACTCCTTGTCATCCTTCTTCTTCTGCCGCTTCCACAGGCAACTATTTTCGTGTGATTTGATCCCGCTGTAGAGATACAACAATTGCTGGGCACTACACGAAGTAAGTAGCCAGCAATATAAAAAATGTGTTGTGGTCGTGCACAGCCTAGTCTGCTATACTTGCAAGACAAGTGCATTTGACCCGAGGGGTTAGCTATTGGATTGATCTGTAATTAGTGAAATGATAAAACGGTCAAAAGTCCGAGCGCGGGAAACAAAGTCCGAAGGTATATCTATGATGTCCGACGCCAGAGCGTCGGGTCCGATGTTTTCGGGTTTCGGGTTAGCGGGTTTCGGGTTCGGTGTAGGGATTCATTTCTGGCTGGGCTTGCAGAGACTGTTTTTACCTTAGTGTTATGTTTGCACTTTTGTAGCTTACATAAGGAAGTTATCTTTTCACCAGTTACCAGTATGAGTCTGTCTGAGTCTTGAGCAGTTTTTATGACATTTCCTCTCCTCTGAGCCTTGAGCCTGGTCCAGAAACCCTTTAGGGTCGAATAGCAGCTAGGTTCTGCAAGACCCAACATTGTTCAGACTTACCATCTGAATTGTTGTACCTTCATCGGGTTTAGCGGGTTAGCGGGAATGGCGATAGTGAACGTTGGGAAAGCAAGTGGTATGCAGATATATGATAATGGCGGGTATTTTGGATAGAAAGAGCGGTAATATTCGCAATGTCAACTAAGAACTACGAAATATCGGGTTTGACCACTAAGTATCGGGAAACGGCTCCCTACTACTTCGATAATGAAAATACTCGTAGTCAGTCCGATATATATATAAGTACGTAGAAATCTGGAAGACCGTAGGCGAAAGTAGTGGCCGACGATTTCGGGTCCAAAGTACATGTAAATAAACACGAGGCGCTGCGGATGATGGGAAAACATGTAATAGCGCTGGCTACGACGTGAGTGATGTGTGAAATAATTAACTACGCACCTAGCGGGGCTAGCAAGATGGGACAGGACACGGATAGGACAAGTGCGCAAGAAAATATCGGGTCCGATGCGGCCAAAATGTCGGGTCCACTAGTCAAAGTGTCGGGTTTGCATCGGGTTGTGCAGGTTACATCGGATAGTGACGGGCATTTGAACGTATATTGGGAAATCAGTGAATACAAGCCTAGCGCAAGCTCGAGTGCTACACCGCAAGTCGAAAATGATTGAGTACAGTATTGACACTGCACGATGTTGCTGGATGATGTGGACAGGACAAAAACTGGATAATTGACAAGGCGGATGATATTAGATGGAGTCCATTGAAGAGCGATAGGAAGATGGAAAGCGCTTTGGAACACATGAGCTAGTCTTGGAAGCTGTTGCAATCACGGGACGTGCCTTTCAAGAACCTTCAAATATAGATTCAGGCATGCCATCTCGGATGCAATATGGCTGGAAGGCGCCTTCATGATGTCTAAATATGGCAGTCTTCCAATGTGCCTTTACCTTTTTCCAACACCAGACAAAGTCTCGGAAAGTGCCAGGAAGTCTGTTTCCCCACCACTATCAACATTTCCGCCTGCTTGCAGGCTCAGCGCTCAGCTGCCACATCAGGATTTTTACCTCCACATCTCCAGATCCCTACTAGTATCCCATATCTACACACAAATACCATCATGATGTTATTCAATGTCTCCTTCCAATCCACAGCTGCCGTGTCCTTCAGGTGACTAGAACCGCGATGGCAAGCTGACAAGGACGATGGAATCACAGGATTGGTGTGATGGTGCTTGACATATATGACTGGATGCATGATGGTGGCTTGTGTAGCGTAGTCGCAATGATGTAAGACAACAAACAGATCTTTGACCGCCTGGACATTTCCAACCAAGCATCCCCAGACATTACCCAGACGTATTCACCAGACTTTCGCGTGAGGTCTCTGTAGACTTCATTACAGACCGGGCACTTCCTAGTACATATACTCCATTTGTCCAGATGCTTCGCTTTTTTTGAATGTATGGTGTCGAGACCATGTTTAGCACAGTCAGACCTTTGATCGGATCAAAATTCAATTCTTGTTTTCATTTCAGGCAGAGTCGTTAATATGAAGGAATTCCTTCAATAGGTCTGACCAGCGGATACTATGTGAAGTTTGGAATTCTACCCTGAAGCGAGGTACAAGCATAGGGTTAGAATAATGACTTTGTGGAGCAGCTGTGTAGCATTTTGGTTTCTCTTCTCCGCCTACCACAACACAGTGCCTGGGGCCCAGGTTACATTCCAGTAAGTTCTGATGCCTATCTGCAGCCTGCTGTCTTTCAGCCCACCCACCGCTCCCTCTCCTTCCCAGCCTACATCACAGTTTTCTACAAAATTCATATTCAAGTTCCTTAGCCACATAGTCACATTCCTACTACTGGGCCCTGGTGGTTGGTACCCGGACCTGCTATGTCTGAGGCTGCAAGGCTGTCCACCTGCCCTCACACAGATCAGAGTCACTATCAGGGCTTCCACCCCCCTAAAAAACTATCTGCTTACAACCAAGCAGACATTCCCACTACTTACACAACTGCACAAGAGCGCCCACAAAGTCTGGATTTTGTACAGCTGGGATGTCGGAGTATGTTTTGGTCACTTTGCAACATCGTTTTTGACTTACTTTTTTCAGGGGGAGATGAAAATGGCTCCAGGAGCTACAGTCTTCCCTAGCTAGCCCTGCACCCTCATCTTTGAATAATGCTGTCTGACTTGGCATCGGGCGTCACAAGCATGGAGTTCATTGTTCTATACTGAAGTCCCTGTGCAATATATATTCGACAGATTGGTTCCATTGATCTGAAGAGATTATTGATATTTGATTCTTGTGCAAATTTGTAAAAGTAGATGTGCTTCCTGTCAGAACTCGACTTTGTATGTATTAAATGGAGTTAGCTACTTTCATGTGGATAGATCTACCAGATTTCTTTTTTTTTGTCTTCTTATTATGATAACTTGGTCAGGTGAAATACCCCTCAATACCACTGAGGCCTGTCAGTGGATACCACCACATGCACACTCAGTGGCTGTCGAACAACAATAGTGTCTCCCCAATTTTAATCCCAAGCATGAGCTGGCATCGGGTGCTATTTTACGTCCAACACATCATGCTGTATTACTTCTTATTTATTGTTATTTTCTCTATAGCTACAAAACTACAAGGTATCAAAAAATGTGCGATAGTCGCGATTTGGGGAGGTTGTTAGAAGTGGCAAACTTCTAATTGTCGCCCTGGAAGTATTCCGCCCTTGTTCCGCTCCAACAATATCGTAAAACGGTGGGACCCTGTAGTTTGTCAAGCTCCACAAATAAATAGAAATGGCCAAGAAAGTAATCTGATCCACCAATATGAAAGTAGCTGCAAAGACGGAAAGGCAGTAATGTTATCTACAGAGTGACATTCACTCCCATCGCAATGGCTTGACCTAAAGTCTCATTCACATGCTGAAAGAGCTGGCACTGCTTGGTGCGAATAGCAATGTCGCTGGCCTGACCAAGATGCCAGATGACATTGGAGATCAAGTTGTTTTGATCACGTTCAGATAGACCATTCCACTGTCATGGTTCAATCAGCGATTCAAAGGCAAATTGCGAATAGTGCTATTTGCTACGTACGAAGATCCTTGGTTGATCGAAATCTATCTCGCTGGGTGTGCTAAGGTACTTGACAGCGCCGCCAGTCCAAATGGTGTGGTTGTCGTCATTATACGGCCGAGGAGCAAGCCCAAGAAGATCTTGCTGCGACCAAAAGTTCGGGCGATTTCCCTGGTTGTTGAAGTTCATGGCACCATCACGTAAGAAATTCGCTGGATAAACTCGATTTAGCATCACGCAGAACGATGGAGAAAAGTTACGAACCGACAGGATTGAGAGGGCAATTGATCTGTCATTCACAGCTTTAGGCACGACCAGACTGAGTCACACGATGCTACTTACTGGGAGTTGTCTGCCGTTAACTCCAGTGCGGTATCGCTGGGCATCTGGGTGGAGGAAGTTGAGTAAATTATGTCAGAAAGTAAGAACTATAGTACCAGCGTAAGTGAACAATCGTGCTTGCAGTACGGGATCCGCGGAAGGTTCGAGACCATAAGGCTAGATGAAATCAGCCTTGTTAGTTCGCGGATCTTTAGAAAAACAAACCATGTTGGCAGGGTCAAAACCAATTTGTTCAACCTCTGCGAAATAATTAGTCCTGAGGGAAGAAGTTAGTTGTGGCGCATAAACATTGAAAACCACAAATCCGTACGGGTTCTGAACAAGGGTGATTCGACCAATTTCCTGGTAAGGTACATCTTCTACGAGCCATTCTAGAAATAGAAATGTGAGTGTCAAGAATATAGTTTGAGGACAGTAAAACGTGCCTTTGGTCAGGTCTAGGATGTTGTCTGAGAGAAAATGTTAGCATCGTCCAAAAGAGACTAGATAAGACCAGGCATCAGACATTTATAATTCTCGGCTTGTTGAGGCGTCATGGTTTGCCAGTAAATTGTCCAGCTGGGGTAATTTCCAGCTGCAATGGAGTCATAAAGATCTTGGACGCCAAAGTCGGGGCTCACGCCAGCTTGCACGATGGCCTCGTCATTAGTGTTGTTCATGATGCCTTGATCCGTCACTGCGATGGTTCTGGACCGTGTCAACGATGAAGACACCAAGCACATCAGAGACCGCCTACTTGATGTAAACCCACGAGCCATCTGCCTTCACAGCGCGGAATGTATTGCCACTCCAGCCATTCATATGCCTAGGGATTGGTGAGTAAAGAAGAAAGCACGCATACTTCATGAGATGCATACCTGAACCCGTAAGGAGTCCCGAGGTCAGACATGGTACGCATGACCTATTACAGGTTGATGTCAGCAAAGATGATCACTTGACTGGTGGCGGAAGGTACCTGGTAGATTGATTCATTGTTCGCGGAAAGGTAATCTAAAAAAATGTAAAGCCTGCACATCGAAGTGGCTGATTTGTCGCTCACCCCAGAAATTCTGATGGGGTGTACAATGAGTGAACTGCCAATGATATTATGAGGGAGGGAAATGTACATTGTAATCCACAGTGTTTGTCTGAGGGTTGCGTTTCTGAGAACGGGTGAGGTCTGTATGCATATTCAATATGACAAGCCATGGAGGGATTCGTTATACTAACGAGGGAATTTTCCTGGATCGCGAAGCCAGAAAACAGGGTGGTTTAAGAAGGGCTTTGTGGTATATTAGCTGCAGGAGGCACCCTTACACGATAAACGCTTACCCAGTCCAAGATTCCGTCTTCTGTGCGCAATCTAAGTTTAGAAACAACAACACGTTGAGCACGTGGCGGCAATACCGAACTAGCTCATGTACTTAAAGGCGAGCCCTCGCAGATCCCGAACAGTATCCGCATTGCCCAGATTACCGGCAATTGTAGAAAACCGGGCAGTGACTGGGGTACGCTTGCCGACCTCCGAGAAGACACTCGCCATCGAATAGTTCGCACCCACAGGTGTGGTCACTTCAAACCAACCATGAGCACCTCCGCCTTTTGCGTGGATAGTGCGCTCAGGCTTTGCAAAGAGCTCATTAGCAGTGGCATTGCGGAGAATCCTGCGTGTCTTACCACTCTCTCACGGACAAAGTGAGCCAGTGATTCGATCTGAGATGTATATTAGGAAAGATCGACGCTATTCCAAGGAAATTCCTTGCCAGGTTAGTGGACGAAATCAGAAGAGGGCCAGTCGTTCCTAGTCTGTCTGCCATGTACGGGTTGGGATATCTGCATACAACATACTTGTTATTTGTGAAGTACGGTTGAGGAGTAGCTAACTTACGCCTCTCCCCCAGACAGGGTGTAATCCAGTTGAGTAGAAGGATCATTGATGATCGAATCTTGCTCGTTTGGACCTTGATATATGTTGAAGTAGGGCTGACTTGCGTCACGCTTGGCTTCTTCAGCGTGCGCAACAGCGATCGCAGCTCCTGAGAATAGAAGCGAAGCAAAGAAGTACATCCTGTCAATGAAAGGAAGCTGGGTTACGAGAATCGTAGCTCTCCACATTATATATATGCAAAACTCTCGACCTGTAGGCTCAGCATGTCATGTTACGCGACAAGAAAAGCTGTATGTCTGAGCAACAGCCCTGATACGGTGAGAAACTGTTCTTGACATGAGTTAAAAAAACAGGGCCGCCTGAGCAATCAATAAATGATCTTGTCTTCTCCCCACAGCTGTGATGAAGACACATGGTGATGTGTTTGAATCCGTGGTGACTATTCATGATGCCGAGGGCTTTTGACAGTGAGAGTTTTACTTTGGGGAAAGTCATGGTGCCGTTCACCCAAAGCGCTGTATAGAGGCCGCGCCCTTGGGAATGAAGATTATAATACTGCGATCATCAGTGAATTGATGAACATATTGAAATCCCCGACACCCACTTTAGTGGGAAGAGGGTTCTGTAGAAAATAAATGTCATGCCGTCTGTCATTTGATGCGTGGAAAATTCTTTCCGCTGGCCGATGAATCAAGCCGTTGGTCATATGACTTGGTCTGTGCCGTACGACGTTTAATAGCGGGTCTCAAAGTCGAATGTATAAAGAAATTCACAGCAAGATTTTGCGTTGCCGGTATGGCATGTTTCAAACTCCGCCCTGCCCTGTTAGCGTGTGTGCTCAACATCGTCATTATTGGCGTCGACAGTGCCAAAGCATCAATCCGATCATCAATCGTTGTCATAATAAACGCCCTGAATAATATCACGCTCTGGACAGAGAGGTTGAGGTGGTGGAGTCCAAGCCAGTGCATCTGCCAGTATGGACACTGGGAAGAAATGCACTATCCATTGGGAGGGGGTTTGTAGTGCTCATACGGAACATCTACTTGCCTGGTGCAAAGAAAATGAAGACGCACCATCAGCAAAAGTGGCGCAGCCTGGTAAGCCCCATCAGTAAATTCACACATTTATTGGCGCTACTTTTTTTGGAACATTAAAACTTATTTACGACTTATTTACATTTATTTACTTGGTGCGCTATGTTGACAAGCCGAAAAGAAGCGCACAATAAACAAGGACAAGAAAGCACGCAAAAGTAAGTCATATATTCCAAGCAAAAAAAAGTATAGTAAGTGCTAAAAGTATTTATTGTGTCATTTATTGATTAACAAGGCGTCAGTACAGTTCATGGCTTCGAAAACAGTTGATCGCAGACGAGGGAGAAACCACCATTGGACGGATATGGCGCTTAGGGCAGACATAGTGATTCGAGCCGAAGTGAAGGCAGAGGAGGTGGAGGCGAAGGTGGAAGGAGCGGAGACCTTGCTGTGGTTCTGGAAAAGAGTGAGGAGGTGGTTCGAAGGAATCGGGGCAGCCAAATGTGTTGCTCGGCGAGGGTAGTGTGACTGTAGGGCGCGGTGAGTGTTAGGATGTCCTACAATCAATGAGAACTTACTGATAATCTTGATAGTGTCATCTGTGACTGCGATCTGTAAATATATTCAGTGCGAGGCCGATCGGGCCCCCAATATACGTTGTGATCAGCCCTGATGCCCCAATAGACAACGGGACAATGTTCAGCCCCCTCCAATCCATGTTGCTCTCAAACGATCTTCGGGACTCTGCGCTTTTCAAGAATATTAGAAACACATCAACTCTTACATTGAAGACAAACATTCGCTGCAGTGAAATTTGATGATGTCGAGCACGAGAATTATTTGCTCGAGTGCTTCATCGCCATCATCTTGGCCGGCGTCTACACCACCCTTCAGTAACACCTGTGCAAGGAGTGGGAATGCATAGGAAAAGGTTGCAGCGTCAAACGGAGTTTGCTCTGATAGCGATCGCAGACAATAGAGAACGCGTAGCACAAGAGCTGGAGAATTGTTAACACATCACTTGTTTTTCAGACAACAGGTAAAACCTACAGCTTCAGTATGACGAGAACTGCATTGTTTTAAGTGAGAATGCACTGCGCAATCAATGACAAGTAACGACACATCATAGATAGTGTTGACCATTAGAGCTGACACAAGCATCTACATCTCACACAAATTGAGAACGTGCACTAGCGCATGGTAAATACACTCACAACCGCAAATAGGTTTGTGAACCACCAGCTCGTGTTGACAGGATGAAGACTTTAATCTCTAAATCCTTCGCATTGAACTGCTGTACATGCAAGGCGCGCTCTTCTGTTTCCATACCACTGTGAAGACGAAGATACTTTCATGATATCTATGACCTTCATCAATTAGGAGAGTATGAGGACCTAATAGACACGTACAGCTCGGGCGATTGTAGGGTGCGACGCACCCTGTGAGTTGAAGATCTTGGGAAGGAGAAAGTTGAAGAGAGCCAAAAGTTTGGGAAGGTTGTTCTGAAGGGGGGTACTGGTGAGGATGAGGCAATAGCGGGAATGGTAGTATTGTGTGAGTGTCTGCGTAAGTTCATGTGATGTGACCATTGGCAATGGACTGAGGATTAGATTGAAGACCCACCTCTATCATGCGTGGCGGTCAGGACGCTATCTTGAAGGCGTGGTGATCAGCGTATTTGTTGACATAAAATGAACAGAAAGTATCAAGGGAATCGTAAAATTTGAGAGAGTGAGGAATGTACTTAGAACCGTAGATAGGTATCAGGTGTGCTGCATGGAAGACCGTCTCGATATGAATAACAGCCAGGTTCCTTGAGCTGTCCTCGTGAAAACTTGGAGTGACCATCCACATGCCAGTGTCTTCATTGGGACAATCACCGATCTTCTCAAACCATTGGATGAGGGCGCATGGATACACTTCCCATCTGTGAAAGAAAGAAAAGAAATATATGACTCTCGCAACTTCGAGTCCTCGCATCCCTTCAGCATGTGAATCAGTATTGACGAACACGCAATCATTATGCGGGTACTTGTTCCGCCAGAGCGGACATGCACGGATGTGTTCACGTCGTATGCCGCCAAAACTGCTCGGATCGCTGGGAGCATAAAATGTTGCTGCAGCGGAATTGAAGACCTGAAGCTTGCCTTTGTGTTGAGGCAAGTTAACAGCTGGTATATCTTTGGGGTGGCGGGTATCATCCGGATTGAGCTGGGAGAACAGAAAGTATTGAATAAGGCGTGGTAGCTCTGGAACAGCGACTTCCTGTGCCAATGCTGCTACTGTCTGTGCTCGTTTTCGCTCTGTGTGATATAGTGGTGAACATCGAGATTGGACATTGCATGATATTACTTACGGGGAGTTTTGGTGAGTGCTACACAAGCGAGCACCGTTGGATCATCAACTATTTCACTGTCATCATCAGCATCCGTTACTGGGTGCGGTTCAATGATGACGGGGGCATCTGGTTGCTGTGCAACAGCAGAGACAACTTGCTCGTTTGCATCTGTCGCTATATATTGCTGTTAAGTATGCGAGAAGACGATCACAAAAAGAAACCTGAAACGGACTTACCAATAGCAGCTAAAGTACTTGATAGAATAGTGCCAGTGAGCATTCCCCGCGCATCAAAGTCCACATGGGACACTGCAAGCTTGTCAAGGCGCTGATTGGTCACAAGCATCTGACCAAGAGCATTGTGCCTGCTCGACCACCGCCAGGGCTCCTTTACCGCCTTGATGTGTTTTGATTCTGTAATTGATGAGCACAGTCCATTCGGGGCACCAAAGAGTCTGATCATGTCCACGTAATAAGTCATTGAGTGCTGACGGGGGAGTGAGAAGGTAGGAACGACGATATCAAATATCTTGTGATAATGATGAAAACGACGAAGTGCATCTTGAATTTGAGTCAAGGTATCTTCAGTGACAACGTTGCACCGGACAAGATAGCAAAATTCTAGCAATGCACGAAATGCGCGCACCATGTCTTGAGGTACGTGACCTTCGATAGCCGGAAGGAATACCTTCATGAGCGCTTTGGAATCGTCGCCCGTCCACTGTTTAAAGTCGCGACCTTGAGGAAATCGTCGTAGACCAGAGAATGATGCTACAGCAGCAATTCTGATTATTGTTAGAGAATATTATTGAGTAGTCAGTAAGGTGACATACCTGCGATCTATGTCGCTCATAATCTCCTCCGACCGTCTAGTCCCGTGCACAGCCTTAAGGTACTTTGCTACCCAGTCGACAAGATGGTCCTTGAAAGCACCTTTGATTATCTGGTGGAGGAGGTCAAACGACAGCAGCTCATGAATATCAGCTCGAGGGAAGTCATTGGTGAATGGCTACACAAAACATATTAGTCTGGTATGAAGAGCGGCCCGTTCTACTCACGACGAGATCACCAACGAGACCATATTCATCCCACAATATATCTGCACGTAGTTCTTCGATCAAGAAGTCATTGTGCTCGCGAGAACGGTACATCCCACCACCATCAAGGTCTGTACGAACTGCGATACATCTACATGAATTGTCAGTACCAATGGATACTGATTACAAGTGCCAATACTCACTTCGGGCACCAATGTCTGACAACGCAAGATAGTACCAGTTGTTCCTCGTAATCCGCTATGTAGGGTCCTAGACTATATATGACGCGTCGAAAATGACCGTCTCCACAGCGCACGACCTCATACTTGGTCATAACAGGTTTTAGGCTGGAGAGAATCACGGATAGCGAACTGTGGAATAGTTGGCGGCGAAACATCCAAAATACATCATCTTTAGAGTGCATCTTGTCGGCTATAATAGCACAGCTCAGATGAGACATAATAAAATATGAACAAACGTACTTTTGGGTATGGCGAGGAACCCAATGATGACAAGAGCATCACAGTGCGCACGCCGCACATTGTTGCGTACATTACCGATAGAGGCATAGAGGGGATAGTATTCGTTATTACCAGTGCCCACAGAGACGGTAGTCTTGTCACTACCGAGAATGATTGGGACCAAAGCAGATCCATGTGTTTCCGGATTTTTTGATATGGTGTCCTTGAGAATGTTAGCTATATCCTAAGCAATGCCAGAAAGAGATTGAAGATGTACTGCCTGTTGCCATGCCCAGTCTCCGGACATAAAGTCTTTCCATCGGCGCGTGTCGTCCAACGCATCATATTCACGAAATGGCACATAGTCGATTTCGTCCTTGTACGTAGGGTTGGCAAGTATATTGTGCGCCATTGCATGGGGGTCCCTATACCAGACCTCGAATTCATCGTCCATCCATGGTGGGACAACCTCGGGTCATTCTCCTAAGTATCGAACAGAAAAAGATTGCCACGGGACATCCCCAAGCTCCGTCGCATCTATGACACTGTGTAGATCTTTGTGATCAGCAAATGGAGGGGTGTCACGGTGTTTCGCAAGGGTCGCAGCCATTAAGTCGCACAAGAAATCCGAATTTTTTGCAGACATATGACATTTTTTGAATGCGAACTCTGCCGCCTCAAATTCTATTCTGTTGCGATATGGACTCCAATCGTTAGGAGCCTTTGGTGGCACAGGAGTCGGGGGGGTGCCATGAGGCAGAAACGTTCCATCAGCAGCGCATGGTCGTCCTAAGCATATATCTGAGTCAAAAACAAAGTACTGAAACTTGAAAGGAACTTACCATTTAACATTGAATGGTACATACAATAGTATCGCTCACTCGCGTCAGTGAATTCTGCATCAGTACGGCTTGAATCCTCATGAATTGAATCAGGGAGTATGGGAGGTGGTGGCTGGGGCGGTTGTGAAAAATCCGGAGGGGGCAGTGAGAAATCTCGAGGGTAGGAAGGTGATCGGGATGGTCTGGGATCATCCTGAGGGGACGGTGGTGGCTGGGGTGCCAATGGGAGGTCCTGAGGGGATGGTCTCGAAGCACATAAAGTTGGGTGAAGCAAGCGCCTGTGTTGGGTAAGACCCGACTGATTTTGAAACCAACGCGCGCATCCTGGAACTGAGCATGGCAGTTGAAGTAGGTGGTGAGCACGACGGGAAGGCATAGTATGTGCTACGCTGAGATGTTGCCAAGGATTTTGAAGGCTGACATGTTCAAGATTTGGGGTACAACCCTAATCACCGGTACCGATGTAGTCAAACCAAAATAGTATATAAGGTTTAATTCGAAAATGAAGACTAGATTTGTCGGACGCGAGTAAACTGCACCGAAAAGGCTCTGGTGAACATTGATGTAAACCACAATGGAAACACGGTCACGAACCTTGGTCTCACTGCACCAATAAATGAAAATTAGTGTACTATCTCCTTGCCAGAAAGGTCTTGGTGAACATTAACACTTCGCAGGCAAAGTTTGACACGGGAGTGCCAGAACATATCGATGAAAATTAAGGCTCCCAGCAGCTGAAACAAATCGCGCTAATGTATATTACTGGGTATGTCAGGGTATTTATTCAGAGTCAGCTAGGGCTACATTTTTTGAGAATTGTGACGAAACTCACCTTGTTGTCAGCCACCGTTGGTTCTATTTTCTCTTTCTTCAGCCTTCCGGATCCTCCACCAATACCATGTCTCAGCCTGCCAGCGCAGTTCCAAAACATATGAATACTCGAGCTAAAAATGCAACTCAGCATCCAGGATATATCCTGACTGGAGGCGAAGGTCACATAAAGAGACATACCAAAGCTCAAAAGGCCACTGACGACCAGCGTGAAAAGGAGGAAAAGGAGGCAAGTGAAATGGCTGTACAAGAAGGATATAAGCGTGTTGCTGTATTTCAGAAAAAAATGCAGACAGACCAGGCAGCTACCCATGCTGATGGGCCGAAGCCTACTCGTCCCCGCCCACGCCCACGCCCCGTCAAAAAGGCTGTGAAAGATGTGGAGACCTCCAACTTGACTATGGCTGAGGATAAGGCCGTGGGCGCCAATGGCAAGGGTGGTACGGTTGGAGGTAACTTAGCAGCTAGTGCTAATGTCGAACATCCTGAGAGTGATGCAGAGGAGGAGGAAGAGAAACAGGTGCCAGTGGCACGCCACAAGAAGGGGAAGAAAGTGTTACCAGTGAAGACGCCAGTGAGAGATGCGATTGAAGCAGCAGATGCTGACATCCTTATCGAATTAACGGTGGCACGTGATGGTGATAAGAAGCTCAATGATGTGTAAGGCATTTATCGCTTCTCAACCATGATGCACCAGCTGACCGAAACGGCTCTTTTCTTTTTCAATCTAATGGTCAATGATCATGATAGTTCTGCACCAGGTCTTGACAATTTCAGTGTTGCTGCCATGCATATCCCAAGTTGGATATCGAGAATTCCTGCTGATTGTTCAAAGTCACCCTCCAACTTGAAAATCAGACCATTCCCGTTGCCTTCTGACTTCTCTGGTATCACTTCCTCCTCTAAGCTCACTAGGGGGAGTACCATCAGTAGCGGTGGTGCCCTACTTACGCCCATCAACACTATCACCAATTCTGGGGCTGATAATGTGGCAGATCGTTTTACAACCCTGTTCACAGACAACGATTTGGCCAAATCAGTCGAGCATTCTCAAGCCCTTACTCGTATGTCAAAACCCAAGGCTGCTCAGGTGAGTTGGATTATATAGTTATTTTTTTTTACGTGTTAACTGTATTATTAGGGTGTCAAGATTTCTCATCAGGTCTCTGATACTTCGGTTCAAATGAACTTAGCTCATCGCAATGCTAACCCGACTCTCAAACAGCTCGACACGATCCAGCCTGACGATGATTGCGAAATGAATGTTGAGGTGGCTCCCCCAGTAGTAACCCCCCTCGTTAACTACGCATCCGACACTGATATGGAATCTGATCTCGAACCTCCTCCTTCTATGCAGGTTCCCAAAGGATATTATGATGTCGACATCTGCCAGGCTACAGCTCTCGCTCTTGCTCAAGCTCACACATCCTACCCTACTACTCCGACTTCAAGCGTCAAGCGCAAACTCGCGGATTTGGAGGATGACATAATCGAGGACGACCTGCTCGAGGATGACCTGCTCGAGGACAACCACATTAAGGACCACTACATCGAGGATGATCTCATTGAGGACGATCTCATCATTGATGATGACTCTATGGCCGATTGTGCCTTCGTGATTGAGGAAGACTCAGCCTCATCTGAAGTTGAATTTGTGGGTCAAACAACGCCTATAATCAAGACCAAACCCGAACCAGTGTCCTTGCGGGTCACTTCTGCGGTAGTATTCTTTGGTGGCTGATGTTTAATCATACTAACAATGAATTATATAGACTAATGTTGGTGTCAAACATGGAGCTCGCGTAGCAAAGCGGGCAAAGTCTTCCGTCGCACACACCCAGAGTCTTTCCAGCATCTCGAGTGCAACTTCTGGTGCTATGAACCCTATAGAGGTGGAGATCCTCCCCCGTTCTGCTTACAGGGTCAAAAACCTTCCTGGAGGTCCCTGAGTTGTAGCTAAGTGGAGTGCCCTGTTCATCCCTACTCTCATTCTTGCTATCGGAGATCAAGATGAAGTGTGGGGTCGTGTCGAGTCCGAGAAAACTCTCTGCGCTATTATGCAAGACACCTGGGATGTGGTTTATCAGGATATACCCCACATAGTCACTACTGATGGTCCTGTTATGGCTTTAGTAAGTTATTTTTGATGCAATTCATATCTGATAATTTTTATTTGTTCTTAGGCCATCCAGCGGCTATCAGAGTGGCGCAACGGCATTGGCTCTACTGCCGTCTCGGTACTTACACACTTCATGACATTGCAGGACAATGTCCGGACCGACCAAGACCGCAAAGATTTTGCAAATAACTTACTCTTCGAGCTAGGATTCTTGTACGGGAGCATCACACAGGACGGAAAATATAAGAAACCCTTTCAGTCTGAACTCCTTATTCAAGTCCTCGTACAGCACAGGTGTGCTACTTGGGGCACTATTGATACCCACAGGAAGCTTACACATGCCAAGGGTGCTCTTAGTCTTGTCACTGCGGTGGCATGTATATTCACTCTCTCGTCATACTATGACTAACTTGTTTTTTTGTTCGCATTGCAGATGGAACGTGCCCTCAAACTTATTGGGCTCGAGAACACGCTCGTCAGTGAATTGGCAGTCAACAGTAAAGGGAAGGCGGTCAAGGTCCCCCACAGTCTGAACAAAGCCTCGGGCAAGACTAGCAACGCTTGAAAGGCGTTTTTGGACACTAACTATGGTACGGCGACCAGGGATTACATGAAATCTATCAACCGCCTTGGAGACTCGGTCCTCCAGGACATCTGGGAACGCACAAAGGATATCGCTGCAAAGAGGCGTGGTGTGCCCCTCACTCCGGACGAGGATTCTGAGGATGAGCGTGCACTTATCTTCGATATTTGGTACTGTCCTTTTCGTTGTTTTCTAGCATCTCGTGACTGATGATTTTTGGTGCTTTTGTAGAGTCAGGTACTACTAGTATACCCACCTGCGTCTCTGCCGCAGTCGCTGCCGCTACCGGCATGTACTACTACTTGTCATGTTATTCGCTTTATTACGCATGTTTGAGGTCTCTTTTTCGCTACTTACCAGTACTTTCATGTTACTTTCCCTCCTTTTTTTTCTCACTTAATCTACTTATCACTTGAAATGCAATGTTTTGTGGTCATTTTCATCTCAACAAGTGTGAAATAAGTGTGAAAATAAGTCACAATAAGTATTACTACTTGCATGACTTGCAGTGTAGGAATAAGTGTAAAGTAATTGTCAAAAAAAGTCAAAATAAGGTTGGAAAAAGTTGAAGTCAAGAGGAGGCACCTACTTTTTCAACTTAAAATCGTCTTGTGGCAAGTTCACGGCAAGTTGGTGTCACCGTTCTTATGCTTGGCTTTGCCGTTCCTTTTCGGGAATTACCTGGCGGCAAGTTGCAAAAAAGGAAGGTCAAGAAATGTGTGAATTTACTGATGGCCCTTTCCAGGCATGGCAAGATACCCCCAGTCTGACGAACTTCGCCAAGACTGAACACGGCTTGCAGACAACCTCTCCGTCATGCCAGATGGGCACCAGGCTGGTCAAAAGCCATCAGAATTGTGTATTTTAAAAAGTCTTGAGGCGCCTTGCAATGTTGATCCAGCCTTGCCAGTTCCAAGCAGGCTGTTCATAGCTTATGACTCGTACCAGACAGATAGCACACTGCAATGCAATAAATGGAATCCAGTGAATTTCATGATTGTACAATACAAAGCAGTGCAAGTAGCAAAACTACACAGGTGTCTATGCGAGTCCAACGCCATCCGAAAGCAGGATCAAGGGTGTGATGAGAGCATATGAGAGACATCAAGTGCAAGACATTGTAAGCGCAAATGGAGTCATGAGTGCAAGAGTAATATACGGCACGGGCACAAATTGAATGTAATGCAGTGAGTGACAGCATTGAAATCTGTGTGACTAAAACCAATAGTCAGAATAGGCAAACAGACCAGGATTTAAAATACCTAGGCAGCCTTTTTACCCCGACAAGGCACAGGAGCATCCGCATCTGGGATACCAGCACCACCTGCTTCGTTAGTAGATTCTTCAACCAGGATATCACCAGCAGAGAGACGTGCAGAACCGCGAGTGTTGGATGGCTTACATGATGACTTTGGTATGGGAGGTTGCAGTTCGTCGAAATGTACTTGAGCATTGGGTGTTTGAGGGATGCGAAGTCATCAGATCGTTGTGACCTGCTAATCTGGTTGTTTGTAGTCATCAGTTTGGTGCAAATACATGAATATATGCGCATATATGCAGAAACTTACCGCTGTGATATAAGGTTTTAAGTCCATCCTACGACATCTCATCAAGAGTTGCATGGAAACCGGGCATCCCATAACAAAATGCAAGTGACACATTGGCCAATGGATTCCATGTGAGGACCGCTTTGCGCCTGGCCGCTGATAACACATCACTCAACATTGAGTCGCGTGATAGGGGTGAACCTATGAGTATGAAACTTACCTTATCTTCTTCTGCCTGCCGGTGGCAGTAAGATTATCGAGGATGTGCATCTATCAGAGCGCGTTTTTTGGAGCTGGAGGGACAACAATGTGTTAGATATCGGAGATGACACTATGGTACAGGGATAAAAGGGAACACAATGAAATCTCCACATAAGCTGGACTTTGAAATGCCTTCTGATGGAGTTCAAATGCACAACACGTGAATGTAATCAAAGTATGAGACAATCGATTATCGTATATGGACTGAAAAATAACATGAGAGCAATGCGAGAGCAAAAAGGAACAAGTGTGTAAAAGAAAAAAAAATCAAGCTTTGCAAACCTCTCCTGGATTTCCAGCTCTTTGATGGATTTGACTTCCCAGGCCATACAATGTTCATGCCTGATGAAAAGAGCTGGTACATAGCGAGGAACGAATTCCACAACTGTCCAAAATTCAACCCAATTGAGCCATTTATTGACCCAAAAATCGAAAATTTCGCTACAGGCACTACCAAATTTCGCTCCACTCGGTGTCCATGCCTTCTAGGTCCTCTGCAGAATCGTCTTGAGCGCTACCAAAGCTGTTGATAAATGGCTGATTCTTTGGGTGAGGAAATAATGGAGTCGAGATCGCCGAATGAGATGTCTGGGTGCCGTCTTTCAGCCATTTTCTAAGGGACGTGAGTTGTTAATACAGGCCACTGAGTAGGACACTAACCTTTGCATCATACATATGCCATTGTCGAATCTGAGGTTCCTCGGTCACAGATGAGGGCTTGATTGAATACAGTTTTTCTGCAATACACTGGAGATAAAGCTTGAGTGACGAGTAGTCAGGACTCGCTGAAACTTACACCAAGTATGCAACCTTCAGGTATCTTTGTCAAGTGAGTCTCACATAGCACTCAAACTGGCGCATGAAAGCTTCATGAATGTCGGCAGCTGTTTTTTCTTTGAGAGCAGGGTTGTGTTGGGACTTGAACTCGGCTTCAATCACAATCTCGAGGTACTTGAGAACTCGGACGTAAGTTGGCGATGTGAGGATATCGGGCACAGCTGTTGAAAGAATGTGAGGGATCTTGATTTTGAGAGAGAGCGGATTATGCAGGATTGCACCACGAACATAACCTGTCCCATGTGTGATAAGAATAAGCATTCATCAAAGGTGAAGAGTGAGTAAACATACGTGGATCTAAGCATAAAGCTGCAAGATAGCAGTCGGCTGGTCCATCTTTGAGCTGTTTACGCAAGTGATCTGTGAGGAACAGCGGAAGATTAGAATGCGACCCACCAGGACCATGGGGGTCGACAGACTTATTAGCACCATGTCACCACCTCATGGCCGTGTGCCTGTTAATAACATACCTTTTTTAGCAGTGTTATTAACAACCAACTTTTCGTCCGTACCCTACCATTCATATCACCGTGCCGCGAATGGGCTCCACACAGACCAACATGGCAAGGAGGTTGATAAGCACTTGTACCATGAGCGACACGAGAGCCAGAAACACCCAACACCAGCACGTATGGATGTAGAATTCCTTGAGCGAGTTGCTCTGAGAAATGTGTTTCCCATCTGACTAACCCTCTTCTTGCTCTTCGACGACAAGTCCTAGTCTGTAATTGGAACAACATTAGTGTTAGCACATGGAAAAGTCAAGAAACACATGGTGCAACACCAAAGGCACTCTTCTGCGTATCTGTACGTATGGCAGAGAACGAGTTCGTTATCACAGCAACAAATAGATTAATAAGCCAGATGTTCAACACGAGGATGCAGACAATGAAATAGAAGCAGGAGACAAAAAATTCGGTGTCGATGATCGAGTACATGATTGGGGACCACTGAGAGGAAATTAGCGCAACAGAAATATGAATAAAAAAACACATACTCCATTGGCTGAAGTCACGACGACAACTTGAAGCACAGCATAATAAATATTGTCGAAGCTCTGGATGCCACTGTTTGGATTGTCTCCCTCCTGATCCGAAATTATGATATCGTCATCTGTCGAAGAAACTCCAAGTGACGAAACTGACAAACCCGCTCCAAAGGGCAGATATAACCCTTGACTGCAGAGCCTGATGTACCATCCGATTGTAAATAAGGAGTGGCTTTTAGCCCATTCGTTTGAGAGGGGAAGGTGAGGAACTGTAACGCAGCGTCCTCCGCCTGGTGGGGCCTGCAGCACCTCCCATGCACTCAGAGTCACTGATGGTCAAATCATTAGCACTAGCCCAACTTCCATCTGCAGATTTACATTGAGAGTTGGTGCCAGTGAGATGGACATTGTCTCTGTCCTTGGATGAGTCAAGGTCAGACTCCAGAGTCGAAATTAACGAGGCGGAGGATGGATCAGCTTGTGCAGCAGTGTAGGGTAATTCATTGTAAATCGAACTCCCATTGTAAGCTAATGCATTTGCAAAGAATCCATTGTCTGGAAAATAAACCAGGTCCTCGTCTGCAGTAAATGGCCGGGGCGATATTCTTGAAGGACCCACCTCCATAGTTACTGAGAGATTCGGGCATAAGGGATCCTGCCCTGCATCTAACTTTGCCCAGCTGGCTCGTCTGCGAGCGACGGAACGACCACCATCCACTGAAGGATGAAGTGTTGGAGACAGACTCGGACTCGGAGGAGCTGAAGTGCCACCAAGGCCCATGATAGTGACAGTTAAGTTGATAGCGGAAGAGGAACTTTGGGTTGAATGACTGAGAGATGAATAATGTTGGCTGTCCAGATGCTGGCCATCCATAACATATGCGTCACGGTAGCCTCCGTAGCGTTAATGCAACGTCGAGAGAAAGTCTGTACAAACAGTGGAAGGACTTGTCTTTCAGCAGTGTAAGAGAAGAAATATGTTGCATTAATTGGATTGATAATTTTCGCATGCAATCCTACATGGGCGAGCTGCGAGTGACAATGTTAAGTGCTAAAGTGGTTATAAGACGGTGTAGGGATTCATTTCTGGCTGGGCTTGCAGAGACTGTTTTTACCTTAGTGTTATGTTTGCACTTTTGTAGCTTACATAATCAAGTTATCTTTTCACCAGTTACCAGTATGAGTCTGTCTGAGTCTTGAGCAGTTTTTATGACATTTCCTCTCCTCTGAGCCTTGAGCCTGGTCCAGAAACCCTTTAGGGTCGAATAGCAGCTAGGTTCTGCAAGACCCAACATTGTTCAGACTTACCATCTGAATTGTTGTACCTTCAACTGGAGCCCACCGCGAGGGGAACAGTCAGCAAGATCTAGTTCCGTGCACCTTTGCACTTAGCGCCATTTAGCACATATAGGTCAATCTCTTTGCATTTTCACAAGCTAACCATTTTTAGTCGCACTTTCTCGCGCTTCAATGCCTTATAGAATGCCCATCCGTGGCACAACAAACGCGCCCAAATTCGACGGCACTACAGACAACCTCGCCGAGTTCATTGATGCATATGAGCAGCTCGCTGATGAAGCAGGACTCCAAGGACTCGACCGCATCAAAGGTATTATTCGCTACCTTGAACGCGATGATCGAGAACTATGGGGAGGCATGCCTGAAGCGGCAGTAAGCGATTACGACGCCTTCTTAGATGAGGTGAAGGTAATGTATCCTGGATGGGATGGCAAGAGACGCTACGCACTCGCGGACTTATGCGCCATCGCGCGAGAATACGCTAACAAACCTATGCCCTCTTGCACCGAACTAAGCAATTACTTGCGCGCATTCAGGAAGGTTATGCAGCCACTTATGGATGAAGACCGTATTGGAAAGGCTGAACGCGACCGCTTATTCATGGAAGGAATCCCTAGAGATGCTCAGCCGCAAATTCGCTTGCGCCTTATGATCAAGTTCCCCGACCACTATCCACACGACCCATATCCGTTCATGGACGTCTTTGCAGCTGCACAGTTCCTATTACCTGCGCGCACTTTTCCCGCGCCAAGCGCGCCAGTTAACGCGCCTGTAGTAGTGCCATTTGCGAACTTAGTCACAGCGACCGCGCCAGCGCAAGCACCGGTGCAAGCCATGGTAACTAAGCGCAAAGATCAATACTACGCGAGCCGCGCAACGCAGGATACGTCCACTAGCGCTAGTGTGACAGCCGGACTCTTCTATTGCGCATCCTCAGATGTTGTACTTGACAAAAGGCCACCAGTTCCTATCCTTGCGCCTCGCGCGCACGATTTTCCCACGCCTTCGCGCGATTCACGCTCGCCTGAACCATCAACTGCGCCAGCACACAAAGCTATACCAGACTGCATCGCTTTAGATCACGAACTCGAGCGCGTGCCCGCGAAGCGCAACCAGAAGCGCACTGCATGCGCCTCTTTGCCCCCATCATCATCTCTTTCTTCACCTGTTTTGCATGCTGACAATTCTTATTTGCTGCCCATGTCAGCATCAATCGCATTGTCAGTAGTCAGGGATGACTCTAAACATCTATTGCACACCAATGCACCACTCAAATCACGCTCGCCTATCGCTATCGCATCGCCTACGGTCAGGGATGACTCTAAATATCTATTGCACAATAACACGCCCATTGTGGAAGTTATTACGCCATCGCTTGAAACACGCTCGCCTATCGCTATTGCATCTCTTAAGGAAGAAATCTTGCCAATCGCGCCTTCACCATCACCGCTATCGCCATTCACATCGCCAGAGGTCAGGGATGACCCTAAACATCTATTGCACCTTAGCGCGCCTATAGAGGAGCCTTCTACCGCATCAGAGGCTCAAGTTGCACCTCGCGTCAACCAGACTTTACCTCTGGTAATTCCATCTGTCACTAACGATCACGCGCACATCGCGCTTTTTGCTTCTAGTGACTATCCCTTGCCAGTAAAGCATCCGTGCATCACACTCCACAACTACTGCTCCAAATTCGATGAGCCAGGGCTCAAAATGACCGGACGGACGTGGGGAATACGACCCTAAGTTTGCGAGAGATCCGCTCGAAAAACGCGTGAGAAAAACGCTTATCAATGCGCTGGGGAGGAGGACAAGATGCTGAAAACTTGGGAATATGGGAGAAGCTGATAAGGAATGACTGTGGTAGGATAATAGGCGAATTTGGGGGATGATTGGAGAGCTGGAAGAGCCTAGAAACACAAGAAACCCTCGCGGTGGGCTCCAGTTGAAGGTTCAACGATACAGCAAGGCACGAACAGTGCTCCTGACTGTATCTATAATTGTTGTAAGGTCGTGCGTTGCCTAGTCTGCTATACTTGAGACGACAAGTGCGTTCGACCCTAAAGGGGAAGCGAGTGCAGCAAGGATCTAGAGGTATGCACTGAAAGCGCTACTGGTTGGCCAATGCGAAGCGCGAGAAAGCGCAGGTGCGCGCAAGGCGCGGGAATGCGCGCGTGTATGGCGCGAAGCGCGGGAAAGCGTGCGCGTGTATACAGATATGAGAGAGAGTAAGAGTGAGTTTGCTTAAGTGATGATATGATGTAAGACAAGAGAAGAGAGATGCGAGGTGTAAACAAATAGATTTCTACTATGTTCTGCTAGGTGAATAGTGGGTAGTAACCAGTAAGTCCTCTGTCGTTCTGGTGGGAGAGTAAGTTTCCTTTTTTTCATAGTATGTACTGCTGGCGCTTAAGTATGGCGCCTAAGCGCTGTCATGCGGAGCCGAAGCGCTACCGAGTAAGGTATGTAAAGATATATGTAAGTAAGGGTCCATGATAAAAATAAAGATGGAACGATAAGCAAATGTGAGAAATGGAAATATACGCACTAGGGAACTTGGTGGACAGTGGATGGATGCTTCCGGATGGCTGGCGCTATAGGGTGCTCAAGCGCGGGAAAGCGCGCGCGCATATACATCGTGAAGCGCGGGAAAGGTACGCGCGCATGGCGCGCGTTGCGTGGGAAAGCTGCGCCTCATATAGAGATAGCTGTGGGTAGCACACAGAGTGATGCTACAAGTTCGTGCCATGTACTCCCCAGTGAAAACTGCCATATTGCACAATGAGAGGCATGAGTCTCTACAACGGAGTCTTGTAATGCCTGGCATGGCACCTGTAAGGCATGTAGCCATATTGGAACACTATGCCAGACTTACGGTATTTGCTGAGACCTTGTCAGCTTCTGCCACTTTTGCTGATGACACATCAAGCTTTTTTCTGATTTTGCAAAGGATGCCAAGGAGCAAGGTCGGAAGAAGAAGCAGAGTGGAACTTTGAGAGATACCTTCTATTCACAGGTCGCACAAGCTGTATTTTCGAATGACGAGGATCCAGATGTCCAATGACTTTTCAAGGAGGACCCAAAGGCATTTATTAAACCAGTTTCAACTCGTTTTGGCATGTAAGTATCTCATTCCTGCATTGTCTCTCCTCCCACTAGAATCATTGATCAGATGCTTTAGGCTCAAGAAAAAATATAACGAGTTCAACAAGGAGCTCAAGCAGTCAGGAGCCAGAAAGACATATGCGGAGCTGCAAGCGGATCCAATGATGAAGTTGTTAATCAGTAAGTCTCAGCTGCTGTTGATCTGCACATGTCTTAATCATATCTCTGTCAGATACAAAGCTCAAAAAATTTCCCTGGTGGCCTGAGCTTCATGGCTGGTGGCGCACAAACCCAGCTTTCAATCACACCTTCTCTACCGCAGATGTGGGGCAAGATTTTGTGTCTGCTGCATTAGAACATTTTGCTATTTCAAAGCAACCACCAGCACCAGCCACAGGCAACGACACTCACACAGATGATGATATTGAAGATGGAGAAATAGTTAAGATTAGTGCTTGCACTATGGGTGATGTTGGTGTTGTAGATGTGACAGCTGACATCAGGTAACCGACTCGAAAATGATAAAATGATGTAAAGCTTTATCTATTCTAAAATACATATAATATCTATCACAATTGTAGTCCAAATGAGAAAGCTTTAAATACCTGGACTAAGTTGGATGGAACCTACCAGAGGTACAATCTTGACAGTCAGTTTGCAATTACCTATCAAGTTGACAGATATCTACAAAGCTTTAGAAGCCTAGAGTGTTTCGGACAAACTCATCAAAGACTCAAAGGTGCTGAAAGATTGCAATAATTTATTTTAAAAAACCAATTTTATTGACAAATGTATAGTACATGTGCTACATAGTAGTATACAGGGGGGCTATGAAACAAGAAACAAAGGAAAGTAATACTTGGAGGGACTATGAAGGAGGGACCACCAAAGAGCCAGGAAGGAGGGGACCATGAAGGAGGACAGGGATGAGGGACCACCAATGGCAAGAGAGGAGGGTCTGAAAAAGAAGGGAGGAGGGTCCACCAACGGCCAGAGAGGAGGGTCAAAAAAGGAAGGGAGAGGGTCCACCAATGTCCAGAGAAAAGGGTCCAAAAAAGAAGGGAGGAGGTCCACCAACAGCCAGAGAGGAGGATGCACAAAGGAGCCAGGGAGAAGGGTCCACTGAAAAAGGCCAAGGAGGAGGGCCCACCAAGGAGGAACAGACAAAAAGAGAGGACAGAGCTCACAAGGACTTTGACGAAAATTTTTCAAACCCCCAGCTCCCATGGTGTATCTTAGTAAGCATTCTGAGCAGCTTAATATTACATAATATTGCAATTCCATTGCAAACAAGTATCTTCGAATATCACAAAGTCACACTCTAGCAATGGTCTATCGACATTTATCTAACATGGATCACACTTGCAGCATCTTACATACCAGCATCAGACTTATAGTTTTCTTGTAATTTCTTCTCATTCAAAGTCATGTTGCTCTTACTTATGTATCACTTTGTCTTAGAATATAAATATAAATATTTTCGTATATTTTTGATCTGATTCTGTCAATAGTATCTATGAAAACCTTTTTCTTGCCGGTTTCCTGATGGATATGATGGTCGACCAGCCCCCCCACATGGAGTCATTTGAATCACCATCATCAGCACCATCACCGCTGTTATTTTTGGACCATGGTCCTAGCGACACACCCAACTCATTCTCATTAGCTCCATTACCACACTGGCACCAATGACCCCAACTCCCTCCCATCTCAACTTCTGACACACACGGTGTGATATCATTGAACTCTCCTGAGCGCTCACTAGTACTCAATCAAAGCACCACCCAAAATTCACCTTTCTTTTCTGATTTCAAGGAGTCATCACCTAGTAGCCCTCAGTCTATGCCCATTGACTCGGAAGACTTGGACATTGGTGCTAGCCGAGTGCTGCAGTCTCTTCATGTCAGCTCACTTAAAAGGAAGTTGCACAAGTTCACCTTCTCTTGCTACAAAGCAGTCTCGTGCACATGCACCTACTCAGAGTGCTTCACCTCAATCTAGTCGCCCCCCCTCTTCATCATGCAAATGCCCTGGTGGCACTGCTCTTTAGCAGACCTCTGCCGCTGCAGAAAGGATGTCTCAGATGGCAGAATCCCTAATGACGCACCTTGATAGCAAATGTGAGGGTCGTGCTGAGCATGAACACTATAAACGCATGAAACTCGAGAGCGAAATTTGGGCTCATGATCTCAAGGCTCGCAGTGCTCGTGATGAGTGGGAGCATGTGATGTGTCTATCTGACCAAGATCATCTCCACCAGCAGGAGAGGATGACTCAACAAATTGAATTCGCAAGAATTGAGATTGAGCTATCTCGTGCATGTCAAGAGGAGGAGGAGGCTCGAATTTGTCATATTGCCTTGGAGCGTGGTCTTGATCAAAACTAAGTAGGTCTGTACTATGTCATTATGCAACAGGTTTTCAAGAAATGCATTCTATTTTGTACTCGATGGTGCTAACTCAGAGCTCACTAAAACACTCCTTTCTCGAGAAAATCTCAAGTGCAACTGACCCCTCCTAGAGCTCGCCAAAATGCTCCTTTCTCAAGAAAATCTCAAGCACAACTGACCCCTCCTAGAGCTCACCAAAATGCTCCTTTCTCGAGAAAATCTCAAGTGTGACCTTGCAAGCCAAAAGGAAGATGTATAGGTACAACTACATTTAATATAATACTAACTACCTTTGCTCCAATGACGAAAGCAACTGCGTCTTTGATGTGTTACAAAAATCTTGCCCGCGGTTCCAATGTAAGTCTGATCACCTACTGTGCCACCCTCTTGCTGATCATCCTCTCCTCTGTCACTGTCAGCTCGCCTCGACCTCCGAGTTTGCTGATAGAAACATACATTTGAGTCTTCACAGTGTCCTTTTTCCTCAATTTCAACAATTAAGTTGTGCAGAACAAAGCATGAATGGATCCACATGTTTGCATAGTCAAGGTCCTTCTGGCTTTGGATTGGGATGCGAAGCTCCCGCAGTGATTGGAACCGGCCCTTGATAGAGCTGAAAAAGTGCTCTGAACAAATGTGGACCTAGACACTGGGTGAGGACTATGAAAGTATATTAGTATTGATGCTCACTGTTGACAGGTTATAATTGAATGTCTTTTGCTCGGCCGTCAAACACCCTCCCAGTGGCCGTTTATATGGCGGCATACACCAGGTTCACGCAGCATATGCTGAGTCCGCCCACAACCACTCTCCCACACCAAAAAATAACTCGTGATGCCGAGAGACCCTTGTTTGTGCAAATATGTTCGAGTCGTGAAGACTCCCGGGTACACCGATGACGTAGTCAACGATACGCAGATTGTGAGAAAATATGACGACCTTTTGAATCATAAGTCACTGTGCTGCACACTGAGTTGATAGATACTTACCTGGGCTGTTAGAGAGTAGTCAGAGTTCTTGTCAAAGAACCCTTCACTATGGCAACCAGGCTTCTTGTGTAGAGGGGATGGAGTCCCATCTACACAAAGAAAACCACTGCACCATTCACGACATGTCTTCTGCTCCACGTACACTTTTGCCTGCTCTCACTCAATCTGATCCTCATGATCGAGCAGATCAAAATGAATGGTGTGATCATGCAGTTGCAAGATTGTGATCATGACTCATTTGTAGCAGTTGCAGACGGTCCCCACAGACACTCCAGCCTAATCAGATATGTCTTCGGTAGTCGCAGCATTGCCATAATGGCCAACACCATTGAGAAAGATCGCGAGCTGGACTGCAACAGGAAGTTGCGGGTTATTTGAGTTGTTATGGAAGATGGGGTGCACTTGAATCAACGTCGTGAGTTCATCAAACACCTCTGCATCAATGTGAAGCTTGTGGCGAAACTTTTCAGGTGATAACAGCACCCACTCTTGCAGCAGGTGCAGCTGGGGCGCATGAGTCAGAGATGGACGCACATCAAGTACCTGACACTTCTCCACCTCATCATGTAGTGCCCCGATCACATCAATAAAATGCATAAACACTTGATCACACATGTGTGGGATATCGAGCGATAGAACATCAGAATACACTGTTGAGAGCGATGTTAGAGAGCTGATGGACAAAGCAGATACAATGGATGACATAGAAGACTCTGGCCATGCTGGTGATGCGGTCCATATGCTGACATCTGACCCTCCATGATCATCTGATCGCTCATCAGAGCTGTCATCAGAGCCCTCCTCGAGTAGCTGATCAACCACGAATTCAACAAGCTCCATGTATTGTGCGACCGTAAGGTCATTGGTCGTTTACTTCAGGCTACGAAGTAGTTTTTTCCGATCCGATTCTCGAGGCATGATGTTGTTGCAGAATGTTATAGATATGATGATGGTCACAGTAAGGTATGATGATGACACGGTGAGGTATGAGTCTGATTTGTCAGCCGTTGGAGCTCTAATTATCGGCAAGTCGCAAAATTCTTACCCTCTCAAAATTTCTACGATTTGAACTTTGAGACCCACTAATGTTCTTGCAATTGACATTGTTTGGATTATTTCTCATGGCAATGTGAGGCCTTACCATGAGCCATACTGCTCCGGCATTTCCATATCCTTGCTCTCTACCCACAGTTGACCACTTCTGCCTCAGGTGGAGGCAGCTCTGGTTCTACTTGCGCCTGCCTCAGGTGGGTGCTTGTATGTCCATGTTTTTTGGTCTGCTTATACCAAGGGCCTGATGCCTGAATGTCTCACCGATGATTATTTTGATTGGATCATCAGCCTTGTCTGTGCATAACCATCTGTGCTGAGTTACAGGATGTGTTCTGGATTGATCGGTCGATCAGGTTGACTTATGCATGTCTCAGTCTGTGGTCTTGTCGCTCCAATCACGTCAATGTCCCTGTCAGCTTGCCTGATGCATGTGATTCTTTCAAGCATGGTGGGCAGCAAGGTGTGCTCGCATGGTCTTTCTGCCTTTCTGCTGTTGTTGACTTGGCCTTTTTTCTGGACGTTTCAGTCTTACCATCGTGCCCTTTGTGCAAGCATCTTTGTGGTAGCTGGCGAGATGTGTTCGTGCGGTCTCTCTGCATCCCTTTCTGTCCTCGCTGATTTTGCCCTTTTGATGGACGTTTCAGTCTTTGCTTGCATTGTGGTCCTTTTTGTGCAAGCTGGTGAGAAGTGTCCCTCCTCTGCACGCCTTTCTGTCATTATTGATTTTGCCTTTTTTCTCTGCTTTTCAGTCTTTGATCCTGCCTTTGTCCTCTTTACACAAGCGAGCTAGGTGTGTCCATCTGCGCTGTGCCTTTCACTCATTGTTGATCCATCTCCCTGCAGCTTTTTTTGCCAATGTTTCTCATTAAACAGCCTTCTGTCAAATCTCATGTCCTGAACTATGAACTTTGTCCACCCCTTGATCTCATGCATGACCTTGATTCGTACTCTGCTTATTATGATCCTCTCTATTATCCTCATTATCATCCAGAAATCTTCTCTACACCTGAAAATTTCTGTGCCTGGCTTCAAGCTTCCCTTTCATTCCATGGTGATGTGTGTGGCTCCTGTCGTCCTCTTTACAAGTCGACCGCAGTCATCTATGATGGATCTGCGTTGTGTGTGCATGTTGATGATACTTCCATGATGCTTGCTTGCTCCCACTTTGAGTCTCCTTTGTATTCCCACTGCAGTGTGTTTCACCGCCATGCGTCTTTTCACATTGCAGCAACTAGCTCACCTGGAGCACATCATGTCAGCGCTGCTTCCTGTATGGCTGCTCATGTTGACGATGATCCTGGTTGGTTTACTTACCCTGATGATTGTGTGCGTTCCCATCTCCTTGCACTGTCAGCTCCGATTTTGAGTTCTGCCATGCGCCCCCTGTGTCAACGCAGATCCCTTGTGCCATGCAACAAGAACAACTGCATTGATTTCATCATGAGGCATTTTTCTGCACACAAGACACAGCTTTCCGTCTTGATGCCGGATGATTTCCTGGATCACTTGACTTCGACTGTGGTCCCTTTTGGATGTCCCAGAACTCGTGTTTCCATACTTGCTGCCAAATTTCAAAACCTGTATAGCGAGCAGGTAGCGAGTGCATTACGTGCACCACCTGATGTTGTGGGTGTATATGATGTGCCCACTGTGTTGTCTGCAGCATCTGTTAGCATCTCCATGCCATGGTTAACTGTCTCCCTTGATGATCTAACTCGCAGACTGGAAAAGCTGTCCAGAGCTGAGATCCAACTATGTCTTCATAGACTACCGTCTACCTTTTGAAAACTGTTTGATCTGTGTTCGCATCACAAGACTTGCAATGCACTTGTCCAGCACATCTGGGGGTGCGCTTTGTCCCTGTTTCAAGCAAGTCCCAGTTCATTGGTGGATCTCTTTCTCGCGCATTTTCCATTTACTCAGTCCTATGCCTATTCTGATGCAGATCTTCTCGCCCAAATACTTAATCATGAATTTGGGCAGGCTGTCATCATGTGCCTGTCAAATGAGCTCTTGTCTGCTTTGGCCAAACTTAAAGTTGTGTGTGATCAGCACAGACGTTCTGCCATTGAGGAAGCTGAAACTATTTGTGGCATTTGGAAAGTCGAGTGGCCTACGTGTGTCACTCAGGATGTCATGCTCAACTGCCTGAATGATTATATGACGGTGTAGGACTGGAAGTCCTTGTAGCCTCGTAGAGGCTATTTTTGTGGCATCCCTCAGCACCCTATTACTTTCCTACATGAAGCACAGCTTTCCCACGAGTTGCGCATAGCGGCCGCTACTTTCCCGCAACAGCCACAACGTTCCTGCGCGTGCACACAGCCGCGCTTAGCGGCCACTTTTCTCGCGCTTCATCGGCCGACGTTCCACACCCATCCATAGTCCAAAACCAACCCAATGGTACGTTATTTCATGATTATATTTACATATCAGACCATTTTCGCATTGGACCACCTTTATTACATATAGCTTTACTGTTAAGACTGTGCACAAAGGGTAGGACTGGTTCCGAAGGGCTTGGCTTCAGCTCGTGCACTGTGCCCCTTACCTGAGTATGTGCCCTTAATTCAGATGACATCCGGAGGAAGCCCAAGGAAGTCCGTAGGACTTCCGAAGGAGCGTGGGAAAGTCTGGAAGGACTGTCCGGATCCGGATGAGTGCGAGAAACTTCCAGAGGACCGCGGGAAAGTTCCGGAGGAACTTCCGGAAACTCAGAGGAATGGAGGAGCGGAGGAGCGGAGCTCCGGCCTAGGGAATTCCTCCCTAGGCCTGAGATGGGTATTGACTAAGTCGGAGGACTGGAAATAGTATGAGGACTTAGTGTGAGATCTAGTGCGAGGACTAATATGTGTAATATTCAGACTAAGGAAATACAGGAGTTTCTACAGGATTTATATACTATGGAGGACATAACGGAGAATCAGTCAGTGCAGTCCAAAACTATGTGAGGCTGTGGACAGAGTGTATAGAAAAGTCAAACACTAGTCTATCGGAAAATAGTAAATGAAGAGGGAAATGAGAACATAGGAAAATAAAGGCGGAAATGAAATGAGGTACGGAAAATGAGTATAGACTAACTTGAGAAGGAACATACAAAGGGAAAAGGCACGGAAGATAGACGCGGGTCGGATCCGGATGTCCGGATGTCCGGAAACAGGTAATTACCATAAGGGGATGAGCACTGATTTAAGGTTTGGGTTCGGATATGAAGCATAGGTCGGATCCAGAGATCCTGGCAAGTGGATATCAGATTGAGTGTCCGGGTTTCGGATCTGGATGTGTGGATATGCAAAGGTACAGGGATCTGGGTGTACAGGCATCTTGACAGATAAAGGACATGGACAGGGGGTCCGGAGGTCCGGATGAGGCATGGGAACATTGTCGGATGTAGGTCCGGAATACGGGATATGACATTTACATACATAGCTCGGTAGCGCGTTGGCTTGGTTCCGCGTGACAGCGCTTAGCGCACTACTTAAGCACCAGCAGTACATATCATTCAGGAGATTGTTTTCCGGACATTTCAGTAGCAAACTCCCATTAGCCTACAGCTACATTCCCGCGCTTCACATTGGCTGACAAGCGGCACCTTCTGCGTCCATTTCTAGACCTTTGCTGCACTAGCTTCCCCTTTAGGGTCGAACGCACTTGTCCCACAAGTATAGCAGATAGGCAGTGCATGACCTACAACATAAAGATATCAGTTTGGAGCCTATAGCACCACTCTGAGTTGTAAACCTACAACGGCCTCTGCATGGACCGAACCCCCCATGTGCGCTGTCTGTTCGTGCTATGACCGTGATGTGGTGTCCGTCTGCATTTCAGACGATTTGGCACCTTACCACCTTGAGCTGCTGCATGTCCCAGATGACATCATGAGCAGGGAATGCGTACTTGGGAGTATGTCATCACACTTCTGTTTTGGTAATGCATGTATCAACAGCATTATGTTGGCAAAGGAGGGCTTAGTATTCCATGAGTCAGCTGCTGTGAGCATGATGGTTTGCAAGCCCTGTCTATCCTCATTGTGCAAAGACAGAATTCCTCAACTCACACTGGCGAACAACCTGTATCGTGGATGTTTGCCTGTTGAGTTCCAGGATCTGACATGGGTTGAGGAGAAGATTTGTGTCATTTACTCCATCACAGTGCACATCACACGGCTCTTCCAGTCATCCGACCCTGCTCAGCCTAAGGTCTTTCATGGGAATACATGTGCACATGATATGAATGTGGTATCCACGGTGTCTGTCTTGCCCCGCACTATTGCTGACATAAATGGTTTCATCAGCATTGTCTTTATCGGTCCAGATAAGTTTGACCCAAAGCGACTTGCAACGCTGTTCTGGGTTTGCAGAAATAAGATTTGGTCCTTCCTCACATGGCTTACACAACACAATGATCTCTTTGCAGGTATCACATTGGACCAGACAGTAATGGATTATCACCCAGAGGATGGCCTGCTGGCTGGACTGTGCGATGGAGTTGTACAGGACCACAAGCTCGACGCTCGTACCGTGTTCGAGATTGAGACAGCAGGTTTCACTCCGCATCCTGCTCATTTACTGGAGCAGAAAGCAGATCATGCCAATGATGCACCCATCATGATAGAGAAAATGGGTGTGTCTGACCTGGAGTGTGACAAAGTTAGTGGGAGGCATTTCATGGCATCCACTCTCCGCAATCTCCAGCCACAGTCTGCTATGGATGCACGCCCAGATCTTGTAGTTCATCGTGGTGCTGATGCTGTGCCAGAATACCACAACTACTGTCTTTTTCCCGGTATGTACCCCACCTTATATCCCTATGGTGTTGGAGGCTTTGAGGACCCCACCTGTCCTACTGCACTGTCATTCGAGCATCAGGCAAAATACTACCTCTCCATAAGCGATCGAAGCTTTCATTACCACTACTCCTTCATCTTTGTTGTACTGAATATTTTACAGCAACGCCAAGCACATCTGCATACACATTTCACGGTAAAGAAGTCCAGCTTTGACTCAGATGCTCGTCAATTGACCAGTGTATCTCCGCAGGTGCTCCAGCATCTTTCTGTCCAGCTCGAATGTGAGAGCAAGCTGTCGAACCTCTCTCCAGAAGAGCAGAGTGCATTGAAGCTTCTGCGACAAGTGAACATGTTGTCTGCTCGCATACCTGGCTCTCAAGTGTCCAAGATTTTCATGCACAACAAGATTCGTAACTACTATGGGTACTTCGGGCTCCCCCACATCTTCTTCACTTTTAATCCAAGCGCTGCTCACAGTTTTATATTCCAGGTTATGTTTGGAGACACGACAGTGGACCTTTCACAACGCCTTCCGCATATTCCAGAAGGGTGGCTGCATGCAATTCGCTTGGCAAAAGACCCTGTTGCTGCTGCTGAGTTCTTTGAATTCTTATTCCAATGTCTTTTCCGTTACTTGTTCGGTTGGGACTTCAATAAGGGACAGTCTACTGCGGAGGGTGGAATTCTTGGCCATATTCAAGCATTTTATGGTACAACCGAATTCACAGAGTGCAGTGGCTTGCACGGTCACTTCTTATTGTGGCTCGTTGGTGGTCTCAACCCTTCCCAGCTCCATGACAGGCTACATGGTAATGATCAATATCAAAAGCGGTTCTTTGCATTCTTTGAGGAGGTCATCCACCATCATTTGCCTGACATCGAAGATAACATTGACCCCACTTTCAAACCTCGCACTCAGAGACCTCCCCAACCGCCCTCAGTGGATTCACCTCCAGACATGCTGAACTCTTGGGATCATGCCTTTGCTACAGAGGTGAAGCATTGTGGTGAGGCTCTTCAACGGCAAAAATGCCATGCTGTGTGTCACAAGTATGGGAATGATAATCGCTGCAAGTTCCTTTTCCCTCATGAAGTCATCGAAACTTCGCATTTTGATGCAGACTCCAACTCTGTCCTGCTAATGTGCAGGGACTCCACAGTGAATTACTTCAATCCATATGTCCTTGTTTTCTGTCGCCACAATCATGATATAAAGTGCATACTGTCAGGCAAGGGCATGAAGGCTGCAATGTTTTATGTTTCAGACTACATTACAAAGATGGATGTCAAAACATATGAGATGCTGTCTCTGCTGTCCCGTGCAGTCACACGCATCCCAGCCTCTCATTCTTTGACATCGGTTGTTGATAATGCAAAGATGCTGCTGCACAAGTGTCTTACACAATTTAGTTGCCAACAGCAGATCCATGCGCAACAAGCCATGAGGTATATCCTCGGGTATTCTGATGGAGTCTCATCACATGATACGGTGGCCATGCTCTCTTCCCTTTTAATTGCTCATGTGAAGGAAAATTGCAGGAGATTAGCTGATGGTGCTGCTGCTGCAGATCTCGATCCTTATGTTGAAGATGATGAGTCAGAGGCTGTTTGAATGTGCATTACCACTGATCACATGGGCACCTTGATCGAAGCCAACCAGATTCAGCACTATGTCTTACGTGGTGATTCCCTGAAGAACATGTCATACTACGACTTTTGCAGGTGTGTCCACATCGAACACAAGACCCAAAGTGCGAAGATCAAGAATGTATCTGACTCTCGTGTATTTCAGAGACATCAGTTGAGACCCAAGCATCCTTTTTTGAAACACACGAGCTCGTAGAGCACACCAACATGGAGCGTGGTCATGGACACTCGGAGCTCATGCCTCACATTGTCAGGATGTCGATCCCACAGAGTTCTAGCAAAAAGATGTGGTCTTTGTTTGCATTAGCACATTTCAAGCCTTTCGGAATTGATGTGCCCCTGCTACACGAATAGTGCTGCCGCAGTCCAGTTCTGAACCTCAGTTTGAACCTGAACCTTTCCGAACCGGACACATGGTCCGGTCCAAGGTTCGGCCAAGACTCAGAACCAAACCTTTCCAGAGGTTCAGGGTTCGGGCTGGTAGTGAATAGGTTTGAACCCATTCGAACCTCTCAATTTTTGTAGGCTTCACACTTTTTTTAAATATGTAAGTATTTACTATGTGTCAATATATGCAAATGCATGTGTCTGCAACCCACACAGGTTTGAGCTGGGTGAAATTGACGTGGTCCTGTTGCACCTGCTGCAGTCGTGATGTGCTGTGAGTCGTGACACAGTACTGAACCATCACAACATGTAGGTATCTTATGTTGCTATATGAATTCCAAACACTTTGAACTCTTGCTAATGATCAATATAGGTAAGTACTACTTGGGAATGTTATGAGCCATGCTGATCAAAGTCATTGCTTATTGTTCGCAGGAAGTGAGTATGTCAAGATTTTCGAGCTCAAACCATTCTGATCCAAATCATTGGCCATTGTTCCTCATTCAAACAAGAGCTGTGCTGATCCAAGACGTTGGCCACCGTTCACAGGTCGTGAGTGTGTCAATCCTTGTTTCAAGCAACAGCCATGCTGATACAAGTTGTTGCCCACTGTTTGCAGTTCGTGAGTCTGTCAATCTTTGTTCGAGCTCGAGCTATGCTGATCTAAGCTGTTGCCCACTTCAAAGACAAGGATTTGGGATACATTGCAGGAATGGTGTTTGGGGCCGGTTCTGAAACGGTGAGCTCTTACATTGCATTGTGTCTTAAGTTGACAACTGTTGTAGACTGTGTTCACAATCACAATCATAATGATGGCTGCTGCCACTCACACAGATGCGCAGGCTCACATACAAGAGGAACTCGATAATGTTGTGGGGCATACACAGTGTAGGTTATGCCTTTTCTTTGTGCATCAACTGACTCAAATAACTCCTGATCAGTGCCGACATTTGCTGATCAGGAAATGCTGCTGCAAGTCATTCAGGGCTATCGCAAATGATCCCGAGGTTTTCCCAGAACCACATAAGTTTAATCCTCAGCATTGGATCGATGATGCAGGTCGTGTGCGCGGTGATCTCAAGTTTTTCACTTTTGGTTTTGGCCACCGGTAAGTGGTATCATTCATCTCTCCACCTTTTCCTTTCAAGTTTGTTCATTTGACTTGGATCTAATTTGCAGGTCACTCACAGATTGATGTTGAGTCAAACAGTACATGGACTACCTCAACGAGAAGGCTGCGACGTGCAACCTACTAATGGATATTTGGTATGTTGCACATGTGGACTCTACTCTGGATGGGGGACTGATATGTTCCTTGTCGGGCACTCTTCATCAACATGGCTCTTATTCTGTGGGCTTGGACTCCCAGTCAACATGTCGTGAATCAGTCTGTCTTCATCAACACGGCTCTTATTCTGTGGGCCTTCCGCCTTTTGGAGAATCCTGCAGCAAAGATTGACACGCTTGCATTCTCTGACATTGCAAACATACATGCTACTCCATTCGAGATATGTTTTACAAAGAGGATCGATAAGAATGTGATCAGGGAACTATGCGCACCAGGCAAATAAAATGTGTTTATTTTAGAAACTTGAATTCAATTTTTGTACAAAGGGGTTCTCCTTGCGTTATAGAGTCTTTTTGTTATCTGTCCAACTCAAATTACATGACAACTCATAGTCTCAAGCCTATACAACCAAACAGATGGTCCAAGCTTAGTTGAACCTGGTTCGAACACGAACTGGACCTCCCGAATGTGTTCGGTGACGTTCAGTCCAGGGTTTGACTAAATGGCTGAACCGAACCATAGGTTTGGTTTGGCGTTCAGAAAATTTGCTCCAAGAACTGGACCGAACCAGACTTTGGCAGCACTATACACAAAGGTGAGGATGTCATAGCTGCTTATGAGAGTTATATGTTTGCCCCCAGAGCTCGAGAGATCATGATCAATTGGGAGTCTGTGCACGAATGTGAGCCCATTCAGTGAAATAGTCCATATCTTACAGCCAGCCCAATGTGACAATCACCCATACCATACGGGCCATCCCAGATGGGCCCATGGGCCATTGTAGCCGTGACATATGGCTGGGCCCATCATTGACAACACACGTGAGTCTCGGCTGGGCCCATACTAGTTGAGTAGTATACCTGTGGGCCAATGGATAAATTGTAGATATGATATATGGCTGGGCCCATGGTGCTAGTTGGTGTCTCAGCTGGCCCATATAGCGCCTTGGCCAGCTATGACACCAAAATGTCAGTCGGTGTAGGACTTGGAGTCCTTGTGGCCTCGTAGAGGTCTATTTTCCAATGCATGTTGAATGCTAATCATTGCCCAAATCATTCCCTATCATATCCGACTCAATACGCTGTAGAGACTCATGCCTCTCATTGTGCAATATGGCAGTTTTCACTGGGGAGTACATGGCACGAACTTGTAGCATCACTCTGTGTGCTACCTGCAGCTATCTCTATATGAGGCGCAGCTTTCCCGCGCAACGCGCGCCATGCGCGCGTACCTTTCCCGCGCTTCACGATGTATATGCGCGCGCGCTTTCCCGCGCTTGAGCGCCCTATAGCGCCAGCCATCCGGAAGCATCCATCCACTGTCCACCAAGTTCCCTAGTGCGTATATTTCCATTTCTCACATTTGCATATCGTTCCATCTTTATTTTTATCATGGACCCTTACTTACATATATCTTTACATACCTTACTCGGTAGCGCTTCGGCTCCGCATGACAGCGCTTAGGCGCCATACTTAAGCGCCAGCAGTACATACTTACTGACTCACTTACTCTCCCACCAGAACGACAGAGGACTTACTGGTTACTACCCACTATTTACCTAGCAGAACATAGTAGAAATTTATTTGTTTACACCTCGCATCTCTCTTCTCTTGTCTTACATCATATCATCACTTAAGCAAACTCACTCTTTCTCTCTCTCATATCTGTATACACGCGCACGCATTCCCGCGCTTCGCGCCATACACGCGCGCATTCCCGCGCCTTGCGCGCACCTGCGCTTTCTCGCGCTTCGCATTGGCCAACCAGTAGCGCTTTCAGCGCATACCTCTAGATCCTTGCTGCACTCGCTTCCCCTTTAGGGTCGAATGCACTTGTCGTCTCAAGTATAGCAGACTAGGCAACGCGCGACCTTACAACATTTATAGATACAACCAGGAGCTTTGTTCGTGCCTCGCTGTATCGTTGAACCTTCAACGCACCAAACCCGAAAACATCGGACATCGGACATCGGGCATCGGGCATCGGATATCGGGTTTTGCATCGGCCGATTGGACATCGCGCGTACTTGTCCTACCTATGTCCAGTCTCATTGCGCTAGCCCCACTAGGTGTGTAGTTACTTGTTTTCACATCGCTAACATTGTCGATTGCGTTATTACATGTATTCCCATAGTCCGCAGTACATCATGTCTTATTACATAGGACATCAGACCCGAAATATTGCACTACTACTTTCGCCTATAGGGTTCCAGATTTCTACGTATCTACTTAAATATTGGACTCCCCATAGCATCATCATCATCCGAGTAGAGGAGAACCATCTCCGATGTTTAGGGGTCAAACCTGATATTTCTTAGTTCTTAGTTGACATTGTGAATATCATTGTTCCTTCACCATCCGTATCCATCATCATTATTATTGCGCACACTGCTCACTTTTCCGATGCTCGCTATCGCGTCACTATTAGTTTCCAATACCCGAAAAAACATCGGACCTGACGCTTTTGCATCGGACATCGTAATTATACCTTCGGACATTGTTTCCCGCGCTCGGATTATTGACCTCACATCACCCACTGACCCCCAAAACTATTCCCAGACCACAGACCCCTGGGTCAAACGCACTTGTCCGCAAGTATAGCAGATAGGCAGTGCAAGACCACAACATAAAGATATCAGTTTGGAGCCATCTTTGTATAGCTCCACTCTGTGTTGTATACCTACACCGGTCCATATGGTACCTCGGCCAGCCATGACACCAAAACATCGGCCAGTCCACACGGTACCTTGGCCAGCCATGACACCAAAACATCAGCTGGTTCATATGGTCCCTCAGCCAGCCATTGGACTGGTGCAGCTGGCAATGTGCCTGCCTCTGGCAGATGGAAACTGGTGTGGCCTTGACCTATAATGTTACCTATGACAATGCCCAAAGGCTGGACCCCTACTGACTAAGCTATGCAAAGGCCGGTCCATATGGTACCTCAGTCAGCCATGACACCAAAACATCGGCCAGTCCATATGATCCCTTGGCCAGCCGTGGCACCAAAACATCAGCCAGTCTATATGGTCCCTGAGCCAGCCATGACACTGAAATGTTGGCTGGTCAATATGGTTCCTCAGCCAGCCATGACACTAACATGTTGGCCGGTCAATATGGTTCCTCAGCCAGCCATGACACTAACATGTTGGCTGGTCCATATACTCCCTCAGCCAGTGTCATATCCCGCGTTCCGGACCCGGACTTATCACACACATCATTTTGAACATTCCTTCTCCAGTTAGACTATAATCATTTTCTGTACCTCATTTCATTTCCGCCTTTATTTTCCTCCGTTCTCATTTCCATCTTCATTCACTATTTTCTGATAGACTAGTGTTTGACTTTTCTATATGCTCCATCCACAGCCTCGCATAGCTTTGGACTGCACTGGCCTACTCTCCGTTAAGTCCTCAGTAGTATATAAACCCTGTAGAATCTATGTACATCCTTAGTTTGAATATTATCTTAGACTCTGCTCATTCCCTCCTCTGTCCGACTTGAGTTTCTCCTCTCATCGTCCTCCGCTAGTCTTAGGATCAACTCCTATAGACTTCTCACCTCCGCCTCTACCTCTGGTAGTCCTCCGCTGTTTCCTTTCTAGTTCGGACATCATCCGGATTAGTCTTATCCTTTGTTCCCGAATGTCTGCCGGAATTCCCACACATCGGACATCGGACTCCAGACTGGTCCGACAACCTTCGGACATCATCCAACAGCCCTCGGAAGTTAGGGGTACGTACTCGGGTAAGGGGCGCAGTGCACGAGCTGAAGCCAAGCCCTTTGGATTCCACCCTTGAGCACGTTCTTAACAGCCAGCCATGACACTAAAATGTCGGCTGGTCCATATGCTTCCTCAGTCAGCCATGACACTAAAATGTCGGCCAGTCCATATGCTCCCTCAGCCAGCCATGACACCAAAACATTGGCCGGTCCATATGCCCCCTCAGCCAGCCATGACACTAAAACATCAGCCGGTCCATGTGGTTCCTCCCTTGGCCAGCCATGACACCAAAATGCTGGCTAGTCTGTGGACACTCCAACACCACTACCTGCTCCTCCTTCATCCATTCCTCCTCCATCTCCTCCATCTCAGTCCTCATCCATGCCCACCTTGGATTATATCCTCCATCCCATCCTTGACCATCTTTAGGAAGTCGCAGAGAGAGTAGATGGGTGTTTTGCTAGACTTGGTGGAGAGATCAAGCGTTTGGAGAAGGTGATTTTGACTGGAGATATTCACCATTTGCACTTTCCTTATCAGTCTTTTCTGTTTCTTGGTGATGGACTGACTGAGGACAGTCAGTATTCAAAGCCCCCATGAGATGTGACACTCAACTCTCCACTGGGTGGCAATTGAGGGTGTTTACATTTCCGAGAAGTGAACAAGCCAATTGGTGGGAGACTGCTACAAGTCTCGTCAAGGTTGGGATTTGTAGGCGGCGCTGCGGCCGCCTTCTACAGTGCATCATGAGTATTCTGTATAATGTGATATACTGTATTCAAGTCATAGCATTGTGACAGAAAATTTGGCAGGTGTAATCAATTTTTGAGAGTGGAGATGCTCACCGCATTATCTAGCACTGGAAGGCCTGAGCGAGTCTTTGGCAAAAGAACTTGATCCAGTGTGGGATATAAAGGTAACTTGAGAATGCTCGACGTCTAAGGACTTATCAATTTTCTGTTTCCCCAAGGTCACAATAATTGAGCCAGGTCCATTCCATACCAAGATATTCAAAGACAACCTACGCCTAACTACCCAGCACCCTGCGTATGCCAATCCTAGCTTGCCCGGTTCCCAGTATCGACAATTCGTCGTGTTGGGCAATATTGATGGAGATGCAGACAAGGCAGTGGCAGCCATCGAGAAGTTGACCCACCTCAATGATGTTCCTATGTGTCTGCCACTGCACAGAAGGGTCATTGTTGGAGCAAGGGAAAAAATCAAGAGCCTGACTGAGGAAGTGAATAAGTGTGAAAGTTGGTCTGAAGATCTTTACCATTAAAATGCATGCAGTGTAGTCAGCAGTTTTGCTACTTTTTCGAATGTGATCTGTATGCATTTGTGTAACAATTTTCCTCTATATGGAGACTGCGACCAGGCCTCTTACTAGTATGAGTATAAGCACTTTTAGTAAGTCATTACTCTTTGAAACCAGACGTTTAAGGGTTCTAAAGCAGATAAAACACCAGTCGGTACTGTGCGTCTGCGACTCCGCAGATGCGGACAAAGTCTCGAAAAGTGCCAGGAAGTCCAATCATATCCCCCCACCACATCAATGTTTCCACCTGCTTGCAGCTGCTGCATCAGGTTTTTGCCTCCATATCTATCCCTGCTAGTGTCTCATATCTGCCCGCAAATACCATCATGATGTTATTCAATGTCTCCCAATCCACAGCTGCTGCGTCCTTCAGGTGACTAGAACCGCTGTAGAGACTCATGCCTCTCATTGTGCAATATGGCAGTTTTCACTGGGGAGTACATGGCACGAACTTGTAGCATCACTCTGTGTGCTACCTGCAGCTATCTCTATATGAGGCGCAGCTTTCCCACGCAACGCGCGCCATGCGCGCGTACCTTTCCCGCGCTTCACGATGTATATGCGCGCGCGCTTTCCCGCGCTGTAGCGCCCTATAGCGCCAGCCATCCAGAAGCATCCATCCACTGTCCACCAAGTTCCCTAGTGCGTATATTTCCATTTCTCACATTTGCATATCGTTCCATCTTTATTTTTATCATGGACCCTTACTTACATATATCTTTACATACCTTACTCGGTAGCGCTTCGGCTCCGCATGACAGCGCTTAGGCGCCATACTTAAGCGCCAGCAGTACTGACTTACTCACCCACCTGAGACACACTTACTCTCGCACCAGAATGACAGAGGACTTACTGGTTACTACCCACTATTTACCTAGCAGAACATAGTAGAAATCTATTTGTTTACACCTCGCATCTCCCTTCTCTTATCTTACATCATATCATCACCTAAGCAAACTCACTCTTACTCTCTCTTGTTTCCGCATACACACGTGCGCATTCCCGCGCTTCGCGCATTCTCGCGCCTCGCGCGCACCTGCGCTTTCCCGCGCTTCGCATTGGCCAACCAGTAGCGCTTTCAGCGCATACCTCTAGATCCTTGCCGCACTCGCTTCCCCTTTAGGGTCGAACGCACTTGTCGTCTCAAGTATAGCAGACTAGGCAACGCGCGACCTTACAACATTTATAGATACAACCAGGAGCATTGTTCGTGCCTCGCTGTAATCGTTGAACCTTCACCGCGACGGAAAGCTGACAAGGACGATGGAATCACAGGATTGGCGTGATGGTGCTTGACATGTATGACTGAATGCGTGATGGTGGCTGGTGTAGCGTAGTCACGATGATGTAGGACAACAAACAGATCTTTGACCACCTGGACCTTTCCAACCAAGCATCCCCAGACATTACCCAGATGTATTCACCAGACTTTCTTGTGGGGTCTCTGTAGACTTCATTACAGACCAGCCATTTCCTACATATCTTCTGTTTGTCCAGATGCTTCACTTTTTTTGAATGTATGGTGTTGAGACCATGTTTAGCACGGTGGCCACATCAGACCTTTGATGGGATCAAAATCCAATTCTTGTTTTCATTTCAGGCGGAGTCGTTAATATGAAGAAATTCCTTCGATAGGTCTGACCAGCGGAGACTATGCGAAGTCTGGAATTCTACCCCGAAGCGAGGTACAAGCTTAGGGTCAGAATAATGACTTCAACGTGGAGTGGCTGTGTAGCATGTGGTTTCTCTTCTCCACCTACCACCACAGCGCCCAGGGCCCAGGTTACATTCCAGTAAGTTCCGGTGTCTGTCTGCAGCCCGCCACCTTTCAGCCCACCCACCACTCCCTCTCCTTCCCAGCCTACATTACAGCTTTCTACAAGATTCATATTCAAGTTCCTTAGCCACATAGTCACATCCCTACTACTGGGCCCTAGTGCTGCCATGGTCCGGTTTTGCAAAATCTTCAAACCCTGAACCAGACCACAGAGAACGGTTCTCGGTGGTCCAGTTCAGTTTTTTTTCTGGTCTGAACTCGAACCGAACCCGAAAATTTTCAGTGGTGAGCACTGGAACGGTGCACTCTGACACCAGCGAGAGAACAGCAGACACGAGGCTAAAACCTCCGAGATGTGAGAACAAGACAAGGACTGCAGCGAGAGCCTCGAAAGCAAAGGCCCGAGGCAGCAAATGGCCAAAGCCAAAGCAAAGCCTCAGACAAGCAAACACACAGCAGATGCTGGTGGAAGAGATGTATTGAACCTAACCCTAAGACATGCTATATATGACTATCTAAGACCTCGAACACCTCTGCAGGACCCCTGGCACCTGTCCCTGCCAAACCCAACCACTACAGCACGAAAAAAAAACACTGAAATACTAGTTTACACATCGAGTAGCTACTCCAATGACATGGCTCAATTGGTAGAGGACGACTAGACAATTGAATACAGGGTATGTTAATGATAGCAGTGTTGGGAAGCGGATGTAGATACCATAGAGCATGAGGGGATTGACAAGCGTGACCTGTACAGTCCTGACGCCCTCCGGATCGCATATGCTCACAAGTTCATTGGCTCCCATGAGTGTTCCTATGCCTTACATAGAACCGCTGTCGGTGGTGGTGGGAGGAGCTGAGAGGTCGGGGTTTTGCAGCTCGATTGAAATATTTTGGGGTCACATATATTCCCTGTGTCTCGGCTGCTGCTAGTGTAACAAACACAAGACGTTAGCGCAGAATACGAGTAATGAGGGAGACGTGACTGCTCATGTCCGGAACCTCACATAACCACATTGTACACGCACCGAGCGCACTCTCATTCAAGATGATAGTTCCTTGTCTCCACCAAGTGGCTGATTGAGGATGCACACGTTGTTAAACTCATTAAGTGCTTGAGTTATATTCGTGAGTCCCATAAGTCCGAGTGTTGGTCGGATTCCACAATACCCTGGGGGAATGATATATCAATTACATTGATTAACACCTGACCATGTTATATCAGTGGCGTTGGCTTACCACGGGCCACCGCGGGCCATAATGATATATCATCATGTACCAGTACTATACATCCTGTCTGCTTATAGACACGATCACGATCTTGCAGCTTGATCGTGTTTCACGATTCAGATCTTCTCAGCGACTGAAGTGACCTAGGCAATCAGGGAATCGAAGATGTCATTGTGTCATTGCAAATATTAGTTCCTAAATTAAGATGTTCGAAGCACAAGAAATGAATTGCAAAACATAGTGAAAACATAGCGAAAACAAACGATAGTATGTTACCAGGATTAAATACCTTCCCACATAAGCTTGAAATGGGAAGCTAACCTTCGCCGCAGCGATGCCTGGCGATGTGCATATGCAGCTGTGCCTTCTGCAGCCTCAGGTGACCCAAAAGCACGCTGTGAGCTCTGCGCCTCCCACCAGAGAGCTTGCCACTCGAAAAAGGCTAGCACCCGCCTCCTTTCTTCATTCAGCAACTGCACTTCTTCTTCCCATCGATGTGCTCATGCCCTGGCCTTACATCATTCAACACGCAAAGCTGTGACAGATTAATTAGCGAAAGCATATTTAAATTACTCATACTCACAGTCCTGTAGGCCATATTCAGCATTGTTGGAGACACCAGGCGTCTTCCAAATCCAAGACACTCGTTGCTGGCCAACAGTGGTCCCATCATCTTGTGTCAAAGGAACGGCATCCTTTGTGCGATCAAGTGGCTTGAGAGTGAGTTGCCACTCATTGTCCTTCTGTAACCTCGGTGCCAGCTTGATGAGCGCATCCCTTGCTGCATTATACTTGGCAGCGAGGGTGTCAATTTGATTGTCGGCATTGTTGATCACGCCAGTTGCTCGAGTATTTGCACGTTGGCCTTGAATAAATGCGTCCTTGTGCTTGTATAGGTGGTACTTCAAATTGACAACATTGTGAATGTCGTTTAGAGCATCGTTTGCCTGTGCTTCCCGTAAAACCCACTTGAACTCCAGCAAGCGGTGCTCACAGGGTAGACTAGTAGGTATTGCTGAGGGGAGAAGTAGATTGATGTTATGGACTTTGAGTTCCATAGCGATGTTGTCAGACGAACGCAGCCGTGACACGCATGGCATATACAGCAGTTGCACACGCGACCACGTATCAATGCATCGGCGGAGGGAATTGATGCGTTGTAAGAGAGTTGCCTGCTGAGAATCTGTGGCGTGTTGTCCGATTTTATGGCCTTCAAACTCAAGACGCCGCCTGGGATATGTTCAGAACAATTGGAAAAACAAAGAATGATTGACTTACTGCTGATCTTCAAGTTCCAACCCTGACGAAATGAGCATTGACGGTGATACATCGTCATGGAGAGCCATAATTGTGCCACATTCCATTTCGTCACTTTCGGCCTTTGACAACGCTAAACGAACTGATGCTTGGGTGACAGCTTGAAGTACTGGATTAGAATAGTTATAATCACACACATAGAAAAAACTTACTAGTGACCTTGAGTTCGAAGGGATTTGGTTGGGAATGGTCGGACTCCCAAGCCTCGATGTTGCGCTTCCAAGAAGCTAACTGGGTGGGATCGAGTGCCGCCTCAAACTCATTTAAGTCACGGTGAAGGTTCAACGATTCTGTGAGGCACGAACAATGCTCCTGACTGTATCTATAATTGTTGTAAGGTCGTGCGTTGCCTAGTCTGCTATACTTGAGACGACAAGTGTGTTCGACCCTAAAGGGGAAGCGAGTGCAGCAAGGATCTAGAGGTATGCGCTGAAAGCGCTACTGGTTGGCCAATGCGAAGCGCGAGAAAGCGCAGGTGCGCGCAAGGCGCGGGAATGCGCGCGTGTATGGCGCGAAGCGCGGGAATGCGTGCGCGTGTATACAGATATGAGAGAGAGAAAGAGTGAGTTTGCTTAAGTGATGATATGATGTAAGACAAGAGAAGAGAGATGCGAGGTGTAAACAAATAAATTTCTACTATGTTCTGCTAGGTAAATAGTGGGTAGTAACCAGTAAGTCCTCTGTCGTTCTGGTGGGAGAGTAAGTGAGTCAGTAAGTATGTACTGCTGGCGCTTAAGTATGGCGCCTAAGCGCTGTCATGCGGAGCCGAAGCGCTACCGAGTAAGGTATGTAAAGATATATGTAAGTAAGGGTCCATGATAAAAATAAAGATGGAACGATATGCAAATGTGAGAAATGGAAATATACGCACTAGGGAACTTGGTGGACAGTGGATGGATGCTTCCGGATGGCTGGCGCTATAGGGCGCTCAAGCGCGGGAAAGCGCGCGCGCATATACATCGTGAAGCGCGGGAAAGGTACGCGCGCATGGCGCGCGTTGCGCGGGAAAGCTGCGCCTCATATAGAGATAGCTGCAGGTAGCACACAGAGTGATGCTACAAGTTCGTGCCATGTACTCCCCAGTGAAAACTGCCATATTGCACAATGAGAGGCATGAGTCTCTACAACGGGTGCGTTCAAGATGCTCAGGCAAGGCAGCCTTGACCTTGCGTGTAAGAGTTTTACCTAAATTTAATGAATTAGAATAACAACAGTTGCAGCTGCATGACATACCCATTAAGCACACCTTTTTCCAATTCCAGTCGTTGAAGTGGTCATCGAGGGTGTCACGCCTTGAGCCAGGACCCATCTCGCGAGTACTAGTGGCGACTGGGTTGATATCGGCCCATCCACATTCTGGTGCTTCACTGTCAGTTCTCCTGACCCCCTTGATGAAATTGAATGAGTATGTTGTCTGACAGCTCAAGACATGCGCGGGGAGGTGGAACTTTGGAACCAGAAAGGTGATAGTTTTGGAGTTGTGATCCAGGTGGTACTGCTGAGGGAATGCGGACATGCGCGTCCAGAGCTTTTTGCTCCATTGGCATGCAATGTCGTAGGAAATATTGATGACTTGGAGGGTAGATGCCGACAGCATGCTAGAAAAAAATATGTAGTCCATATTGATGTACCTGTGAATTGGTTTAAAACATATACCACATGTTCTGCGCAAAAGCTTACCTTTCACCTTTCTGTAAGTCACCAACCGAGTTTGGCTGTTTGAAGTTATGTTGTGCGCAGTCAATGGTACCAGCTCCTGTTGCTGCAAGACCGCGGGATGCTTTTGTATCAGCCATATTGACTGCGTTGTGGCTCGAACATGTGCTTTTCCAAGTAAACTCTGTTAACAATCATCCTTCTTCGATAGTTATAACTCACCTCTTGAATTATGTGTCCATGCAAATTGAGGAAAGACTTGAATGCTGTCTCTTCGACAAAAAATGTGTAACCATGATTGAGTCCAGGATCGACAGTGTCTGACGAAACATTACGCCGAGCGAGTCGGAAATTGGCATTGATTGCTACAAAAAGTGCATATAAGAATCTGCAAACAAAAACTTGTAAGGAACGAAACCAATGAACCTATTAAAAACTCACTTTGACTCAGGCGGAGCATTTACCCACTCATCAGGCAAGTTCTTTCTGGGATGGGGGCAAGCCGGACACAGCACCGCACATGCACCAGGTTGCGTGGCAGTCATGCTTTCGGGATGATGTCCCTGGCCAAACTGTTTCATTTGCTTCAAGAAACGCCATTCACGCATCATGCGTAGAAGAGATTCATAGTGATCCTGAATTTACTTATTAGTTTTCTGGTAGATAAGCTTGAATCAAACATACCTTGGGAATGTGGATGCCTGTATTGTCGGTCAAATGTACGATAGTGTGATAAAACTCGAGGGCAGATGACTTCGACTCAAAAGATAGGATTTGAAAGTATTCGAGTGCACGGAAAGTTGCAGCGGTCTTGGGCCTGACGGTTGTTGTGGGAAACAAGCAGGACTCGTAAAAGTTGGGTGACGTGAGGTTGAGCAACTTCACATCCGCAGAAATCCAGCCCAATGGCATGAACACCATCGACATCAATGACGACGAAATCGTCATTGGAAGCAGGGAATTGGGTTGTTGCATTGAATGCCGACGCGATGTCTGAGTTGAATGCGTAGGCCAAGGGATTTGAGTGATGTCCTTTGAAAGAAAGAACCATTCCAATACTGCAGCACATCTTGTGAATATGTTATCAGAGAGTTGAATCAAAAATTGACATACCTCAATTCGGTGAAATAGTTGCCACTGGTGTGTGTGTAGAACACATTGACGACACACGAGTTCAGTACCATGGCAATCCCTGCATCTATACAATGGTGATTCATCACTGCCACAGAAGCAGGTATCCCGAGTGTCACTTCCACGGCCCTCCAAACAAATGAATTCTTCGAGAAAAAGTTCAGCGTCAGAATGCCAAACACGCAAAGGATCATCCTATAAAAATCAACAGTCAGATTTAAACAAATCATCAGGCAACAATAGTACCCCTGCTGTTCGTTTCCGTCTGATGGGCTCCTCAGAAATTTCATTGAAATAGTCATCAGTGTTAGGTTGGATATCGGAATAATCAAACTCGTTGATAGTTGAATAGTTGACTACTGTGTCTTCTTCCCAGCATCGTTTTGATGAATCAGACACTGTATAGTAGGCAGTGGACACAGAAAGGTGACCAATCGAATTCTGCTCAAAGCTAGCATGCCTTTGCTGTTCCTTGGCACGGTTTGCTTCCAAGATGTTGTTTGCCACTAGACGCAGTGCTGCCCTGTTATGAGCATAAAATTCCTGACGGTATCGCTCAAGCTCAGCGTGATGCCTGTTTCTGTAGTTTACCATAGAGAAAATGAAAACAATATGGGCAAAATATGGGGGTTCAAATGTTCACAGTTGGCAAGGTGTTTTTGCGTTGTGTGCTGTTTGGGCTGTTGACAGCGTGCACACCACGTTACAAACATAACATTACATACATCAATCAAATCCTAACGCCTTTCTGGTATAACAGCTCCCCCAAAAACTGAGCCTCCGCAAGTCCCGAAGTGCCTTCAAACAAAACCAGCCTCAAGATGTCCTCTAAATAAGCAAGTACAGTCCTTAAGAAACGCGTGACTGAGTCTGTGGCATGCCACTCGGGCGAGATACCACAAAAATTTAGTATTTGATCTTGCATGGGAATCATATCATTGAAAAGCTTTTGAACCTTTGACATAGCATCTTCGATGATAGTGACATCCCCCTTGGTTGAGCAGTTGTCGACGAGCAGACTCTCGGTATAGAGAAGTAAAATGTTCTTGGTGAATGTGATCGGGTCATTGCCGATCAACTCCACCATTTGATCCTTGATGTGTTTGATGGCAAGTAAGCATTCCGGGAGATCAGATCTGTGTATGTTAATTATGCTGTGTTTCGTCTATTTATAAACAAACATACGGCTGATATTCATCGCTTTCCGATGAGTGATGGGAATCATCGTCTGGCTCTGACTCAGATTCATCTTCAGTGTTGGTCGGCAAGGCTTTTGCCAGAGCCTTGCAGAGGTCTTTTGAGAATTTTGCCTCTGCCTGTTCCTCCTTGCTTTTGGAGGAACGGAGCTCTTGGCGTTTCTTCAGAATTGTGTCTCTATGTCTTACCGTGATTGGTTAGGAACTTGATCGGAAACAATAACATAGGCTAAACTTACTTGGCGTAATAGCGCGCTCGCTTTTCACGTGCAGCAGCTATTTTTGCCTCCATTGTTTTATGAATAGCGGGTCGGACCATTTTCAGTTTAGTAGTGGTAGTGTTAGTGTTGGTTGAAAATTGAAAAGAAGTAACATTTGAACCTTTGAGTTGAGTGTGGGTGTTTGTAGGACCAAACCTCTTATGCATCGAATTGACACTACAGTATCAATATCACACCTTTGCATTAAATGGTTCGAACAACCAAGTAAAGCTTACAGTCAGTTTTGTTGAAATAATGAATGTATCACTCTTGGAGTCTACTATGTGAGATGTGATCGAGTTAATCGAGTTGAATGAAAGTGATAGGAACTAGTCCCTTGTTCACTCATACAGTCGGACCGAAACCTGCACCAAAGGAATTGAATATTCCACTGACCATTCACAAGACAATCTCAAAAATTCAACATGTTTACTTGTAGATCTCGAACTTGAACACTGTGACATTGACAGTATATACACACAGCCGACAAAAAACTACTACTAAAACACTGATTATGCATTGTCCGCCTCTTCCGCATCATGTCCAGGAGTTTCTTCTATATCACAGTCTGGCGCATCCTCATGAGTCCTTTCACTAATCTCCAGAAGGCCAAACTCGCAAGGAGAAAATTCTTCATCACTACTCTCATAGTAAGTGTGAACTTGTGGGGACTCCGCATGGTATTGAGTGTCGTCACTCTTCGACGGATCACTCGCTTCCGGTGCTTTGGTATCTGACATGTCTTTGGATGTTGCTTGTAATCCAGCCTCCTGAGTTGGCTTGGCTGTGCAGCATGTGCATAAATGAGACCATGACATTGAATGTAAATTAAAATCACTAACCATATATACAGCATCTGCAATGAAAGGCGTGAACCAGGCAGTCTGCATTGTCAGGGTTGCGACGAGGTCAATGGACCAACTATTGAAATTTGTCAGAGCAAGAGCGATGCTACTAAGTCACAACTCACCTCGTCTGCTTTGCACAAGATAGATAGCCTGTAAAAACTGCTCAATTGTGAAGCATGGGTGCGGTAGCATTTGTACACAGCGCCCATGACATTCACATTTAATGGGCCCATTGTCTTGGTTCATGTCTGTGAAAAAAAGGCTGGTTGGGAAGCTAAGGGTGGTGAGAAACTGGGAAAATTGGACTCGCCTAGAAGCCTCGGAAAAGGCCGTCGAGATCATGATTGGCTGGAGAAAAACGATGCCTCAGTTGAATTTTGGGTCGCTGACAATTAATAACTCACCCGTTGACCAAAGGGGACGAACTCAAACATATTGGTGTGTTATATTTATCATGACAGGGTGGGGCAGACTAACTGATATTAGTAGTAAATGGCGCCTCGGAGGTGGACTACGTCACAAGAGCTCGAGTGGCTTCAAAATGAACTACCTGAGTTTCTGAAGATGCAAAAAGAACAAAAATTAACTCGTTTCTATGAGCTGCTGTCTCCAAAATGGTTTAGCCGTTTTCCAGAACGCTTTAAGTATTGGGAACCCACTGGTAATCCTCCACATGGACGGGACGAAGTTGATCATCAGAACGACGACAGTATCCCTGACGGTGACGAGAGTGTTCTACTGCCACTCACCCCAGAACAGGAAGCCGAGCTTGAAGGGGCAAATGAAATCCGGCGGAAAGTAAGTTCACTGCAGGTGATCCTGAAAGAGTATCCAACTAAAGATAATAGCAGAAATTAAAAGAATGGTTCCGCAACAATGCCAAAAGTAAAACAACACCTAGCAGCACATCAACAAGTAAAGCTTTTGCTCAACTACTGGGTCAGCGTGCTCGCAGTGTTCGCGACTTGAAGGATATCGAAGTTTATTCAAGAACTTACTACAAAATGAAAGTACAGCCGCTGGTCGAGGACGACATTCAGGAAAACCAGCTTGATGCCAAGAACCGAATTGCGATTGTGCAAAAGCACATCCACAATTGTTTTGAAGCTGAACCAGAAGAAGTGAAGGCAGAGATTCGTGAGGAGGCCGCAAAGATCAATGCTTCCAGAAGACTAGGAAGTATTGTATCAGATACACGCACTAAAGAGGAAATATACAGGTTTGTTTGTTTTTTTCTTGGCAGCGACTGTTCATTGATGTTAATCGTCTGATGTATAGAGCTATCCAAGAGCTGCCGATGGTTCTGGGACAGATTTGCGATGACCTGGCGAAACTGACAGGAGGCTGGCATTTTTCCGTAGTTATGGGGGGTGCTGACCCCATGTGTCCAGGCGATATCATGACACTAAGGTATGCACACAGACTCGTCAATATCCCAACTTTGATCTCATCTTACTCTTACAGTTATCACCACAGCAAAAATCAAGATGGGCATAGTTTCAAGGCTGCCAACCCAGATTTCCACGAGCAGTATCTTATGCCATTTGAAAAACATCTGCAACGTGTTTTTACCACATCATCTTCGTCCTTGCCAATTCCCAGCCCATCTCCTCCTCAAGCGCACACCCATCATGACCCAGAAGAACCATCTCTTCCTGTCCCCGTCGAATCTCCTATGATGATTCCTGACCCATCTCCCCCAGCACCTCCTGACTTCGCATCACCAAACACCCAGAACGACACACATACTCCTGTCCCTGTCGAATCCTTGATGGACCCCAATTTTCCTGTCTGCGACACCGATATTGATGCATTTCTTGCTACAATTTGTCCACTGGCAAGTGATGGTCCACATGGTGAGTGGTGGCAAATCCGGAACATGCAAACACCTACACTGCCAGTCATAAACTCTCCTCCGGCCATTACACTGCCAGGCATAATCACTCCTCCAGCCATTCCTAGATCATCTATCGAGTCACCCATGCAGGGCCAGAACAGCTTGATGGTGAATGATTCATCTACCCCACCCCGCATTTGCAGATCACGCTTGAATGCTGTCCCGTCATCTTTGTCCAAGTCTCTTCGACTCCCTCCTGCTGACACAGGTGACAGCCTTCCACGTGTCTCTGCCACTCCCTTACCTAGCTTGTTCACCACCAACTCGCATTCAGTTCTACCTATCTCCAGTACTCCTGTAGAAAATGTCACTCCCTCGCCTGGCTTGGAACATTCCACTGCAGTTGACAATGACTCGCATTCGCTTCTGCTCGTTTCCAGTGCACCTGCACCTCTCACAGACTTGCGTTCACTTCTGCCCATTTCCAGCGCACCCGCACCTCTCACAGACACCACTTCAATTCCCACTACAACAAACACCTTAATTCCTGCAGGAAGTGTTCCTTCAGTCTCTACTGCTCCTGGGAGACGCTCAGTGCGTGCAATATGACCATCAACAAGAGCTGAAGATGCCAATAAGATTGGGGATGACATCACTTCCAAACGCAAGCGCAAAGCAGGATCTATCGCAGTCGCTGTGAAAAAGTGCGTGTTCCAGTTTTCTGTTCCATTTTTTCTCACTCAATATTGATGTTCAACAGGTCCAAAAAATGAAAAAAATCTTGTTGTACATACGGCTCTATACTCTATTTCACTTTGCGTCATAATTGTAATGTAGTACATGTAGTTATTGCGACAACGCTCATTTGCTCAATGTGACGGTTACCTTGTGTACTTGGGAATAGAGCGCACGATCACGTGGTTCAATCAACTTGAGATGTTTTTGAAAAAAAGAGGTGTGTATGGGGCGGTAGCTACACGTCTTGGATAGGATTTTAAATGTGAACACACTGAAATTTGAAACGTCTCTAGTTGAGACACTTAATGAAAATGTTCAACTAAAGATCACGTGAGCACGCACTTTGAAAATCGAACAAGTCAAGTTGCAAGTGATATATCACTGTTACGATATGCAAAGCTGTAAATAGTAGTGAGCGATGACGCTGATGACGCATAGGACAAAGTGATTGAGTAAGAAGCATGTAGAAGGTGGAGATCTAGATTCCTGCTGATTTCCGACCAGCTGAAGGTATGCAAAGCCCAAATCTGACTGTGATCAGGCACAGGCTAACAATAGCGCAGCCAAATGCGCAATGGTAACGGCGCAACAGGTGATATATCAGCGCACTGTGAGTGATATATCATTGCCTTGTGTGTTAGCCTGACGGCAGGGATATATCACGAATTTACTTTAATTACAGTAAGATGATATATTATATTGACACTATAGCCTGCAGATTCTGGCGTAAACAGACATGTTAAAGGGTGGGGGTTCATACGCAAGCATGGTGTAGACGTTGTGCATGAAAGGAACGTTGAGGACATGTCGAGGACCATGTCCCACTGGTGAGGTCAAGTGGGTGGATGGGTAGCTCAGGTTGGCTGTTGAGAGTAATGGTCATGTTGAGCGGTGTCGTACAAGGGACATAGTCTAACAGACAGTCAGCTTGGCAATTACGAACTGAGGTGAATAAAATACAAACAATTACCGTCCGAGGCTGGGCTTATGCCCAGTGCACCATATATTCTGTTTGTGATAGACAATGTTGTGACAATAAACTGGATTTTCGAGGGATCTGGAACTACAGACGAAGGATGCATACCAATTCCAAGAAGTGATGGAATTGCATCCGAAACAGGACGGGCAAAAGTGAGGGAGAAGAACGGTTGTGAGGGAGCTGTGGAGGCGGGTGTCATGGAAAACAGATTCGAGGAAAACGATGCGCCATCTGGGTTGTTGTCAGCAAGACGTCATGTGAGAGTTTGATTGATCAGTACTTACCTTTAAAAAGGCTAAAGGTAGCCTGATTAACGAATAGTGCAAATCCCGAAGACAACAGTTTGACATGCGCGTGGAGACCGAAGTTGTCACAGTCGAAGTCGAAGTCGATAACGGTTCGGAATGGTTCAGCAAGGCCGAACCAGAACGGGACCGTTGGGGAAGACCTAGAACCGAGAACCATTTTGCAGTCCGGTTCTGGCTGGTGTGAGAACCGTGGACCGAACCGCAGAGAACCGGACCAAAAGTCTGGTTTGAACCATGGTTCTGGACCAGACCGTGGCAGCACTACTGGGCCCAGGTGGTTGGTACCCGAACCTGCTAGGTCTGAGGCTACGAGGCTGTCCACCCACCCTCACACAGATTGGAGTCACTATCAGTGCTTCCACCCCCCAAAAAAAACTATCTGCTTACAACCAAGCAGACGTTTTTGCTCGTTCTCACTACTTACACAACTGCACAAGAGCGCCCACGAAGTCTGGATTTTGTACAGCTGGGACATTGGAGTATGTTTTGGTCACTTTGCAACATTGTTTTCGACTCACCTTTGCTAGGGGAAGATGAAAATGGCTCCAGGAGCTACAGTCTTCCCTAGCTAGCTCTGCACCCATATTTTTGAATAATGCTGTCTGACTTGGTGTCAGGCGTTACAAGCATGGAGTTCATCATTCTATACCGAAGTCCCTATGCAATACATATTCGACAAATTGGTTCCATTGATCCGAAGATGATTATCAATATTTGATTCTTGTGCAAATTTGTAAAAGTAGATGTGCTTCCCATTAGAACTCGACTTTGTATGCATATTAAATGGAGTTATGTAATAAATAGATCTTTGCAGCTACTTTCATGTGGATAGTAGATCTACCAGATTTCATTTTATTTTGTCTTATTGCTTCTATTTACTTGTGGAGCTGGATAAATAAAGGTCCCTCTTATTACAATATCTTGGTCGGGTGAAATACTCCTCAATAACACTGAGGGGTCTGTCAGTGGACACCACCGCATGCACACTCAGTGGCTGTCGAATAACAATAGTGTCTGCCCAATTATAATCTCAAGCATGAGCCGGCATCGGGTACTATTTTACATCCAACACATCATGCTGCATTACTTCTTATTTATTGTTATTTTCTCTATAACTACTACAAGGTATCAAAAGAAATGTGCGATAGTCGCGGTTTGGGGAGGTTGTTAAAAGTGGCAAACTTCTAATTGTTGCCCTGGAAGTATTCCGCCCTTGTTCCGCCCCAACAGTATCGTAAAACGGTGGGACCCTGTAGTTTGTCAAGCTCCACAAATAAATAGAAATGGCCAAGAAAGAAATCTGATCCACCAATATGAAAGTAGCTGCAAAGACGGAAAGGCAGTAATGTTATCTACAGAGTGACATTCACTCCCATCGCAATGGCTTGACCTAAAGTCTCATTCACATGCTGAAAGAGCTGGCACTGCTTGGTGCGAATAGCAATGTCGCTGGCCTGACCAAGATGCCAGATGACATTGGAGATCAAGTTGTTTTGATCACGTTCAGATAGACCATTCCACTGTCATGGTTCAATCAGCGATTCAAAGGCAAATTGCGAATAGTGCTATTTGCTACGTACGAAGATCCTTGGTTGATCGAAATCTATCTCGCTGGGTGTGCTAAGGTACTTGACAGCGCCGCCAGTCCAAATGGTGTGGTTGTCGTCATTATACGGCCGAGGAGCAAGCCCAAGAAGATCTTGCTGCGACCAAAAGTTCGGGCGATTTCCCTGGTTGTTGAAGTTCATGGCACCATCACGCAAGAAATTCGCTGGATAAACTCGATTTAGCATCACGCAGAACGATGGAGAAAAGTTACGAACCGACAGGATTGAGAGGGCAGTTGATCTGTCATTCGCAGCTTTAGGCACGACCGGACTGAGTCACACGATGCTACTTACTGGGAGTTGTCTGCCGTTAACTCCAGTGCGGTATCGCTGGGCATCTGGATGGAGGAAGTTGAGTAGAAGATTTCAAAATTACGTCAGAAAGTAACTATAGTACCAGCGTAAGCGAACAATCGTGCTTGCAGTGTGGGATCCGCGGAAGCTTCGAGACCATAAGGCTAGATGAAATTAGCCTTGTTAGTTCGCAGATCTTTAGAAAAACAAACCATGTTGGCAGGGTCAAAACCAATTTGTTCAACCTCTGCGAAATGATTAGTCCTGAGAGAAGAAGTTAGTTGTGGCGCATAAACATTGAAAACCACAAATCCGTACGGGTTCTGAACAAGGGTGATTCGACCAATTTCCTGGTAAGGTACATCTTCTACGAGCCATTCTAGAAATAGAAATGTGAGTGTCAAGAATATAGTTTGAGGACAGTAAAACGTACCTTTGGTCAGGTCTAGGATGTTGTCTGAGAGAAAATGTTAGCATCGTCCTAAAGAGACTAGATAAGACCAGGCATCAGACATTTATAATTCTCGGCTTGTTGAGGCGTCATGATTTGCCAGTAAATTGTCCAGCTGGGGTAATTTCCAGCTGCAATGGAGTCATAAAGATCTTGGACGCCAAAGTCGGGGCTCACGCCAGCTTGCACGATGGCCTCGGCATTAGTGTTGTTCATGATGCCTTGATCCGTCACTGCGATGGTTCTGGACCGTGTCAACGATGAAGACACCAAGCACATCAGAGACCGCCTACTTGATGTAAACCCACGAGCCATCTGCCTTCACAGCGCGGAATGTATTGCCACTCCAGCCATTCATATGCCTAGGGATTGGTGAGTAAAGAAGAAAGCACGCATACTTCATGAGATGCATACCTGAACCCGTAAGGAGTCCCGAGGTCAGACATGGTACGCATGACCTATTACAGGTTGATGTCAGCAAAGATGATCACTTGACTGGTGGCGGAAGGTACCTGGTAGATTGATTCATTGTTCGCGGAAAGGTAATCTAAAAAAATGTAAAGCCTGCACATCGAAGTGGCTGATTTGTCGCTCACCCCAGAAATTCTGATGGGGTGTACGATGAGTGAACTGCTAATGATATCATGAGGGAAACATACATTGTAATCCACAGTGTTTGTCTGAGGGTTGCGTTTCTGAGAACGGATGAAGTCTGTATGCATATTCAATATGACAAGTCATGGAGGGATTCGTTATACTAACGAGGGAATTTTGCTGGATCGCGAAGCCAGAAAACAGGGTGGTTTAAGAAGACCTTTGTGGTATGTTAGCTTCAGGAGGCACCCTTACACGATAAACGCTTACCCAGTCCAAGATTCCGTCTTCTGTGCGCAACCTAAGTTTAGAAACAACAACACGTTGAGCACGTGGCGGCAATACCAAACTAGCTCATGTACTTAAAGGCGAGCCCTCGCAGATCTCGAACAGTATCCGCATTGCCCAGATTACCGGCAATTGTAGAAAGCCGGGCAGTGACTGGGGTACGCTTGCCAACCTCCGAGAAGACTGTCGCCATCGAATAGTTCGCACCCACAGGTGTGGTCACTTCAAACCAACCATGAGCACCTCCGCCTTTTGCGTGGATAGTGCGCTCAGGCTTTGCAAAGAGCTCATTAGCAGTGGTATTGCGGAGAATCCTGCGTGTCTTACCACTCTCTCACGGACAAAGTGAGCCAGTGATTCGATCTGAGATGTATATTAGGAAAGATCGACGCTATTCCAAGGAAATTCCTTGCCAGGTTAGTGGACGAAATCAGAAGAGGGCCAGTCGTTCCTAGTCTGTCTGCCATGTACGGGTTGGGATATCTGCATACAACATACTTGTTATTTGTGAAGTACGGTTGAGGAGTAGCTAACTTACGCCTCTCCCCCAGACAGGGTGTAATCCAGTTGAGTAGAAGGATCATTGATGATCGAATCTTGCTCGTTTGGACCTTGATATATGTCGAAGTAGGGCTGACTTGCGTCGCGCTTGGCTTCTCCAGCCTGCGCAACAGCGATCGCAGCTCCTGAGAATAGAAGCGAAGCAAAGAAGTACATCCTGTCAATGAAAGGAAGCTGGGTTACGAGAATCATAATAGCTCTCCACATTATATATACGCAAAACTCTCCATCTGTAAGCTCAGCATATCACGTTACGCGACAAGAAAAGCTGTATGTCTGAGCAACAGCCCTGATACGGTGAGAAACTGTTCTTGACATGAGTTGAAAAAACAGGGCCGCCTGAGCAATCAATAAATGATCTTGTCTTCTCCCCACAGCTGTGATGAAGACACATGGTGATGTGTTTGAATCCGTGGTGACTATTCATGATGCCGAGGGCTTTTGACAGTGAGAGTTTTACTTTGGGGAAAGTCATGGTGCCGTTCACCCAAAGCGCTGTATAGAGGCCGCGCCCTTGGGAATGAAGATTATAATACTGCGATGTAGTCCGAGAATTGTTATAATAAGATGTATGCATGCTTACTTGCCTGGAGTCCTGAACCATGCAGTGTATTAAGATGCGACTACAGTGACTGCGCCGTCAATTAGGGCGTGAACTATGGTAACGTTTGCACGGATCCGCGGGGTAAATCGTGGTGCGGACGGGTAGCAGAACTAAATACTGTCAGCCGGTTTATGTAATACAACCGGCAAGACTATGTCACAGTACAACATTACATAATGACCCGTCACATCACACCTCGACTAGAATAGTCTAGTTCGAACCGATTCGACTCTGGAGTCTGAGTCAAATGCATTTTCCTCGAGCACTTCAACTTCGTTAATTCTCTGAATTACTCAAGGGGTGATCATTATAATCTATGTTTGAAACTTTGCATCTCTCCATGGCGGCAGTAGAACTAACTTCCAGAAGCGCAGCCGAAGCACTCGAATCAGGATGTTATGAGATCTACATTACATCTCCGCGAGTCTCAGATACTTTGGAGCTCTGTCAGCCCCCCTTGCGTAAATTCTGCCGTGGACCAGGCACAACCAGTTTTGCCGAGTTCTGCCAACAGTGACATGGGTATAACTGTAGGTACCTGTGCGGGTACGCCGGGTACGAGGTCCTGAAAATATCGAAGACTATCGATGAATTATCTTTATAAAACTCTACGCGACATCAACCTGCGGCAGTGTCTCAGATTCATTATGCGTAGCACAGCTGAGTGCTTACTTTAACTCATAACTCGCGATTGCAATTGTTGCAAGACACTGGCATTCTCACGTCAGGCACCTCTCCCAGTAGACCGACGAGCGATATTGAACTTGATACATTAACTGCCAACAGCTGTAAGCGCACGGTGATATCGCCAACTTGAACGTGTTAGAGTCTCCCACCAAAAGAAGCTAATGTCACCGATCTCGATGTCTGAGGCAAACCCGACGAGATTATATGTATGTCCCCATCTTCATTCAATGATTTCATTCACAATTTCCAGCTGCATCTAAAGTTCGGTTAAATTTCGCTGCATATGATCACCTCACGATATCCTTATGACGTTGCTTGAAAGCTGACAGCAGCCGCAACGCATCTCGAGTTCAAACTTTTAGATGCCGTACTAACTTGTCAACCACAAATCACATCAGCAAAACCGCACACCAACTGGACAAGGGACAAAACACCTCAGTCGGGGCTTCGTCGAAGAACGTGTTCAGCGGTGTGGTGTTTCAGTCCGAATGCGAAGGGTGCCCATCAAACTGTTAGCGGCTCAGTTTCAAAGTAAGTAGTATACACTTGAGGCCCATCCTGCCCTCGTTGCGATGCGCTGCGTTATCAATAAGCGTCCATTTAAGTTTGCGGCTGATCTTCTACACATCAAGGCAGTCAAACTATTGCGCCCTGGAATGATTGCACTATCTCCACATGTCATGTGACATCGACGAAATTTATCGCAAGCGATATAATAATTCGGGAAGTGCCACCTACGTCGATAGAAACCTGGTTTGACCCATAGCTAGAGGACTCGAAACAAAATGAGTCTGGATTATGCAAATTTTGTGTCCACACAACAAACCGATCGCAAGTGTCGAGACTTTATGAAGTTCATAGTACATAGATAACAATATATACAAGCACCAATGCTATCGCAGACTCGATGAATGTTGAAATAAGGCTATAGCCTAATACGCGTGTCGCTCCAACCCCGGTCACACAAGTCAGACTTTCACCTGAGCTACTCAGATCGCCCTCCGATTGATCAATTATCAGGTTCTATCCTATATTCTTTGAGTGTCAGTTGCGGTTAGTGAGTCACATGCAACACACCGTTCCTGTAGCATCTCCCTGCCCATTGACGTTTTGAGGGGACTGTTTAAATGAATCAATGACACTTTCTCCCTGGTGGAAGACCCAACTTACCCAACCTGTCCCAAACGGCCTGTTCGTGGTTCTGTTTGCATTGGACTGTGGAGTGCCAATGATAGGGGGCGCGTTTGATTGCCCCTGCGCCTGAACACCCTGGCTGTCAGTGTCTCCTGAGGGCGCATGAATATCTGCGCCACGTCGTGATGCGGTAGTAGAATTCTGGTTGAGATTGAAGATATCCTTCAATATCTCTTCCAGTTTCTCATCATCGACATCAGCAAGAGTCGGGCTGCGACACTCTTTTGCCACTGCACTATTCATTGCACGCTCCCGAGCCTGATGTATAGCGAGGACAGTGAATAACCCGACCTTCTCACCCTCCTCGATCGACATCTGACCCTGGCGCGTGCAAAGGTGCTTGTATTCAGGCAAAAGCAGCGATCTATCGATCTCATACTTGTTATAGATCGCGATCTTTTCTACGGGGTCTATCTTGAGATTCTGGAGCTGATCAATAGCCAGCTCCCTCATCTCAAGAAATTGCCACCTCGTAGAGAGCTCGAGTATGACGAGCCAGTTGTCTGACGATTTCCTGTCCAGTCTGTACTTCCTGTAACCCAAAGTCAAGGACGATATCGGTGGAAGAACTAACTGAGAGCTTACGGACTGTACCAGACCCAGAGGAACGTCGCGAAGTCATCACTAGTCACGTCTTCGACCTGAAACGCGCTGTCATCAGATATTCCATCCTGGGGAACTTGTGCAAGTTCCCGGATGAAAACCTCAGATTCGCGCTCGAAGAAGGACCTGTGAACGCGAAAGAATGTATTTTCAACCTGTGCACGAGTGGCGGTCAGCGCATGCGAGATAGATTCAGGACATCATAGCGTACGAGAAAGGTGATGTTTCCGTCTGCAAAATAAAACTCTGAATGACGCTGAACGTGCGAAACACCGTTCTGAGAGTCTGCGGTCTGCATGATAGTATGGGCTGAGACGTGTGGTAAGCTGTGGTAATGGGTTGGAATCTGGAAAGGCTTTCAGATGTCACCTCAGTTATATGTACGAGTCCGGCCCTTCAAGACTCAAAGAGGCCTATTGTTCAAGAATATCACGCCCAATCACAAGCACAGTCGCGCAATCCTAGCATTTAGAAGCGTCAGTCAATCAGGTGAGATAGGAAACTGTGGGAAGCCATCGGAGATTAAGCCTCTATTGACTCGGTGACGACACAGCTTCCGTTCCACATCCAGTGTGCATGACGCCTACAAAGGTACATATCCTTTTTTGATCAAAAGATAACGCACATCAGACACAGGCTGAACACGTGACCCTAGGATTGCACTGCAGTTGTAGGTCCAGCTTCCCTGTGTATCATTCCATGATTCTGTGGGTGACGTGCACCGGACTACAGCAACTGCCTCGAAATGATGCGCTGATCGCTTGGGTCCAATTTCAGGTGAATTCGAGTCAGCAGTCTCACGTTGACGCATGTCGTTGCATGAAATGGTACACTTAACTATTGAATAATAACAGTCCAGCGACAGCGACACCTCCACAGGTACAATGCTGATAGTAAGCCTGAAAATATGGTCAAAACGGTCAGATTTTTGTGAGGGTCGTAAAGTAAACCATTCTGAATATCATGTAGAAAAAAACTCATCATCGTGTTTATATGATACAACATACATTCTCGAATCTCAACGAGATCCAATCATCCACCACGTGCTGACAACTGACTCCTTAGATCACGTTGGACGTGGTTGTATGGAGAAGTTCAGCGAGAACATGTGGTAACGACACTGATTAGTGCACTGATATATCATCTTCTGCTCTAGTACCAGAGACTTACTAGTAATACCCGGAGCCCGATCCGAGTAATGCACGTCAGATGATCGCGTAGGTCCTATTATCTTCGCCCGGCCACCCAAGGCCTCCCGGTTCACATTCACACGACCGATATACTCAGAATCCTGATGCTCGAAAAGCACATACGCCGAACAGCAACTGAATGCGCAGTCAAGATAACAATAGAACACTTCGACTAAGTACCGATGTGACATTGCTGTCATCGTGAGAATAATGATCCGTTGGGCACAGCAGATCGGAGTTCCAAGGAATGGCCAGTATTCGGTTTTACAGGGTACCGATGGCCGCCTGTCTAGACAGTGCATAGATTGGATACCTTGAGTACAACCATGGCTGCTGCTAATTAAGAAATAATCAACGCACAGTGAACACATACACACCTGGCCACCGTAGCACGTTCCCATCTACAATCCGCGCGGCGCGTAGGTGTCAACTTTAGTCCAGCATTTGATCCATTTTACCCAGCCGGAATGTTGAACGCGTCTTTTGTTCGACATAAGAATTTACGTTGCAACATTTATTGAAAATTGTTTCGATGGATTCAGAGAGGTGCTTCTTGAAGCTACGACAGGCATTCAGCGCTCAGCTTCTTCCTGAGGCCCAGTGAAAACCCACTATGGCGTGATACGATGGGATCTGTTTTTTTTCTGTTTGTAACGTCGTCGATAGGGTGAAATAGGGCAGATTATGCAAAACAAATTGTAGTCACATTGCTTTGCGTTGTTTGTTGTGTGACTTGTGTCGTTTGTGTCGTTTTTGCGTCGTACCTTAGATCGTTACATCACAATTTCACCGTTTCTTCCGATCTTTCGTAGCTTCGCATCGCATCGCACACGCTGTGCATTGCATCATAGCACTCTCGCGCAACGTGTGACGGTGTGACATGATATCATCATTGTATCTGAGTCCTAAGTACAAGTCAACTTATCTTCTTACTATTACAATCATGAAGTTGTCTTCTCTCTTTTTCATCATCGCGATCTCAGTTTTTACAGGACCTCACTGCCATTTTTTCGTCTCCCACTGAGGCCGTAGGTGTAAGTGGTATTGTTAATATTCATAAACAGATTTGATTTTTACTAACACAAGTCGAAAGGGTGGGTATATGCGTTCAAAAAGTGCACATGGGTGCCCGCCAGTCTTGTGAGCCATTAGAGGACTCTCTGTTCTCGTCTTTCTGCCTGCTTACCCCACACTGATGGTGCTCTGACCGCATCCTACTCTTAGAAAGTGCGCAGTGTTTTCGTCTTTTGGCCTGCTTACTTGATGTTGATGGTGCTCTGGTTGCGTCCCGCTCTCAGCAAGTGCGTGATCTCGTCTTTCACTACGTTGCATACTCGCTGATGGTGCTCTGGCCGCGTCCTGCTCGCATTTTGTGTATGTTCTTATCATTTGACCTGCTTACCTTATGCTGATGGTGCTCTGGCCACATTCCGCTCTCAGAAAGTGTGTGCTCTCATCCTTTGACCTGATTACCCCACGCTGATGGTGCTCTGGCTACGTCCTGCTCTCAGTATGTGCATGTTCTCGTCTTTCGACCTGTTCACCCCACGCTGATCTTTCGAATATCTTGATAGGGTGGGTATATGCGCACACCAAGTGCCAGCACTCCCTCCGAAACTCGAATCCAGCAACTTCAGGAATGGCTCACAGTATACAAATCGCAACGCATCAAGTTCGAAGATGACGATGACACTGGTGATTCGGAACTCTCCCTGTTCTTGTCCTTTGACTTGCTCACCCCACGCTAATGGTGCTCTCGCCGCGTCCCGCTCTCAGTCTGTGCGTGTTCTTGTCTTTTGGCCTGCTTACCCGACGTTGATGGTGCTCTGGCCGTGTCCTGCTCTCAGCTTGTGCGTGATCTCGTTTTCTGACCTGCTTACCTGATGCTGATTGTGCTGCAGTTGTGTCCCGCTTTCAGGAAGTGCGTGTCCTTGTCATTTGACCTGCTTACCCGACGCTGATAGTGCTCTGGCCATGACATGCTCTCAGATGGTGCGTGATCTTGTCTTCTGAGCTTCTTAGCGGACACTGACGGTGCTACGGCCATCACTTTCTGGCTCTCTGCTTAGTGTTCCCCCATCTTTCGTGCTCCACCATCCATGTCACTCAGTACCGAGCTTCCGCCATCTATCGTCGACAGATTCACGCACGCATTGTTTCCTGTGCCCTGTATGGGTGCCGGTACGACTGCCCACACCCGCAGGTTTACCCATGCAGTTCCTAGGCTAAGCTGCTGCGCGCCCCGCACCTGCTTTTATGCTGCCGCGATACCTAGTACTACTGATATCATGCACTGTCGTAGCACATCGTTTCTCATCATATCAATCCATGCATTTTACTGTACTACATGATATGGTGTGATAAGATTTTATCTGAAAATTGAATGAAAAACTCATGTCGTCGGAGGAGATCGTGCCCCATCATGCAATATATGTGATGCCTACCGACGTCATATGTTTGTCTCTGATTTTTTGCATAGGTGAGAAATCAAGATATTCGAAAGATCAGCGTGGGGTGAACAGGTCGAAAGACGAGAACATGCACATACTGAGAGCAGGACGTAGCCAGAGCACCATCAGCGTGGGGTAATCAGGTCAAAGGATGAGAGCACACACTTTCTGAGAGCGGAATGTGGCCAGAGCACCATCAGCATAAGGTAAGCAGGTCAAATGATAAGAACATACACAAAATGCGAGCAGGACGCGGCCAGAGCACCATCAGCGAGTATGCAACGTAGTGAAAGACGAGATCACGCACTTGCTGAGAGCGGGACGCAACCAGAGCACCATCAACATCAAGTAAGCAGGCCAAAAGACGAAAACACTGCGCACTTTCTAAGAGTAGGATGCGGTCAGAGCACCATCAGTGTGGGGTAAGCAGGCAGAAAGACGAGAACAGAGAGTCCTCTAATGGCTCACAAGACTGGCGGGCACCCATGTGCACTTTTTGAACGCATATACCCACCCTTTCGACTTGTGTTAGTAAAAATCAAATCTGTTTATGAATATTAACAATACCACTTACACCTACGGCCTCAGTGGGAGACGAAAAAATGGCAGTGAGGTCCTGTAAAAACTGAGATCGCGATGATGAAAAAGAGAGAAGACAACTTCATGATTGTAATAGTAAGAAGATAAGTTGACTTGTACTTAGGACTCAGATACAATGATGATATCATGTCACACCGTCACACGTTGCGCGAGAGTGCTATGATGCAATGCACAGCGTGTGCGATGCGATGCGAAGCTACGAAAGATCGGAAGAAACGGTGAAATTGTGATGTAACGATCTAAGGTACGACGCAAAAACGACACAAACGACACAAGTCACACAACAAACAACGCAAAGCAATGTGACTACAATTTGTTTTGCATAATCTGCCCTATTTCACCCTATCGACGACGTTACAAACAGAAAAAAAACAGATCCCATCGTATCACGCCATAGTGGGTTTTCACTGGGCCTGAGGCCTGATGCAGATGTAGGATTGGATTGTATGGCAGTTACACTACACACTGGTTAGATCTTAGCGGAGTTCAAAACCTAGCCGGTCCTAGCGACTCGCGGCTGGATGTCTCGGTGAATTCTCCCCTCTCGCTCACCTTCGATTGATATTTTCAAACACATCCACTCCTCCACGCAGCTGGTGGCTTAATTATCAGTAGGTAAGTACACTGAATCTTGTGTTTTTTGTTCAGCTTTCCATTCTCTCATGAACTGCAGGTCCTAGCCGACGCCACAGAATGAAATAGTTGTTCTTTACTAGCAGCACGCAAATAGCATAAGTGCAGAAATTCCGAATTACAAAGTTCAACTCAATAATTCATGCGGGAGAACTCACACATCGTGAACTATACCAGGGGCGCAACATAATAGAACCCCAGTAACGGCAGGTTATGATTACAGTGGTCCTAATCAATTGAACACGCTACTGCAAGTTCTACCGAAATTTGTGCCATCCAACAGCAACAACAATTCTGCCAAATCAAAGTCGTGCCCGTCAGCATATACAGGATATAGAAGCTGGCCGTCGTCCTGTAGTGTTCCCCCATCCTCAGAGACATCATTCGAGATTCACCTCAGAAGACATTACCTCGCAGAGAAAATGCGTTTCTCCTTGCTCGCCGTTGTTGCTGCTTTGACAACATCTATGTCTGTCAGTGCACAAAACTGTAGCCCAATACCTTGCACTACAGATGCAGATTGCTGCCACAACATGATTTGTGATCCTGACAAAGTGAGTATGAGTAGGTCGCTGTGCAACCAGGATTCCACCACATGACTCATCTGCGCGCCTTAGAATGGAGTTTTGACCTGCACGTACACTCACTCCGAGCGGCATGTCGCGACAGTGAATTCTTCTTTCGCTTTGGTACCATGGTTAACGGTGCAATACCTAGTTCGGAATCAATCAGTACCTATAAGTTGTTTTTGGACAAATTGTTGTGCTGCCCGAGTAATGTGGATGCTTGAACTTATCCGAAGATGATCGACCATACCTAACCTTGCTCGTGGTCCACCAAACTTGAGTTCGAGAGACTGTCGAAACGAGCAATCATTGCTGTTGATGATTAATATTGGGAGGTCGTAAGACAGAACGCACTGCACAGACATTTCCTCACAATATTGAATCTGTTCGTCTAAAGTTGGCTTCGAAGGCTAGCTCATGGATATCTCTTTGTGTAGTATGCGACAAGAATGAGCATCAACTTCTTGACTTTGTCGCTGCGCAGGGTCACTACAGGTTGAGAAGATTGAGCGATAAGGGAGAGGTCAGGATGAGAGATCGGCGACGAAGAATGAGAGAATTGTCGATGCCTGCCGGCAGGTTGTGATACAATTGGTCGTAATCATCTGAACACGTTCTAGGCTACAGGTTCTACCGAAATCTCTGCCATCTGACAGTAATAACAATTCTGCCAAATCATTCAGAATTACGTCCATTAGGATACGCATGATATACAAGCTGGTGATCGTCCTATAAGTGTTCACTCATCCTCAAAGATATTATTCGAAACTCCTCTCAAAAGATTCCATATTACCTCGCACAGAAAATGCATTTCTCCTTCCTCGCCGTTGTTGTTGCCTTGTCAGCATCCATGTCTGTCAGTGCATGTAGTCCATTGCCAATAGTTTGCAACACAACTGCAGATTGCTGTACGGGCTATCGTTGTGAACCAGATGTGAGTATGAGCAAGTCGCTGTGAAACTAGACTCAACCACATGACTCACCTGCGCGCCTCAGGATTAGTGCTGCCGTGGTCCGGTTCGGTCCGGTTCAGAGGGCCCTGGACGAGAACCGAGAACCGGACCACAGAGAACGGTTCTCTGTGGTCCGGTTCGGTTTTTTTCTGGTCCGAACTCGAACCGAACCCGAAAATTTTCAGTGGCAAGCGCGAAAAACAAAACATTGAAATACTAGTTTACACATCGAGTAGCTACTCTAATGATGACTCCATACCCCTCTGCCTCTGTAGCTGCTGAAGATGCTGACGTGGCCGGCGCTTCAGAAAAAATTGTGATGCTGGTGGCCGCAGGATTCTCCGAAAAGTGGAAAGCCCACATGATGAGAGCCGTATTGATGAAGACTGACCAATTCGTGAGGACACACTCTGACATTTTCAAGTAAGGCGTAAGAAATGGTCAAGAGATGAACAATACTACTCACCGACGGCCAAAGCCAAAAGTGAAAAACCGGAGATCAACCGGAGATTATCGCGCGCAACCTGCATCGTCAATCCAACGCTGAGGATTAAACCTGTGTGGTTTGGGGAAGACTTCAGGATTGTTTGCGATAGCCCTGAAGCACAAGCGTCAAACCCAAAGGTGAGAGGACGAAAATGATGGTAGTTCTTCCAAATGATGTCCTCAATCGCGCGATGCGCAAAGCCTGTAGTGCAAGGTGATCGTTCAACATCGCGTCATCACAACTCAAATAAAACGTACCTCCAAAAACTCTCATCGTATTGAAAGATTGGGTCGCGTCCAGCGGGGTGAGAGACAACGGGCGAGAGACAGAGGGTGAGAGACAGTGGGCGAGTGAGACATGGCAAGCCAGCCAGCAAAAGCCAGCCGGCAAGAACAGCAAGCGAGTGAGAGGGGATGCAGTGAGGTGGCGGGCATCAACATAGGCGCAGGTGGCGTGGCGTGTGATGGGTTGTGCGCTGGTAGCGATGGGTGCTGGCCCTTGAGGGAGCCATCAGCATTCAGAGCACAAATACGCACCTCTGCAGCATAGCGCAAGACACAATCCCTCCAAAATCCACCTTGACCGCGCCTAACATATCCACCTCCAGTAAAAGGTAGTCTTGCGCAGTGTTGTAGCCGGTCCTCAATGAATAGAACTTCCTGTTATAGAGGTGAGCAGGTGAGAGACTTGAGAGTTTAATTAGTTAGTGCTTACCGGTATACCTTCGAAAAGGCTAAATGTAGCTTGATTAATCAACAATGTGAATCCCGAAGACGACAGTCTGACGTCGAGGCAGGTGTTGTCGAAGTCGAAGTCGATAAGGGTTCGGAATGGTTCGGGAAGGCCGAACCAGAACTGGACCGTTTGGGAAGATCTAGAACCGAGAACCGTTTTCCGGTCCGGTTCTGGCTGGCGCAAGAACCATGGACCGAACCGCGGAGAACCGGACCAAAAGTCCGGTTCGAACCATGGTTCTGGACCGGACCGCGGCAGCACTACTCAGGATACTCATAGAGGAATACCCGTCTGCACACCGATTGGCAATTGAGCTGGCAGCCCGAGCGGCGCATTACGACAAGTGAGTTACGTTTCTACTTTCGCTTTGGTATCATGGTTGATGGTGCAATACCTAGTCCGGAGTCGACCAGTGCAGTTGTTTTTGGACAAATTTTCGTACTGCTCGGGCAATGTGGATATTTAAACTTTTCTGAAAATGATAGACCGTGCCTAGTCTTGCTCGTAGTCCACTAAACTTGGGCTTGAGAGGTTGTCGTCTAACGTTGGTCCCCGAAAGCCAGCTTATGGATCTCTGCGTGTGATGTAGCCAACGAGATGCCACTTCGTTGCCGATCATGATTTACGACAGACGTGCTATTTTCTGGTATGTAGCCAAGGCCCAAGGTGATACTGGGGCGCGCGTTATGATGAAAGTGAAAAAAGGGGGCGACAAAGATGAAGATAAAGCAGAATAATACTACCGCCTGTGCGATACTTTCCATCGAAGAGTAGCGTTGGGAGCTCGACAGTGATTCTCTTCATTGAGCGTGTGTTGGATGAGGTGCAAGGGGCACGTACACGGTTTGCGGGGAAGAGGAACTTGGAAGAGCGTTGGGACCTTGATAATTATTGTTCCTTGTCCCAAGGGAGTACAGGGTCACTCGTCTGGGTGTGCCATGGATTAACTTAACATCGTCGTGATTGTCGGATGGAGACTAAAACTTTAGAGGGAGCTGCAGTGGCAGGTGACCACGACGAGTACCAGGGATTTTGACCAAGCGCATCGAGGTTGTGCCACGTACTACTAGACAAGAATGAGTATCGATTTCCTCATCATTGTCTGCTCAGCGCTTGCAGGGTGATAAGTTCACCCCCGTCGCTCTCCGAAACCTTTCCTACCGACTCTCTATCTCTCTTCCACTGACGAATCGAAATATCGGTCGATGTATTCATGATATTGCGATTGATACAAACGCAAGTAAGGCTTCATATGCATCTGGAATGAGCCTTGGCGATGCACTCCGACGTTGAGCTCCATGCTGAACGTTCTGGAGTTTGCTTTTTCCACGACGTGATCCGAGTATTGTGGTTGACGAAGTAGGAGCGACTGATTAGTGAAATGTGACATTCGCATTCGGCAAAAATCAGTTTTACGGGAATATCTATGTTCAACGATGATTTCTTCGCGCCTGGTGATAGAGCGTGTTGTCTTGATATACTGTTTCATCATCTAGCATCATAAACTGTTGCCACCTAGGAGGGAGCACTTCATCCCGCCTGCTTCTTGTTGAGTAAGTTAGTAGGTATTGTAACATGGTTTTCACACCTTCCCAACGTGCGTTCTGGCGGCGATGTCACTGCTGTGCACCATATGGTGGCAGATCCTTCGCACTAGTTTGAAGACGTGCAACGAACGCCGGCAAGTATAACATTGCTTCTCGCCTTACATTTCTTGATTTTGCTGAGATGCTTGACTCGGCCTCGTCGCGCATCAAAACGGTCATGCTGATTGAAAGTCTGGACCCTGCCTGCTAAGGCGCAAAATCAGTAATCGAAGAAGATGAGAGACGATAAAGAGATCCAATAGACGGTCGGCCGTGCAACCAACTAGATTTCCAAGACCTTGCTTCGCAAGGTAATAATAAGCGTGGGCAAGTTGAGGCGTTCGGCATCTGCCGCAGCAGAGAACATCCCCTGATCCACACTGTACTTTAAATTTGTCACTCTCAAGAAGAAGGGAAAAAAAAGAAAATACAAGGCGTGCGAGAGGGGAGATACCAGGTGAGTTTATTTGTATCCTCTGCATAGTAGATCCCGCCGTCGGGGCCGTGGCCCGGTGCTCGAGCTACAGATTTCACTTGAATTCAGTTGCTGCAGCTTCACTCAATCGTCCTTTAGTCAGAAAAGGACTGATGGCATATATGTGAGCCTTTCACCATTAGTGGATTGAGGTTATTAGGCAAAGCGCGTCACTCGTCCGCGTAGGCGGAGTCTTTCCGCCTAGATTGTACATGTCAGTTACCCAGCAGCTGCGGCTCTGATGATTAAATCTTCAATCTCCGCTTTCCTCACTTCTTGTCTCCTGCACTAGTTTCAACATTAGTGTTGCAGTACCGTCGCTCCAGTATCCTATCCCATTAATAATTTATGTTTTATCCCTCTCTACCCATTTGCATAACTCTGACCTTGCTTGCAATGCACCCATCTCAATTATGGTTGGTTGTCTTGCTCTTTGAGCAGACAAGTCGCAAATTTGTGTCCCACCTGTCACATGACTCATAAAAAGGCCGATGTGGAGTCAGGGTGGGGTTGGCATTGATAAGTTGGCGTCTTCTCACTCCTAACCATCTGTACTGCATTTCCATCCCCTGATATCTTACAATGAGTTCTCTCAATGGTTGGCACAAAGGTGAATGTACCATTCAGGAGAAACTCGGATTCCATGGAGCCGTATCCCAGTCTTGGACTCAAATCGAAGGAGAACTTCCTGAGCAACACCGAAATTTCTACTCCACATGTCTCCCATTTATTCCTATCACTACTCTTGATTCTACGGGTCGTCCTTGGTCTTCAATACTTGCAGGTCCAGAAGGAGAGACTGGGTGGGCTTCCAGCGAGACGTACGACCAATTGTCTATGCGGGCGAAGGTCTGGGATGGTGATCCGCTGAAGGCGAATGCGGACTATCATGCTGATACTACAGATGCATCTCAGAGGAAGATGCTAATTGCTGGTATTGGTGTACAGTTCTCAACTAGGCGCAGGAACAAGTTCGCAGGTTCGGTCAAGACTATTGAAACGCAATCGGGTTTATTAGATATCTGCACGTCTGTTAACGAAGCTATTGGGTACTTTCAAATTCTTTGGAACTTGCTTGAGTTGATGATATGTTGACTGTCCGCAGAAATTGCCCGAAATACATCACGATCCGCGATCTTGTTCCATTTCCACACACAAAACCTCGAGTCACCTATCAAGAAATTAACCTTACCCCGACTGGCCGCCTTTCTTCAGATCTCATCGCATTCATTCATTCATCCGACACCGTATTCCTAGGCTCATCATACTCGGCCTCTGAAAGAGATGCACCGAGGTTTCCATCTCACCTCGGCATGAATCATCGCGGGGGGAGGCCTGGGTTTGTTCGTGTACGCAACGATGGGCATACTCTCGTTTTGCCAGATTACTCAGGTAAACACTGTTGCATCTGCATATTCAAATCAATCACGAATCCCATATCAATATTCAGGCAATCGATTGATGACATCCCTCGGAAATGTAGAAGCCACACCTCTTGCTTCTTTGACATTCCCATCATTCATCAACGGATCACTCTTATATGTTACCGGAATTGCCCATAACCTTGTTGGCGCTCCTGCTCAAGTAATCATGCCTTCGCAGAATGTCCTCACCACGATTGAAATAACAGGTTATATTTTTATCGAGGACGCATTGCCTGTCCGTCAACGTGAAGGAACAGAGCCGCAGAGGAGTCCGTATGCCCCCCCTGTGAAGCTGCTCAAAGAAGAACAAGCTTCTTCGACATACTTCAGCACCGAAGACACCATACACGCGACGCTTTACCGCATCAAGCTTCATTCTTCCGATCTCGCCACATTCACGTTTGAATCTCCTCACAAGCTTAACGTTATCCCAGGCCAAGCTGCCATCCTTAATTTCACCTCGTTCCTCGGTGCATCGCCATACAAGCACATGGCACCCGAGAATCCAAATTTAGTGAATGACGATCGTATAAGGACATGGACTATTTCGTGGTGCAGCTCATGGACTTCGGTTGCGGATGGGGTGGGCACGACATTCTCCTTGACAATGCGTCTGAAGCCTGGTGGTGCTGTTACTGGGGCACTATTCAACATTGCCAACAAACTCTCAGCGGTCCGCCCTGAGTTGCTTGAGGACTCACGTCCGCTTGGACTGAACGTTACACTGGTCGGAATAGCAGGTGGCTTCGTCCTCGAGCCCACAGACCCTCACGAGGACACTAAAATTGCGGTTTCACGCGAGGAAGAACAAATGTCTGTCCAAAAAAATGCATCAAGGAAACTCCTTTGGATAGCCGGCGGGATTGGAATAACACCTTTCCTCGCTATGCTCTCTGGAATTCCCTTATACTCCGCCGAATATGAAATCACCCTTTTATTGTCGACGCGCGAGCCAGATGTGATGCTCTCTCTTCTTTCTCATGCCATCGAAGTCGCTGCCCACGAAGTCAAACTAGTCGTTCATGTCTTCTCGTCCATTAAACAATTCAAGAATTCCTTACCTTCTTCGGTATCGCTTCATTGTCATTATGGACGGATCACTTCCTCGTTTGTCTCCGGCTTCAAAGCTGAATGTGTGTATGTTTGCGGCCCAGAAATATTCGAGCGAGAGGTCACCCAGGGTGTAGTTGGGAAGGTGAGAAGGGAGGGATTTTCTTACTGATGTATGTCAAGGTTGGGCGCGGTGTCTTTTGACTTTCATTCAAATTGTAGGGAAGTTCTCCGAGGTCATAAACGCACGCACATAGACACGTTTAGTCTGCACGATCACTTTACTGGGTCCTCGGCCACACATCAGAGGCTGAGGCAAGTTTTTGTACACGGTCGTGTTCAAGTGGTAGCGCTTATGCCGTATCTGATCCGCTGGCGAGGTTGGCAAAGATGGCAAAAACAAGGTGGTGACTGAAAGTACGTAAAGACTTGGTGATAATACCTTTTGCCTGGATAACGTAAGCGATGTCAATGACAGTGTTCCACTAAACTGGTGTTGTTTTTTATGGTCCTCCGAGCCTTCGAAAGCTCGATTGACAACCGGTGATCTCCAAGGCTATTTAGAGAATAATACTGGAATCAAATTCGGTGGTGGCATCAATGCTTTTGGACGTGCATCGGTAAGGTGGAGCGCTGAAGGGTTCGCTGTTCGGCAGGGCATGGGCCCCGGCCCCCTGATATTTTCCCCATTCATCAGGCCTTCAGGCCTGGGTAGTGAGCCACTCATCCCCACATCGAGCAGGCAACCAGAAATTGCCTTACAAGGAAAATAAAAATAAAAAGTGTTGAGACGCAATCGAGTCCTCGTCCTACTCTTTTGCCTTCCCCGCTAACCGAGTGGCTCATCCCTTATGCTCACACCATCACACACGATTGCTTTGCGCTTTTTGCCTTTAAAGGCAGAAACGCGCGCTGCAAAAAAAACAATCGTATTCGAAATCCACAGCACACCTAGTGGTTTAAAAGAAGCGGGAAAAATGTGTGGACTGACCACAACACACACACCATTGTTTAATTCCAGGGATTTAAACCCACTTCGCAGATCATTCACAACCGTTTCTCTTCTCTCAAACACTATCACAAAATGCCTGCTACAGGACGTAACTCAGTACGCTTGCAGCCTACCTCACTTTAGTTGTCTTGTGCTCATGACATTTTCTCCACAGAAACCAGTTGAATGCTCTGTCTGCCGCAAGGTTATTAGCCGCAAGGCCGATCTTCCTAGACACATGCGTACTCACGCTGAAAACAAGGAGGCCTTGTAGGTGCTCGTCCTTTATTAAACCAGATGATTCCTGACCGATTGGCTATCTTCATCAGTATGCACGCATGTCCATATGATGGCTGCGATTACAAGACCCTCCAGAAGTCCAACGTCCAAACGCACATCAGGACCCACACCCGTGAACGCTCGAAGACGTGTCCTCACCCTGAGTGCCCCTTTTCTACCACCGACCCAGGCAGCCTGACGCGTCACCGCAAGTCAGAACACGGCTACAAGCCCAAAGCGCGTCGCATTCCTGACGACAAAGCTGCTCGAAAGGACGCCGCTGCACCTTATCCCATCACTCGAATTGCGAAACCAGAGGTAGAGATTCCTGCATCTCTGGATCTCAATGACCTAACATTTCTTGAGCACACAGGTCTCATGCCCTGCGGTGCGCTCTCGCCATCCGAGTCCAGCGACTCCCAATTCTCGGGCGAGTTCACGATACTCACCCTGGACCGACTCGTCCCCAATCTCTCTGCGGAGAAGTCCATCTCCATATGTGGTCAGCCCTCTCAGCTCCCCGTCCCCACCCCGAACTACTTCCAACCTTCAACCGTCCCCACCGATCTCTCCACTGTCCACATCGACCCGCAGTTACTCTCCGATACCGCGCGGCCGCACGTTCACGATTTCGGATTACTGTCTCAGTCCCAGCCCATCTCCTATGAGGACTTACAGCCCGTCTCCAGAACCGATGTGAACAACAAATTACCAGTTGAACTGGAGGAGCTTTTACAGAAATATGGCTCGGGGTCCTTTCAAGGCCGCTGCGAGTACCTTAAAAATGCATAGTATTCGATGGCAGAGCCCTCGTTTACAAACGAACACAACGTGTATTAAAATCTTCGTTCTCACCTTTCATGCTGTTGTCAAATTACCTGTGCATCAGCATTATAATTGCAGGTGGAACTTGGAATAATCATTATTGGTCATTTATTTATATCACACCACTTGCATCTTTTATACATACTATCACCTTGAAATCACAGGATGTACCAGCGTACACGAATTTCATGACTACAAATTAATATGTTCTTTTGAACCTGAACGCGACTATCAGATCACGTGGCTCTAAAATCACACTCAAGTCATCAAGTGGTCTCTTGACATAACCACTACCGCCACTCGAGTCAGAGATGCACGCTGCCAGCACGTTTCCTTGAGCCACGCTATAGCTCTCTCCACACTGTTTTCCTATATCAATCACCTTTATTTTTTTTATTTCTCTCTCTCTTCTCCCTCTCTCTCTCACCGTTTGACGATATACTTCCGAGTCAACGACATACAGTCTTGGTTATCTACTACATCACAATCTGTATCAATTTTCGTTTAATAACCGTATTTCATGTCCACAATTCTCTCCAGCTCGGAAACGACAAACACTTCGCCGACTCCGATCAGTCCTTTCTCCAACTATTCAGCTGCTAGTGACGCTACTTCAGATGGTGAGTCACCACCATCGGGATCTTTCGCTATTCTATTTTGGTGAAGTGCAATCTGATATAATAAACTTTGATTTGTGGGCGTTAGAGTCACCCGACCTTGGGGCTTTCACCACTGTCTTTAGGGCTCTCAACCACCTTCAGCCACTCGTGCCTCCTCGAGGAGGTGCCTACATCTACACAGAGTTTGATACACCCTCTACCGACGCTGTCCCGCTCTCTTCACTTCCGACTGACTCGGAGTTCATAGAAGGCTCTACGGTATGGAACCAGAGCATGCTAGCGTCTTACCTCGCATCCTCGAGCTCCTCACACACACGCTCAGCGTTGACCAGCATGACCGCAAGCCCGCCCCTTCCAAATCCCGACGGTAGCAATAACTTTAATGACTCCGGAGAGGAGACGGAAGGCGAGCTTGAACCGCTCACATTCACGTTCACGACACCTAGTCGATCACAGTCTCATACTTCGGATGCGGATCTGAGTCATGATCCTTCGCTTTCTGATGGAGATATTGACTTAGGAGACCAACCCACTCTTGGTGACCTCGGTGGCGCATTTTCCTTCCTTGCTGCAGAGCGTGCCAGAATTGCTGCCCGTGATCGTGGCACAGGCAAAGATAGCTCCACGAGCGATGGCGCTTGGAGAAACGATGCGGAACCTCGCCGTACACGAAAGCGGAGAAGAAAGAAGGCGAGGGTGATTCAACTCCTGCAGCGAGATCCAGGAAATGTGGAACATGAGGGCACGAGTCACACCACAGGGACCAGCACAATTCTGGGCGTATCTGGGACAAGCGAGCCTATCACTGTCTCCTCGAACCCAGAGCCCGAACCTGAGACAGAAGAATCGTCGTCTGGCGATAATGCTGCTGTCACTATTCCTTCGACACCTGCACACAAGTCATCATTAGATAGGCTGCGCCACAGTCGTTCTACCCCATCATTGCATCTATCACAGATACCCACCAATCCTCAAATTCTCAAGTTACGCTGCCTTGCCCATAAGCTACGACTCAAGTTCCCGGAGGACTACGACCGCATTACGGCGTTACTCACGCAGGACTTTAGCGGTGTCGATTCCGACTTTTCAGACCCTAGGGGTCCAGCTCCGCGACCTAGAGATTCTTTGATTCATGTTTTTATCGACCAGTAAGAATTTTTTTTGTGATTTGAATCCGATGGCTACTAATGTATCATTTCAGCTCGAACATCCTCATTGGTTTCTTAACCTATGCTCGCCGTCACGCCTCTCACTCGGGTAGGAAGCTACGCCTCTCTCATGCAGCCCTCGCGCTCCTCCTTGAACGCGGACGTCCCATCACGCGGCGTTGCCTGGTCACTTCATCCCCACTGTATCAACCAACAGACACAGCCGAACAGCTCGGGTACGAAGTCTGCATTTTTGTGCGCGTGCCAGACAGTGGGAATGGGCAGTACCGTCGTCCACCAAGTGCCAACACTAGTGCAGAATCATGGCGCAAGGGACATGCGCGAGCGTCATCAGACTCTGACAAAGGCATAGGTGGTAGCGGAGGCACAGGCTTAACTGCGTCTGGGAGCGGCGGCCGTAATGGACGTGTCCGCTATCGAGAGCAGGGCGTTGATGAACTGTTGCAGCTGAAGCTGCACCAGGCGATTGCGGATGCGGACGTGCCGCGTCCGGGTGCAACGATAGTGCTAGCAACGGGTGATGGGAACATCGGGCAGTTCAGCGACGAGGGCTTCCTTGGTCCTGTGCGAATTGCATTGAAGAAGGGGTGGCGCGTGGAGCTATACGCATGGGAGGATGGCCTGAGCCGTGCGTGGAAGAAGGAGTTTGGCGAGGGCACGCCGTGGAAGGATAAGTTCCGCATCATCAAGATGGAGGATTTCGCGGAGGACTTATTGGAGGTCGAATAGGGGCGGTGAGCTGTGCCATCTGTGTGTAATTGTTTTGTCGAGATGTATGTTCTTTTATTGTTGTGCATGTTGAGGGTACTATTTCACGGGGGGTTGGCCTTTATGCATTGTGCTGACCCAGCAATAGCGTTCTTTTTTATCTTGGGTTGTAACAAGCATTCACAAATTTGTATCTCAAGCAGGTACGAGTTACTGTCATCGTGGGTTATGTAGACGTCGGTTATATGTAGTGTCTACTATGATAATTACAAAGTTAACATGAACTCTGCTTTAACTTCCAGTGCAAGGGGTTTCCACGTGGCACGTTGAAATGTCAGACGCCTTTAACATATGAGCTCACGCCCGTTGTGCCTTCGGCACAAATCGAAGGAGCGCTACGCGCTCCTTCAGGGGAGGAAAATAAATGTTGTTCCTTCGTCACAGGAAGCCAAGGAGGGCTACGCCCTCCTTTGGCTTCCTGGCCTCAGGCTGCATCCTAATAAATTGTGCATTTTGAATAATTTTGAAAATACATTTATGAGCAGTTCAAAAAAACTAAAAGTACAATCTACCACCACATAAAGTACATAGTAAGATCAGTCAGTTCTACATTCTTTGAGCAGGATTCTGACAAAATTACAAAATATATAACAGTATCATTGAATGTATTTATTTTCCCATCTTTGCCTGTTGGAAAAAAGTTCCCAGGGTTTTAAGGCCTTGCAAGACATTTTAATGCTCTATTTGGAGGGTGTCCTTATAAGGGCTTTTAAATGGGTAAGATAATATTTTAATGCCCATTAAAAGGCACTTATAAGGGCCCTTTTGATGACCTTATGTTGAGTTTTGCCTCGCCATGCCTCAGAACGGCCTGTTAAAATGCCTTGTAAGGCCCTCTTAAGGTGCTGAGCCGAACTTGTAATCCGGCAGTATTACAATGGTACCTAACTTTTTCCGACACCTACCCATCTCCCAATTGTCTCCTACATCCTCCCGTCTCCCATCTCCCATCTCCTGTCTCCCGTCTACTCCCCATTCTCCCTGTTTGCTCATTCTCCCATTCTCCCAGCAATTTTCCAATTTTCTTATATCTCCCAATTCTTCCCTTCCCCAGGTTTTGTCTCTCCATTGTCTTTTCCCTTCTTTTTCCCTTTTTATTTGTTTATTTTTGTCACTACCTTTTGTCATTCACCATTTCATTTCGACCATTTACTTTGTATATATACAGTTGCTACAACACCTGCAGGAAAACACTCAAATTTCATGAATAAACATGGGTGCTGTTCTAATGGGCAAAGGAGATTGAGTCAGCGCTCAAAGGCCACGCGAGAAAACCACACGAGATTTCCAAATCGAGGTTAAGCGAGCTAAGCGCAAACCACATGGCCTTTGGCGAAATACGCGAGATAAACGAAATAAACGAAATAGGCGAAATAGGCGCAAACCACGCGAGCGCCCGAACGTTCCCACAACCGTCGCACTTTACTTCTTAGATTCTGCTTGACTGGTGCCTCTACTCCTCAGCTCGTCAATATTTACATGCATGTGCACGTGATATCACACTTACGCTGGTTGAATGGGAGATGCAGATCATTGTCGTACTTGTAGAGAGGTCGTTGGCAAATTGATTGTTGGTGCTGTCTATTTTGTACTCCACGGAAGAAGGCATAAAGTAGTGTCTTGATAGTACTGGCAAAACAGTTCGATGGCATTGGTCCATAGGTTAAGTGACGGCGGCCCACAGTACTAGCTATCAACGGATATGTAGTACTGCAAGATTCGTGATAGAGCAGGACCCTAAATCTCAGTGAGAACACGCAAAACGCAGATTGATTATCGAAAAGGTAGATACAACGTGCAAGGTCTTCTGGATTTGACAATTATAGATACAATGTCCACTTCGGTGGCACTGAGAGGAAGGTTTTGTCGGACCACTACTTACTTACAACGTCGGTGACCTGTCCGCTGGACCGGAAGACAGTTGGATTCATGAAATAAGTGCGTAGTTTGATATGTGGTATGTGGAAGTTTGATGAGCCGAAATTCGCTCATGATGCAACGTTAACGTTTTAACGTTCAAGCCCCTGCTGTAATAATATTATTCGATTGCACCAAAATTATGTAATATCGAATATCGGTTTGTTTTGGGCCCGCCACTGTCTGCGCCAAGACTTGCCATAATCCGCTAGTCCTGTGGAACCCGCTCACAATCGCTCCCAGCTGTTCCGCCCACAATCCTAGATGAGGCAGACTTGCGGCGTCCGCCTTCGGACCCACTTTGGGGAAGTTTTGCTGTGTGGCTCGTGGACTTTAGTGGAGCTATTAATACTATTTACACTATAAGATGCAGGTATCGAAGAACGCATTTGGGAAGGTGCTACAGCTTGAGCTTTCACTATGATCTCTCACACTCGCAGGGCCTTGTTATCGCTCGTTTTTGCGCCATGGGTTTCGGCGGCTCCTGCCATGCAACGCTCGGAACTGTTGCTCGTTGAATCGCTTCCTGCGTCATGCAATTTCGATTTAAGCACGATAAAGCATGAACTGTGTACAATTGTGCATGATTTGGCGGAGATCATGGATGATGAAGCTTTGAACACACCTTACATCATTGATCTGAGCGAATACTCAGTAAGTTTGCTTATGATTTGTTTCAAGTTGATGTCCATTGCTAATAAGCTTCGCAGTGGTCCGAGAAGGGTGAGTGCGGTGTTTATCTGACACATCTCAGTGCAGAGTACGAGTTTGTTTCTCAGCGGAGAGATTCACAGCCAGTGCAGCATACCTGCAGACGGTTTCTGACATTCCAATTGCTGCCCAATCACTCAACCACGATCCAGGCGCTAGGCGACCCATAGCTATTGAGCATAATACTCGGTCTCGTGAACATGTGAACCGTATCATCAGCTCGATTAACAAGTTGGCAGCTAATTCTGCTACTGTCAACTTTCCCGAGATTCAAATCTCAACCAACGGCGGACCTGTTCTGATAAGCTTTCTATTCATGTCTGACAGGCACATGGATGTGAGTGCATTGAGTCCTTGTTGTTGACGATATGCAGAACGTACTTAACAGAAGCTTGATTCCGTACGGTGCACTTGCCGCTTGACTTGGGAGTCACTTAATGCATGCGATCGAGAGCCTTTGGAGTCTTTGAAGATAGTCCTTCCAAATAATGATCGACCGAAAGGGCGTAACCTCATGGAAGAGCTGCTCGGGAGCCAGATCCAGTGGGAAAGGGACGAGGACAGCGATACGAATAGCGATATTTTCGAGAATAGAGGGAGCGATGCGAGCGAGACGAACAATCGCCCTAGAGATGGTCACAACGACGATATACGCGGTCATGAGGAAAATGTGAACGAAGGTAATGATGAGAAGCCAGATGACAGACCACCAGGGGAGAATCCTACCGATGAACAAGATGACAAACAGGAGTCTATTCCACCAACTAATCGCAACTCTTGGTCGCTAACAATTATCCTATTAATGACTAGGTGAGTGTCAGTGCTACTGATTATTCACAAAACTGATCAATGCACCCAAGTTATGTCTTGATCATTGCGACAAGGCTGTACTATCCCCGATTACGTGGGCTCCTCAGGTCATACCAGGAGCCAAATTGTTTTCGCGTTGGCGAAACAGTTCTCTTGCGCTGGGCACGTGAAGATATGGACTTCGATGATGAGGAAGAGGATACCATGGTCAATGGGAGCGATGGTCTCATCAGGGGCGAGGAAATCCCATTGAAACCTAGTCCTAGAAACAATTTTGTCCTCCAGTATGGCAGTGCGCAATGATTATCATGTGCAGAGGGATAGTGCAGATAGAGTATATTCAGGCCACAAGGGATCCTTTCAATCGGGCTGGCGAAGATCTGGGCGGAAAGGGAGAAAAAGACATGACAGATATATTACGAGTGGCTACTACTAATATAACCAGAGGGAATGCAATATCATCCCGGGTCCAGGAATAATCCAGAGAACGAACAACCTGCCATAGTCTTGTTTTAACAGTTCACCACCTTCGGTCCAATACTTCAATTGAACTCTGCACATTGGTCAGTTTCTGTTTGATGGTCTGGGTTATTGTCTCGAGAACGGTGTTGTCGTGCAAACGCGCACCCAAAACTTGCGGTAGTCACGCAAAAATCTGGGAGTGCTGACCGTAACTCATTGAATCAGACCGTGGCTATGGCTCTAGCACGCCCGAATCTTGAATGTTTGTCATCATACACCCATCCGCCATTGCTCACAGTGGGCACTCGACACCCATAGACGCTCAATACACCAAGGCCATCCAAATGCATCTCCCGCCTAAAAGGAACATGCAGTCTTATAAGCTAAGGGCATCCCGAACCCGACCACTAACAACACCAACCCCACTAGTCATCTATCATGATCCAAACATCGCTCCATAAACGATGCCTAATAAGCCACAGGATAAAATATCATGCAGTCTAGTCTACAATTGACATGTCGGACATAGGAGCAAGCATGATGGCATCAGAACCAAGTATATGATATTGTTGATTGAGATGCCAGAGATGGAGGTGCATGCGCGTGGCAAGGATAGCAAGCACATAGAATTGGAAGCTGTGCATTTTAGGAAGTCATTAGTAGGAATTTGCAGCGGAGTCTGGAGGCGCATACTCATCGAAGACGGAGTGATATGCGTACTGGGTATGCGGAGCATCAATGACTTGGCCATCAAGGGTATTGGGGATTTACGCACTTGGGAAAACAGCATTTGCATGATGACGTTGATGGCTGCAAGGACTTTCGCAACAAGAGTCATCACTGATGAGTACAGAAACATATGTATGTCTTGACTCACACAAACCGCATGCATAGTATAATATGTCATGCTTCACCAGAACAGTGTACAAAGGGCCGTTGACCGTCTGCCAGCTCTGTATGGCACGTACAAGTGTGAGGGAGATTAGTCCTAGTGAGAGCATGGTCAGTACAGGCCTGTAACATGTGTGTAATCCCAATTCATAGCGACATACCCAGTTCAAATACAAACAAGAGAAGAAACGGCATAGAGAATTGGATTCTGCGCGAGGTCCGATAGCAGCCTGGGAGGATCGTGCTGGTCGTAACTGTAAAAGTGGGATAAATATGTGCGAATAGTAGTTGGGGAAGGTGAGAGCAACCATGTGAGGTGGCAACAGTGGTGAAAACAATATCGATAGCTGCTATTACTACAAAAGCCTGACCCGTTCATTAATCATGAACTCGAGTGTATCGAGAGGCATGGGGCTCACAACAGCGATGCATACCGTGGCCACCAGAACGAATCTATTATTGTTCCAGAGCGCATATGTTCTGAGCACGAACATAACTGGATAAATCGGATCAGAAGTACGCGCATGCCACGAGAAAATGTGAAATACATTCAGAGCAAACGACTGATATAAAGCTGAAACCTGCGAGACAAAAGGGTAGCACTCGACAAGAATGTGCATGCAGCATGTACCATGCACATACCCGAGTAAATATTGATCAACATCCCGCATTTCTGGTGAAGTTATGTAATAAGCGTCATTCACCAGTGAATGAGTTCACTGCACGTCAACACACCTCGGAATCCTCGTTCGGGATGAAGTACACTGAAGCACAACATGTCAATTCATTGTCGAGAGGTTGTGTGCTAGGGCTGAACGCACAATACAACTCCGTGATAAAGATGGCAAATGGGATATTTCGTACAATTATATAAAGGCATTTTACCTTGGTCCAGCGCGACCGAAGCAGGAATGTCCACTTTCAAGACAGCATACCTATCATCAATATCAAAACTGAGGTAAATCAGGGAACAAATGGCATCACCTCTTCGTGAAGCGAACAAGCATAATCATAGGTCTGGATAAGCAAATTTAACAACAGGTAGAAATAGATGGGGACGTGCCTACCCAGAATGTAGCCATCGACACTAAGCTGTCATGTTAGAACAGGAAGAAGTAGTTCAGGTAGGACGCACTGCATAGGCGCTGGTGTCATATGGTAAGTATATTTGTTATATCTGGCTCTTTAACAAGAAAGTGACACACCGCTAAGAACTGCAGATCACTGGCCGCTGCGATATCGTCAGCTGAATACTCCATCTGCATTAGTCGCGATTCCAAAAGTAAAAAAACGGTTCACATCATGCACCTTCTTATAGTCTTACAAACCAAGGTTCCCAGTGAGGTGAAATTCCTTATCATGGTCATAACCATTCATAAGCAGTTGGCCATCATCGCAACCGCAGTCGCAGGCGTCAAGTGTGGTTTTCATGAGGGGTATCGACAGATCTACTTGACATTTCATCAGGAACAAACACAAATAATAGAAAGTACACACTGACACTTGACAGTTACCCAGCAGTTTGATCTAGTGGTATGACTAGATGCGCTACAAATGAGCAATTTCAATCAAAAAAGCAGTGCTAGTTAGTACTGCATGCCCATGAATGAAACAACGGACCAACTTGTAGTCTTGATAGCCACATGATTCACCCACAGCGCCTTTCCTTTGAACAGGTACCACTCATCAACAACACACACAGCTCGATTGATCATCAAGGCTGAAGAGCCCATTGAAGAAAGTTGGGATCAAGACTTGTGCCAGAGAGCTCACAGCCGCTGAGGAATGCGCGACCAGTTAGCTATTTAAAGGCAGGTGGGACAGGTAGGCGACATGATAAGCAGTTACAACGCTGTATGATGGTTCTGAACTTGACGAGAAAAAGAACAAATGAACTCACCTCATATAAACTCAAGGGTTGGGTCAATTGTGAAGATGTTATCTTTCCAAAGGGTGAATATCACTGAGTTATGAGCGTTAACGTGGAGATAAAGGTGAAAACTTGGTATTCATTTGCAACACTGTAGCTTAATGAGCCGCCATGACCACCAGTCACGGAGACAGCTGTCACGGTAACGTACCGGTACCACATCATTCAGTTGACACCCCCGTTGCAATCCGTGAGTATTCCAGTCATACTTTCCTGCAAGCACCCATCAGTACGCGGTATCCATCCGACATCAAAATACAGCTATGCTGAAGGTATTCACCAGCCTGGGCGCATGGCTCTCCATTGGGGTCTTGTGCTATAACGATCCCCACAGTACTGTGGCGGACATAATCGTGGCCGCCCGCCCGTACTAGTGGTGAGTGAGATGAAGCTTGGATGATCCCTTTTTATTGAACTGAAAGTCATCGCTTCGCATTTATACACAGGCAGTACAGGGTGGTCAGCCCAAAAACATGCACCTACTGTGCGTCCGACGAAGCAATACAATGCGCTGTGGCAATGCGATATCTCTAGACGTGGCTCCATGAGAACTGGCTGACGTAAAGCTCATGTCAAGACGATGGTCCGCTTTCCGCATCTTCTTAGTTCAGTTTCCTCAGAGCCTTTTGTGGAATCACCGTTGTGCTGGCAGCGGTGAATGGCTGAAGGTATATGTGGAGAAGCCAAAACAATCAATGAAGTTCATCAAGGCGGTGGCGGTGACATCGGGTGAGATTTTAACGTTGCTCATAGTTGCAGCCCAAAGTCAGACTGATGTGGATACCGCAGCTGAACGTGAAGTCATACACTTATTTGAATACATATGTTCTTGAGCCTCAACAACATCTTTCAAACTCCCACGGCTATTCCCCCAGCGCCTGCCAGTACCACATTAACTACGGAGACAGCTGTGCTGTATCATTATGATATTATAAACATGGCAAGCAAGAAGTGGGCTCGCCCTTTCCCTGTATGTGCAGCTGTTGGACCCGCCGGGACCTACACCTCCGCTGATGACGGTATAGCAGCTCATACAGCTGCAAGTCCGGACGACCAGGATAGTGTTGTCTACTTGACAAAAATACAACTACGGAAAGTTACCGTTATAATCTGCGAGCGTTCCGCACCCATACCGTTCTGGAAGCACCCGTAAGTATGCGGTCTGAGATCAGAACACGGGATATTCACCAATCGGGCTGAATGGCAGGCCGGTGGGGTCGGATGCTGTAACAATCCTCGCCAGCACTGCGGCAGACATAATCATAGTGGCGAGCGAGGTGGACTTCATAGCGGCACTTGAGGATGGTCTGGATGATGCTCCTTGTTATTGAACTGAAATATATTGCTTCGTTTTTATACACAGGCAGTAAAGGGCAGTCAGCCCAAAAACATGCATCTGTTGTGCGCGTCAGACTAAACAACCTAATGCGTGCGTGGCAACGCGATATCTCCTGACTTGGCTCCTTGGTATCTTACTAGTGTCAAGCTCGCGTGGAAATTTCATAGAGACGATCCGCTTTCCCGACGATCTCTAAATGAGTAAGTTCTACTGCAGTTCTTCCGTGCTGCTGGGCTTATCTGACCCCAGAGTATGTTGTAAATCTTTACAGCAATCTGAAAGTACTTTTTGTGTAGGACAGTTTTCCCGATTGAATTTTGCTGAAATTTCTACCATCTGACAGCGATATCAATTCTGCCAAATCGACTGAGAATCAACCTTGCAAACTGCTACGGTGGCTTGACTTGTGCCGATACTTTTGATTACACAGAGATAGAGATCTGTGATCTAGCCTTCAAGGCCAACCTTAGACGAACAGATTCAAGATTGTAGGGAATTATCAGCGCAGTGCGTTCCATCTTCGTACGGCCTTCCAATATTAATCACCAATGGCAACTATCGTTCATTTCGACAGCCTCTCGAACTCAAGCTTAGTGGACCACGAGCAAGACTAGGCAAAGCCGATCATTTTCAGATCAGTCCAAACATTTACATTGCTCGAGCAGCACGAAAATTTATCCATGAACAACTGCACTGATTTACTCCGAACTAGGTATTGCACCATCAACCATGATACCAAGGCAAAAGCAGAAACATGACTCACTGTCGCGATGCACCACTAGGGCTGCCGGCTCAACTTTACGTGTGTTGGCAGTACGCTGCTTGCTAAGGCGCGCAGGTGAGTCAATTGAATCCTGGATGCACAGCGACCTGCTCATGCTTACCCCAGGTGGTTGTATACAAACATAGTTCGAGCAGCAATTTGCACTTGTTGAGCACGCTGTTTTGCCACATGCACTGACAGACATAGACGCTGTCAAAAAAGTAACAACGGCGAGGAAGGAGAAATGCATTTCTTGTGCGAGGTGATATGGAATCTTCTGAGGGTGATTTCGAATGATATCTCTGAGGATGGGGGAAAGCTGTAAGACGACGACCAGCTTTTATATTCTGCATGCATACACTTATGGGCATACTTCTGATTCGATTTGGCAGAATTGTTATTGCTGTCGAATGGCACAATCACGATTTTCGGTAGAACCTGCAGGAGCGCGATCAATTGCGACCCTTGTATCACTACCTGCAGTTACTGGGGTCATATCGTGTCAGGGGTATAATTGATGATCTGTGAGTTCTTCCGCATGAAATTCTCATTGGTTTGAACCGTTCCTGAATCTGTCTCTTCTCAGCGCTCCACTCTTTGCAATACAGAAATTCGCTTATGCTGTTTGCATGTTGCTAGTGAAGAACAAACTGTTTCACTCTGTGACCTTGTGTCCGCTGCTTGATTTCTGCTGGCCGTGCCTGCTACGGACGTGGCACGGCTGTTGCATGGCCAACTTCAGTGAAGATTGTATTTATTTTGAACTTCTGGTTAGCTCCATTGACTGAGACTTTAGGCGACCCAAGGCCGTGCCAGTGACGCAGCCTTGGCTAAATCATAATTACGCGAATCGCTTCGTGGCTCAGACCGCGGGTGACCAAGTGGCACCTTGACTTGGACCTTAGAAACCAACGCCTACAGCGCCTCACCACCCGCTATTCAGCTTTCTACACTAGATCTAACCAATGCCACCCCAATCTTGATCCCAACTGTGTAGGGTTACCCTCCAAAGTTACACTACTCTCGAGGGTCGACGGCCGAACCTGGTAACTCCTCTCAACGTCCACCAACGGATCAGCATGCAATCGGATCCTCGATTCGGACCGCTGGCTCGACGCCACTTCGGAACTCTCCGTGTCACATGCATCTTTGTCATGGTGGTCATGGTCCACGAGGATCGTGCAAAATTTCCCAGAGTAAAACTGGCAAAGTACGGCTCCGCGTAATATAGACAACAACAAAATACGGTACGACCCCATTGTTAGTTCTTAACGCTACTCGAAACAAACGTGCTCTAATCATAGAACACCAGGGTCCTCAGCTCGATGGATTCCCGAGGCGGCGCGCCCTCTGGGGTGTTCGGGTCTTGGAAGGCTGTATGAGCAGCGAGCCTCGCGACACTCCCATCTTGTACGGAGTCAGAGCTAAGATCCTTTTAGTATGACAAAAATCTTCCCGAGTGACTTCACTCACCATTTAATAAGAACAAATTCTTCTGGTGTCATTCCCTTCAAGTATTTCCACTGGTGGTTTGGGTTGTATTTGACTCCAAATGTCTCACCCTCGCGGTCAGGGAATATGAGAGCGACAGGCGTCAAATCTTTCTCGAAGTCGACGCTTCGGAAGTCACATAATGCAAGCGGCCAATCTACAGCTGCATGCGATATAGGACGCCAAAGGTTTATGATTTGGAAACGTCTGCGAAGAAGGGCAGGAGCTTCTGTGGGCGGGAGATGCCTATGGACACGAGCCACGGACGCCGCAGGCGTTTGGTCTACATGAGCCTGCGGGACTGGTTGACGTTTCTGTGGGCTGTTACCTAGCTCGCCTGGGCGACGGCGACGAACAGCTGTGATATGAATTAGGGATCAAGACCTCGTTTGAAATTGGTGATCAACGTACTGTGATCGAAGATGACAACTTTGGTCGCTCCTGTTACCCTCTTGATGAGGTCGATGCTCTCAGGGTAGTATTCGCGCTCGATCTCTTCATCATTCAAGAAGCTGGTATGCTTCGGCGCTTCTCTCCCATACTGAAATCCGGCACTGTCAAGCTTGTAAAGTTCCTCCTTCCCGCGCACGTCCTCAATTTGCATTTCATGCGGGTCCTTGAGCCAGTTGTTGACCGGCTTTCCATTGGCGGTATCTGCATTGATGTCAGTGTAAGGCCGAGAACCATCAAGTGGAGCGAGCAAGTAGTTGAGGGTGGTGGTGGCGGTAGAAGTCATGGTTAGTCTGTTGGTGCTTGACGTAAAGTGGAGTGCAAGCGTTCTTGCTATGACGAGCAAGTAATATCCTGTTTATATAGGTCTTCGAGGACCAGGGTAACCGCTTGGCTTACATATCACCTTATTAATTCTCCAGGCTGAGCGCTGATTGTTAATGCAGATGAAGTGATCTCATAAGCATGCCGCCACTAAATTGCGGGATATGAGTGATGTGATGATGATTCCATAGAGCGTCGTACCTTGATTACTAAATTTCTTCGGTCAAATTCTCAATACCAGAATTTCCAATTCAAGTCACCTTTATAGACTACCGGTGAAGCCCAGAAGTGTCTCTCAAAGGTCGAAGAAGACAGGATCTCGCCCCAAAGGTATGATTCATCACATAAGGCCGAGCACCATGTAACTGTAATGGGAGGTCATGGGCTCCGGGGCCTGGGTAGTATCAGGTAGAAGGGTGGAAATAGGATGACTGCCATGCCAGGGTGCTTCATTGTAGGCGCCAGGCCTCGAGGGTGATTTATCTGGTGTTGGCAGTCAAGGATCAACGCAAGCAGCGTTGAACCTGCATATCGTGACAGTGGATGCGGACTTGATCAAGTTGCAGGTGCAAACGGGGCGCACAGTACTAGTCCAACTGGAAACTATCAATGCACAGTCGCTTGCTGAATCCGAATGGTATCGATACAGGAAGTCGCACAGCATGAACATGCCAAGCCCTATAAGTTAGGCCCGAGTTAGGTCGTGGAATTATGAGCACTCGGTCCAGCATTCAAAGTTGTTCAGGAGAACACGGTTCAGAAAGCGCACGAACCTACACATGCATGAAAGTTTGAACACTCATAGACAGAGGATGTCCGGACAGTGAAATACGTGAGAATGATATATAGTGAAAAATGGAACCTCCGCCACCGTGACAACACCAACACTTCACATTCTGCACCACCTCATATTGCGTCACAATTGTTAATATGAAGCACCTGAGACACAGTCAACAAAATTCTATGCAGAGATGCTTCATACGTATACCGCGAGACATATATCCATTTCGAATGTCCGCAATTCGAGCAGACCACTTGCGGAAAACATTTCCATGACAAAAGTAGATCATAACTTCTGTTTGCCGGGCACCATACATAGCCAAGAGACTATGAAGTAGTTACCAAACAAAGAGAAAACAAGATCCAAAAAGGAAACCCCCGACGACGCAGGCCAGTAGTGCAGTAGCAAGGTCATCATGTCCCTCGAGTTGCAAGCAGAGCTCGAAGAAACAAGGGCGGCAAAAATTTGATAACCAAAGAATGAGGGCGGTGCCCTCATAATAGTGGTTAAACTATTAAGAACAGATACTACACTTGATCTAAGCCAAAAGGCCAGAGTGGTAAGGATTCAAGTCGTTCACCCAGCCCTTTTATATAAAAGCACACGAGTGCACGGGCCACCATTTCGATTTGGGAGGCTCATGAGGGCCTAAAATAGGCATTAACTTTTGAATTTAACAAGGCCAAACAAATACCGAAGCTTCGCCACGGTGGCGTCCGAATAACCCAACTTGTAATCATTCAATGTTGAATCTTCACTTTTACTTCTGAACTCAGGGCAACGGTACTCCATTTAGCTTCCTGACGTCTCTTCTGAAACGGAGTTCTCTCAGTGACATTATGATCATCATACAAGGCTTTCCCAGCACATGCAATACCCTGCGACCCACTGCACATTCACGCCACAATGTTTCCATTTCTTTTGCAAGGTGAATTCTAGTCGGACATGCCTGCTTCCTCACAATTCAATGGAGACACCAGGGTGGTCGATACCGGATCGCTCCACGCAACAGATGGTCGATTGGTTCAATGTTTGTCCGGGTCATCGAACACTATTTACACACGCAGGGGAATACTCAAGTACACAACAAGGCGACATATACCTCTTCATCCATCCCAGTCGTAATCGCTTGATCTCGGGCTCGTTTTACCTGTAGTCATTATGTTGAGCCAAGTTCAATGTTTAGAATCTCACTCACCCCTACAAACGAGTGTCTTAATTGAATGGGAATGAGATGTTTGCTCAATACTCACTGCGTCTGTTAGCGAAACATATGGCATGTGCCTATTATGTGCCATCGGTCAGATCTCACTGCGCGACGCTTCTGACTGATCCTGTACCACTAATATCACTTTGATATCTCATGGCATTTGTTACTTCCTTGTAGCACCTGCGATTCGCCTAGGCCGGTGACCCTGCAACTACTGCCAGTGCGCAGACATAATGAGGTATATTTCATAAATCGATACTCATACTCATTCTTGACATGCACTTGGTCAAAGATCCCTAGTACTTGTCGCGGTCCAGCATCCACAGCTCCCTCTGAAGTTTTAGACAATCACAACGATATCAAGTTCGTCTACGGCATACCTCGATAGTTCTCTACTTCCTCAGAGACAAGGAACGGGGTTGAAAAATCAGTGACTATCAACCAACCCTCTTCCAAGTCCCTCTGCCTCGTCAACCGTCCCTTGCACCCCATCAAACACTGGCTCTATGACGAGAACCACTCCAGAGTTCCTACACTACCCTTTGATATCAAGTACCGCGCAGGCAGTAATATTAATTCTCTTTATCGTTACCGTTGTCGCACCCTTTTTTACTTCCATCATAACGCGCGCTCCGATATGACCTTGGGCTTTGACTGCATAGCAGAAAATGATACGTCTGTCATCAATCATGATCGGCAACGAAATGACATCTCTTTGGCTCCATCAGGGATATCCATGAATTAGCCTTCGAGGCCACCGTTAAACGAACAGATTCAAGCTGCTTAGTACGTTCCACATTCATACATCCTCCTAATATTAATTATCGACAGCAATGATTGCTCGTTTCGACAGGCTCTCCAACTCCTGCTGATTGGACCACAAGCAAGACTAGGCACGATCGATCATTTTTAGATAAGTTCAAACATTCTACATGGCTGGAGTAGGACGAAAATTTGTCCAAACACAACTATACTGATTGTCTCCGAACTAGGCATTGCACCATCAACCATGATACCAAAGCATAAGGAGAGGCATGACTCACTGTCGCAACGTGCCGCTCAAGCTGCGGCTCAGGGGACAAGATCAATTCTAGAAACCATGTCACATCCCCCTCTTCGTCTTGATGACTGTCCTACTCAATCTCCTCGATACCGCTGTGCGCTACATGCAATCAGTACAAAGACATACTCGGAAATTGCTTAATATAAAGGCACCCACTGTCTATTAGTGCAATGAAAGAGTTAGTATTCATTATGTAGCACAAAAGACAAGATCACATACCATGTGAGGGCGTGACATGCCCTAGTCCGTGGTACTTGGCCGAGGTCTCACGAAAATGGCGTAAAAATCGTGTCTGGTCGTGTGAGGGTCAACGAGTGGTAATAAGCCCAGCAGAGGAAACCACGCACTTCCTGAGAGCGGGACATGGCCGTGGCACCGTCAGCATCGCCTAAGAAGGTAGAAAGACCACATCACGCACTTCCTGAGAGCGGGACATGGCCGTGGCACCGTCAGCGTCGCCTAAGAAGGTCGAAAGACCACATCACGCACCAACTGAGAGCGGGACATGGCCGTGGCACCGTCAGCGTCGCCTAAGAAGGTAGAAAGACCACATCACGCACTTCCTGAGAGCGGGACATGGCCGTGGCACCGTCAGCGTCGCCTAAGAAGGTAGAAAGACCACATCACGCACTTCCTGAGAGCGGGACATGGCCGTGGCACCGTCAGCGTCGCCTAAGAAGGTAGAAAGACCACATCACGCACCAACTGAGAGCGGGACATGGCCGTGGCACCGTCAGCGTCGCCTAAGAAGGTAGAAAGACCACATCACGCACCAACTGAGAGCGGGACATGGCCGTGGCACCGTCAGCGTCGCCTAAGAAGGTAGAAAGACCACATCACGCACATACTGAGAGCGGGACATGGCCGTGGCACCGTCAGCGTCGCCTAAGAAGGTAGAAAGACCACATCACGCACATACTGAGAGCGGGACATGGCCGTGGCACCGTCAGCGTCGCCTAAGAAGGTAGAAAGACCACATCACGCACTTCCTGAGAGCGGGAGGTACATCGTGATCTCAGCTCAAGATTGCTAGCGAAGTACCATGATGACATACACTTTGCTCGACATGAAAGTTGCGAACAAGAAGCATTTCTGCGTCAGTCTTGTGGTTGGAGTCACTGTTAGAAGATTGTTTTCTCAGGTTCACCAAGCTACGGGTGATCTGGAAGCATCGTTTGCATTCTCGACTTCTCATCGTTAGGCATCATCAGGACCTAGAAAACAAACATACTCACCATTCAGTCGAGCAAACAGTCCGCCCTCGAGACTTATATTTCACAGATCTAGCACCAAGGCGATTCACAGCGCCGCAAAAATGACATTGATAGTCGACTCCAGATAGTGATGACGTCCCCTGTTGAATGGTAACCCTCATCACAATCTTCGTGCCTGGTTCAATGCTCGACCAATTGTGGCTTGTAAGTAAAGTCACTTGTTTGCCCTCGTCGATGCACAAATCGTACTTTCCTTCTTCTATGTATCGTCTTTGAATTTGGGCTTCGATTGCATCGCGTTCAAACAGAACTCGGAGCATGCAATTGAGTTGCTAAAGACAATTTGACGAGTAAGCTTCTACAAGAACGATTTTTAGGCCAGCGAGCGGACCTGATATGAGGTGCACCAGTTCACTGATATTGCTTGGTGGCGGCCTGTTGCGTCTACTAGCGTCACGCAGCCAGGCGCGACGCTTCCGGGTAAAGGCGATAAAGATAGTGCTGCGAAGGACTGTTCGATGTTCTGAAGATCCTCCTCCCGCCTCCTTGAAATTATAAGCAGTTCGTGTGTTTCACGTTGACTTTGCATTAGGGACGACACCTGACCATAGAGTAGTGAGCAAATGCAAGTATCTCTAGGGGGTAGAACACAACCATAAACTCCTTTAGATAACGGTCGATGTCAGTTGAGCATCCGGTGATAGCCTGTGTGACAGATGCGTATGCTAAACGATGTTTTTGCAACTTTTTCAGGCGGACTGAAGTGTCTTCCAGCTTTCTGAGTGCGGCTTAGTGTTGGGTAAATTCAAGCACACATTCATAATGGATTTACCTAGCTAAGATGTCTCTCCGAGAATGTTCAAGAGGATCCAGGGCAGGTGGGGCGTTGCACAAATGGCAGTATAGTCCATAGAGTCGCGATGTCAGGTCATCCAAGGCCGCCCTGTTCTGATCGCATCTCTGTGATGGCCCTTGAGATCCAGAAACATCTCAGCATTCGATAATCACTCACATTTATAACTTGAAGGATTCCCAACAATCCGCCAATAGCTGCGTTCATCGGAGCACCGACAAGTGGAATTATACCAGTAAAAGCCTGTACCAAGGGCAAAGCTACCTGAGCGATGTCAGAAGCTTCACGGGCAGGAGATGCACCCCAAGGGTACACTGCGGAGGGAGAGCCGGGGAATCTTTTTTCGAGACCTGGTTGACTATCTGTAGAAACGGGATGGACTGGCGAAGAATTCGAAGAGTGCATTGGTGCAGGAACGAAATTAGAGAGGTCTGTAGGGATAGAAGTATCGCCCTCATGGCCGGCGGTTGTCGAGTTGCGTTGTGTGTGTCCTTGGTTTTTAGGGCGCTTCAAACGAATTGCAATGATCTTTCCGAAACTCTGGAACAATGGAAAGGGCATTTCGATTAGATGGCAAGGTCAGAGGATAGGGCTTTTTGCGTGTAAGATTCAGCTAGGGGGAACTAGAGGATAGGTGAGAGGAGATGTAGGAAAGCGAAGGAGGGCAGGAAGGCGGTCGAGTACTTAACCGAATTAACCATCAGGAAGCCATGAGGCTACTAGCTGTGCACAACACAACCCTAGCCCAATATCGATTCTAGATCTACCAAAGTTCCGTGACTCTGTCTTAACCGACAAAGTTTCCCAATGCCGACGATTCTTGCAGTGCGATCGGAAAGCAATTTGCAATGGCCAACTCTCTACAAAATTTATCGTAGATCGAGCTCGAACCGTATGTAGAGCTTATGTAAGTGGTTGAACGAGTGCATCTTCTATGGGAAGCTTCCCACCATTTGTATTCCTTCCATTAATGCTCCCAGTCGACGAATTCAACACAAAGTTTCCCAACTTGGGTGAAGTCCGACTCTGGACAGTACTTAGTGGTCCAGGTCATTCGGACATGCCCTATCCTTGCCCGCGGACGCTTTCGAATGACCCTGCTGGTCCTACTTACATAGTATGCGATTCGGACTTTGTGAGATCAGAAGAGGGCCGAAGTAATCCTTGCTCCGACTCAACTTTGTTCGCCTTTTCTAATTGGTGTCATTTTTACCAACAACTGATAGCATCTTTCTATCGACCATGTTGGACTAAATGGAGCTCGACGCTTTACTCGGATTCCGGCTGATACAACTTTTCGAAATGACTACTACGGGGTGTACACGATGCTTGTCCGCGGTTCTCACTATTTAACTCATCTGATGTATGGACTCCCAGAGCATTCAAAGATCCCAGTCTCCTTTACGAGGGCAAGTCTCTTCATGACTTTCATCATCGTTCTTGCCATTAATTTTGCCGCATTTCTGTTCTCTTTGTTGAAATCAAATTCTCTGGTGAACTCAATAATCCCTAAGCTAGGATCGCTGCGGATAAAACCAGATTTCGTAACCATAATCACCGCACTCAGACTTCATGATATCAGCGTCATGGGACAGAAAGTTGCATGGATAAATCGAGTGGCTGCATAGTCCCGAATTTCCAAGAGCAGGAGACATACCGATCGATTGGTGGGAGCTGGACATCACGACGGAAGCCGGGCATCGCGTCACCTGACCCGGAGATCAGTTAGACAACAGGGAGGTTAAGGATGATGGGGAGTGGACTACTGAAGCTGTTTCTGCTCCACCTGCACAACCTGGAGCGCGGCCGAGTTTTTACGTATTCATCAATCAGGCACCTGTGCAGGTTTTGGTGGGTCGTGTACGCCGTCGAAAGCTTCGAGTTCGGCTTCTACTGCTGTATTTGCAACTCCACTTCCAGAAACGAAACTGTTCAAGGTCCATACACCTCTACCTCCAGCTCAAATCACGCTACAGGACGATGACGAGCCGGAAAGTTGTCAAGACTTTCTGCCACCAATGCAGATGTATGCAAACCAGACCCAAGATGCAATGTTCCAAACACCGTCTAGACCGGCAAATCCTTGTCGTCTTCCTCCACTGGCCGTATTCGATATCTTCAAAGTCGTCGAGAACGATATTGAGGTCGATTCAGGCATCATCGACATCAGGCACGATCATATATGCCAGATCTTATCACGTCCGGCACTGGTCTAGATAGTCACAATCGGCCATCCGAAGCCCTTCAAAGGTTCTATCAAGCCTCGCCCTGCGAAAGCCGTCGCGCTCATCAAGCAGAATGTTAACAATTAAGCTTGCGAATGATGAAGCCCATACATGAGGGTAATTGGGGTGCCACATCGCATTATCGTACCGTACATGTCTATACATATATTACTTCATCTTGTAAGAATAATTTATAGTGCGTGCTCTAGTATCAATTGCGCTCGCTGTCTTCATGAGAATCAGCCTGTAGTCTGGCACCTCCCTCCCTCCCTCCCCTTGATCAAGAGCATACTCAAGTCCGTCCAATGATTGCAGCCAGTAATAGGTACACCACTCCGGAATATCTTGACTCATGCTGTGTGATTACGCCATCCATATCGTGAAAGAGGAATCGCATACGGGAGACAAGCCTGTAACACGCAAGAAGCCCGATTCCTGGTCAGATTGTACAGACTTGTGTCGATGGCCATTTATTTCAGTGATATTTTTCACTCCTAAGTCCAGTCATAGCCGGTAAAGGTTGCGAGTTGAAAGCGAGCTCCATTAGATGAGCAAAGAACGTCATTGTCGGACCTTCATCATGCTCAGCAATTTCATGGGCAGGTTACGAAAGTCGCACCGTATTCTCATTGTTGATAGTTGCACATCAGCAATTCTTCATCTTCGCGTGGACATCCTCAGCTCTGGACGATGCAATCGCCGTGTCTAGTAGAGAACCGGCCATACGAGCATTCCTGCACCGTATATCTGCGCCCTTGCCATGGTTCTCCGAACGTTTGAAATCCCAAAATATTGACAAGCGTTTCCCATGGGCTTCGACGTTGGTATCTTGTTGTTCGAGAGCGGGAGGCTCGACTGTTGCGGTCACTGTCTCAGTTTCAAAGCTCCCGTGTAGGTCCATCCATGTGTTGGCGCAGATCGAATGCCAGACACATGAAGGCTATGATATGCTTCCTTGTGGTACACGGCGATGACTCAAGGCTTTTAGTATTGCCCTCCAACTCGACAGTGATAGAGTATCAAATAAATTGTCGAAGGGGTCGTAGAATATGCGCATGAGACATGATGAAGCGAAGATGTGATGGATGTTCAGAGAAGGTGCTTTGATAGTTGTTGGATGTGTTGTCGTTATAAGCACCAAATGGACCACTGTGCTTTGCAAAATTGTGAACAGCGAATCACAGCTCGATCGACGCACCGAATAGACAGTTGGGGGTGAGGAGATAAAATCAGAATCTTAGTGTCAATGGTGTAGGTGACTGGATGACCTGGCAGGACCAATTTCGCTGTGTTTGCGGGGGCCTCGAGGCTTGCTTGCTGAAATTATGAATACGATGGTCGCCGATTGTGCTAGTTCAGTAAAGGCAGCAAAAGCGCTGCTGGTTACAGTGTTGACAGTCCAGGGCAAGAACCAGTCACTGGCCATTTTGGGGAAGGTGGCTCATGACCCACACGACACTGAGCACGATGAACCAATAATATCAGTGTTTGCAGGCACACACCAAACATAGTACGAAAGATACAGAGCACATCTGTTCTAGGGTACGGTTGAAAAATCCCCGCGACTTTTCAACAGCTGTTTATAAACAGACTGCCTCAGACCATTTATCAACAGGTGTTTTAAACAATTTTCAACTAATAGTTATTAACCGGTTGAAAAATATTTATCAACAGTGTGAATAATGATTTCGCAGTGAAAAAATGTGAAAAATTAGAATATCCAGTCAACGGGCCTCATTTTCGACAATGGCGCTTTGTTCTGGTCCATCCAAAAGTCCTCCGAGTTGTCACTGCCGTGTCCAGTGTCCTCGGCAGGCACGTCATTGGTAGTTTGTTTGACTCATGTGGTAACAGCACGAAGAAGGTCTCTGTTGATGTCACGAAACTTCACCGTCGGTTGTCGGTCGATAGGGTTCCTTTCGTGGTCTCATCTTTTCAGCCCAGCAATGAATGTCATACTACTGTCCAATTTGAATCATGTCAACAAGTGTCTGAGCAATCTGGTTAGCACGTATCGCCCATGTGAACTTCGATCCTGTCCGTTTGTCTGGCATGGAGTTCAAATTAAGGCTGGCGGGGTCGGAAGGGGTCCGATTGTACTTTTTCGAGCCTCACAAGTTGATTCAAAATGTTCCCACACGCCCTGGATTTATTCACAATTTTCAACAGGCCTTGGGACACGATGACTTTTCAACAGTGTTATTAACAGTTAGTCGCGGCAGATTTGAAGTTGCGACTAGTTGCCGAGACATGCCGCCGGGATTGTCAAGCGACTCAACTTGTTGTCGTCCCAGATACCAGACACGTGCACTTCCTCTCTTTCCCTACGCTGCGCCGTTTGTCAATATCAACCCTGTCTTCGAACACAAAATCTGCTGTAGCCCGTTGTGCTGCCTTGGAGGACTTATTCATCAATAGGTCTTGTGATGACACACCAGATGAGCTATCCCTGGTGTCTGACATCGTCCGTTCGTACAAGCAGCTTGTAAATCTGTCGTGCAATGCACCACTCGACTGAGCAGTATGGAAGCACCTCTCCGACACCCCTACCCTTCTCAGACTCAGCTATTGTGGGACGATTTCCCGGTTGAACGTTGAACCATCACCCTTCAAATTCGAGGCTTTCCTCAAGCTCACGGCTCTTTCTTTGATCTTAGAAACTGCCGCGGACAATGGACATTACCACAGCGATACGACACTCGGAATTCCGCTCACAAGGGTTCGAAATGCTGCGGCATATCCTCGGTTGGACCAGGGCGGAGGCCGAGCAACGTTTTTTGTGCACTGTTACAGTGTAATGGACACCGGACCCCCAAACACATCAAAATCGACTCTAACGAGCGGTCATGGTCTTATGGGGAATTGGGTATGTCTTATGACAATGTTCAGGCAGCTTCTTTGTTCCACGCAGCTGTGAAAACCCTTTGGATTCACATTCATTACCCCATTTACCTCGACGACGACCTTTCTGTGGAAGCCATGTCAAGTTGTCCGCACGTCCGCTTTCTGATGTTTTTGGGTCACCTTCGTCCATCTACTGTAGACTATTCGCAATGCTTTGTTTCTATCCTCACTTGCTTACCTGTAAGTAATGATCGATACTAGTACGTGTATCGATTTCGGTCTTGCAACTGAGTCTCTTCAACATAATCTGCGGATGTTACGCGTGTGCATGTCTATTTTTTCCATCTTTCCTTGCATGGACTAGGTCACCGGTGGGGTGGGAGAGGTATAAGAACGGGTGGCCCGAGGCCAACCAGCATCTCGAAGCTTTTAGATCTTCCCCAGCTCTTGGAGCAGCTCGGCGCCGATGACCTGATATACTCATGCACGGGAAATTTACCCAGAGTTATGATCAAATGCTTTCATGCACTGAATAAACAACGAGCGAGGTAGATCATATAGGGTTTTTTCATTGTTACCTCATGACTATAATCTTCGGTTAGCTC